ACTGAGCAGAGATTACAGAAGCTTCTCTAATAATGCACACACGCCGCATAAGGTCTGATGATAGAGTGGACACCGCCTGTTTGAGCTGTCTGCTATTGATGGAAGACAGCACTTGGTTGCATCAGAAATGCCTCTGTTTAAGCATAGAGTCTTTATTGCTGTTCATCCATTAGCTATAGCGATAGCTGTATACCCAGAAAGGCCCTGCAAAGCACTCTACTGCCTTTCAAGGTAAGACACAATCCCCAGACTTATAACTAAAAACAGAAATCTATGCACCAAGTGTCACAAGCCTAGTGTGCTGACCGGCCTAGATTACAGTGCACTCGCCAAGGGCCCGTGCACATGTTTGGATGCCCATTGCTGGTGTTAGACGGGCCTGCAGGAAGGCTTTGCCTCTAGTCGCACTCACCTTATAACACCTAGCCCTTCGTGACACACCTCAACAAAGAATGATGCTATTTGGGCGTACAGGAGGCTATCCGTGCACGGTGGTTCCTGGAGAGCTGGTTCGCACAGAGAAGGTAGGAATGACCAGCAGATTAGTGGGGCAAGGCTAGCGCTAGAGATGCTAATTACAGATCCGAATTGCAGCAAGGACGCACACGGTGTCTTTTTGGCCTCCGACTCTGAAGCATTGTGTCTACAGATAGGTTGGAGGTTGATTTTTGAGTTTGTGCATTTGAAATACCACAGGCTTTCTTGAGTGTTTGCTTGTTATGAATCTTAAAGGTGTTCGGCTATTTGTCGACGTGTGCATAAAGACTCTGTCGTAGAGGTATACTGTGTAACCTGATAACAGGCAGCATGTTTGCTATCCAGCAGTTCCTCAATTGCGTCTTTCCGCAATAGACGAGCCACCAGATGAGGCTCCCACGATTCACATGGTTGATTTTATAGTGCCATGAGGACTGTCGCCTTCACTTTGACCAAAGGATTGGTGTATGCGTTGCACAGTTTGAAGTACTTGCCAACCAAGGTGGCACAATCAGCTCTTGCTCACCGGCGTAAATCCCAAGCACTCAGTGCTGTTTATATGGGTGTTTTTACTAATTCTGCAAGGGTATATCCCATAACTGTACAGTGCAGATAGAAGCCCTTGCCTGCTATAAAGAGGGCCGGCCAGTTTACTACATTCGAGCATTCCTTGTGCACTCAACAGAGACTTGATAGACCAGATCGCTGCGCACCTCAGCGTCTCTGCCTGCAAGCTGCTTTACGACTCTCTCACTGTCTCACCTCCACATGGTTATCAAACTACCAAGCACTTCGTAACGTCAGCTGATTATTTGAGATATCAAGCTTTCGTATAGTGGGTTGCTCAATGTGACATGAAATCTAGAGGCCACTGACTTTCCTAGCTTGCTGTCCATAAACACTACCATCAATCTTCAGTTCAGTTGACCAGCATACAGCCCATTCTTTGGCACCAGGCAGGACCGGTCTTATTGGAAGGCTCTCGAACACAAGAGTGCCTCCGATAGCAACGCTGCGTGCCTTGCCCAAATGATCACTCTCGGCCACGATTCCAGGAGCTGAGCACTCTGAGCCGAGTAGTGATAGCCCAGGTTGTTTACGGTCCCGCTATTCTTTGCCAGCAGGGAGCGGGCGGCCCGACAGCGCTGGCCGCCTCGACGTTGCCTTTTCTCCAGTGTGCGGGATACTCCTTATGTGAGAGACGCTATGGTATGGTTGGCTGGAGCCGGTCAAGTGGGCGGGACCACCGCTCTGAGGGTGCTGGGACACCATTGCGTGCCCGAAGGCTGTCCACTCCAGTGGGACTATCCCAGATGGGGATGGACAGGCACTGGCTCCTAGATGGGTCTGCGGCCGGCGAGGGACGGTCTCTAAAGTGGTCAGTAGGGCCCTTCAGTGCGTGGGAGTCGACAGGGGACAGGCTCATCAATAGTCTATGGTGCAAGCGGGTTGAGTCGTATGACAGACGGCGCCCCTGAGCAGGGGGACAGTCGCAGTGGGTCGCGATAGAACGCAGCCATCCTCCACGGGGCATCGCTCCTGCCGGGCTTCAACAGTGGAATCTCGGGGGAACAGTGTTCGAGGCATGCGCTGGTGACCCGTGGCTCGGGGCTGCTGGACGTCTCATGGCCCGGCCTCCATTGGGTCTGTTCAAGCATTCAGGAGATCCCTAGGCAGTTCCTTGGCAGACATTGTGACTGGCACAGCAGGGGAGTTGGTCGCCAGGAAACCCTCACATCACAGCGAAGAGCGAAGCATGGCCGCCGTGTAGCCACTACTATGGTACGCCTTGCAGCATAAGGGGGAGACCTATACTGATCAATCCATCTCACAGCCGGCCAGTCACAGAAGCTCGGAGCGGCAGGTCATAAGAGTGGAATCGGTACGACTCCACTTCTCCGCAGGCCTGTGGAGGGCCTTCCCTGCCAGTGCGTCATGCAGCACAGACAGATGCCATGAAGGGGCGGACTGGCGAACGGAGCTGCTATATCTCTGTGTGACAGAGCGTCGAGCCACAATGTTCTACGCATTTTTGCTGATCGGCCTCACGCTTCAACTGGCGACAGAGGAGTGCACACCCGTCTCCGGTGGCGGTCCCGAGACCTGCAAGACATGCGGGGCCACCATTGGGGGAGTGAGCTACTGCTCGCAATGCAATGATAGTGGGTCGGAGTCTGCCCCGACGGACGGCAAGTGCACAACAGACAACGCTGTGTGTAATGCAAAGGCAGAAGGAAAGTGCACCACGTGTACGGGAAGCTCCTTCATGTACAAAGGAGGATGCTATTCAAAGGATACTAAACCTGGCAATGCAGCGTGTACACAAGCAGCTGCTGGAGTGTGCACACAAGCCGCGCAAGGATACTTCCTGCCACCCGATGCTGATAGAGATAATGCACATCAGTCTGCTATACCGTGCGGAAGTGAGGAGGAAGTACCAGCTAAAAACAACCACAAGTATAAGGGCGTGCCGCATTGCACTCAGTGTGACACGCCTGACGTAGCAGCCGATGCTAACGCCAAGGCTGCCACGTGCACAGCATGCGAGAGCGGATACTTTGTAGATAATAGTAAAGGAAAGACATGTACAGCATGTGCAGATAACTGCCTGACCTGCACCGACGGGACAGTCAGCAAGTGCAAGTCGTGCACGGCAGAGACGTACTTCTTAGCAACAGAGGGGAGCGAGGGCCCTTGCATATCGTGCGGAGATGCTACTCAGGGATCTGGTGCTTGGAAGGGCGTCGCTGGATGCGCCAAGTGTACTAAGCCACAGAGTGCCGGCCCTGCAACGTGCACTGAGTGCCAGGCAGATAAGTATCTGAAGACAGAATCGGGGACAGCCTCTTGTGTCAGTGCAGAGGAGTGTAAGGATGGATTCTTCCCCACAGCCGATGCACAAGGCAAGAAGGTGTGTGCTAAGTGCAGCGATACTGCCAATGGTGGCATAGAGGATTGTGCAAAATGCTCTCTCAAGGCAACGTCTGCAAGAGCAGGTCCAATGGTTACGTGCTCTGGGTGTGAGACCAAAAGACTGAGCCCCCTTAATGATGCATGTCTGGAGGAGTGCCCTGCCGGCACATATCCCGATAATCGTGACAGTACCGGCATTTGCGCTTCCTGTCACAATACATGCGCAAGCTGTAGTACTAACGCAGAAACGTCGTGCACGGCCTGCTATCCGGGGTATGTGCTGAGTCGGTCGTCTGGTGACGCAGGAACGTGCATAAAAGAGTGCACGGGAGACTTTATGGCCCACTGCAAGGCCGACGGCTGCTCACTGAACGTCGGAGGCTCGAAGTACTGCGATCAGTGCGAGGATGGGTACGCCCCAGTCGACGGCGTTTGCACTAAGGTGGCCAGCACAGCGAGGGATGCCTCCGGATGTAAGGCAAGTGGCGGGAAATGCACTGAGTGTGGGGCAAACTACGCTCTGTTATCGGGCGGATGCTATAATACAAATAAGGTCCCCGGCAACTCTGTATGCACGTTATCCGTAGGCGGAAAGTGTACTATGTGCGTAGCAAGTGGAGCAGATCCCAAAGGACAAGCCTGTCCTACATGCCCTGATGGTTGTTTGAAGTGTACTGGTAACGTCGGTTCTCAGACCTGTTCTTCCTGCCTTTCTGGATATTATCTTTCTACTAATAAGTGCTTTAGGTGCACAGCAGGCGACGGAGCTAGTGCCAACGCAATCACTGGTGTAGAGAACTGCATAAGCTGTGCCCCTCCAACTGGTGGCAATGGCGGCTCTGTTACTTGCTATGTCAAGAACGATGACAGCAGTGGCAGTGGCACTGGTGGAAGCACGAACAAGAGCGGGCTCTCCACTGGCGCCATTGCAGGCATCTCCGTTGCTGTGATTGTTGTTGTAGGGGGCCTCGTCGGCTTCCTCTGCTGGTGGTTTATTTGTAGAGGAAAGGCGTAGGTACTTAGATAGTAAACGCGTCACTAGTGGTGCAGCTGCCTGACAAGCGGGTGCGCCTCGTATACTTCGCCAGCCAGCCTGCAACCGGGAGCAGGGGTGGCCGCTCCCCTGCCCCCGAGCGTGCTCTGCACAGTGCCGTTGACACCGTCATGGCCGGGGACGGCGCACCCGATATTCCGTGTTCGCTCTTGACGAGCTGCATCGATGCGAGGAGGGGTGCTTGATGTGGGCAGCTTTGGTACTGTCCATGTGATAGGTGGCTATCCAAGACTCAGAGTGGGAAGCTCACGGAGGCCACTGGGTCGCGCTGGCCACCATTTCCAGACGCTCACACCTAGATGTCATTAGGCACTACCGGGTGCTCAGAGACGCTCACTCCATCTTCATCATCATGGACCGCTGAGATCGGTGCCTCAAGATGTGATTGCCGATTGAGCAAGAACCGGTAACCCTACCGATACAGTGCTCTCCATCATGGAGCAGTGAGTGTCTACAATTATATATTGACCACTACTGTGATAGCGCGGAGCTTCCGGGGTCAACCACAAGTAAAGGGTAAGCTTTCTTAATGGAATTGCCACTCACAAGACAGAGATCATTTTCCGCGCCCCTGCTTTTTACAAATCTGCAAGAACTCCAACGTAACAATTGTTACAGTCACAATTACACTAATCAACGCCAAAACCAAAGAAGTTATGAGAAGGCCCCTGTTATCAAGAAAATAGACATTGTCGGGGACCTCTACAATATCGCCTATCTCGACGGTGATGTAGGAGTGCAGCTTCTTATATTGTGACTTGATAAAGGAGAGCTGCGAGCTGCAGTACTTGCCATTGAAATACTTGTCGTTTGGAACCCAATTGTTGGAGCATGTAAAGCATAGTAAGTTTGCGAAGACACCGGTATATTTGAATTCACCGGCTAAACTGACACTAGCAGACTCTATTCCGGAGCCGGCAGTGTACCAGAGCTTGACTTTAAACGTTGTGGTGGATGGGAGCTCCAGGATATTGCAATGGTCTTCGTTCGGCGGCAAGGTAGCATGTATGCAGAGGGTGTCATCCATCACCTCGGCATACATGTCGGCAAAGCAAGTAACATTGGGGGGATGAGCGGTGAAGAGCAAGCGCTTCACTTCCTGACCAGCCAAGTTTGTCATGTAGACGCCGTACTTGGCGACAGAGGTGTTGCGGTGGTCGATTATGGACGCGAACGTATCCTTGCACGTCTTATCTTTACAAGTATACCAGTACCGGCTCCTAACGGATGTGTCAAACGTGAAATCAGGATCCAGTCGTGTATAGTAGCACTTCACGCTAGCGTAGAACGGATCGACATTGTCTGATAAGCTAAAGTAAAAGTAGGTGCTTTTTACGTCTCCAGCCAACGTGCACGCTGAGGACTCCGCGGTGGGCGCTCCAAGTTCCATGCAGATCTTGTCTCTGTAGAGCCGCACAGATGCGGTGCTGAAACAAAGAGCTGTTGAGTTGTCGCGCAGATTTGTGGAGGGTTGCATCACCACAACACCGCCCGTGGAGCTTGAATTGGTGAAGCTGAAGGAGGCGCCCAGGCGTGCCAGGTGATAGGGATAGCTAATAAAGGTGCGGAAGATCCGAGTGCATTCAGCAGTTGTCATTTTCTGCTTAGACGCAGGGGACGAAGAGATGGTGCTGCAATTTATCTTAAAAGTTTGTGCCTTGGTGTGTATGTATTCTGAGGCTAGAGGAGCATATCCACCTGCCCTCGTGCTCTGAGGCTCCAATGGAAATGTGGCTGTTTCGACTTCGGAGATACGGAAAATGGCATAGAGCTTGGCTTCTGCTGGAATATCACAATACAGCGGCTTGACATTAATGTCCATGGCGCCATCATCTTCATAAACGCTTTGCAGGATGTCTATTTCGGCCCAGCAGTTATTGTAATCGAATCTAGAGACAATAATGGTAGGGACGACTGCCGAGTACTGAAAGGCGCTGCCTGAAGTGGTACTCGTGACACTAAACTCTGCACTGGACATAGATGAAATGGCAGGGATGCAATCTGTAATTGCATTATTCATGTCCGGGCACGGAAGGACAATTGATTTGGGTCCATTGACATTAAAGTTCCATCCTGGCTTCGTCGTAAACGTTAACGTTCCAGTTTTAAGCTGTATCTGTGGCGTGTTTGGAAGGGCACTACAAGCAATATCAAGTGTTTTATTGACCGTAAATGTCAGCTGAATCTGTGCCTTAGCCGGATTAGAAGTGATGACGAGGTCTGTAAAACAGGCGAAAATCTCCTGTGTGAGAAGACAGAGAGGAACCCACATAGAAAGATGAGTTTCTTTATAAAATTCTATCGAGTTGTCGTGAGTCAGATCTCATGGCCAGCGACTCTCTGATTGCCTCTTATGAACTTATGGACCACCTGGGCGCAGGGCCCCATGGATCTGTTTTTATAGCTCATAGCAAAGTATCGGATAAGCTTCGAGCAGTGAAAGTTTTCTCTCTTGCCAAGCTGGATGAGGACCAGAGAGAACGGCTCAAAGACGAGCTTTCTTGTGCTCACAGGATTGAGAATGAGCGTCTTGTCCGTTATTATAATGTCTATGAAGACCAAGATTGTCAGACGTTGTCTGTGGTTATGGATTATCTTCCCCTCGGAAGCCTCGCTGCAGAGATGGATAGGCGCACTATTCACCACAGTCCGTACACAGAGCAACAGATTTGGGCAATTATCGGCCAACTTTGCCTTGCGTTGAAGGCCGTCTACACTGCTCTGGGGAGCCTTCAGACAAGCGCTAATAAGCTTACGGAGATATCCCATGGCAACCTTAAACCTACAAATATTCTTCTAGCAGATTCTGGGTTACTCTCACTGACTGACTATGGGCTCACACACCAGGCCATAACAGAAGAGACTATCATGGACACCATAGACGCTGTGCCGGAGGCTGTCTTAACAAACGATATTTCAAACACTCAACGAGGGGATGTTTGGTGCTTAGGTCGGATTGCCTTTGAGTTGTGCTGTGTGGGGTTTCCTGGATTTGTTGGTTCTGGGTGCCCTACACCAGGACTGCTTACCGCAGCAGGTGTATCTGTGCCTTCCCCACTAAGGCCCCCGTCATCGTCGAATGTTCTAGTCTCTTCTTCCCCTTCATTACCTCCTACACCCTCTGAGCGCCCACAAACAAGTAAGCTGCGCATCAAGGAGGTGAATAAGCGAAATTCACGGACACCCATATCACAGAGAGGTCGAGATCAAGAGCAGAAAGAACGCGAGGAGCGTGAAAGGGAAGAACGAGAGCGGGAAGAGCGCGAACGCCTAGAGACGGAAGAAAGTGCTGCACCTGCATCGCAATCGGCTAAGACAAAGGCCAAGACGGTACTTAATCCCAAGCTTCTTAATCATGTTGCAGGCCATCTCTCACCAACTCTTCGTCAGCTAATAATGTCGTGTCTTTCTGTTGGCAAGACCGATAGCGAGAACGGTAATTTACCTATCACTCTGGATACAATTCTTTCTTATTCGGAAGTTATATGTGCTCTTGCCAAACTAAAGGCAGGAGATCTCGAGACGCCGGTCTCTCGAAGTGTCTCTCGAAGTGATGATAGGCGCCCACAAGCAAAGGATAAACAGGGCAATACTCCACTGCATCGTGCAGTTCTAGAACGTAACGTTCAAGAGCTGTCAAAGCATCTTGGGTATGCAGGTGAATATAACGCCAATGGGGTTACTGCACTCATACTCTGTGCTCAGACCAACTTTATCGAGGGAGCTAAGATTCTGGCACCTAAGGAGTCTCGGAAGCTGTGTAGTGCAAACAAGCTAGCATTATACTATGCTCTTGTGGAAGGAAATCTAGAAATAGCTGAAATACTTACCCAGTGGGAATCTTTTACCGATCAAGAGCCGTACATTGATAACCATAGGACAAACCTCATGCGGTCCGTTATGGAGCGGAATATTCTAGCCGTTTGGTATTGGAAGATGCACCAAGCTGGGATGCAGGATACAGAGGGTCGGACTGCCTTGATAATCGCAGCCGAAGTTGACTTCTTCAATGCTGTGCGCATACTTGCTCCACACGAGGCTGGAGTGAGAATGACAAATGGTAAAGCAGCTATAGACATAGCACTGGATCACAACCATTTAAAAATCGCAACTTTTCTTATTCCATATGAGGGCTTCAAAGAGCAAGAAGCAGATTTCAATGGGCACACAAATCTTATGCGGGCTGCCATCAAGAACAATCGTCTGGGGGTGTTTTGTTTTCTGAAGGAGGCGGGCTCCACTGAAAATGAAGAGGGGATGACCGCGCTAATGCTAGCGGCAAGGCATGGCTCTTGTGACGTCCTTAAATACCTTATACCTCTCGAGAAGCATATGCGATCTTCTACAAATAAAACGGCCCTAATGTATGCTGCAGAGGCCAATATGCTTAACGTTATTGTTGAGCTCGTCGCTCACGAATACTGCCCTGATCCCAAAGAATATTCTGCACTCAACATTGCTATCGAGAAAGATTTTGCAGAGGCAGCGGATCTTCTGTCAGCCTATGAAGGAGTGGAATGTGAGTGGCGTTACACATTTAAAAACGCTAAGCAGCACATAGTCACCCAACAGACCGCCCTCATGGCTGCAGCAGAGAAGGCGAGTGCCAAGTTCGCCTATTGCAACCTTCATCAGCTGTCAATGCAGACCCCAGACGGGATGACTGCACTGATGTACGCTTGCCAAGCAAAAAGCAAGGATTGTGTTGATCTTCTAGTTTCTGAAAAGGATCTCCAAGCATCAGATGGAAAGACTGCTTGGTTAATTGCATTTGATGGGGGATTTAAAGAGGTTCTTGACCAGATCCAACCCACGTCCAAGTGTGATGAGAATGGCAATACGGATTTACACAAGGCAGCTTTGATTGGAGAGGTCAGTAATATTCGAACACTTATGAGGCTTGTAAAGAGAATTAACAATAACGATATGTCAGCATTGATGATTGCATCCACTATTTGTTCAAATGATGATACTGTTGATTCAGTTTTAATAGAAGTAGAATCAACCATAACTAACAGCAAAGGCCAGTTCGCTGCCAAATTCGCAATGTTGGCAGGGAACTATAAGCTTGCAAAAATACTTATAGGATACGAAAAGGACCTCTTGAAGGCAGACGGATTCACAGATCTTATGATTGCAGCGGTACTAAATAGGGTGGAAGATGTATTTAGATACTCTGGACGGACATTCGGTCAGAAAAAGCCCTATGCCTCCCAATTACGGATGCAGACAGTAGATGGATACACCGCATTGATGCTCGCAGCGCGTGCAGGACATGACTCCATTGTTAGCCTGCTGCTGGCGGAGGTCGGTCTACAAGACAAGGAAGGTCTATATGCAGCAGACTATGCCATCCGAGGAGATAACTATGCAATTATACGGTCTCTAGCCAGCCAGGAACTTGTCATTTTTGAAAAGAACTATGCCTTGGCCTCTTTCTTGAATATAATCAAAGACTTTGATACCAAAACAGCCCTGAAGTACATTAAATCCTTCTACTACAATGATTTTCGGTCTCTTCAGTCTGAAGAAGATCAGGGAGTAGCACATCTTTATTACGAGACGGCCCATTTGGCTACAGCTAGCCCTTTGGAAGAGAGGGTCATCATTCAAGATCTATTGCGTAACGAACTTGGGGAGACGCCTCTGCATACCGCTGTTCGCAACGATGACCTACTCTCTATACGGAAGTATCTTTATCGTAGCGGAGAGGTTAACACTGAGGGAGTGTCTGCTGCAGAGCTTGCATTAGACTTGGGACGAATTCAGATTGCTAAGATCCTCCTAAAGGTTGAACTCCCTTTACTAAGAGAAGCTGGTTTCACCGACCTTATGTTAGCATCCTTTTTTGGAAATAAGGATGAGTTTGAGAGACACATTGAGGAGAAAAATGCAATCACAAGCCGAGGGCACACCGCCTTCATGCTTGCGGCAAACCAAGGACATTACGATCTAGCAGATCGTCTTGCCGAGGAAAAGGATATGGTGGACAATGATGGTCGTCCTGTACATCTAATTTGTCCGAAGGAAGATGGCTCTTACAGAGTTCTTAGTACACGTTATCCAAACACTATTGAAGGGTTGCACCTGGCTGTAAAAGACCGGAGCATAGATGGAGTTCGCGCGCTACTCGTTCATGCGGGCGCTCGCTATGCCGGCTGGACGGCGTTAGCGCGGGCGGCAGAAAATGGGTTTGCAGAGGCCGTTCCATTGCTGATTGAAAAGGAGGCAAAAATGACTATTGACGTTACGTTTAAATGCATGTCTGCAAACCTCAGAGGTCTCTTGGCAATTCACATCGCTGCGCTCAAGGGTCATGCAACCGTAGTGCGACTTCTACTCGACACTGAGGGGGGCTCTGTGGAGCGTGCAATTGGATTCACTTCTCTTATGATATCTGCTTATATGGGACACGCACTTTGCGTTAAGGAGCTCATTGCTCGAGAGGCAAAGATGTTTGAACGAACAGGAAGTGCTACTGCTTTGTGGTATGCTGCATACTGTGGTCATCTGGATTGCGTAGAGCTTTTAGCACCTTTGGAGGCAAATCTTAAACGTCGAGAAGGTAATACAATTGGGATGTATGCTTGTTCATACGCATGTAGTGTTAGCAATGGTGAGGCTAAACAGGAAGTCCTTGCAGAGCTGCGAAAGCATATGATCACTAATAATATAGAAACAATAATGTCTCCAGGTCCATACCATCATAATTAAAAAGGTATGTAGACCTGAGGATTTTTTAGCTCGCTGACGCACTTGTCAACATAAGCTTTGATGATTTCGTCTCCGGGATAAGTATCCAGAGTTTCGTAGCAGAGCTGGAGACAATCGAAGACCTTCCCTGCTTCATACAGAAGCTGTACTTGCATCGTTATATCCACAAGTGCCTGATATTCTGGGGACGCTTCGACTATTTCATAAAGGTTTAGGGGCTCTGCTTTTCCCTTCGCCTCGATTTGCCCCATGAACCTCGCCTTTATCTTTGGACCAAGATACTGAACACAGTGACTATGAATGAGCACCTTGCTGTTGAAGATTCGTGTAGCAGTTTCTATGCGACTAGCCACATTGACTGTGTCGGAGATTGCAGTGTAATTAAGCTTCTTTGAACACCCGAAGACACCAACCATGCAGTCACCGGCATTGATGCCAAATCGGCAGTCTAGTTTTCTCAAGTCTGCTGAGCCTGATTGTTGGATTCGTCGTAATATGGCAAAAGCTGCCAAGCACGCGCTATTGATAGAGTTTCGAACGTGCTCTACTCTGACAAGAGACGAGTCAAAGAACTGGCCGCTAGGCGTTGATGAGAATGCAAGCGATCTGTGAGCTGACGAGCCAATGGCACTATTGATGTCGGAAATCCCTGAGGAATGATCCAGCGTGCTTATGCACCTGGCTTGATTGACACTTCTTGATGAGCTGATGTATGGTCCTTTTAAGCCTGTCTCTTTGAGGCCAGAGTGCGTGCTGGCTTCCCATATACACATCGCTCCGTCTCCCAGGTATGTGCCGAGCTTACCGCTGTGCTTCTCCGTCTCATCGCAGACGATTTCAAAGAACTGCTCAAGTAGCTTGAGTAGGTGCGTGAGTGGCATCTTATCACTGAGAGACGTGAACCCTTTGATATCGCAAAACATGATAGTTGCAAACCGTACAGTCGCATGGGATTTCAGGGCTTCATTACTAGATAGAAGGGAATTTGTCCGATGTATCTTGAGCTGCTCTAGTGCATTGAAATCGTAGGATTGCAGTCTTCGTCCAGGGCGCACATCTTCTCTCTGACGTAAGTCCCTGATGATGCTCTTTAATGAATTATCCAGAGAACGGTCGATCTCTTGAATTACCTCAGGAACGGTGTAACAAAACAGGGCTTCTTTGTAAAGCATAGTCTTCTCTGTTAGCATCTGTATTGCTATTTCCTCGAGTGTTGGGGCCGCAGACTTAACGCTAAAAGAAGTTGCCTTTTCTATCATCTGAGCTATGTTGAAGAGGGCATTGTCAAACATGCTTTCCGTGAACGTAGCTCTATTTGCTTCTGAGTCATTGATCAGAAGCGGATGACCTTGTGTTCTATGTTCATCAGAGTTATCCATTACTGTCTCGGAAAGAGCCGGATATCTATAGGATGCTAACTCGCTTTCTTTGGCTTCAGTAGAGATCGGGTGACTATTGCATATGTTCTGATCGCTAGATGTCTTGCCCGCGTTCCATCGTGTACTCTGAGCAAGCATAATTCGAATGGCTGCGGCAACCCCTCGGACAATGGGCACGCTAGATTTTATTGTAGCATAGCGTAATGTCAGATACACAGCCACAAAGGCCCCGATTAAGAATAGGTCAACCAGGTTCAAGATGTGGTAGGCTTTTGGAGAGGGCTGAACATGGAGTTCAGGCTCATGACCGTGGCCGAAGCACTGAACAGTGAACATGCCCACATTTGCATGGGTAGTCATGCATGATGTCGTTCTATTGCAGAATGACCATATCTCCTCTACATTTTGGGAAAATATGAGTATCAATCGGCGGTACATGCTCCGCAAAATCATTATGACCACCGCCACAGGAGGGATCGTGTAGAAATATGCTGATTGTGTTATGAATTCAGTGAACTGTGTTAGCTGCAGAATCCGAAGAAGCATGCCCACAATTGAAACTTTTCAAAGCACCCAACAATGAGCGCTACAGTGTCTACGGCACAGCTACAGCAAACCGTTTACATTACACCACGCAGATACCTCTTTATATGCTCTGCTTTTGCTTGACTACGTCTGCTGAGCCCTTCAGAAGAGTGTCCCTACTAATGATAGAAAGACAATGAGTCTTGTCACTCCCAACAAACACATTTGAAAGGGATCCTTGTCTGTAGCCAGGGTCAGCTAACACATTCATTCTCGAATAAGACCCGATCCATGAATAATCTCTAAGATACTCCTTACTACACAGTGATTGATCTTTCTTCTTTTGCCTGAAATAGAAAGCATCCTCATTTGTATAGGGCAGATACTCAGACCCCATATACCTTGCCATAGCAAGACCTACCTCATCTGCAAAAGCTCGGGGGTCTTTTCGCTCTCCCGTAGGAGTTCTGCTGCTAATTGGATCCAAGTAGACAACCTTCACAAAGCAGAATGGATTAGTAAGGTAGGAGTATAAGGTATACAGGGCACTTTGGCTGACATATGCAGGGTTGTTGTAGGACCGGTAGATGAGGCAGATAGGCTGAATATCTGTGTCCAAGCGGAAAACAGACGTTCTAAAACGCAGAAGACCCCGTTCAGTAGTCGTGGTCCCCTCAGGGAATATGTGTATGGGCCTCCAATCGGCGTCCTCCTTCATCAGCAAGACGCGCTCTCTGAGTAGATCGGTCGATGAGCGAATACTGTCCGTGCTAGAGGAGCCGTGGAGATTAGTGTCTTCAGTTGTGCATGTGGAGCTGCTAAGATCCCTTGAGTCTACCTTTGAGTCTTGTGTCGTCTTCTTCGTTCGTACATAGATAACACGAAGTGCCTCCATCGGTTTCCGAAGCAAATAGATGCTTGACACGCCAATCTTCGAGACAAACGCCGGCCCCTCGGCCATAATTAGGATGAAGATGTCCAGAAGACCAACGTGGTTGCTAACGCAGATGATTGGGCGTGGGCTCCTTCTGCGAGCATCAATACGATAGAAGGTAAACCACGAGCATTGCATAAGAAAGTATACAGGGTATGCAACGCACTTGTAGAGATTAATCCGCCAACCACGAAGAGGTTGGTCTCGTGGATATCCGGCAAGAATGACGATAGAACATATCCAAACGATTGTTTGAAGTACGAGAAAGGAGAGGAGCCGGAAGATTGCGACAAAAGGACCGATGATCACAAAGAGGGGTGTGATGAAGTACCTGCCAAAAGGCCTGCTATTAAAGGGAGTCGCGCTCGTTGTATACACAAAGGGAAAGCAAGGTTTGTATGAAAATGTGCCATCGACCGTGTTGACCCGCTCGTTGGAATCTTGATCAAGATAGGAGGCCATTTACAACCAAATTTTGAGAGTTAGTGTTATTGACATACACTTTCTGCTACACTAAAGTGCTTCTAAGTACAGGAAAAGGCAGATGGATAAAGGTGGGCTCAAGCCTCCCTCAGATTGCCATGCAGATGTAGTAGAGTGCAGGGACAGCTAAGAACATAGTTAAGCACTGGATGATTGCAGCAGCACCGGTGCTTAAACCATTGTAACGGTAGGTGTCGCACATAACGAAGCAGAAAACTCCAGTGGGGGTAGCCGCAAGGATAGTGTTGATGGCGATGAGCTCCTTATCCAACTTCATGCCAAACATTATCCCCATCATGATGAGAGGGAAAATGAACTGCCGCAAGAGGGTCATAATGCAAAACCGCAACGTCTCTATCCACATGTATCTATTATATTCTTTGAGGCAACCTTGTGCCTTGCTCATCCGATACTTCTCTATGCACTCCTCAACCTTGTGGTATCCGTACATACCCATCATGATATTAGCAACGGGAGTGGTTGTGTTACTAAGATTGACAAAGAATAAACGGATTGGCGTCGGGAGGGTCTTAATCTGTGGGGCATAGCTTCCAGCGATGAGATAGACGAGCGTAATAAGTAGGCAGAGGATGATTGGAACCTTGAAAGTGTTACGCATTGAGATGCAGATTACCTTTCGGTAGTTAATGTTTAGTTTAGGTGCTTTAACCTTGGCTTTGGTTCTGGACGCCTCGTGGTTCGCTGATAGAGGAAATTCTCCTGAGGTAGGTGGGATGGTTGTGTCTATTTGCACATTATCCAGACACATATCACTTTGACATTGCATGGAAGACCGTGCCTGGGGAATATATGATCCATCGGAATCATCAGACCCCCTGCCTCTACTACAGCCTTGACCACGACCGTGTGGTGAAGCGTCCTGCGTTGGTTGGCGCAGCTTTTTCTGTTGCTGGATGGTTGTCCAAAGCTCGTACATGAAATAATAAAAGACGAGACAGCCGCCCCATGGATACATGTGAATGAAGCAGTAACGCTCATACTTGGATCCAAAGAGGCCGGCAATGATGGGGACGCCCATGGCAACGCAATTACTTAAGGTTGATCCGCACCACATATGAACTGTTGATGCAATAAAGTTTTCATGCTTGTCCAAAAACAGGGCCAGAAACATACACAGGAAGAACATGATCAAGATTGTTGCAAAATAAGCTGCGATTATCAAAAGATCTTCATATACAATTGTGACTCTGGCTCCGAGAGTATAGATTAACGAAATAGGAAATGTAAACTTGAACACAAGAGCTGAAAAGTAGCGGAACTCCGATGCTTTGAAAAGTTTTGTGGGAGGTATGAGGGCTCCAGCGGCAACAAGCAGGACAACGGGGAGGATTCCCGATAATGCTCCGCTCATTAGTTCTCCAAACGATAGCATGATAGACAGCACTGGGCTGAAATTATATTTTTGATCTGGAGGTAAGCATAGACAGGACTTGATTTTTTATTAAACAATTTTATTACAAATCTATAGGCGAGACCCCACTTGTAGGTCGTCTAGGAAGATTGTGGACAGCACAACAATGCAAAGGGAAAGAAAAGCGTTGATAGGTGTTCACATACACTTACGGTTTGCAATGGAAGCGCCATTCTCTTGATATTCTTGAGAGCTTACCCACATAGACTCGAAGGTTGCCAGGCTCCCCAATACGCTTCCACCAACCCAGGCAGAGTACTTTCTGTCCTCGGGACTACTTATGCGCACACGCTTCCCGGCTGGAATGAGGTCAAGAAGCTCCTTCTCCAGTCTCTCGGGGAGGCCTGCAAACATGCTGCTCCCGCCGCTCAGGACCACGTTACTATAAAGCTCTGACCTAATATCAATGTCACACTTCTGAATGGTCTTGTAACATAGCTGGTGAATGCCGTCCATGTCGCTATTGTTGAGCTCCGGCCTGAAGAGGAGCTCAGGGGTCTTGAAGCGGGCCTGGTTCACGGTAATGACGACCCCATCTGGCAGCTCATATGTTTTTGTGTAGTTGGCACTCTCCATGGAGGCAGCCAAAACGGACTCATAATCAAGGGCAACGAAGCAGAGCTTCTCTTTTATATCACGCACTATCTCAAACTCTGCGCTCGTGGTAAACGATGCGCCGTTCTCCTGTAGGTTGATTTGGCAGAAGTCTGTAAGCTCCTTGCCCGCAATCTCAGAACGGAGAACTGCATGTGGTAGAGAATATCCTTCGTACACAGGAACAGTATGCGTCACCCCGTCGCCTGTATCGATAACAATCCCGGTGGTGCGCCCGGAACTGTAGAGAGCCAGGACTGCCTGTACCTGGACATAGAAGGCAGGTACGGCAAATGTCTCGAACATGATCTGGCAAATCTTTTCTCGGTTAGCCTTTGGGTTCTTTGGAGCCTCGGTAAGGAGTACGGCATGGTCCGAAGGCTGTGCTCGCAGCTCATTGAAGTAGCAATGGTGCCACACCTTCTCCATCATGTCCCAGTCCTTTATCTGTCCATGCTCTATCGGGTAGGAGAGCTTCAGCACCCCACGCTTTGCTAGGGCCTCGTCTCCTATGTACTCCTCCTTGTGGGTGGAGCCCACAAGCACAGTCTCACGTTTCGGGCGACCGACTACTGTGGGGAACACAGCACGTGGCGCATCGTCCCCAGCAAAGCCTGCCTTGCACATTCCGGAGCCGTTATCAATGACTATGGCAGGGTTGTCGTCTGTCATTTTACTTTGCAAATAAATTTAAAAAGATTGAGAAAATCAAATTCCAGAAACCATGCCTAAGAGCCATAAACTTATAGGATACTAACGGGTACTTCAAGATGCACGCTTCTACACAGGCTCATCGGCAAGGAGTTCTCAGTGCACATTTCTGCGATCTTTAAATATAGCACATGTACTATCGTACAGAATTAGATAATATAAAGCACACATTGCTGCAGAAAAAGCACGAATGTGTTCTTTTAGCTTGACAACAACAATAATTAACGTTTGGGCCGTGAAAAGAGGGGTGTAGCGTATCCCATTGAGGAGTTGCCAATCAAAGTCTAGACCATAGTCCCACACGACTTGTGGATAAGCATCGACAGTCAGTTGGGTCTCTTTTATACCGGCTGAGATCATGCTCGCAAGCCTATTTATAGAGGCCTGAGTAAGGACTCTGAACTCTGGGAGGGACGTAGCTCCTGTTAAAACAGAAGAATTTGCAAACAGAGACAAGAATTCGTCTGTCTGATATGCTAGCATGTTTCTGAAGTCCTTGTTGCGTCGTGTTTCATACCCTAACTCTGGCCGTTGATACAAAAGGTGCCCCTTTACGTAGTTGAAAAGATAGTTCATTGCAGGTAGTCTATAGTGGAGCTGAACGTTAAGGAATGCGTTATCTAACTCTAGTAAGTATTGGTGTATGTCTTGCTCCGTGAATTCAGTCAGCTGCCTTTTGCTAGGACTCTTATCATAAATATCCATTAATGCAGACGCAGACTCCGATGATATTATTGATGTGAGCTGGAGGCAATAGGGGAGGTCCTTTAAGTGCTCGTCTAGAAGCTCTTGGACCCCAGTGAATGCCCCGTGGTGTGCTAACAAGTAGGGAATCATGTAGCAGCTGTCAAGGAGGCGAGCAAAGTCACTAGAGCTCTGAGGAACCGTTGCCATTCCCCTATGGGTGCTGCCATAGTTTCCTCCCAGTATGTGCCCTTGAACAGTGAGCGGCTCGTCATCTGCATCCAGGATCCGTGCTCTTAGGTCTAAATCGAGTGAAGAATCCCCGTTCTTCGTACTACCTATTAACATATACACTGCAACAGCAATTCTGCGTACAGCAGTAATACTGGAAGATAAACTTTTTCGCATAGAGTTGACAACGGTGCCTATTGGTTCGAGAGCTTTCATGTACAAAAGAGATGCAGTCATATCCAATATTCGAAGCGATCGCTTGATCAGATTGTTCTCTATTAACCTTAAAAGTATGTCTAGATACGCGCAGATAAATCCTATCGTATTATAGATGTAAGAGACAACCAGAGTGATAATGTTCGTTGTGTTAACACCCATCATATGCTTGTATGGTTCTTTTGGGGTAGAATAATACTTTATCAATCTGTTGTGGATCTCCTTGGCCTTACAGAGAAGGCACCGGGAGTGTGCATTAGCAAGTTCCTGCGTGTACCTCACAAGCCCAATATCTCTGAGCAATGTAGTGTTGCGATATTTGGGGCTCGCTGCTCCAAGTCTGTGTTTCAAATAGTACTGCATGAAAGTTCCATTCGCGGAGATTAGACTGTAAAGTGCATTGCCGATTGTTTTAACGTCGTTAACCTGTAGGTCTATCTTGAATAATGCATCCATTGCAGCGGCTGCATCCAGTTTAATGGCCTTTGCCATTAAGATGGCACACCCAGGATCCTCAACCCTACAGAAATTAGCCAGCAGGGTAGCTGCAAGGTAAATGTGAGCTTGCTTCTTCACATATTTAGTATCTGTATTTCCATACATGGTGAGATTTGGGAGGAGGCACTTGTCTCTTCGTACGCTCCAAGCTCTAAGGCTAGATTCATTATGAACTGCATTGTGAGTACAGCTATGCTTTGCTGCTTCCAGTATCATCTTCACCGCGTTCTTCAGGCTTGTGTGGCAGCCGAGCATTCCGTTGGCCAAGTAGGCACTTAAAAGTTGCCTCTTCTTTGAAGCCTTGCCAGTGGTCAAACACTTAACATATTGTGAGATGTAATCTCTTGCTACAATTCTGCGAGCAGCAACGTTCCAGACGTTGTTTCCATGGGTAGAGTTGGCGAAGTGACTGCCCTGACCGGTGTATAAGTAGTAGCCTGATGCAATCTGTCCTCCCAGGTGGCCCACATTAGCAGAGTGGTTTGCTAAGTAATTGGCAAATTGTGTGTTAATGGGTGCACCACCATACAAATCTAAGCTGTTAGTAGAGCAGTTCCGATAGATTGATGCATTCAATTGCTTGAAGCGGTGCTCAATCAATGCAGCCATTGACGGGCTCCAGAGATAATTAAGCCCAAATGAGCGAACGCTAAACTCAGTGACCTTTCTGGAGAGAATAAGACTCAGATAGAAGGATGACTCGAAGCTGCCAGAGATTGACGCTATGTCTAATGCCATGATTGCTTCGAGGGTCCTCGGAAGAGCTGCGTCGAGAGTGCTGATTCTTTTTATGGTCGTAAACCCAATGAGCCTTGCAGGTATAAAGGAACGTGTGCCAATGCTGTGCAAAGTCGATGAACTAAGATTCAAATAATGTGTAACAGGGTAGATGTGTGCCTCAGGGTTGCCATAGTGTATGTAATCCTCAGTAGGCATGCGGAAGCCCATTAGTGTCTGGTAGGCCAGGCCGGCCAAGCCCATATGGCAGCCCTCGTGCACTGCCATAAGGTAAAGAATGCGGGTTGCTTGCAATATGAAGGTGCTTGACATATATTCGTCGGGAACGGAGTGTCCACTAAAGAGAGAGGATGCAATTATTCCGAACGCTTGGCCACGTCGTGTGCATGTTTCCTGGGGAGATCGCATAAACCACGGGCTATGCATAAGTGTCTCTGCATACTCTTCATATGAGACGTTGACACGTTTCTCCAGTTCCTGGTGGATGGTGTGCACAAACGGGACAAAGTGTCTGCTTTGGCGCAAGTAGATTGTGATTGCTTCTCGTATGAGCGTGCTATTAGATGTTTTAAGATTGTATTCTGGGTGAGATAAGTATTCAGAATATGTAATATTTGCGGGAAACCCAAAGACTTCTGGATATTCTGCAATAAGAAGGGCCTCTGATGCGCGGACAATCTGAACTATCGCCTCTATATATGCATGGTTACTGAGAGCAAGATTTGCCTTGTATTTGTAGAGGTCTAAGTTAGGGATTGTGTCTATTACTCGATAAAATCCATCCGGATGGCTGTTAGAATTGGAGGGATTGAGATATTTTTGCAACCTTGTATTAACTAGTGTCAGATCAAAAAGATCGGGCTCTTCGTTCTGCCCTGTCCCATCAACAATGGCGGCTATAGCTGCAAAGCGAGCCAAGAACAAACTGCTCTTTGGGAATCCATAGTCACCTGTCAAGAAGCACGAAAGCACTAGTAGCGCTTGTCCAGATTCCGGATTTAAGCCTGCTTCGTCTAACATGAACTCCCTTTCCGCTGAGGACATGGTTTCAGATTCGTGCTTAGAGCCGTACTTAGCTATCTGCAGTGGATCTACATTAGTATATTCATAAGGGTATGCATGCTCGGCCCCAGAGGCCCATGCGTCTATGAGATTATGATAAAGAAAGTGTGCTACCGTATCGGTCTTGGGATATCCAAGAACTCCACGATGATATGCATGTGCAAGCAACCCAGTAGCAAGGTTATTGTTTCCCCTGGATGCAAGCGCAAGGTGTAGTTGACCCAGTGCTGTATCTTGTGGCTCATTGAGGCCTAGTAGCTTGGCGACGGCACTGATGAAATATTGGATAGAGCGGGTCTCTATCAGAGCATTATCCCTCTTATCTACCATATTGAATGCAAGCTCATTCCCAAGAACTGCCGCAAGCGAGTGGAGGGTACGCGTGGTCACGGATGGAGGTGTAGTGTTGTCTCCTGTGAGTTTAGACTCATTTTCGCCACCAGCGATCGCCACAGCAACCAGGACCAAGGGGAGAAGCAGCATGAATGTCCTGTGGCTTCAGAAGGCTTCTCTTTTTTAACTATTTTTAAGAAATTAAGGAGAGAGGGGAGATTGTCAGTTTCAGAGCTAAAGATCGACTCGATGAGTAAGAAATTTCGCATTATGGACCCATCAGAGTCTCGGGAGGTTATTATGACCCAGAGAAAACCAGAGGATGACCCTGGAAGACAAACTTTTCATGTAACGAAAGCATCTTTGAGTACCCCCGCTTCCTTGCCATTGGATGCTGCAGAGGCGGCCAGATCTAAGAGTAATAAGTACATCCTTTCTACGCAGACATTCTCTACCGAAACCCCGTTAATTGCACGCAAAACCGTCATTCAGCAACAGCAAGACACACCCCATGATACAAAGAGCAAGAAATACAGACTCTTGACGACGGAAGAGCGCCAGGTTATTGCAAACACACCAAAACGAGACTCCAGTGTCAAATTTAGGCCGGCATCTGCACGCACACAATCTTTATACAAAACAGCTTATAGCCTGGTTGGAAACATAGAGACCATTGCTACACAGGATCTTCAGAGCCCTAAAGGCAGCAGCAGTGGTGCTACTCGAACTCCACGAACTGCCGGAGTCATTGTTGAACACTCGACACCTCTAAACTACCACGTGGCAGCGGAGCAACAGGAGCCCCAATATTTCCGTGGTCTTTCTATTCCCTACGGCAGTCGGACGACTGCACTGACAGCAGGATGCACCGTCGAGCCAGTAAGTCACATCTGTTCAGTCAGTCCTGCAGTCATTGAGAACAATACACTGCACTTGACATCTCACCTGTATCGACAGAACTCTACTAACAGAGCACTGGGGGATGCTACTGCAACATATGTGGGCAACCTGTCCGGTAGCACTGCTCTAGCCAAGGGTGCTGCACCGGCAGGTGATTACGCACTCTCCTTTCAGCGGTCGAAGCACTCTGTCTCTACGCAGAGATCTACATCTACAAAGAGTCAGCCAGACAAATCTGATGCAGGAGTTCCTGGAGCTGCTTCAAACAACTCTGCTGGCCCCTTTGGCAGCTCGAGCGGCGGGGCTAGTGGACCAGGCTCTGCTGTGGTATCTCTGAAAGCAGCCTCACGGCCTCAGTCAGGTTCTGTAAAGGCAAAACCAGTCGCACCCATGAGCCTGACAACCAGTCTCACCTTGGGAGATGGCGCTATTGCATCTTCTACTTTAGCAGCTTCTCAGCGTGGAGCTATACCTGAATCTGATGACGCACCGATTACTACGATAAGCTACCAGACCAAACTCCAAAATCCGTATGCTCCACAACAGCGTACTGCCGGCCAGACTGGTGAGCTTCTCAACATGGCCAATGGCACCGTGATAGCTACCTATACAGAGACAGGAGACGCCATAGAGAACTTCAGTTCTGACTCACGAAGCCCTGCTTTGGTAAAGAAGCGATGCCTGCCAACATACAACTATGTGGAGCTGCTCAAGAGCCAGCGTACCCTAGAGTTTGTGCCGTCTCCACCAGATTCTCCTAAGCCTGGGGAAGCAAACCCACGAGAAGTTACCGACATTATTTACACAGGCCCCTCTTTATACTCACAGTACTTGGCGTCACAGGTAGGAAGCGGTGGAATAAGGGCGGGCGCCAGGGAAAAGTCTCTTCTGCAGAACCTCAAAGTTCAAGCCGATGTACTTAGACGTCTCAAGAAGAAGAATGCTGACATACGCAAGAATACAAATGACTTGGCCATTAGCCTGAATTTCTTCAATGACTGATCCCAATTCCTAATGTAAATATGTACGTGCATATTGCCTTATTAATATTTGTATAAAAGCATGGTTAGAACGCAGAAATGCATTTGTGCGAGAAGCTATATGACTTCGCTAATTACCAACTCATTATTATCATCCTTCTCGTCACATGTGCCAGTATCTTGAGTGTGTGCACCCTTCTCTACGCTACTCTGACTCTTAGAGTTGAAGAGGGACGACCCGGGTGCATCGCCGTCCAGATTCGGGGCGATATCACTCATATTGCTTGGGCCAGGCTCCTTTACTTCGCTGTCCACGTCGGCCTCGTGATCCACAGCTTCAGTACCCTTGTGAAGCATACCCACAGACGTCTCGTGGAACGTGTCTGCATCGGGTACAACATGCTCCCTTCTGGATGGAGTTTGGACAAGTGTGTGAATGCGTGAGATGTCAAGAGAAGCGTTACTGACTAGTGTGCCAATGTTGAGTCCCCCAGCCGCATTGAATTTCTGACTCACCTTAGAATCTCCATCAGTGCGAACGACGCTCTTCTGGAGCGGAAGTTGCTGGATTTTATCAGGCGTGTCTCCAAGAATTCGTGCAATCATTTGCTGAGTGACGCTGGACAGCACACCCGTAGAGAATGTCCTATGGTGTACATCTTTGGCATGATCTCGAGGGGCTCCCTCTGTCCTTGCCTTGTGGTGCATCCGTGCAGCGAGCATGTCTGATGACACTTGGTTGGCCTGGTATAAGAACGAAGACTGTCGTTGCTTATTGCGCCGAAGACCCGCTCCCATCGGCGGTTCTGTGAAGAGGACGGATGCTGTGGCGTTGGCTCGTAGATTCTGTTTGTGTGACAGCGTATGACCTGTCTCCCTATCTCGAAATGAATCTAGCCCTGAGCGCCCCATTACCCCACTAGGAAGCAAATTCATCAGAATGTCAGATGGAAGATCCTGCTTATTACAAACCTTAAATAAAACACTTGGGTCATTGTGATCTTGGATTGATAAAGAGTCAAAGAAATTCCTTGTCCCGGTCTGGTAGGCGTAGATAGATGGTTGGTGAGAGAGCTCAGTGTCGACAAACGTGTTGATAATTTGAGAGTCGGTAAGGCCAGATTGCTGCTGGTCCCCCGCAAAGGTACTTGTGAACAGCTTCTCAAAGGTATTATTGTCCAGCAAATTCTGACGATTGACAGCCTTTCCTGATTGGATCTCATCCTTTTTTTGAGTTTTGTAAAGAGGACTTGCAAATGTGACCTTATCTTGCCGATCGAGTTTCACAGCGGCACTAGGTGCCTTAACGTTTAAGACAGAGGAGATTCTAGCAAAGCCAAAATCGCTGCTGAAGCCACTTGCAGGACAGGGGAGTCCCTCTATAGCATCCTGAGTGTCAGCTAGACCAGGTGCAGTATCTAACAGGGGATCGAGGGCAGCGGGGTTAAGATCGGTGCAGCCGTCAGTGTCTTCATACACCGACTGCTGGGGCTTCTCTTTAGATGCACTCATCAAAAGGACATTAATGGCCCGAGATTCGCTAGCACTAAGGGCAGGCATGCCCGTCGAAAAGGATCTATCATCTCCTTTGTCGATACGAACCTCTGCATCGTCGCTAAGCTGTGCCTGTCGCTGGGTTAGATAAACCACCTCGGGGCCTTTGTTTATTACTGTAGATAGAAGCATTGCTGAGGGTTGATGCTCTCCGTCTCCGACGGACACATTGAGGGCCGAGCTTCCAGAAAGTAGACTGGGTGGAATTGGGCCGTTACTATTTGTAAGTAAGTACTCATAAATGCCTGCCACAGTTTTACCTTCCATAGCCAACAGAGCTGAGATTTTGCGGAGCTCATATATCTTTGCGTCGAACACAGAGGACCCATGTGCTGTAGGCCCTCGGGCCTCAAAAAGCATGGACGATGCGTCTCTGCGTGCCTGAAGATCTATCGGAGGTAGTTGGTTATTGGGTTGCTGTGTAGAGACGCTCTCTTGGCTGATATTCTCTGAACGATCAATTGGACACACAAGATCATTTGCTGCTTCGCTGATAGGAGGGGCGCACCGGCTCGCCATGAGTTCAGAATCCTCAGCACTCTTTATGAGATTTTTTTTGAGATTTTTGAAATCTCGCGGAGAGTTTTCCTGACTAGAAGAGAGGCGTTCGGGGACATGTTGAAGGCTAGAATGTGTGTAATTAGAAGCTCTGTTTGTAGAAGCGCGAAGAGACAGCGATGTAGTCGCTGTTGAAGGGGCTGGCGTGCATAGTGACCCCTTGATGGATCTTAGATGGGGTGTCACACGGATGCTACTTCCCACAGACGAACTTCGACGAGAATCCATGCTGTACATACGCTCTCCGTCGAAGAGTCGACAGCATATAGAAATGGGAAGAGCAAGGGACGGATGCATGGGACAGAGCTTGCCCAAGCCTGGTAGGGTAACATTAAAGAGGCTCATGGCCGCGAGAGAGAAGAACGTGTGGTACTCATCAGGGTAGTTTTCTGGCCTGTCTGCAACACCGGACACCTTTGGGTTAATACAAACGGTAATGAAGCGTAACAGCGCGTCGATGTTGAAGATCATCTTTGCCTTTATATTATCAACGCACTTCTCATCCCACTCAGCAGCACGACTGTTATTTGCGTTAAGAAGGTAGTCGAGGAGGATGTAAGCAGGAGACCCTATCCACCAAGAATAGCATGTGTCCGGCTCCTTATCAGGTCTACCACAGAGACCCCCGTTAGCACATTGCCTATTAGATAATAGAAAGAGGCTTCTCTGGATATTTGGTATCAAGTGCAGACTGTCCAGCAGGTGCATAGTTGCCACGCAGCAAAATGTTTGTCCACCGTGTGACTCGTCCCCGGGGGTAGTTCCGAAGCCACCATCTGAATTCAAACACCGAAGAAGGTAGGAGCGAAGGGCATCTACATCTATCAAGTTATTCAAATGAAGCCCAATTAGAGAGGGCACCCGTTTGAGTAAGATTGTGAGACTGAGAACTGCACAGTAGCAGAACCGTGTATCTCTCTCCTTAGTGTAATCTCCATAAAAGCCTCCATCTTCTGCCTGTAGATCGATAATGGTGTTGGCCAAGGTAACACCAAGTTCTGGGGAAACGGTTTCTGAAAATTTGTTTAACAGGAGCAGACACTGCAGTCCTGAAGTTGTATGCACCAGGTGCATGTCATGACCCGGGCTGCCGCTGAATCCTGCTATTTCACTCTGATTTCCCTTTGTGGGTTGCACAACCAGACAATCCTTGACAAATTGATGCAGGCGATCAATAGTAATCACTGTGCCAGGAACCAGTTGCTGCAGAAATACGTCCGTAGGCTGTCGTCCATGTAATATAAAGATAGAGCAAAGGACCCAGTAAAGACCGGAAAGCTTGGTGTGAGAAAGACCTACTAACTCCATTAGCGTAGGATTCTGTATCTCCTCCATCTGGCCTATTAGGAAGCGCAGCATGAGGGTCTTCAGACCGTCCTTAGTCATTCCCTCAGTCATTCCAATTGCAAAAAACGGAGTAAATTTTTCATTAGATATGACCAGTGTCTGGTGCTTAGACGGCTTCCTGATATTCGCGGTTCTATTCGTTTGTTGCTGCAGTTACATCGCCAGGATGCCCCGGTTTAAATCGATTGTCTTCCAGGAGAAAACTGGCTTTCGGGGGACCTTGTACAAGAGCGCAGTTATTGGCCTGCGGTTGCATTACGCCATTAGTATCATCTGTCTTCTTCTGGGCCTGTATCGCCTATTCTTTTGAGTCTTTTTAGGTACACATGAGTAAATTGTCTCTATGGCATTTCAAACACTTCATTAGGAATGCACGCTGAGCGCTACCGTTTACTACAAATCTAGACACCTAGCTCGAAGAGCATCACCCTTCCATCGTCCCCGCCCGTTGCGAAGACGCTTCCGTCCGGGCAGAAAGATATACAGTTCACCCCACCTTCGTGTCCACGGACGGTATACAGAGAACGACCCTGCACAAGGTCGAGGATGCGGGCTGTGCCGTCACTGCCAGTAGATATCATGTATTTGCCGTTGGGGTGGAAGTCCAGGCATGTCACTTGATTGGTGTGACAGGAGTAGTGCTGCAAAAGGGTACTAGACCGCACATCCCAAAGCTGTACGTCTTGGGTACAGCCAGTAGCCACTGTTGTGCCATCTGGAGACCACCGTATGACGCGAGGATTCAATGAGAGTCCGTTGTCGTTGGTGATGGCTTGAACGCAGCTCAGAGTACGCGTATCCCAGATGCGCAAAGAAAGGTCGTCAGAAACAGAAGCTATCAGACGGCCATCTGGGCTGAGCCGAGCACTGTAAACCCAGTTTGTATGTCCACTGAGGCAGACTCTAAACTGTACATTAGTTGTATCGAAAAGCTTGATAGATTTATCGTCTGAGCAGGTGACAATAGTTCTCCCATCGATAGAGAAGCTGACATCTCGGATACGTGCTGTATGAACCTTGCGAAAGATGCTATTACCATGTATATTAGGGGTCCATAGTCTAACGGACTTATCAAAGGAAGCAGTGGCCAAAAGACTCTGTGTGGGACAGTATGCGGAGCCCACTACAGTATCGTTGTGCCCTACAAACTTAAAGGCTCTGATTGGTGGAGTGAGATTCCATATCATGATTGTGCGATCATCACCTGCGCTGCTCAGCTGCCGCGACTCTGCCTCAAAAGAGCAGGTACGCACAGGCTTTGACGAGCCCTTGAAGCACTCGATGAGCGTTGGTGGTTCCACAACCATCGTAGAATGGAAGAGCAAAAGATCAATTTTTACTCTTGACTCCTGGCTCTTGACTCTTGACTCTTGAGATCAAACCGGGCCAAGGCCAAGGCCGAGGTCAAGGCCAAGGCCAAGGCCAAAATCTATCCACTCAATCTATGGCTATGTCGTCATTCTTTGGTGGTGGCCGGGGGCAAGTTCTAAACTCCCCGGACATAACTATATTCTTCACACGTCTCTCAAATTCTGAGCTGGGATTTTCTTCAACAATGGCACGGATGCGTTTATTGTATGCCGTGAGGTCTTCCCTGCGAAGTTGGAAGGCCTCGTGTTGAGCTGGAGATTGAAGATTTGGCTCATCAAGGAGCACCTGCAGACCCAAAAGGATCTCCTTGATCGTGATCGAGGGCTTCCACTCATAGGACAGGATGGAAAGACAAACGCTCCCGGAGGGGTAGACATTAGGGTGGAAGAGGGTGGGGTCAAACTGCACCTTAGGCGGTGCAATTGGGTAGTCTTCCGGAAAGAACATATATACACGTAAAGTGCAACCTTCCCATATGGTACCCTTCTTGCCCGGAACCCCACAAATCCATCGGAAAAGGTCCAGCTCGTTGGGTAAAACAGTAGTCCCCGTCTTCTTGGGCAGTGGCTTTGAGAAAAAACCTGGCGGAAGCTCCCTTTTTATGTGTTTTCTTTCTTCGTTTAGACGTTCTATCGCTCTAGACATAAAGGAAAGGGGATAGTAATGTACAGGTGTGCTCTTTTTTAACTAGTACAAGAATCACAAGAATCACAAGAATCCAAACAAAAAGTCAGCTGGGTGCCCCATGAACTACCTTTCTTCTAAGTATCGTGATAAGGCCACCCCCAAAGAGATAGAAGAGCTCCGCTACCGCTTCAGTCTTCTGGACGCAGACAAGTCGGGGAGCATTACATTTGACGAGCTGGTTGCGGCCTTCTCTACGTCTTCGTTCCGCTTCCCAATTGCGGCTGCCAAGTCCCTTATTCGATGTGTTTCTTCCAAGCCAAGCATTACGTTCGAAGGATTCGTCTACGTTGACCGCTTTGTTCTGCACTGCAACCAGGTGTTCCAGCAGTTCGATAGGGATAATAGCGGGGCATTGAGCGCCAGCGAGCTTCCAAACGCACTCAACCAAATTGGATTTAGTGTAACGCCCCAGACAGCAGTGGCTCTCATAGGAGCGTTTGATAGTGGCAATCGCGGGGCGCTAGAATACCCTCAGTTCCTGGCTGCAGCGTCATTGTGTTGCTTAAATTATTCAATCTTGCAGAAATTCGACCCCTCGCAGACAGGCCGCGTTACTCTCGGATACAACGAACTGTGCATTCTTAGCCTGTGGTTTGTATAATTCTTGGTGTCCCCTGAGTCCCTGAGAGATGCGTCGACTTCAGGTTGTCTTTGATAACTATCACATTATAACGAACTTGCGGTCTTCATTGAGCATAAAGCTCTTGTGGGCACTTAGATCACGAAGTATGTCATATGTCCCTGGGCCTGGTGTTTCAGTGGAAGATGTAGCCTTAAACCGCTCCGAGGCACTATGTAATGCAGGTATGCTTTCTGAACGACGCCTAGTAAACGAGTCCTGGACAGTATACTCTCCTGGCCCGTGGAGTGTCTTCTCTTCTCTTTTTATCTTGTCATGGTTGTAAGATATCCTGTGCTCACGTAATATTGTGTCCTGGTTTGCTGTGGCCAATCCGAATGCAGGCCTGTATTGTCCAGGGGGCGGAATACCGACATTCTCCTTCATGCTGCTCGGAGCGTCCTCAATGAGCTTCTCGTATGTCTCTAGCTTCTTTCTTTGTTCCTTACTTATGTTAGCCCCTATCTGGGTCTGCTCGTCAGGCTTGTCTAGTAAGTACGCCAAGCCCATGGACCCCGCGATTGTGACAGGCTTCTTTATGTAAGTTGTAGAAGAGCCGGCAATCCTGCCAGTCAAAGTTTTGCCTTTGAAGCCACGGACTACGCGCGTAGATGATCCCGGGTCTATGGTGCCTTTTGATTTCGAGGTACTGGCCGGCAACGGGGCAGAAGCCGCTGATGTACGCTTGTTCCGGATGTGTGCATAAGTTGGAGACTCAGCAAGGTCAGCGTTGATCTCGTTCTGAATGAACTCACGAGAACTAGGGAGGTCAATGTTAAAGTGCTGGGCTATTTCCTTCAGATATGCTCGATACTGGACGTGTGGGGAAATGAGGTTGGATGCACGCTTCTCAAGCTCCTTGTCTCGGTTCTCTGGATTGAAGCGTTCCTCTGCCGTCAGAGCATTCTCCTGCAGACGCTCTGGAAGAGGGTTATAGAGAGGATCGTTCTCTATAACATACTGTGAAACGGATTTATTCTGCTTACGTGCCGCGTCCTTAAGCCTTTTATATTCGGAAGGAATGGTACCCTCTGGACGACACGTGTTTGTGTAAATAATGTTGTAAGATTGGAGGCCTGTGGTCACAGCCCCATATGCTTGCGTATTATATTGGCCCGGCGCAGGGGTCTCCTCGACAGCTTGATTACCAAAAGGGTGGTCACGCCCAACAGCCAGAAAGCTTGCAGAGGGGTGTCTAGGGTCGGCTTTAATGGACGGGTAGAAGAGGGGCTCCGCATTAGGGTTATAGTGTGAAGGCCCCGGCATGCCCCAGTGAGCATGTCTAAGTGGAAATCGCTTTGTTGTGCTTGCGAAGCTTGCAGAGCCCTTTTTGGAAGTAGATAAAGCCTGCTTGTGGTTTACGGGTGCTGCCGAGCTATAATAGTATCCAGGGCCTGGCGAGGCGGTTCCATCGTTAGTTCGTCCTGCAGCAAACGGATTCTGCGAAACTTTACCCTGCATGGCTGTAAATCGCAGCTCTCGCCGGCAAAAAATAAAATCTGGAAAACAACAAGCAAAGTGATTATGGATAGAGAAGTGCACCAAACCTTTTATGATGGATATGAAAATGGACATAAGGTATATTACTCATTGCGTTCACTAGAGGAAATAGAGCAGGACGAGGCCTTGAACGACGCGCGGGATGAAACCATGTTATCCATAGATTCTCATTTTAGAAACCTCTCTGACGAGGCTTTGGCTGTTCTTGAGGCCATCTTTGTTAGTGACGTCCCCATAGGTGAGTTTCTTTCATTCCACCGACCCCAAGTGGCAAAGATGAACCAACAAAGCGACCCAACGATCAGTCATATAGCTAGCAACTTAACAAAGGAAGCTATCAGTAGCGTAAAAACATATCGCAGAAAGTATGTTAATCCGAGCTCTGTTCAAATCCCGCGATCACGGACTATTACGCGCATACTATCACAAGGACAGAACAATTATCAGGCAGTAGAGAGAACATCACCCACGGATAAGGAAGATAGAAGCCTGTCCTATTCGAACTTTGTCAATACTATGAAGATTGCTATGAACCTTTCCCCACACGTTTCTACGGAAATATTTAATCTTCTATGCAAGGGTACACCAAACAAAACCCACTACCTTTACGATGATCTTATCTCCTCCTTCTCAGATATTCGGAGTCCTTTGCGAACGGATTTTCCTCTGGATGCGGCATGTGCCATTTACGCACAGTGCACCATCCATTGGCTAGACCTTCTCAACTATCTGAATGCGCGTGCAGGGTCTATCTCTGAACAACAGCTAGGGATTCGGCTCGAGCCTGTGCCCACCCCGGACTCTTTCTGCCACAGGTTAACAATAGACACCTGTCTCTATGTTGAAGGGCTCGATATCTACATGACTTGTTCTCGCGATAACTTAGCTCAGTTTTGGCTGCCACCACACCTGAACCTGTCTTTGGGCCAGATGAAGCATTTAGAGTATATCTTAAAATTAGATGAGATTGCGACTCATCACTTCGGATTGAATCGAGATTTTTTTGAGAAGCTTTTGTATGACCTCACAGAGCTGAGCGATCCCGCTGGAAAAGCGTCTGCAGACGGACAGGACGCCAAGGGTGACCACCAAAGAGGTCACATTCTGACGGCAAAGCATAGAGCTGATTTCTCTAGTGATGGGCGAACAAAGCGGGCTATCGATACAATTTTAAATCTCACAAAATTCCTTGATAGAATGTCTCTTTATGACCTTCATGCAGAAGATATTTCGTGGCTCATAAAGTTGAGCAACACAGATAATTCAATCAGCTCTTATCTAAAGGCGTCTGATGCCGACATACAATCAATAGGAGGCACAGAAGCACAAGAGCTAACCCATAATAAGGTGGACTTTTCCTTGATTAGGTCACTAACCAATCCGGACACTGATAAAACTGTTCTTCCATTAAAGGACAATACCAACTTACCAAGGCTGATTGTGGAGGACAAAGAGTCGCGGCCAGAAGCCTACAAGGATAGCTTCACATATTCACTAGTCACAGCTATAAGGGAGACAGATAATGCTCTTGTTTCACTCAGGCCACGCGGGACTAAGATCAAGAGAACCCTGAAACCAGAGGTGCTGGCGCACTATGGACCAAAATTCGTTCAAGACCTCATCGAGGAAGAGGAGCAGGACCGTCAGAAGGAGCTCGAACTGCAGAAAAATATCGAGCAAGCCAGGACAAAGTACTCCAATAAGACACTACTTATTGGCAACTCTAGAGTTATTAAAAGGATCAAGGAAGAATTTGGGCTTAGTGGGGCCAGCGCAGCCAATGAAGACGCCGCTGATGTACCTGGAGCAAATCTAGGGACAGATCCTTTAGCTTCTGGCCGGACACATCAGCGGGTCCACAAGGACTGGGCAGACTCTGTAGTCACAAGCGAACCACCATACGAGACAGCAGATATGAGCATTCCTGACTATCGTGATGGATTCGGTGGGAGCAAGTATGTTGGCCGCACTATCAGTGGCACGGCCAGAGCGGTAAGCGGTACAGGATCCTCTCAACAAGGAAGAGCATTCTCGGCTCTCCAGCGGCCGAGCTCAAATAGAGCAATGCATTCAAGCATGTATATTGCCCAGCATCTCTCAAATTCAGCGGTATTGGGGGACTCATCCAGAAAGCAGCAGCGGGATGTCAGTGCCCGACCCAATCAGAGGCTACCACGACTTAATGATACAGACGAAGATCAGCAATATCTAAATGCTACTTCTTCCAAAGAGGGAACGCTTGCCGCACGGATGAAGATGCTTTCCCGCCCGGCATCTCTCTCAGCTCAAGCCCCACCACCCCCCAGTAAGCAGAATACCTCATCTTATCAACGTACGCGATTTAATAAGCACGAGTTTGATAACGAAGCTCACGCGGTGGAGCATCCACTGTCTAAGCTGAAGGCACAGTACCTACAGGCCTCGCAAGGAGACACAAAGGCTGAGCAAAATCTTGAGCGGACCAGGCAAATAGTCAAATTGTCAGATGCCGCCATTCTTCGGCAGGTTCGAGCATCAACAAACATCGCAGTTACAGAGTATGTCAATCCTCTTTATGAGCGATTAGAGCGACACAAAGTCATGGCTGAGATGGAGAAGTCTACCAAGTCAAATGTCGTCAGGGACGTTCAGGCTACTAACCCTGCTTATGTCGCATCTTGGGCGAGTGCTGCTGTGTACGATAAAGACAACGACTGTCTTGTTATTTCCTGTGAGGGAGGGTGTGTTCGGCTCTACCGTATCAGCAAAGACTTTGACCTGATCAAGAAGGTACAGGTAGCCGACACGTCTCTCAATACACTCTGCTCTGTGTCCAGAACAGTGTCGATGCTTTCTATAAACGAATACGCGGACACGCTGAAAATGCTGTTTATTCAACTGCCTACTAACACAGCCAACGACTTATTAGACAAGTTCAATCTACAGCCCATCAAGGCAAGACTCTGGTCTGCCATTACGAACGATCACTACATTTATACTAGCGAAGGATTCGGTATTTATGACGACTATCTATTCAATAATACATTCACCATAGATCTAGGGCATAAGTCACTTGATCTAAGTGCGTTAAATATTGATTCCTCACCTGCGATATTCCGATCAACAGACGAGCGAGAGATCAAGCAGCACTACATTAACGGGTTAGACTTCGCCATTTCTCTGACCATTCCAGGGTATCTTTCTCCAAGTATTGCACCTCGTAACGGCGAACGCCCGTGCAAGTCAAAGCTATTTGTGTCCACAACCTCGAACGCCATATACTTTCAGCTGGGGAAGGAGGACATCCTCAAGCCAGCTGCCGTCGTGACAAACTACTTGGGCGATCCCTTCCTTATTGGTACTACCAACAAGGCTGATGCAATTCTACTGGGTGGCGAAAGAAACAAGTTCGAGGCTCTTCTGCCAGATGGGCCGCCAACCATAAATTACAGGACACTGAATGAGTATACTAACTTTGGACCGAATACGCGGAGAGTTTTCCACAGCATTAGTGTTTACAATTTCTACGTACTATATAATTTAGAGTTATTATTTAACTACGTCCATGTCAAGATAGGGGAGATTGCAAAGGTCTGCCAAACGAATAATAAGGATCTCATAAAAGCATTTTTCAAGAGAGATCTCAGTATAAAGGTAAGGGGCGAAGAGGGCTATTTAGACTTTGCCTCAACGAAGAGGCAGCTCAACAAGCAATCAGCAGCCCGTAATTTTTCAGAAGATGTCGGTAATGCAGAGGGCACAACAATAGATGACATTGTGCAAGGAATAGTGGAGCAGATAATCTCCTCCATCGAACCTATTGGTTCTGACTCTGCAATCTCCCCTATCTGGAAGGGAGCCGTCAAGGGAATCGCAAGCTTCATGAACAGCAAGAAGAGCTTATGGATTACATGCAACCAGCGGTGGCACAGTACTCATGATAATGCAGATGTTTTAGTAACAGGGCTGAGTAACGGAGATGTTGTCCTCTGGAACCTTGTGACGCTGCGTCCACGCATCATACTGCATGCATTTCATGGCTTTGACGTCACAGCGCTGGCTTTTGACCCAGACAGCAACATACTGTTCTGCTCATCTGTCACCGGTCTCATCAGAATATATAATTACGATGTTACCCCGATACCGATTGCTGAGTTTAAGGAGTCTGCTTCTGTCTTAAAACTCTTTTATTCCCAGTCATCAGATCTTATTATTATTGTTCTGGTGAACGGTGCTGTGTCCCTTTGGAGCAACCGGCTTTATCAGCAGATCAGTCGAATAAGCACTCATATGACCCCAACTACCGCCGAATGGGATGAGCGGAACTCTCTTCTCCTAGTGTGCAGCAGAGAAATCAAGGTATTTCAGCTTATTGGTGCCGAGGTGAACCAGGAGGCAAAGCGCGTCGAGAGAACTCGAGAGGATAAACTGCGACGCCATAGACAACGAGAGGAAGAGAAGCAGACTCAGTCGCTTTATAGCGCACTTGAGGACCCGAAAGACTCACTGAAAAAAGAGGTTGCTGCAGAAGACCCACTAGACCACGCTGAGGTAGTGTGCAATATGGGGCCTCATAAGAGCGAAGTTCAGCTTGGACAGAAGAGCAGTGCAGTCGTTAATCTGCCCATGGGAAGTCTTGGCTTGCCCAAGTCGACAACTGGCTATCAGTTAGTTCCCGTTACAGCGCTTGACGATGTTCCTAACCTGATTAACAATCCAATATATACCTCTCAAAATCCCAGTACTAAACTTGTACAGAGCAACACCGACTCAACTTCCCTGAACACATCTTTTCAATCAACTGGCCAATTTAGTTTCGATTCAGCCAGTAGGAACGTATCTGTTAACCCTACCCTACAATCTACCAACCCCTCTAACATTCAAACAGCTCAAGAGAATACTATATCACCAAACTACATATCAACTATTGTACCCGATTTACCCGATGTAGCTCTCTCATCTGCAGCTCCCCTCAGACTCACTAATATGCCACTTCAGACTACACTGGTCCGCCGCGAATATCCAGTTTCAACTCTTGCATATAAGCGAGAGGGAGGCGATAGACCGGACAATCATATTGACATAGCGATGATTCGACAGGTGGGACTTGATGGCCGAATAGAGCCCAGCAAGTACAATGTGCATGATCCATGCAACGCAATAAAACCAGTTGATTTAGATCGTGATCTCCTTCGTGCTCACTGGGCCAATATCGTATCCATCATCGATGTGAGCTATTACACCACTCTGAGCTTTAATGAAGTTGAGCTTTTGACGCTGGATCTGTTTAAGGGGCTAGATGACAATCTAATTACGTTTCAATCTGCATGTGCATTTGGACCAAAAGGAACATTCACTGGACTTAGCAACATAACTATGGCGCCAAAGCCAGGAGTCACTGCATTTGCATTTAACATGGGAGAAGATAGAAACAGCCCGGCCTATCACAGACTGTCTAAATTGGCATCTTCAGCTACAATAGCCTCCGTCCAACCAGCAGTTCACGGTGATAATCCTGACGAAACAAATAGCAATGACTTCACCCACTCCCCCACCGCAACAGCACAAGACCCAGAAGTTAGCAATGCACCTACAGAGGCGGATGACCAGCCAGGCAGAAGGCTCCCGCTGGGCCTTGGTGAGGATCGCGAGACATTCACTACTATGCCTCGCCGCACTTACACCGTATCTAGCGCTGCGCGTAATAGGGGGTACAATTTTGCTTTGGCTAGAGTCTTTAATAGCGTTGTTCAGGATATAATGATGGGTGTTTCTCGTAATGTAGGCGCACCACCCACCAAACCACGGCGGCCACCATCCTTCTACAATCCTCCGTCTGAGGTTTTTATCCCTCAAGTTGCGCAGAAAGCCCTTGAAAAGGACTACACGCCAGGAGATATGCGCACATCTTATTCAACATATGAGCCAAAGACAGATAACAAGTATCAGTTATTGCCTGAAGAGTTCCTCGTTCATATGAAGCTATTTGCACGTCCGTATCGCAGTATGGCCTATCGTCCGACACCTAACAGCACAAGCTACATGACCAAAACAAATTCTCAACTGAGAAAGGAGCTTTATAACGAGTTACACAGGCGGAAATCTTTGGTTCGAATCAAATTTGTACGGATCGTCAATGACATATATTTTAGCAATCTGGATTTCAAGACTTATGAGGCACGAGTTAATTTGGAGTCCCAAGCGCTTCGAGACGAGTCAAACGGGCCCAAGCATTCAAAGGATACAAGTGTAGAATTAGAAGCCGAGAAGTTGTTCCGCTCTCTAGTCTATAAAGTAGACCATTCCAAAAGGCTTCAAGACAAAACGTCCTCACTCAGAAGCTCCAAATTTCATCCCCACTTTAGTGGGAGAATAGTGTCCAAGGGGTTGTATGGAAATAATAAGTTTTCCCTGCTTCGTAAAAGCTCTGTGGATGGCATGCCGGATCTTTCTGCAGCAAATACTAAAACAGTAATTACCTACAGAATAGGGGGTGGTTCAGAGGGCGGCAGCCCAATTAACTCCCTTATCAATGAGATGGCACTCCCTGTACAACCACCTTCTGCACAAGGTATCTTCAGGCGCAAAGTACCAATAACAGCAGCTGACACAAGGAACTTAATAACCTTTTCTGCGAGTGACCTTGGGAGCATCGTTGAACGAACCCATTTGGAGCGGGAGCAGAGCATTGAGACGCTAATCGCACGCAACAAAGCGCTAGCAATTGAAGAGGAGGATGAGCACGCGGGGACATCTACCTCTGAGACAGATAAGACAGAAAGCATTCTTGCTGACGTTCCCATAAGTGTGAGGGATTCGTCACAGTCAACCCAAAGCAAGAAGAAGCCTCGGAGTACAGTGCCAAACACAAATGTGAGTATAACAAGCGGCCATGACCTGACGGTGGATGAACGTGATTCCACCATTCACACCATGCACACAACAATTTTGACTGGGGAAGACCGTGACTTGACTACAATGGTTCCAGAAGATGATAGGCATGACAGTCCAAGCTCTCGCATGTCAAGTAGCGACGAAGAAGGTGACCTATACCAGGACGACTTCGAATTCAATTTGTTCCAGGGTTTGAATGAAGAGGTAGAGAAGAACACGCTACAAATAGAGAAAGAGCTCAATGAAAAGATTGCCGAACAGCGCATGTCTGCAGGAAAACAAGCGTCGAAAAGAAAGCTCCAGTTGGAGGCAGAAGCTACTCCCATAACCATCCCCTTCAAACCTATGAAGCCTGCATATACCCGATTAGCTGCTCGTCAAGCCATGCACATGCGGAAGAAGATAGGTGGAAGAACGAGTAACATAACAGGGATAGATATAGTGAGTCAAATAGCCCCTAACGTCGTTAAGAAGCTTGACTTTCTACGAGATATACTTGATACCGAACTGATGCCGGTGCCAACATCTACTCTAGAAGGTGAGCCGCCTAAACCAGTTGTCGCTCGCAGGAAAGAAAATATCCTTTATGAGACCTCCATTTCTGTGACTGCAAGTACGAAAGAGGAAGCAGAAAACTTTATACTTAAGACAGAGCAAGAGCGGGCTGCACGCTACAAAACAAAACTCTATACAATAGACAGCAACGGAAACATCTCCCTCTGGCTTTTAGAGCAACAGTTCGAGCGGGTATATGATTCCAGCAAATATGATGTACAAAGTCTGAAGGATGACAGCGATGAAGAGAGCTCTGGCGATATCTTGCCGGGACAACCAAGCCTGTCCTCGGTGCAGAAGAGGCCTAGTTCTGTGTCAGCTGGTGCACTTCATGGCCACACAAACTCTCGACTCAAAAGGATTGCCGCACTTACTATTGATACTACTTCTAGTCCACACTCTGAGCAAGCACAGGCTAGAGCATCCAGCGCTGCTAACGTAACCACTCGACACACAGGCCAGTCCAAATTGGTGAAGGGCCTAACTAAAGAGGCCGATGTGTCTATATTCAAGCGTAAGGACAAGATCGTGGAGAAGCCAACCTTTATCACCACATACAAGGTAGAGTTGCCAAATAATGTGCAAATAACATCTGCAAGCTTTGACCACGCACAGTCTATCATTCTCTGTGGGCTGTCGAACGGAAATGCTCTTGTCTATAGCATAGATTTAACAGAGGTCATCAGCTCTTACAATGTTAGTAATTGTGCAAAAGCTGCTGTCAACTTCTATCACTCATGCTCGCCTAGTACAAACAAAGACCAAGTATGGCGTAAAGAGTTATTGGATTTCGGATCAGTCCTCACCACCGGGTACTTCCAGACAAAGTTCACGGAGGGATATTTACGTGACTACATCTTCACGTCTGGCCGCTTAGCCCTGTGCTATTGTGAGAGCAACACAGAAAAGCTCAGTAGGAAGTTTGTTAACGAGAAGCTCAACGAATACATGATCAGCCAAGATATGGAAGGGTTGAATTGTCCGCCCAGAGCAATCCTAACGGGTCACACAGGAGGTGTCATTTGTATTGCAAATTCAAGGAATTATTCATACTTGATTACTGCAGATGACGAGGGTCTCTTAATATATTGGCAGTCGATAGGGGTGGCTAAGGCGAAGCTCTACTTCTCTGACCAGCGTATTCTTTCTGTTGTTTTTGCAGAAGAGGAGATAGTGCCTGGAGCGGCATTTTTGGCGCTGAGCGATGGATCTATCTGGATAATCACCCCCAACTGCCGCTATAGAATATTCACAATCGGTCTTCCTGTCGAAAACATCGGTCACAACACAATCAAACTTGCGACGACTGTTGTCCAAGTTAGAGAGCTGGAGGACTCAACGCCTGTGCGGCAGATGCTACTGGCCATTTGCATCAACAACGTTATCCTTGTGTACCGCATCTATGCCAATCTGAAGCTTGTAGAGGTACTCCGACCAGATGGTACTCCGAGCGCCGTTCCAAGCGAAAATGCAACAGCTTTAGCAAATGACCTTAACCGGAGAGGATCTATCGGCAATTTATCGGCGAGAAAAGATAGCCCTCCCATTGATGTGGAACTCAATAGCCCTGGATCCCGAGTAACGCCGCATATAGCCGCGGAAATGGCTGTTCTTTCGTCGATCATAATCAAGCCCTTGATCTGCTACGGTCCTCAGTGTGCATGCTGCAACGGATCCAGCATGCAGTTCATGACAAACAACCTCGGAATCCTTCTGGGAGGAACGGCAGGGCATGCCTTTTACCTTCCAATCTCGCATGACCTGGGTATCTTTTCAAAATTCTATAGCTATAGACATGAGACGCGCACATATGCGTTTGTCGGCTTTTCAAATATTGATAGATCAATCCTTTTATCTTACAACAAGTACAGAAAGGTCCTCTCTCCCATCCCCACGCGGGAGGTAGAAGTGAAAAAGAAGAACGAGTTTACTCTAAAGCTTTTCGAGCGCCTTGATGATGCGGATGCGTCTGTCAAGAAGCTCTTTAATTGTCAGATCAATGACAGTGTAAAGGATATCGTGAGGCCAGTCGAAACTGGCCACGTCCAAATGTCTAATCAGATAATTCGACAGAATATCCTGAAGGCGTATATGCTAGAGCTCATGGCATGAGACTAGCAGACACAGGGAAAAACTTGGTGTCTGTTTCACCTTCCTCTCTTGGTTAATAATTGCTAGTATAAGTAGATAAAATTTTACGGCGACGTAACATTTGCACATGATTGGCCAGGCTCACGGGAGTTACTTTGCGCCTGCGCCAGCCGAAACCAGGGTGTCTATTCAGCGCGCTGTAAAGCAGACGAATACCGTTCAGCGGCCACGGCTGGCAGACGTCATTTTAGCTTCGGACCACTGGTGTTCAATGCTGACAGGCTTCACCCCCGATCAGGTGCGCCTGCTGCATGCAATTGGAACCGCTGACCCAGAACAAATCGTGCTGTCTCTGCGTCCGCGGGTTCAGTGGAGCATCAGCTTACTTAAGCGCAAAAATCAAGAGCCAGATCACCAAGACGCCGCCGCGTTTAGTAAGAAACGTGCCCGCCGTCGAAAGCGCATGTTTGAGGCTGATGACAGTCTTATCGTCCTTCTCACATATCTACACCAAGGCTGTGCTTTAATGGAGGTGTATGATAAGCTCAACCTGGACCGTCACTGCAGCGCGGCGACGGAGCAGCGCAGACAGCAAACGTATACGGATATTAACAGTATCAAGAGCGATCTAGATCACAATCTTCATGATATGTCTGCCATGCTCCGCAAGGTACAGCAAAATAAGGTTGCACGTACAAGCATGCTAATAAAGGACGCCATCACAAACATGAAGGCATCATTTGTGCGCGCCTTTATTGAGCTTCCGCGGGAATTCCGTGACGAGCTATTTCCACCATTTCCAGAAACAGACTTCCCAGAGCTGAATGCTTGTCCCCTTATGATAGACTTGCGGACACAGAGCACTCCACGCCAATCTAGGCTAGGCGTTGATACAGAGGACCAGCTGAGTGGCCAGCGATTGCGATCAGAAGTCTGGATTGGTAGAACGGGTCTCGCTGCGTTCGTGTTCAGTAACTCTACATCCTCGGACAGATTGTGCTTTGTTTCCAGAGAAGCCAGCGAGAGCACGGAGCTTCTTTCTTTCATTGGGGTAGATCCTGTATTGTTGAATTTGGGAAACCAGGTTGACATAACCATGTCCGTACAAGTCTGTGCAGCCCGGGAGGCTGTGCTAGAGGAAAGAAGAGCAATTGTGTCCCGGCATTATAACCGTGCTGCTGCCCTGTTTCAGTCTGTTACGAGCTGTTACCGAAGAGACCCCTCGACGTACTCTGACTTCATTGTACTAATTCACGCGTTGACGAATTATCACATTCTAGAGAACATGTTTGTGGAGAACACTATAGCAGATAAGTTACAGTGGGGTAAGGATGAGGGTCGTGTTCACGAGAACGACACACAGCACCCTTCCGAACCACACGAAATTGACGTTGCACTATAGAAGCACAGAGACAAGGTTACGTCTATTTTCCTCGCGAGCTATATCGATTGCTTTCCGCCCGTCCCTTGTCTTAATATCTCTTTCTCTGCTGCAGAGGACCTGCACACAGCCAAGATGGTTGTGCCTTATTGCGATTATGAGGGCAGTCACACCAATACCACTCTTGTAGCATTCATTTGTCACCATTCCTCCCTCATACTCCAGCAGCAGTTTGGCACAACTGGTATGCCCGTACTGCGCAGCAAACATAAGCGCCGTCCAGCCCCCTTCGCTGTAGCTCCGAATGCCATGATTCAGCTTGATGAGCTGCTCCACAGCTGTGGCATTTCCCAGTGCAGCATATGCCATGAGATACGTTCCTCCCCATAGGTGAACCTCTGCCAGGAGAAGGTTCGCACAACTTACGTTCTGCCCTCTAATTGCGTAGTAGAGCGCAGGCTTGCGCGGTGAAAGCTGTATACATAGCTCACGAAGCAACGGGCAAACAGACTCTGTGTCACTACCGGAAGCAGCTAACGCAAGAGCGGACATTAGCCCGCGTCTAAGCGCCGATACCTTGCAGCAGTCATCAAGGTACTCTCCAGGTATATGCTCTGCATGAAGGCCACGTTCCTCAATTACCTTCATGAGCTCAGTTTGCTCAGAGCCATAGAGGCCGTTTCTTTTGCTGCATGGGAGGCTACGCAGAAATATTGTGGGATTGGCAGCGTAGTATGCACAAATTGTAGGAAGAACGATATATGCCCCGATATCGAGTGCATAGTCTATGATGTTTGAACTTACTATCTCCTCATCCTCCGATTGCAAACCGTTTCTCTTACGTTTGTATGGCATGGACGCTTCGATAGCAAGAAGAGAGCTTATCAATGTTGCATTGTGTGTTTCAATAGCGTACATGAGCGCACATCGGCCCAGACAATCTGTCTTACTGACCTGTTCCGAAATCACTGGGTCATGGACGTCAATGTGGGTAATTGAGCCCCGAAGCGTATTATAGATAATGTCTGTGACGCAGCAATTGGCTAAAAAGTAATCTGCCACTGCATTAAGACACGCAACAGATCCCGGGCCATAGCTTGTCGAGCCGGCAGCGTAGGATACAACTGTTTGGCCATACCTGTCACAGAGGTCAAATTCGTACGGCAACATCACTGTCACCAAGGCATCATATCCCTTTGCGGCTGCGAACATCAGTGCCGTTTGCCCCATCATGTTCTGGTATCTGGCTATTGAGGGTACCCGGAACAGTAAAACTTGAACTGATTCTGGGTGACCGGTGAGGATGGCAAGCATGGAGATGTTAAGGTATCCTGTTTCCTTGTTGGTGATAGAAAAGAGCTCCAAAGGGAGCTTGTGTTCTTGACAATCTAAATTGGTAGAGACGGAGGGGATATCGGGTACAAGCGCAGACAGTATTATTTCAAGACACTTGACGTTCCCATAAAGGGCAGCAAGCATAGCTGCTGTAATCCTCTCGCACTGACAATTAAGATACTGAAGGGACTGCATTACAAGATTTGAGTCCCCAGATACCGCAGCGGCCATTAGAGGCGTAAACCCTGCAAGCCCAACTTCATACTGAGCCAATTGTTTAACGCACGACCAGTGTCCTGCCTTCAGGGCAAGTGACAGGGCACAAAAAAGGTCGGTTGTCTGTCCTAGCTCCATAAGTGCCGCAAGCTTCTCCTCTGTAACAGGGCGATACCCTCGGCACTGAACAAGGAATTGATGCCTCTGTTCAGACCACCTGTCTAAATGCATGATGATTCTAGTCTCTTCAGCGCAATTAGCAGGCGCATTAGTGAATTTCTGGGGAGTACACTTGAAATTCAAGAGCTCCCTAACGATCTCTTCGGACCCCATTTCTGCGGCAATCATTAAAGCTGTCTTGCCGGTCTCTACATCATACTGCCGTAGATGCTGGTATATGCGCCCAGTCTCGATTAGTCTTTTAAGCTGTTTGAGATCGGCCTCACGTACAGCCTCAATGAGCAGTGATCGCGCTCCCACTGCGAGGGGTGTTGCTTCACGGGGCTCACTGCAGCCTACTGGAAATACATATGGATTGTCACGTATGGTCAGGCCTGAAGAAATGTTTATGCATGCATCTTTCAACGGTGGAGGGTCGCTTGAAGTATCAATCTGATTAGTAAGTAACTTCTGCTTGGGGGGAGTGAGGAAAAGACCCACCCTTTTCTCCGCTGCAAGAACCTGCATGGCCCTATTCCGCAAGGTCGCTGCCGAAATCCGTTCCTGTGGATTTGCTGCAAGGCAGCGCCGGATGAGCTCCTGGGTGTTTGTAATGGGATTGCTATTATAATACTCCTTCAGTAAGGCTGCGGATACTTGTTGAAGAAAGGAAAGTTCATAGGAGACACAGCCCAATGCCCAAACCCCCAGTAATGGAGGATCGCTATGATAGGTAGTGAGGTCTGGAGGACGGAAGCGGCGATCAGCCCTGCGGAAGAGTTGCACAGCAGAGCTCATTGGTCTCCTATTATTACAATAGTCGAAGTCAAGGACCACGTCGCATGCAGCTATCAGAAATTCCAAAACAGTTACTTCGGACAGGAGACTGGTCTTTGAAGATGGAGCATCTTGCCATTCAGAATGAATGCGCTTGCAAGATCCCAAAAATTGCAAAAACGTATCTGTGTTGATGTCTTCGTGCGGAGTATTCAGCCGGGGCAGAACAACCCGTAAAACCACGGGCATCAGCTCACTGAGAAGATCCCAATAAACTCCCGGTTGAAGAAGATGTCCCTCTCTCCTTCCATTCCCAGAGTCGCCTTCTGAAGAATGTAAGTCTCCATGTGAGGTCATTAATTATGACAATCATTTATTACACTATGGCATATTAAATAATGATTGAAGTCTTAGCCAAAGTTAATTAAAATACTGAACAGCAGTTTACCCCACCAGCAACCACTTGATGTAAGAGCTACAGAAGCAGGTTACATACTGCGCAAGAGGCTTCCACCAGAAAAAGCGCTAATCTTTCTCAAAGTAATTATCATCTCAACAAGCAATCAAAGCTATTTTGTACGTCTGAAGACGTTATACATTTTAAAAATCTGTGGAATGAGCTCCGGGGCTCAGGATAGCGGGCGCACCCATTCTGGAAGTCCGTACAACTATACAGGCCACAGGGTTAGCCTGACAGGGACTCGTGGAGAGCCATCACTCCCCAATGCTGCGGGGTCGGGAGTTCTCGGAACAGGCAGAAAGGTATCCATTGACCTCGTTACCTACGTGAAACAGCTTGAGCAGAGGGGCACTTTTGAGATGAAGCATCAGGAAGCAACCCTTGAAAGGGCCGGAAACCACGACTTTACTCGTCTCTCTATGGCACAGCGTCGTAGCCTCGTTGGGATCCGTGATCCGGCAGATGCTACAGCGGATGATCCACGGAAGCTAGAAATCAAAAAGGAGACGGAGAAAGCGGTCGATCTCCTCGCTTTTGACTACCATATGAAGACGGTCAAGCAGGTCCAGGCGCGGCTCGGTGTGGACCCCGAAAAGGGGCTTACGCAGGAACAACGTGAGCTTCTTCTCAAGCAGAATGGTCCAAACAAGGTCCCCGAACCAAAGAAGCCCAATGGCTGCGTCCTTTTCCTGAAGACGCAACGCGACTTCTTTGCCATACTGCTCTGGGTGGCGGCGATAGTATCAATAATAAGTTTCCTAATTCAAAAGTATGTTCAGGGTCACGAGGAAATGCATAACATTTATCTAGGAATAGCCCTTATTTTGATCAATATAATGAGCGGGCTTATCACCTACTTCCAAGAAGCCAAAACGACAAGCATCATGAGCTCTTTTGCCAACCTTACGCCAAATAGAGCATGGGTGTTGATAGATGGTAAGGAGGTTGAAGTGGACTCAGAAACGCTGGTCAGGGGCGATGTAGTGATTCTCCGCAACGGGAGCAAGATACCAGCAGATGTCAGGATATTCCAAGCAAACTCTTTGAAGGTTGACATGTCCAGCTTCACGGGAGAAAGCGAGCCTCAGACCCGCAAGACAGAGCCCAGTCCCGAGAACGTGCATCCACTAGAAGCGGCTAACATAGGGTTCTTCACTACCCTTATTCTCAACGGTGAAGGGCGGGGCATTGTTGTTGAGACAGGGGCAAACACTATGATGGGTAAACTGGCTCACTCCATTAACTCACAGAAACAGGAATTGACGCCCATTCAGGTGGAGATAAACCGCTTTGTTAAGCTTATCTCTATAATCGCCATCTGTATTGGAGTGTTGTTCTTCATCTTGAGCTTGTCGCTGGGGATCGAATGGCTGGAATCCTTCTTGTTTGGAGTAGGAATTATCGTGGCCAACGTCCCTGAGGGGCTGTCTTTGACAATCGCTGTCTCCCTAACGTTGGCTGCCAAGCGTATGAAGAATAAGAATATCCTTGTAAAGCAGCTCTCTTCTGTCGAGACATTGGGCTCTTGCTCTGTAATATGTAGCGATAAAACAGGGACAATTACGGCCAACCAGATGAACGTCTCCCATCTTTGGGCGCCGCGTAAGGAGTTCTTTGATACTGAGCCTCAACTGTGTGATTGCAATCCGAACTTTGCTAAGGGTTCTTTTAGTATCAGTAGACCTGAGTACCATCTTTCCAACCAAGACCTGTCCGAAGTTCCCCCACAATGCAGGCCAGGCAGCTCATTCAGCTACACAACTACGCTCTCGTGGAGAATGTATTACATCATTGCCAAACTGTGTTCTCGCTCTAGCTTCATTGACACTCCTGAAAATCAATCTAGCAATCTGTTCCACAAAGCAGTGAAGGGGGATGCCTCAGAGGCAGGTATCCTCCGATTCACGACTGCCACAGCGGAGTATTCGTCGCTTGGAATCTCATTTACACCGGAGGACATCGCGCCCAAAATTGCGGAGTTACCTTTCAACAGCACGAACAAGTTTCAGTCTTCTATACACGCTCTTTCCGAAGATTTTCTTCGTCGAGCCTTTGTATCTAGCAATCATAAAAATCTTTTTGGAGAAGATGTGAGCAAATACTATAGAGACGAGTGTGGACTAGCCAAGGGCGTTCATCTGGCCGTTATGAAGGGGGCTCCTGAGCGCATTATCGAGCGCTGTACCTACTACCTCAATGACGACTTTGAAGGCAGCATCAGCTGTATAGACCCGAATACAGAGCAAGGTATTGCGGAGCGGAACAAGTTCATGATATCGTACTCTGCTGCTTACGAAAGAATCGCAGGATTTGGGGAAAGAGTACTCGGTCTTGCATTTCGGATAATACCAGACGGGAAGCGTAGCACTACGCCAATCGACGGCCTTGAGGGTAAGATATTTTATGATGCAGAGTCAGTAGACTTCCCTGGGATTCATGAAATGGTTTTCGTAGGGCTTATTTCCCTCCACGATCCTCCAAAGGATGGGGTTCTTGCATCGGTGCAGCAGTGTTCTAAAGCACATATCTCTGTGGCAATGGTTACAGGCGACCACTATCTGACAGCGCAAGCCATTGCAGCCCAGGTGAGCATCATCAAGGATGTTGACGACGTCGATATGTATACGACCCCACAATCTTTGAATCTGCAGAAGAATGATCCATTTGTTACACGTTTCAGCTCTGCAGCTGAGCAGTTCCAAAAGCTGGCAGATAACAAAGCCGCTACCAGCAATGGCAATCAGGGTGATGCAGAGATTGACGCAACGGCGAAGAAAACAAAGAAATCCTGGTGTAAGAAAAAGGGTGGATACAAGGAGGATCTCAACAAATTCTCGCGCAACAACCGCGCCCAGTTCTCTCCCTTTCCACCCAGTGACCTCCTCAAGACGTCTGCTGTTATGACAGGAGATGTTTTGATAAACCTTTCACCCTTACATCTTCAGGAGTTTGTAGCCATATACTCTTCAATTGTTTTCGCACGTACAACCCCGGACCAGAAGCTTGCCATTGTTGACGCCTACAAGAACAACGGGAAGGTGGTAGCGGTGTCTGGAGACGGCTCCAACGACGCCCCAGCCCTGAAGTGCGCAGACATCGGAGTAGCCATGGCTAGTGGATCCGATGTTGCTAGAGATGCTGGAAATATTATTCTTCTAGACAATAGCTTCAATAGCATTGTCACGGGAGTCATGGAGGGTCGCCTGATTTTCGAGAACCTCCGCAAGTCTCTAGCCTACACCATTACGTCAGCGGTTCCCCAACTGCTGCCCTTCCTACTCTTTGTCCTCTTCGGCTTCCCTAACGCCATGTCTAGCATAATGATCTTGCTTGTGGACGTCTTCAGCGACATCTGGCCAGCCTTTGCCATGGCCTATGAAGGCGAAGAAACCGATATAATGATAAGGCCTCCGCGTGATCTGAAGAAAGATACTCTTATCGATGGACGTTTGCTTGGTTTCGCCTACGGGCAGATGGGAATTATACAAGCCCTTGCACTCATATGTACGTTTATGTTAACGATCCTCTCTGAGATACGTGCCAGATTTATTTTCCAAGATGATACTAAAGTTGATCTTCTTAACACTACAAAACTGTTTGTTGATATCAAACACAGTGTGTTTCCTGAGCGGCTTGCAGGCTATATTAAGGACTTTCTGAGCAAGAACGGATCCACAATAGCAGACTCTTACAGAGGCTCTATTCCAATTAAAGACGCAAACGACCTAGATGCCATACGCAAAGTTGCTGACGATATATTTTATTACGGCCAAACCGCATCTTTCATCAGTGTTATAGAATCACAATTCTTTGATGCAATTGTGTCTAGGACGCGCCTAAACTCCATATTCAAGCAGAAAATGAACTGGATGATGCTAGGTGGGCTGTTCCTTCAGATAGGTCTTGCTGCTGCATTTGCGTACATCCCCATCTTCCACGTCGCGTTTCTAACTCGCTCCATATCTGGTATGTCCTGGGTATGGACACTTCCGTTCTGTGCCTTCATGTTCTTCTATGATGAAATGCGCAAGCTCGTTCTCCGTCTATGCAATCCAAACCGTATTTTCGATCCATCAAAGCCCAACGAGAGACGTCCCACTGGAAAGAGCGCTAAAGGAATTAATAAGCTTCGTGATAGGACGTGGAGATACTGGTCTTGGTAATGCGTTGTCTGGCTTCATGACTATCCTTCTATTGTTGTAAATTGATTCACGACTTAAGCTACACAATTGTGCTTGACTTTGCGCCACAATTAAGTGAGAAAGACACCTTGATGATGCAATCAGAGTCAGTATTAGCAGAGCCTATCACGTCTCTTGTGTGTATGCAGATGGAACCATACTGCTGGTGCTTTAACTCTATTTGCATGCATAGCTCCTCGAGGTCTTTTTCAGATGGCCGGCTGTTGCTGTGAATGGTTAAAATGACTGCACAGTGCATTCTCTGAAAGGGTCCTTTTAGATCTATTGTGCCCCGGCTAATTGATATTTCACGGAGATCCAGCATCCCAACTGCCAATGAGCCGAAGATTAACGTTCCGTGTTCATTGGAGACGCGTAAGTACGGTATCGTGGCCATATAGCCCTTGTTTTTGATTAGCTTCGCAAGGTATGCGTGACATGGATAGGTCCTAAGGGCCCGGTTAGGGTAATATGATTTAAGCTTATAGTCTGCATGGGATAGCTGAAGGGATCGGCGCATTTGCATGTGCTCTTCTTTAAGTATCTGCGAACACAGCTGGGAACTTTGCATAAGCTGGCTCTGGCTCATGCAATCAGTAACAGTATCTAGCAGCTGTGAAACTTGCATAGTAGTTATGTGCTGGGTTGAACTGTCCATCTGTCGTCTAGAGCTTAGACATTCTGCAGTTGAAACAATCGATGCTATGTCAGGTTGCGAGAGCTGATTGGGTTGTTGAGGCAGTGGAACCATGGAGGGTGACAGAGTTGGTTGATGAGGTGGCAGGATGTGATTTTGCCGTGGTAGCTCGTGCCATGCCGGCACAGATAAGTCTGTCTGCAGCTGAACCTGTCTGCTATCCAATACGTCTAGATCCACTTGCTGCTCCTGATATTCTCCAGATTGCCCCGTATATTTGATAAGAAAAAGTGCGGGGGAGACGCTTGGCTGTTGACATGACTGTTGATGCTGATGCTGCTGTTCGAGAACTACGGGTGCAGGTGTATGTGCGGAACACAGGTGTATGTGCTCAAGCTGTGCTTCTGTAAAGGCACCTGCCAGATTGAAACTGAAGCTGTGAATCATTCGTAAAAAAGATAAATGGAGCAGCTCAGTAATATTCTTTATGAGTACGCCACAAGTCCCAGCGAGCCCATAGCGTCAGTAGGAGAGTATCTAGCCAATCCTATTTCTTCTTCTGTATTAGAGAAAATCTTTTTGAATCTCGACACCTTTGCTGCTGAGTACAGCAACAAGGGGGAAGAGTTACTGGCGCGCGAAATTGTACTCTCGATCTTGCAGCGAGATGACTCATTTCTTAGCACCCCTGCCGGGATTGATAGACTAAGAGATTTATCTGGCAACTTGCTCTGCGAGATGTGCAGCCGGCTTCATCAGTGGGTAACGGAGGAGTCTGCGCTGACGGAAGAAGCACTTACGCTAGCCTCTAACCTCCTTGAGTTGAAGGCTGCAGTGGACACAGAGCTGATAAATATTACTGCAGAAAGGGATTTATTGGTCGCATACACTACTCCATACGTGCTCGTTCAAATATCGTCACGGCTTGAGTTTACAATCGACGTTCTTAACAAGCTGCTAGCTTTACAAGAGAAACGTGAACGTGTTATGGCTCACAGGCGGCGTGACGAGTGCACTGCGGCCATTGAGTTATCAAATATTTATGCAGAGGATCTGGTATCATTTTCTTTATTGATTAAGATTCCTCTTGACGAACTACATAGACATGTACCTCCGCTAGATCAAATGTCACACAATCAGATCCAGAGTAGCTACTTTGCAGAGCTAATCGGGGCTTCAGACAAAGGTATCGATGTGCTAATTAATATCCTCTCTCGGGGGATCGCCTTCATAGAAGTATCTTCTGTGACATCTACCTTTCATAGTTACATCATGACAAAGCTCCAGAATTCGTCTTCATTTGAAGATATCCTCTGGGTATATACCTTTGTGCATCGAGCTGTGCACGAGAAAGCTCTTGAAGTTATCCGTGTTTCCTTTTTTACTGCTGGTAGCAAAGTATTTGAAGAAGTATCCAAGGCAATGGTCAGAGTTAGAGATAAGCAGACTTATGCCACTCTTAGTTGTGCAGACATTTTCAAAGAGCACATAAACAATGCGATTCTTCTTTTTCTGATCCAGCACTATACTAACTTTCTTTTGACACATTGTTTCTCCCTCTCTGAAGATGAAGTAGGTGCCTCTACAACAAGACTATCAATGGCCATCAGTACCTGCATTGATAATCTGACTCTTAGTGCATATATGAAGATGCGCAGCCTTTTTCTGGCTGATCTCTTCGTCAATGCATTTGACACTTATTACGAGCTTCTCGAGAGTATGGAGATGCCATGGATTGTACTGTCCACTTTGAGAGGTAATGGCTTTGATAGCACTAACATCCTTTTGGAGCTATCTCAACAGAGTGGCGGCCCCAATGATATTAGGACACTTGTTGTGCCTATTCTCCTCAAGCATATCAAGAATGACAGTTGCTACGACCAAAAGGTGCTTGCGTTTCGTTCTATCTTTGACCCACAGTGGCACTCCTCCTTTCACAAACGAGGGGAGTACTATATTCATAGATCTAGCGCGACCAGGTCTCTGGTGGATTGCGTAGTTGTACTTGAGTGTGCAGTAGATATTCTTACACATGATAAACTGCAGAAGGCAGCCATGCTTGTAGATGCAGTTCAACAGCTTGCATTTCGAATTCTTCTCTTCCATATCTTCAGAGAGTCTAAGATTCCTTACACAGCAATGCAATGCAGTATCAGGACAAAGTTTCAAACCTATGCCACCAGCATCCACCAGCGCTTGACAGATAGCCTCTTTGTTGACAGTTCTCGGCTAGGGCCTGGCTCAGAGCACATATTGTTAGGCTTGCTACGTGAATACTCATTAACAATCTCTAACATTTTCCAGCACTCCAAGAAGTATACATTATTGACAGATGCAACGGGCATAACGCTTCGAGAAAGCTTGGCAGAAACAGTTGAGGAGCTAAACGCGTACTATCTTCTTCAGAATATAATTCATAGTATATCCGAAAAATTATATCTTGAGACCCAAATGCCTGCAGCTTATGACCGTGACAAGCAACAGCATTCTGAGGACCCCAAGGACTTGTCTGCTACAGAGGAATTACCACCACCCCAGCCAGTGGAAGATGGGCAGATTGCTTGTGATGAGAGTGATATATTTGCATCAGAGTCATGTAACCCCTCTATGCTTACATCAACAAGCCAGCCGCTCGCTGACTCCGCCATGTTATCCATAAGGTCTTTGCAATCTGTTTATGCTGCTATTGAGTCGGTGATACAGAGTATTATAGCAAGCGAATTGAATAGAAACTTCAATCTTGTTGAGATAATGTACACAACTATTAAGAATGCAGCTGGGGAATATCGAAAAGAGGCAAAGGTAGACCGAGCAAGTAAAACAGTATATTCCAGCAAGCTTATTTCAACTCTGAAAAATAATTTCTATAACTTACGATTTGGCGTTTTAGCAACCCAAAGCAGCATCAGTGTCTCTAGTACTGATTCTGTTCTCAGCATAGTTACTCCTCCAACTGGCTCTGTGGGGCGCCCAACTTGTTCCCTTTTTAACTATCAGTTTTATAATGCGTTTGTAATACATGCATGTCAATGCTTCATAGCATCTGCTAGCAGCATTCCAGTGTACACTGCATACGGCAGAACGTGTCTAATGTATGACTATTGCAGCCTTCACAGCTTCCTTAACAGCGTCCTTCCAGATTTTTGCTTACAGAGAGTTGAGATACAGCAACACTTTGAACTCGTGCGCTCTTACATAGATCTCTATTTTGGAAGTACGGATGACATACGCGTCGCTATCTCCACTAATAAGTTTGGAGTTGGTCCATTGTTAGCACTGATCAGAACGGGGCTGGCTTGTCGCCTGACTTCGGCACAGATCGACTCTCTAGTTCTTGAGCTACCTAGCTCATTGCAAGAAAGACAATCTACTTAATTGCCTTTCAAACTTTTAAACTACGTATATCCTATACGTATTTTTCAGATAGCATGACTGATAAGGCTTCTCTTTGTCCCATCTGAGATCGGAGAACCCGACCGTACCACACTTCGCGAAGATGTGTTTGTCTCAAACAGCATCAGGGTCACATATTCACCAGAAGAGGACGGGGGTTTGCCTGATGAAGAAGGCGACGTGTCCTCTGAGGCTCGATACAGACCCCGCTTGCTAGCTGCTACTGTGACAGGCCTATGTGTGCTTGCTGCCGCATTTCTTGGGGGAGCATTCAAGGAGTAGAGAAACCCATATCTTATACTGAGAAAGGCCGAAGAGAGGGTCTCAGATACAGGTGAAAGGATCCTTCCTTCAAAGATACTTTAGTAACACTGGTGTAGACAGAAGCCAAGAAGGCTGAATCTAATTTGGATAGTTATGTCATTGTAACACCACCCAATAGCTTGCTGAGAATTAGGACTTTGCCAGTGGGGTGTGTGGTTGTGCTTGAAGTTGAGCCACACGGAGTTGATGGTTAGACTACAAAGTAGTCGAGTTGAAGCTGTTACAACTCCAGCGTATGGGAAGAATGCAAGTGGGCGAGTTGATCACTCGTTAGCTGTTCTATCCTTGGCCAAACCACTTGGCCGTTCGCGTTCATCCTGTATATAAGATAGTGAATGCGCATGTAACCCTCAAGAAATGCTTTATGGGAGAAGCAGTGTAAGCGTATCGAGGAACAGAAGCACGGAGACTTCTCTTAGCTACATCAAGCAAATGCTAAAGAGGGCTGCTAGTCGGAGAGTGCTTTTGGATCTGCAGTAGGATGGCGAGCAGGCATCTCTCTTGTGGAGCCGTGTGATGCCCGTTATTTGGCATGCAAAGAAGATACCATCAGGCTTAGCCAGAAACAGCCGAACAGCCTTTCATATGGTCTACCGGAGTCATTCAATACACAAAGACGAGGCACTGTCTCATTACCACAGCGGTCTTGACAAACCCAGGCGTGCAAATGCCAACAATGCAAGCGGGACAAGTACCATATCGATAGAGACTTGGATCTCAAAAGCAAACAGAGAGCACCGACCGCTACAGCGTGTGCTTATGCTGTCATGTATCTAACACCAGCAAGTATAATTAGTAACAGGTCACTTGTAGGGAGTCATTGACTGCAGTGTAGCAGTGAGCAAAAGATCTAGCGTCCATTATTTGTGATTCTTAAATGCGCGAACGTTGTTCACAGTTAATAGACTACTCCGAAGGTGCCAGGCACCGAAGAATGTACGGCTAGACGTGGCGGCCACAAATCATGTACAGAAACATCAAACTAAAAAGTAGGCGGTTACGGGCGACTTTCATGGATGCATTCAAGGAATGACTGAGGCATTGTTAGGCCTGCATAATGTATCTATCGCAGGAGAGATACAGGAGCTGATAGACACGTAGCTTACTACAATAAGTCGACAAGCAAAGCGTGGTTCAGGAGGATGCGAACCACTGTTGCATATATTAGGTTGTTGGGTTATGCCCATAAGCATCCTGTGGACCGAGGCCTGCGCTCCTACACTACAGTGCAGCGGGCGGACGAGGCAGAGCCTGAATGGTATCGGAATTCCGGGGCAAGGGCTGAGCCGCGACTGAGAGAGCAGCCTGCAGAGGGTGGAGCATAGCTCTCTGCTAACTCGAGGCGGCACAACCTGGCAATAGGACGGCTAATCCAGCCGTATTGACGTCTGATAGACGCACCGAATACGCACTTCATGACCTCCGAATATCGTATGATGTGTGCTGGACAAGGGCCTCCCGGTGCACTTCGAGGACAGGACTGTTTAGCTAAAGCTAGAAGAGCGGTTGAGTCGTTCCCATCGGCGGCGGATGCTGCCCTGTGGACGCATATTTAAGGCTGCATCCCTTCGACTGAGCAGACAGCCGCTGGGTTACGTGCGAGCGGCCCAGGGTCTCGCCTGCCGCCTGTCCGGGCCAGTCAGCAGCTAGACTCGACATGCAGATGGAAGCCATGATAACGGACGCCGTCACGGAGGTCCGCCGTTTACTACTAGAACGGACGTGTCCGTGGCGGCCACCGTCTCCTAGAACAGCGCCCCCCCGCACAGGGCCGGCTATGTCGCGCCAGCTTGCTCGATAAGGGGCATGGGGGTCCCTTACGACGCCCTTCGGCATCTGCCGTGTCATAGGTACCCATGGCCACGAGCAGCTCAAGGGACGCAGCTATGTGGGCAGGGTAGCGTATTCATGGAGGGGCAGCTGCTTCACCTGTGCATGGCGGCGCCGGCCAGCACGTCTAGCTGCCCCACTGGCGACCACTCCTTCCCTGTGCTTGCCACAATGGGAGAGCACGTGCGCCCGTAGACCGGCAGATGCCGTGCTGGTCCTCTCGAGCAGTAGGCGCATCCTTGCGTGACATTCAGCGTGGACCAGATACCATGACCTGGGCCATCGCTACTGGCAAAGCAAGTGCTGATTGCAGCAGGGACGCCCGCCGCCCTCCAAGATAGACCAGCAACTTGCGTGTGAGGCTAGCGATGGGGCCTGCGCACCAGCTGCTATGAGCCCAGCCTTCCGGGCATCTAGATCACAGCACACTCGTCAAAGATGCACACTCATTTGCATACTCGCTGCTAGCGTTGGACAACTGCGAGGTGTCTGTCTCCGGCCGCGCTTGCCTTAGTGCTGGTCCCTGGTGATACGCCTCAGCCGAGGAGGCTATCCGTACGCGGCAGTTCCCGGAGAGAAGGCAGGGGTGACCGGCGGGCCAGGGAGATAGGACTAGCACTAGCGAGTCCAGCCATCGGCCCGGGTTGCACAAAGGACGCCTGTAGTGCCTCCCCGGCTTCTGAGCATGGAAGGGCTGTGGGGTCTGCAGATGAGACGGACGCTGTCTTTTGATTTTATGTGTTTGTAGCAGCATAGTATTTATCGGGGTCTGCTCTGTCTGAAACCGAGAACATTCGCTTTCTTTCCTTATACAGGCTGGGATCGATTGTAGAGGTGTGCTGTGCAAACCGGTGGCAGTCAGCGTATCTACTATCCAAACGGATACTGCCTGCGTCCTCTTGTGGCAGACCACCACCAGGGCTCCAATCTGCACATCTGTTCTGGCATCTGTCGGCCAATCATCACCTCCTGTCGAAGGATTGCTATACGTCACATATCTTGAGTCGTTCATCGACCAGGTGGTGCCATAAGCTCTTGTCTCCTACTTGTCCACCCGATGCTTACTCTGAGCGCCGTCAATTCACTCACGTCTGCACTACTCATCTGGGTGCCCCCTACTCTTCAAGAGCACATGCCCGCAACCGATGCTCCGTATTACGAGAGGAGCCAGCCGGGCCACTGCGCTGTGCATAGCTCTCATGGGCGTATTGTTATGCGCGCCCAGCCTTTCCACCTGTAAGCTGTCACGCGGTCACATGTGCGCCAGCGCCGCCGAGCTTTCGTGGTCTCGAGGGGCCCCTGATGCATGGAGCGCTTGCGCAAAGTCCTTCCACCACTGACCCAAGCCGACCCCTCGCAAGATCCTCAGCGGAGTTGCATCCGAGATGTGTGCTTGCATTGCTGTCCAGGTGCATGTGCCGGCCCTGGTGCTTCTCACAAGCTTGCGAGCATCAATCTGGCCTCTACCGAACCGTATCAGAAATCAACGTCAAGACGTGATCCCCTCAGTCAGGCTCTGCAGGCTCCCAGAGCTACGCACCAAAGGGCCGTTCTTCTTTGGTTGTGCAGTGTGGGGAGATCCATCGAGCTACCACACCCTTTCTGTGTGGCGTGGTTTACGACGGGGGACGGGATCCCTGTGCTCATTGTCTATCTGCCCAGGGCCAGCCACAGCCCGGGTTGACAATGACAAGCGAACATCGCCCGGCTCCTTGTCAGCAGGTGGGAACTTCCGCCACCCCAGTACCCACAGCAACGGGTGCCGATCACTGGCAGAAGGACAAGACACCCAGGCTCCCGTTCCTTCCACTGATGGTAGCCCACTATGAAGAGCCCTTTGCCGCCTGCACCAACAACCTCAGGCACTGTGGGTCCAAGTACTTCCATAGTGGACAGCGGTAGCACTATGATGATCTGGGGTGACAGGAGTCCTAGTTCACTGGCTCAGGAGACAGCACGCTTTGGGTAGTGCTTCCATCTTGTCCAGATCTGGGAGGGCTGGCTGCCTTCTGAGCCCACCTGGCACCTTGTCAGGTGATGGAGTGTCTTAAAGTATTCATTACAAAAGATCAGAAATAGCGCCATGCATTCCCAATAGATCAGAGCGTCTCACGAGCTACTCTATGCTGATTCACACCTTTCATGGACCCTAGCGACCACTGTAACCTTCTTTCGGGATCTCGCAAGGGACTGTCCTTGAGTGCGATTCCCCCACGACAGCCGGAAGTCGCAGACATAATCCAAAGGGATGAGAGTACTACAGAGGCTGAGAGGAGAGTGCCGATGCACAGGGGTCCGCAGAGACCCGACTCGTACAGGGAAGGCGTGGATGCTGGCTCTCCAGGGATGTAGAGACACCAGGAAAGGAGCCGGCAGTGGGGCTTAGGCGCAGCAAAGGCACCCGATTCGTTCTCTGATTGGCCGCGAGGCAGCAGGCACATGGGGCGGCATCACCGCTTGTTTTTGGATTTTCTGTTTCCCTGCGCGTTGTGCAGGGGTCCGTAGTGGTTTGAGTATCACAGGCTACACATAGTAGATGCGTTTACTACCTAAGTCATATCTAAATCTATGCCTTTCCGCGGCAGAGGAACCACCAGCAGAGGAAGCCGACGAGGCCCCCGACGATGATGACAGCGGCCACGGCGATGCCTGCAATGGCGCCGGTAGAAAGGCCACTCTTGTTCGTGCTTCCGCCGGCACTGTCACCGTTCATGAGGTAGCAGAGGACGGAGCCTTGATTATTAGATGGAGGAGCGCAGCTCATGCAGCCAGTAACTCCCTTGACACTTCCACTGTTGCTGTCACACGAAGTGCATGGTCCAGCTGCTGATCCGACCATATAGTACCCAGCTGCGCATGACGTACACTTATCAGAGCTATCTGCAGTCGAGCATGTCTTGCAGGTCGAATGACACGAGGGGCATGCTCCATTATTGGGCTGAAGACCATTGGCACATGTTTCGCACTCACCCTTGCTATCAGCTAATGTGCATATCTGTTTGCCTGGCTGCTTGGTAGTTTCATAGCAGCCGCCTTCCTTGAGGAAGTAGTTAGCGGCGCATTTGGTACATGCTCCATTATTCATTTCAGTACAGAAAGCTACTCGTGCGTTACTTGTTGTACAGACCCCGTTCAGAGGAGCCTGATTATCCACTGAGCACTGGGAGCAGTAGTCTGTCCCGCCGATCCTTGCCCCACAGACCTTACATCCGTTCTTGTCCGCCGTACACGCATCCCCGCAGGTGCCCCCTTGCATAGGATCACTACTTTTGTATATTAATGCCTTGCCAGCAGGACAAGCACTACACTGATTGTTGGCTGGCCCAACGCACTCAGCGCACTCAGGGCTGCATGCCTTACACTTCCTGTCAGTATCTCCATAGTATCCGCTGATGGCCGTGCAGTCGGATACGCACTGATTTGTTGGAGTGAGGTAGTTCCACCATTGCACTCAGTATAGGCTTCGTTCTCTTTGCCTTCGTTATTGCACGTCTTACAGCCCGGTGTTATGCAGTTGCTAGTCGATTGGCATTCAGTTGAATCAGCGCTAGGCTGGAAGCCTTCACTGTATGTGCAAGCACCACCCTGATTGGACGAGTTGGCAGGGCAACTAGCAACGCACGACTTTTTGTTGAGGCCAAAGATGGTCTTATCAGAATCGGGGCACTCTTTGCATACTGCTCCGTCGCCGTTCTTTTCACAAGTCTTACAATCTTTTGCCCCGCCCGATGTGCAGGTAGTGCAGGTTTTCGCTGCTTCATCTATGTAGTGTGTTGCTGGGCAATCGCCCTGATTAACGCACGTGCCTGTCTCACTGCCATCCTCCTTCTTCAGGTAGAGCGTGGCTCCAGTACACGAGGTGCACTGCGTCTCTGTATTCTCGCATGTCTTACAGCTGGAAGCACATTTGCTGCATTTCTTTCCATTACGTGAGTCCACAAAATACCCATTATTGTAATCGGCCTCCTCGACACACGACGTTACGCCGTCGACTGTCTTGACAATCTTGCCGCCTCCACATGCATTGCACATCGCTGCCTTAGTGTTACTAGGATTAGCTGGCGTATTTGCTATCTGAATGAGTATTGTGTCGTGGTTTCCCGCAGCGGAGAAACCGCCACAGAAGAAGCCGGTGGGATCACCGGTGATAAACATAGCAAAGGTAAGGTTGTACGAGGGTCAGTCCTCTGAATACATTTGTGCAGAGAACCACCGAGGGAATCAGAACAGATACAAGTGGGCTAGAGGCTTTGTTATTGAAACAGGAACCTGCTACGTCAACGATGAAAGCCCGTTCTTGGCTTCAGAGGCAGAGTCATGACAGTAGCTAGCCACTGAATGATGACGCATCCATTAGAGCTTATTGTTCTCAACGTCTGGATCTACAATCAGATTAGTGGCAGTCCATAGTTTTACTATTGCAATTCTTCGAAGAGCAGACGCGAGTCGATAACCGAGTGTAGGTTTCGGCTAATGTTGCTAGGGCTTCTCCTATTTTGTGCAGTAGCACGGGCAAACTGCAAGGCCGGGAACACGCCCTCACAAGACGGGACGACGTGCGAGCCGAATGCAAACGGATGTGCCAAAGCCTTGACCGACGCCGGCTGTGCGACCTGCACCCCGGCGGGTGACGACCAGACGTGCCTCACCTGCAACCCCGGTTCAAACAAGGTCAGGCCGGACAGGAAGGGCTGCATCGCTTCGTGTCCCGCCAACTCGAACGAGGCAGGAGGAATCTGCACGTGCACGGCCGGGAACACGCCCTCACAAGACGGGACGACGTGCGAGCCGAATGCAAACGGATGTGCCAAAGCCTTGACCGACGCCGGCTGTGCGACCTGCACCCCGGCGGGTGACGACCAGACGTGCCTCACCTGCAACCCCGGTTCAAACAAGGTCAGGCCGGACAGGAAGGGCTGCATCGCTTCGTGTCCCGCCAACTCGAACGAGGCAGGAGGAATCTGCACGTGCACGGCCGGGAACACGCCCTCACAAGACGGGACGACGTGCGAGCCGAATGCAAACGGATGTGCCAAAGCCTTGACCGACGCCGGCTGTGCGACCTGCACCCCGGCGGGTGACGACCAGACGTGCCTCACCTGCAACCCCGGTTCAAACAAGGTCAGGCCGGACAGGAAGGGCTGCATCGCTTCGTGTCCCGCCAACTCGAACGAGGCAGGAGGAATCTGCACGTGCACGGCCGGGAACACGCCCTCACAAGACGGGACGACGTGCGAGCCGAATGCAAACGGATGTGCCAAAGCCTTGACCGACGCCGGCTGTGCGACCTGCACCCCGGCGGGTGACGACCAGACGTGCCTCACCTGCAACCCCGGTTCAAACAAGGTCAGGCCGGACAGGAAGGGCTGCATCGCTTCGTGTCCCGCCAACTCGAACGAGGCAGGAGGAATCTGCACGTGCACGGCCGGGAACACGCCCTCACAAGACGGGACGACGTGCGAGCCGAATGCAAACGGATGTGCCAAAGCCTTGACCGACGCCGGCTGTGCGACCTGCACCCCGGCGGGTGACGACCAGACGTGCCTCACCTGCAACCCCGGTTCAAACAAGGTCAGGCCGGACAGGAAGGGCTGCATCGCTTCGTGTCCCGCCAACTCGAACGAGGCAGGAGGAATCTGCACGTGCACGGCCGGGAACACGCCCTCACAAGACGGGACGACGTGCGAGCCGAATGCAAACGGATGTGCCAAAGCCTTGACCGACGCCGGCTGTGCGACCTGCACCCCGGCGGGTGACGACCAGACGTGCCTCACCTGCAACCCCGGTTCAAACAAGGTCAGGCCGGACAGGAAGGGCTGCATCGCTTCGTGTCCCGCCAACTCGAACGAGGCAGGAGGAATCTGCACGTGCACGGCCGGGAACACGCCCTCACAAGACGGGACGACGTGCGAGCCGAATGCAAACGGATGTGCCAAAGCCTTGACCGACGCCGGCTGTGCGACCTGCACCCCGGCGGGTGACGACCAGACGTGCCTCACCTGCAACCCCGGTTCAAACAAGGTCAGGCCGGACAGGAAGGGCTGCATCGCTTCGTGTCCCGCCAACTCGAACGAGGCAGGAGGAATCTGCACGTGCACGGCCGGGAACACGCCCTCACAAGACGGGACGACGTGCGAGCCGAATGCAAACGGATGTGCCAAAGCCTTGACCGACGCCGGCTGTGCGACCTGCACCCCGGCGGGTGACGACCAGACGTGCCTCACCTGCAACCCCGGTTCAAACAAGGTCAGGCCGGACAGGAAGGGCTGCATCGCTTCGTGTCCCGCCAACTCGAACGAGGCAGGAGGAATCTGCACGTGCACGGCCGGGAACACGCCCTCACAAGACGGGACGACGTGCGAGCCGAATGCAAACGGATGTGCCAAAGCCTTGACCGACGCCGGCTGTGCGACCTGCACCCCGGCGGGTGACGACCAGACGTGCCTCACCTGCAACCCCGGTTCAAACAAGGTCAGGCCGGACAGGAAGGGCTGCATCGCTTCGTGTCCCGCCAACTCGAACGAGGCAGGAGGAATCTGCACGTGCACGGCCGGGAACACGCCCTCACAAGACGGGACGACGTGCGAGCCGAATGCAAACGGATGTGCCAAAGCCTTGACCGACGCCGGCTGTGCGACCTGCACCCCGGCGGGTGACGACCAGACGTGCCTCACCTGCAACCCCGGTTCAAACAAGGTCAGGCCGGACAGGAAGGGCTGCATCGCTTCGTGTCCCGCCAACTCGAACGAGGCAGGAGGAATCTGCACGTGCACGGCCGGGAACACGCCCTCACAAGACGGGACGACGTGCGTATCAGAGACGGCCTGCAATACTCCCAACTGCAAGGCATGTGATAACCCGAAGACTGACAGAGAGGTCTGTACTGAATGTAATGATAAAAGTTATCTCACTCCAACAAATCAGTGCGTATCCGACTGCACGGCCATCAGCGGATACTATGGAGATACTGACAGGAAGTGTAAGGCATGCAGCCCTGAGTGCGCTGAGTGCGTTGGGCCAGCCAACAATCAGTGTAGTGCTTGTCCTGCTGGCAAGGCATTAATATACAAAAGTAGTGATCCTATGCAAGGGGGCACCTGCGGGGATGCGTGTACGGCGGACAAGAACGGATGTAAGGTCTGTGGGGCAAGGATCGGCGGGACAGACTACTGCTCCCAGTGCTCAGTGGATAATCAGGCTCCTCTGAACGGGGTCTGTACAACAAGTAACGCACGAGTAGCTTTCTGTACTGAAATGAATAATGGAGCATGTACCAAATGCGCCGCTAACTACTTCCTCAAGGAAGGCGGCTGCTATGAAACTACCAAGCAGCCAGGCAAACAGATATGCACATTAGCTGATAGCAAGGGTGAGTGCGAAACATGTGCCAATGGTCTTCAGCCCAATAATGGAGCATGCCCCTCGTGTCATTCGACCTGCAAGACATGCTCGACTGCAGATAGCTCTGATAAGTGTACGTCATGCGCAGCTGGGTACTATATGGTCGGATCAGCAGCTGGACCATGCACTTCGTGTGACAGCAACAGTGGAAGTGTCAAGGGAGTTGCTGGCTGCATGAGCTGCGCTCCTCCATCTAATAATCAAGGCTCCGTCCTCTGCTACCTCATGAACGGTGACAGTGCCGGCGGAAGCACGAACAAGAGTGGCCTTTCTACCGGCGCCATTGCAGGCATCGCCGTGGCCGCTGTCATCATCGTCGGGGGCCTCGTCGGCTTCCTCTGCTGGTGGTTCCTCTGCCGCGGAAAGGCATAGATTTAGATATGACTTAGGTAGTAAACGCATCTACTATGTGTAGCCTGTGATACTCAAACCACTACGGACCCCTGCACAACGCGCAGGGAAACAGAAAATCCAAAAACAAGCGGTGATGCCGCCCCATGTGCCTGCTGCCTCGCGGCCAATCAGAGAACGAATCGGGTGCCTTTGCTGCGCCTAAGCCCCACTGCCGGCTCCTTTCCTGGTGTCTCTACATCCCTGGAGAGCCAGCATCCACGCCTTCCCTGTACGAGTCGGGTCTCTGCGGACCCCTGTGCATCGGCACTCTCCTCTCAGCCTCTGTAGTACTCTCATCCCTTTGGATTATGTCTGCGACTTCCGGCTGTCGTGGGGGAATCGCACTCAAGGACAGTCCCTTGCGAGATCCCGAAAGAAGGTTACAGTGGTCGCTAGGGTCCATGAAAGGTGTGAATCAGCATAGAGTAGCTCGTGAGACGCTCTGATCTATTGGGAATGCATGGCGCTATTTCTGATCTTTTGTAATGAATACTTTAAGACACTCCATCACCTGACAAGGTGCCAGGTGGGCTCAGAAGGCAGCCAGCCCTCCCAGATCTGGACAAGATGGAAGCACTACCCAAAGCGTGCTGTCTCCTGAGCCAGTGAACTAGGACTCCTGTCACCCCAGATCATCATAGTGCTACCGCTGTCCACTATGGAAGTACTTGGACCCACAGTGCCTGAGGTTGTTGGTGCAGGCGGCAAAGGGCTCTTCATAGTGGGCTACCATCAGTGGAAGGAACGGGAGCCTGGGTGTCTTGTCCTTCTGCCAGTGATCGGCACCCGTTGCTGTGGGTACTGGGGTGGCGGAAGTTCCCACCTGCTGACAAGGAGCCGGGCGATGTTCGCTTGTCATTGTCAACCCGGGCTGTGGCTGGCCCTGGGCAGATAGACAATGAGCACAGGGATCCCGTCCCCCGTCGTAAACCACGCCACACAGAAAGGGTGTGGTAGCTCGATGGATCTCCCCACACTGCACAACCAAAGAAGAACGGCCCTTTGGTGCGTAGCTCTGGGAGCCTGCAGAGCCTGACTGAGGGGATCACGTCTTGACGTTGATTTCTGATACGGTTCGGTAGAGGCCAGATTGATGCTCGCAAGCTTGTGAGAAGCACCAGGGCCGGCACATGCACCTGGACAGCAATGCAAGCACACATCTCGGATGCAACTCCGCTGAGGATCTTGCGAGGGGTCGGCTTGGGTCAGTGGTGGAAGGACTTTGCGCAAGCGCTCCATGCATCAGGGGCCCCTCGAGACCACGAAAGCTCGGCGGCGCTGGCGCACATGTGACCGCGTGACAGCTTACAGGTGGAAAGGCTGGGCGCGCATAACAATACGCCCATGAGAGCTATGCACAGCGCAGTGGCCCGGCTGGCTCCTCTCGTAATACGGAGCATCGGTTGCGGGCATGTGCTCTTGAAGAGTAGGGGGCACCCAGATGAGTAGTGCAGACGTGAGTGAATTGACGGCGCTCAGAGTAAGCATCGGGTGGACAAGTAGGAGACAAGAGCTTATGGCACCACCTGGTCGATGAACGACTCAAGATATGTGACGTATAGCAATCCTTCGACAGGAGGTGATGATTGGCCGACAGATGCCAGAACAGATGTGCAGATTGGAGCCCTGGTGGTGGTCTGCCACAAGAGGACGCAGGCAGTATCCGTTTGGATAGTAGATACGCTGACTGCCACCGGTTTGCACAGCACACCTCTACAATCGATCCCAGCCTGTATAAGGAAAGAAAGCGAATGTTCTCGGTTTCAGACAGAGCAGACCCCGATAAATACTATGCTGCTACAAACACATAAAATCAAAAGACAGCGTCCGTCTCATCTGCAGACCCCACAGCCCTTCCATGCTCAGAAGCCGGGGAGGCACTACAGGCGTCCTTTGTGCAACCCGGGCCGATGGCTGGACTCGCTAGTGCTAGTCCTATCTCCCTGGCCCGCCGGTCACCCCTGCCTTCTCTCCGGGAACTGCCGCGTACGGATAGCCTCCTCGGCTGAGGCGTATCACCAGGGACCAGCACTAAGGCAAGCGCGGCCGGAGACAGACACCTCGCAGTTGTCCAACGCTAGCAGCGAGTATGCAAATGAGTGTGCATCTTTGACGAGTGTGCTGTGATCTAGATGCCCGGAAGGCTGGGCTCATAGCAGCTGGTGCGCAGGCCCCATCGCTAGCCTCACACGCAAGTTGCTGGTCTATCTTGGAGGGCGGCGGGCGTCCCTGCTGCAATCAGCACTTGCTTTGCCAGTAGCGATGGCCCAGGTCATGGTATCTGGTCCACGCTGAATGTCACGCAAGGATGCGCCTACTGCTCGAGAGGACCAGCACGGCATCTGCCGGTCTACGGGCGCACGTGCTCTCCCATTGTGGCAAGCACAGGGAAGGAGTGGTCGCCAGTGGGGCAGCTAGACGTGCTGGCCGGCGCCGCCATGCACAGGTGAAGCAGCTGCCCCTCCATGAATACGCTACCCTGCCCACATAGCTGCGTCCCTTGAGCTGCTCGTGGCCATGGGTACCTATGACACGGCAGATGCCGAAGGGCGTCGTAAGGGACCCCCATGCCCCTTATCGAGCAAGCTGGCGCGACATAGCCGGCCCTGTGCGGGGGGGCGCTGTTCTAGGAGACGGTGGCCGCCACGGACACGTCCGTTCTAGTAGTAAACGGCGGACCTCCGTGACGGCGTCCGTTATCATGGCTTCCATCTGCATGTCGAGTCTAGCTGCTGACTGGCCCGGACAGGCGGCAGGCGAGACCCTGGGCCGCTCGCACGTAACCCAGCGGCTGTCTGCTCAGTCGAAGGGATGCAGCCTTAAATATGCGTCCACAGGGCAGCATCCGCCGCCGATGGGAACGACTCAACCGCTCTTCTAGCTTTAGCTAAACAGTCCTGTCCTCGAAGTGCACCGGGAGGCCCTTGTCCAGCACACATCATACGATATTCGGAGGTCATGAAGTGCGTATTCGGTGCGTCTATCAGACGTCAATACGGCTGGATTAGCCGTCCTATTGCCAGGTTGTGCCGCCTCGAGTTAGCAGAGAGCTATGCTCCACCCTCTGCAGGCTGCTCTCTCAGTCGCGGCTCAGCCCTTGCCCCGGAATTCCGATACCATTCAGGCTCTGCCTCGTCCGCCCGCTGCACTGTAGTGTAGGAGCGCAGGCCTCGGTCCACACTTCAGTGTTACCCATTCCCATAGTGCAATCCGTCACATTAGAAGATCAAGGATGTTTTAGCTTAGTCTTTGCAACCATCTATGAAGAGTGCTTCGCAAAGGAAAGAACATGGCAAAACTTTATTGGGACTTTGTCCAGCACTCTTCTAAGCCTAGAATCCGCATTGCCAACGACTAGGGAAGTATCGAATGTTCTAGGAAACCGCTTGGAAGCACAGCCCACGATATGTTGCCCTGCAAGAGCCTTTCCCTTTAACTCGGCGCATTCAGCCATGCACTCCCACCTCTATAGAATTCCGAGACGTCTGCTTTTCCTACAAGACGGGCTGCGATATTCTACATGGCTTGACCCTGTTTGTTCATCCCGGTCAGAAGGTTGCTATCGTGGGAGGTCGGGGATTGGCAAGTCCACGATCATCAACCTCTTGACGCGGCTATACACCACACCCCAGCATCAGGACACTTCGTCGCCCGGAATCTATCTCAATGGCAGGGCTATAGGGTCCATCCCACGCGAGGAGCTACGGAGGCTTATAACAGTCGTCCCGCAGGATAACATACTCATCAGGGGCTCTGCCACGGACAACATCGCCTATGGACAGCCTCGCAAGCTCCCGGGCTCCCACGCAGAAGAGGAGCAGAGGCGCTACATCCGAGAAGTCATTCGGCTATGCTACGAGGCTTCCCGTGTTGTTGCGGCTGAAGAGCTCCTGGGAGACGCACCATACAGTGGAACCCTGCAGGGCCTTTCTGGGGGACAACGCCAACGGGTAGGAATTGCCAGAGCTGTCGCACGTGGAGGCAGCGTTCTTGTGCTCGACGAGGCGACGTCGGCACTCGACGAAGAGACAGAGAAGCGGGTCCTCCAACAGCTATTCCGCTCACTGGACCCCAACCAGAGCGTCGTCATTATCAGTCACAGACTCTCCACTCTCCGGTATGTCGACCTGATTTATGTCCTAGATAATCCAGATGGCAGTGGAGCGCGCGTGGTAGAGTCAGGCTCGTACGACTGGTTCGTTGCCGAAAGCCAATATCTGAAGGATGCAGGCCAGGATATCTCTGACCTTGTGAGTAACTGTGGCTGTAGCAGCGCAGGTGTTACCCCAGGCTTCTCCCATGCAACTCTTGATGCAAAGGGGGATCCGTAGAAGCAAAGCACGCCTGGTGGCGAAGACGAGTAAAAATAAAAATGCCAGCAAATGAACACTGCGCAGATCTGATTTCTCGCCTGTTATATTTGCGCTCCCTACAAGCCCTGTACATAAACAGACGCGTCGAAAAAACGGTCTACATGAAACAGATAAATGACCTTTTTGGTATTCCAGGATCCCAAGAGGGGCCCATTCAAATCCTACTCAAAAGCCTAAAAATTGGAACACTTAGTGAACTTCGCAGGTTGCTGAAGAACTACGAGATAGATTGCACTGAAATATCGTCTATTGAATACATTCTGCTTGAGCGCAAAGTCGTCAGTGGGGAGTATTGCCAGAAGGTAGATAAAAATACCAGGGAGCTGCTCGAATGCTTGTATGAAACAATAAACCTCCTAACGCCCAATTCGCCCCTAAGTTATGATCAACTTCTAACGTATGGCAATAATCTGGTGTCCAAAGCAAAAAAACTCACAGATGGCGTCAACTCAACGTGGCCAGTACTCAAGGAACTCGAAGGCTTAGTAGAACAGATAGAGCATGAAGCTAATTTGAAAACAAACATCTGTCCAGCAGATTTAAAAAGTGCATTTGCAGAACGTTTAAAAAGCATATATGATAAAATATTCTGCTGACAAATGATAAAGCTTAGACTAGAGGACAGTAAATCGCACATTCTGAAGGCAGGAGATGGCGAGTTAGTGGACGCTTTGGACCATACAGGGGAACAATCTGCAAGGGTGATGAGGGCATCACCTTTTGCGGTTCCATACCCTACCAAAGCAGACGCGTCTGTCTATAAGTATCTCTGCTACCTGGAGTTTCTTCTGAAGCTCCAGAGGAGGTGCCATGGCTCTCAAGAGGTGGAAACCGAAATTCATGCCGTGTTGAGCACAAAGGGCCCGATCGTTAGAGGATGTTCTCTGCTGCACATCAGGACGATGGATAGTCTAGTTCGTCGCCTCAAATCGTTCTTTATAGACTTTCAGAACTGCTACGATGCAATTACATTGGTTGGCAAAGAGCTATTTGTGGGAGACAACATTGTCTGTCCACAGGTAGATAGAGATGAACTTCTATCAAGCTTTTATGTGCTTATTGGGCTTCTCAACGAAAGATCTTCACCGGCTTATCTCGAGGAAGTCTATTACTCCATCTGGGGGCTTGTTCGACAGATAGATGGTACTCAAGCAATTCAAGATGCCTTCTTCACAGAACGGAATGCACTCGTTGGCATCTTGCAGGAGCTTTATGGTTATGTAAAGCAAAAAGAGAAGGAAACTGCGATAGACTTACCTTCGCAGATTGGAAAGCCTACCCAGCGTCTACTTGATATTGCTCTCCGTAAGCGTTTACTCGAGCAGCTTGTTCCCCTCTACAAAGCGATGCATGCTCAAGTCAACGTCTGACCTGCCATACTAGCGAATGGGCCCGCCGAACTTGAAAAAGGACAATCAAGCAACATGAAAATTCCAAAAAAGAGATGGCGTCTGATGTGGTTATCCAGGAAAACTATGAGATTCTAGACGTAATAGGCCAGGGAGGCTTTGGCAAAGTATACAAAGTTAGGTATATTCCCACGGAGGCGTTGTACGCCTACAAGCTGATAAGCTATGCCAATGAGACCAGTGAGGTCCAGGGTCTTATAGAGTCGGAAATCAAGCTTACAAGGCACCTTTCTCATCCTAATATCATCAAGTTCCACCATGTTTACCACTCTGAAGAGCGTAAAGAATACCATATTATTATGGATCTTTGCGAAGGCGGGGACCTTCGCCAGTTCATTGACAAGCGGCAGAGGATGCAGACTTCCCTAGAGGAGGAGCTTATATGGCTGTATATGGGACAGATCCTGCTGGCTCTAGCTTACTTACACTGCCCATTCAAGAGCGGAATCCAGCAGCACGGGCGCATAATTCACCGGGACATCAAGCCTGCTAATATTTTCATTAAAGGAAGCAATACACTAATAGTTGGAGACCTGGGGATTTGTAAGGACATTGGTCGCCACTCCTCTACTGACGCAAAGATTGGTACTCCCGCTTACATGGCCCCCGAAGTCCTCATGAACGTTAAGCAGGGCTATAACGAGAAATCGGATATCTGGTCTCTGGGCCTGATTGTGTACGAGTTGTGCACTTTTGAAAGATTAGTAAGCGGTGCGACGGTAGCTGATGCAATCGAGTCCATAGAGTACATAAACTTCCCTATCATCGTTGAGGGCTATAGTCTGGAGCTCGTGGAAGTGATTAATGGAATGATCGATCCAAATATTATGACTAGATTTTCAGCTCATGACTTGCTAGCTCATCCGCGGTTGTGTCCGTACATCAAGCGGCTCTTAGGACCTAGCGTCACTATCGCTACCTTTACTTATGGAGGAGATCCGTTGCTTGACAAGCATAGCTATAGTTACGGCCTCCAAACTGAAGATCACCGGGTCAATGCCACGACACCTTGCTCTGCTAAGAATGATCCTAGCTATAGCACGTCACTAGCAAACATTGCTCTTATGGCCCCAGGTAGCATTGCAGCAAAGATCTTCAATCATACTCCTCTTATGATTGCTGCCGAAGCAGGAGACCTCTGCGGTGTAGAGGCACACAAGGCGGTGTACTCAAGGAATACAAATACACGTGGGTATACTGCGCTGATGCTGGCTGTGGAACAAGGACATATGAAATGCGTCAAATCTCTTTTGGGCGTTGAGGCAGGCCACCAGGCAAACGATGGAACAACTGCATTAATCATTGCGCTGACTCGAGGATATACCGACATCGCTAAGCTTCTTTTCCCCCTGGAAGCAGCCATAAAAGCCTACGATGGACGCACGCCTTTGATGATAGCTGTGGAAAGGCATCACTCGGTACTGATTAAGCCCCTCGCAAAATACTCTGCCGGTGAACAACTTGCTGACGGAACGACGGCTCTCATGATCGCAGTCCAACTATTGGATGCCGTGTCCGTAAAGGCGCTTGCCAAGGCAGAATCCGGCATAGCTACTGACAAGGGCAAAACGGCCTTAATGTTAGCTTCTGAGCAAGGAAGCCTTGCACTGTGCAAGCTTCTAGCTAAAAACGAAGCCGGGCTACAGATGCATGATGGAACAACTGCACTAATGATTGCTCTCGAGCGGGGGTATGAAGAAGTAGTTGCCCTATTATACAGACGTGAGAAGGACATCTGCAAGGACGATGGCACGACGCCCCATCAACTGGCTGCAAAGACAAATAGACAGGACATAATGCAGATATTTACCTCTAAAAAGGACAATACTTTAATAATATCTAAAAGGGTGAAGGAGAGTGTGACGGAACTTAAAGAGCACAGATCTTAGTAGACAGAATAGGTTGGCTCACCGTGGCTATCGTCGATACTGCCCTCACTGGATGTGTCTATACAGCATTCAAGCATCATGATGATTATGCCTTTGTTGGTTTGCGAACGGGCCAATGAGCATGTGGTGTTTTCCCACGCTCTGTCCTCGGGTATAGGCTCATATTGCAGAAGAATCTGGACACCCTCAACAAACCCGTGCTGCACTGCATGCATAAGAGCGGTTTTTCCACTGGTAGACTTTGCACCATGCTCCTTCGGAGCCAGGATAGCTGCACATTCCGCTCTGAGGCCGAAGATAGCAGTCATTAAGGAGGTGTAAGAGAACCCGATCAATTCCTTTTCATATGGAACCAAGTTTTTTACCAGTTGCTCCCATCCCAAGTAGGCGCTGATCATCATTACGGTAGATTTTCCGATTACGTAGTGGCCCATTCGGAGTAGAGAGTCTATATATCTGACTGAGTATTCTCCGTCTTGTGAAGCGTGCTTTATGACATCGACGGAGTTTGGATTTCCTTGTTCTGCCAGCCTGAAGAGAAGGGTCTGTCCGTCTGGCTGGATAGCTAGCAAAGCGTCTGCAGAGACACCATCTGGTGCGTGTCCTAGCAAGGCATTAACGTACTCCCTTGTATAACCTTTATTTAAGAGAGAGTATCCCTGTAATTGGGCAAGTAAGCGGATGAACAGAGATCTTGCGGTCGATAGAACGTACTGGTCATACCTGTTATTTCCGCTTAGAAGCAGCTCTAGCTCCGTGGGCTTACTGTCCTTCTTTGTGGACTTACAACTCTGCTTTCCTTCTTTTGTTTGCTTGCCCTGTGGTCTCTTCATGTCTTTTACAAGTAAAAAGATCTTTGTGACCATCGGATCCTCGAAAGGCTCTGGATCATTCTCGTTCTGGTAGTGACACCAGAAGTCGCGCCTGTCCACAAACTCGGATATGAGATTGCTCAGAGATTCCGTTACCTTAAGACCTTCGCTATCTTTCAGTAACTTGTCAAAGAGACTCTGAAGTTCTGGGGTTAAAGGCTCCATGCACTCTACCGGGTCACTAAGCAAGGCATCAGTCCATGTGCCGGCAGATGTAACAGTGCTAGCCACGGTGGCAGTAGTACCGATTGCAGACTCGTGTGCGTTTATGCTTACACCTGCTGGAGCAAAGCCTTTACACCGTCGATCTAGTTGCTGCGGGAGAATCTTTATTTGTGCCAGTTCCTCCCGAATACATTCCTGCACTTGCTGTTTAAAGTCTTGGCAAGCTGCTGTCAATGTACTGAGCTCAGATGTGATGTTGACATTCTGTGCTAATAGTTGGGTCAAGTGCTTGATCACGGGACCATTAGCTTCGTCCCCGCTTTTTTCCTTCTGTGTGTTTGTGATAGCTACTTGAATAGCCACTGTTTTGACGGAGGATGCCTTTCTAGGGGTCTGTGTGGCATCCACAGAAATGCTAGTCATGACACGGCTTTCAGTGTTCTTCTTTTCTTTCAGCAGCCTTGCGTTGGTCCTTTCAAGTTCTACAATCTTCTCTTCAAGCTTTTTAATATGATAATCATCTTCTTCTTTCTCTGCCGCATGAGCTTTGATGATATCGTCTAATTCTGCCACCTTCTGCTCAAGCTTAGTCTCGAGCTCAGCATGCTGCTCCTGGAGTTGGGTGCTAATCTTCTTCAGATCGGGCTCGTCAACCAGGCTCGTTTCTACTGATTTAGATGGCGGCAGCAAGTTAAGCGATTCCATATACCCACGCACTGTAGGCAACATAAGAAGATCCTCGATACACCATCTCTGCTCGGGATTGACAACCAAGAGCATGGAAAGGCAGAGCTGAACATTTCTGTCGAGGTTTGGTATGGGCTTAACAATGACACTTTCCTTAGTTGTGGAATCGTGGTGAAACCTTGGGTACTCTAATTTAACCAAGTACCACATAATTGCTCCGACAGACCAGCAATCCAGCGCCCTGAGATGTATTTTTTCTTCTAAGTTGTCTGGTGCCAGGAATGACAGATATTCCTCGTGTGCTGCTGCGTCTGCTAACCCCTTGCTTGTTTCAATGCAATTAAACAGATTCAAAATTAATAGCTTAACTTCCAGATTGCTGTTAATAAATATAACGCTTGGAGTGACAGCAATATGAGCCACCCGTTCTTCTTCTGTCATACCTTCAAATAACTTTAGCACATGTAGGAACAAGTCAGGGGTAACATTCGTGTAGTCTTTGTCCAGGCCGACTGTATTCCGCCTTCCTTCTATGGTAGAAAACAAGATAAGTATATAAATTAGCTGAACTGTGATCTTCCAGAATTCATCTACGTCAAGTTCCCGGTTCTGGCTCTTCAACTCGTTGATAAAGTGTGACAGAGGCACGCCGTGCTTTTCCATTACGATGTATCCATCGTCGCCGTCAAATACCAATGGATAAAACTGGATGAACCTATTCTTTGGTAGAGCGCAAAGCGCAGCAAGAGACCTATCATAAGCCTTTGGAAAAGGTGGAATGAAGTCCGACCTTTTAAACCGATAGACGCACAACCCCTTATCACGTGCATGCTCGTAGAGGTCAAAGCCCATGCTTCGATAGAGGAACCTACTTGAACAGACTTGAGCGGAGTGCTCCATCTATGCGAAGTACAAGAATTTATTTGGAGATAAAGATAATAAGAAAACAAGACGGTAGAACACTAGAATATCTGAATAAGAATCTAGTCCTAACTCTAATGCAGAACAAAGGACAAAGATGCTGTCACGTGAGTATGAAAAGCACTCCGTCCTCCAGCAGAGCCGTTTGATCTTCTACTAACCTAGCTATAGCCATATCTATTTGACTGTCTGTAAGTTCCTGAACATTTGTAGAGCGGCACCGAGCCTTCAGCCACGGAATAAAGTCGCTGAGCTGCACAGCTGTGAGTCCAGTTTCCTCTGTGTACGTTGATATGGCCCTCACCACTGTTAAGTAGACGCCAGAGTCAACGGAATTATCTCCAGAAACGTCTCGTGAGCCACCAGCGGGGTCAGGATCTTGCACAATCGATGAGACACCTCCAATAAGGTGAGTTTCATCGCCAGCTATGTCGGTGTTAGATACTGTCCCGCGTACAGAGTCTTCCTTCTCACCATAAATGCAGACAACCAATAATATGTACGCCTCAATGACATCCTCTGGCTCAACCTCCCTGGGAGGAAAGCTGAGCTTCGTTAATGCCGTAGCCAGCCTAATCAAAGACTCGAGGATGCGGGCTGTAACAGGGATGTTCGGAGGATGGCGACGCGCGTTGACTGCACGCTGCCGCAAGTCTGTATAACACTTCGACACCTGTCGTACGGCCCTTTCTGACATGTAGGGGCCTGAGCGGTTCAAGGAGCGTGCGTACTTAATTATGTCTCGCAGAAATCCGTGAGAAAGAAGTGCTCGTGCTCTATTGACTGTGTACACGTCAGAATTCCAAGTCCTTTCCAATTTCTCTGTGTATATTTGATGAATTTCATCGTTAGCACCCTGAAAATACAGCGGACTCATGAGGTCGAATGACAAGGGCATTGATGAGCCAGCAGCAGTTCCAGAATTTCCTTGCGTTGTAGCAGATCTTTGGTTTGTGTTTTTGAGGAATTCTATGAGCTCCTTGCCGTCAAATGTTAGCTCCTGGTCTTTGTACATATCATAATATCCACCCCTGCCCGGTGTGTCACCGACAGATGATTCTTCATCATGTGCCAACTTATTTCTTATGTAGTTATCCACACAGTTATCCCCTGGAATGACATGTGTACCCTGCTTCGTGAGCTCTGCAAGGCTCTCCTCTATTCCCTGTTCTAAGGTCTTCCTTTGTTCCTGAGCAGCCTTTAAAGCGTCCAGACCCATGCTAGTCATGTGGTTTAGAAGAACATGGGAGGCTATCTTAGCATCCATTGTATGGTCGTCCCGTACAAGGAAAACAAGATCGTATCTGCTCAACAAGGAATCTGGAAGCGCTATGTTTTCAGCAAAGGAGCGCTTTGGATCGAAGAAGCCGTAAACGGGATTGGCTGCTGCAAGTACGCTACACCGCGCATTCAGGGTACAGTGGAGGCCCGCCTTGCTGATCGAGATACTCTGCTGCTCTAAGGCCTCGTGAAGGAGAGCACGGTCATCAGCATCTACCTTATCAAATTCATCTATTAGCAGAACACCCTTATCTGCAAGAACGGCAGCGCCAGGATCCAGACGCCGCTCCCCTGTTGTCCCATCGATAACTACCGCCGCGGTTAAGCCAACTCCAGAGGATCCGCGACCTGTCGTCTGCACAGACACCGGCATCAATTGCTTGACAACCCGCAGCATCTGGGACTTTGCGCTGCCCGGGTCTCCTATCAGGAGGATGTTAATGTCTCCGCGTATTCTACTGGAAGACGAGAATTCGCGGGGGACCCCCTGAAGCAGTTGAAGGACTATTCCACGCTTTACAATCCAATGCCCATATATGGCTGGTGCAAACGATGCTGTTAGCACATCAAGTGCATAGCCAGAGAGGGAGACCAGCTGGGTGTTGTTCCTATGCCGCATCCAACGGGATATGTCTGTGCACCTCTTCAAGAAACGAATCACGTGTTCCTCTGCGGTCGATATGTGTCGGATCGGCGTGCGCTCCAACACATTAATGGACAGTGCAAGTAGAAAGTTTCCTATGGAGGATGACTTAGTGTTTGATGTCTCGCCAGCTCTATGGTGAACGCTGGGGTTGAATATCCCTAGTATTTCTACGAGATCACCGGATTTGCACTTGTCAATCAGATGATTGCGAAGAATGACTGGTATGGAGCGAGGCAAGCGACCAGAAGGAACATACTCCGGGTGGTCCTGGACTAGTATCTTCTGTACGCTATCAAACAGAGAGAGGCCATACTCTCGCACAGTGGCCTGTGCAGTTGACGTTCTATGCAGTCTGCTATCAGATGGAGAAGAACCGGGTGCACCAAGAGTTAGAAATGGTGCGGTTTCAGGACTGGGTTCCCCAGTGGCTGGTCCGACTTCTCCCTCGGTAAAGAGCATGGAGTGCTGCCGTAGAATGAAGCCCCGCATCGATTCAGGTGCAACGGTGGTATATGGGTCTTCATACATAGTTTCCAGAAAAGTCCCGGTACTAGGCTGGAACTCAATGAGTCTGGATATGGAGGGCCTGGGCGCCGTCAATTTAGTCACAATCCCCGTAATCTTGAAGAGCTGCTTCAGGCATGCAGAATTGAGATTACGAGGTAGGGTTGTATGGTCAGCAGTGACATCGCCCGTAAGAAGGACGCTGAGACGCTGAGCATGGCCACCTGTGTAATGATTACTGTTAATATGCTCCTCGATGGCTGGGATGTATAAGTATGGCGCCTGAATGATCTCTACAAAGAGGGCGGGGCTCATCTCGCGAATTTTCGTCATGTCCAGCTCGACTGTTGATGATGGAACAGGCCCAGAACGCGTGGCCAAAAATTGACGAGAAATATAGGAGAACTCATTCTCAAAGCGACTGATTTCCTCCAGAGCTGCAGCATACGGTTGCATACCAGCTCAATATCGGGCAAAAAAGCAGAGGCCTTGTTTTTTCAAAAGACTCTTTAAAATGCTTTGTGGGACCCTGTGCCTGGCTCTGTGCCTGATCAGTGTCAGCTCTGTATTTGGGTCGAAGACAGAGGATGCTGTGAAGATGGATACCATACTAACAGAGGGTGTGCACCTCTTCATGACCCAGCTTCTTCAGAGCGTGGCAGATGACTGCAAAACGTGCGTTACTGAGTACACGGCACCAGCAATAGATCTTTTTAAGGATGTCTGTGCAATATGCATCACTGAATACCGAGAGCACGGACTTAACCTATACACGAAAGGCTGTCAAGATTGCATTGAGATATACCAATCTTATCTGATGGTTCCCTATGCCGGGACGTATTCTATTTGCAGAAAGTACTATGCCAGCTACGACCTAGAGTTATTTGGCACCGGCTGCACCAAGTACATAACTGCATATCTTGACGGGGGGCTCGTCTTACCCGGAGAAGCATGCGCTCACTGCCTGAAACTTTTCATCGCGCACTCCCTTACCGTATACAATGGTAGCTGCTATGCGTACATCGCACAAAGTACATCAAAGCAACTGGCGCAGGCGAACATTCCTCCAACACACAACTTCAAACTCGGAGAGATAATGTACGACGGTATCTTGCCTGTACGGATCTACAAGGGATGTCTACGAAGCGTCCAGAACTACTATGCGCCCCTCTTGCTAAACTTTTATAAGGATAACAGGTATGCAATATGCTTGGGAGCTATGTACTTTATGTCACTGATGATTGGCCTCGGCTGTCTACACTGTGGTGTGTATCGCTCGAAGAGTAGCGACTTATAAGCAAGTCAAACTTGTCTCTTTTCTTAGTGCCGTATTGTATCCTCCACTACTTCTCTGGATTTCGCTAGGTCGCATGCTTGATATACTAAATGGTCCTACCCTCTTTATACTGACTCCTATTATATCAGTGGTGTTTTTATTGAGTACAGCATCCAGCGGTACTGTCCTCCGCTTGGCTCTTGCCATCTTGGGGACACTCTGGGTCTTGTGTTCCAGGTAAACAGAAGTTGGCATTATGTCAGGGTGGTGCGCCATGTTGTGCGTTGTAGTAGTAAACGTCTTTGACACAGGTATGGAAGAGGTAATCTCATTAGTGCCTCTATCGGATTGGCCAAGGGTATCAGATATGTCTGAAAAGATGTTCGTCCGTAGACTACTTAATGGAACGCTAAACCTTTTTGTGGTTGAGCTAAGAGTGTCATATTCTGTGTTATATTCCATGTTATCTATGTTCCCTTTAGAGCAGGTAACAGTTACACCAGTCGAATTGGAAGGTAATGTTAAACCTTTAGCTGTTGCGTTATTAGCAGAAGAACTATGTGCAGATAATGGTGAGTTTGTGACATCAGAGGACTCGCCATCTAATGTCCTGGTCGTGCCCAAGTGATCTGGAGACTGGTGTTTCTCCTCTATAGTCAAACATTCATCGTCTACTAAAGCCAGATTGTAGCTGGTGGCATTCTTAGAAGTCGCCAGGATCGCTTTAGAGAGATGGCCACTCGAAGCCTTTGAGGCAGTGCCAAGACGAACTGACACATGCATTATTCCCTTGTATGTTGGAAGAGAAGCGTCATCAGAATCCTTTACAGTAGCTAGATTGAACTCTCTGGTGGATTGATCCAACTCTACCTTTAACAAAAGATTGTCAGAATATGGCAAACGAGTTGTGCTGATGAGTGTTGAAGCTCCGGTGCTTGTAGCCATGCATGGGTCTGGAACAGTAGGTTCTGAAATATCTCGAATGTGAAGCGTGTCTATAAGATAGCCGAAGCTTTCCGGCGGCTGCGGCACCGCTACTGACATAGCAGGGCGACCGACTCCAGCTCTGTGACCGCAAACATTATTGTTAGCACACCGTAAGGGTAGCTGTGTATCGATGGGAGGATGAGTCTGCTGTGGCAAGGGCAGAAGAAAATCATCTTCTGAACTAGAATAGCTCACCGGACGAAGTAAGGTGGTAATATTTCCATCGGTGCCAATAGCATCTTCGCCGCGTGGAGCCATGAGAACTTCTGGTGCGTTATCGAGTAGGTTGTTGGGTTGGAGAGACTCTATGAGCATTGCCTTCTTAGATAATATGCTTTCAGCAAGAGCTGCCGTTTCGCTGTGAACAATGGGAGTGGTTACAATTTGGAGGCAATCTCTATTACTAAGTTCATTTGCCGCTAGGATCAGTTCAGGACTGGGGCTGGTGCTGCTGCTATTGGTAAGCATATATAATTTGGATCTTTTCTTGATTAACTCTTCTGCATCGAGATCGTCCGAGCTCCTATTTTCTATATCATCTGCTACTATCCCAAGACGATTTTCCTCCTTCAGTTGCTGATATGCCGCATTACGAGAGATACTGGCCTTCTTACTGCTCTTGGCTACAAGCTTCTTGATATGGTTCTTTGAAATGGATCGAAAAGGAACTTGTTTCCTGTCTAGAACAGATACCTGTGCCTGGGTGGCTTCTGGTGCTGTTACATAATTGGACTCGGTGACTGAACAGTTAGTTATAGATGGGCACTGAGTAAATAGTTCTGCTGATGACGGCTCGTCAGTGTAGCTACCCGCACTCGCAAGCTCATTGTTCTGAAGAGTGGACTCGGTGACTGCCTTAGTATGCAGTCGTTCTCTCTGTGAATGAGTGGATACAGTTGAGAGGGTGGTACGATTGTGAGAGGCTTGATAGGTGTCTTTTTCCGACTGAGGCGGAGGTTCATGTGAGGAGTGAAGTAATGAAGAAGTCAGAGAGTCTTTAACGGTCGAGGCGTCCATCCTCCTTTTGGATGTTACTGGGTTGCTTGCGGCTATGCTACCGTCAAAAAGTATGGTTCTATTGATTAAGTGAAGATTCTCTGTCTTCAAGAAGGAAAAGTCTTCAAGTCCATCCTTCTCTAGCTTCTCTAGAGTCAATTCAATAAACATGCGTTCCCTCAACGTTCCAGTCATGCTCTTCTCAAGCTGGCTCTTGTACATTCCCCCCAGGCTAATGTCTCGGAAGGCATTTGTGGCCCTAACTTGGTTGTGCAAGTTTATGACACCCTCTCTATCCTCCTCATCTCGGAGCCTCCGAGTTGCAAAGGTTGGCGTGCTGTATGAACACTCATGGCAGGTAGATATATTATTTGTATAAAGATTGTATACTTTTGGTGAAATCTGCATAGCTCCATCCATTGTGCTGATCTTCTCTAGTGTAACCTGTGTGGCATTGTCAATCTCCTTAATGTTGCTGGCAATCTTGGCATCAGAGTGGGGAAGGAACGATAACTCCTCTCTGTGCTCTTTGGTGCTCCTAGTAACTATGGGCAACACGGCGTGTGAGTCTAGGTCAGCGAGTCCGCCTTCAAATCTATCCATAACCTGCCTTATGCTTGTGCCTTTCCGTCCAATGGTCTGCTTGTTATGTTTAGAGCTATAGGTTGTTGATTTAGTAGATTGTAGAGGCTTGCTGCCTATGTGGTTTTCAGAGGAGATTCCCCGGTGCTTAGTGGTTGTCTTTAATGGATCTCTTGTCACTGGAACGTGTATAACTCTGCGGTACTTAGTATTTGCGGCTACTTTTGCGACTATCTTGGGAGCTGGAGCCATGGTTGGACATCGCTCAACCCCAGTGCTTACTATTCTTCTAGAAGAAATGCTATGAGTGCTGTTCTGGATGCCCCTACTGGAAGCATGTTCTTGGCCATTAGTCACTGGTGTTACGGAAGAATGCACTAGTCCATAGGTCTTCTCAACATATTTTGACAGCGCTGCAGGCTGTATAATCAAGTAGCGTCTATCTAGCAATGCAACACCGTGATCAATGATCGCCTTCCTGTAAGCTTCCGAGTATGAGGCTAGCTCTGTCTGTATGGTGTCAGTGAATACATTCAAGGATAGAAACGGTGTTATCTTGAGTGGAATGGCGAGTACATCGCTTGTGCACTTAAAGCTCATTGAAAATATGGTCACCAACATTTCAGGAAGAGTGACACCGCGGCCTGGAAGCGTGGGGTCTCCATCGTTATCTAAAAGCGTCATAAAGGCAAGGTTCGACAGTAAACTAAAATCTAGTATTCTATTCCCCTCCACAACGCCATTTGGAAGGGTTGGGAAAAGGGACTCGAGGACCAGCTCTAAAGACCCACTGACTAGGTATGGAACGCCAAGACCCATTTCAGCTGCCATCCTCATCGTCTCACAGAGAGACAAGCAATGCATGCACAAACGCTTCTGGAAGGCCGTTTGCTGTGGAGAGTCGTTATTCTTTATGGTGTGTGCTCTAGGGTTTTCTGCACTGAGATTGCTGAGGGAATGATGCGCGGCACCCAAGGAGGAAGTTCTAACCTCTTCTGCCAAGATGCTCATGCCTGTCAAACAGGAGGAGATGGCTCGATCAATATCACGGAGATGCATATACAGTAGTGCTTCCAGAGAGTAGATTTCAGAAGATGGCACATGAATTTCATAGCTGAGTGAAAAGATAAGATTGTCATTGGTTATTGGTGGATGGTGCAGCATACGCAGGTACCTGTGTGCTTCAGAAATAAAGCCGAGCTGCAGATTAGCCAAAACAGCCCGCTGAAGCAGGGAATCGTGCGGACAAAGAGCTACACCCTTAGTAAACTGTTCAATTGCCTCCTGAAACGCGCCTTCTCGCAGCTTAACCAACCCCATTGCCCCATAAAGGTACGCTTTGAAGACCCGATAGCAAACGGCTGTGCCTATCTTCCTATATAAGGGAGCCTCTCTATAGTGAGCATCTGCAAGCGTAAAGGCTTCAACAAACGCACTATAGGCGTTGCTCCACCTATCACGAAGAAGCATAGTCTGGGCCTGCGCCAGCAGATTGTTACACTGCTGCTCTAAATTGCTCATCGCAATTAAGGAGATTTCTTTGCTTACAAGAAGATATGTTCACAATGGGAAACTTTAAATTTGAAGGCCCCTGTGTGGTGCATGTCTTACTCAGAGACCCTACAGCTTTGCCAGAAAGCAAACCTCACCATCGATGAACTAACAGAACTAAAGAGCATCTTGCAACGCGACATGGAAGATCCCCCGCATGCAAGAATTACTGGTGAAAAGGTGCACCAATTAATAAATGCAACAATATCTTCGCGGAACTTACCGGCTCTTCAGTTAGTCCATGAGTTTACACGAGGTAAGTATTCTCCTACAACCGCTGGCAAAACGTCTCTTTCTTTTGCTATTCAAGAACGATGGCTAGACGCCGTACTTGTGCTGCTGGATGACGAGAAGGATGTTATTGGGGCAAACACTCTGCATCTGGATGCGCTTGCGCATGATCCCGGACGCCATGTGATACTGGATGACCTTCTGCTCAAAGACAAGGCAGGTCATGGGGTACTGGAGTATGCTGCTTGTGCTAGGAACCTTGTGCTCATCAAGTCGATCGTTTCACTTGTTCTTGCTGCAAAGACTGTGCCAGAAGGCGTCAGAGATGCATTTATTTCTGCCTTTCCGTATCTGGCAGAAGACTCCACATATCCATGCACAGATGCCGCAATGTGTTTGATCCTTTCTCCCCTTAGACCGAAGCTCTCCTTTCAAGTTTGTGAGAAGCATGCAGCACTAGACTCACCAGCGCCATATCAACACTCAACATGCGGCTCTAAGTTCTTCGCTGCAGGTAGCAGATCAGCGATGCAAGACAACTCCAAGCATAAGAAACCCCACATTCCTGTGGCGTCCGATAAGACCGCTTCATCTTCAAACGGTGTGGCTCGGAGGCAACAGACTTCGACAGCCGATATCGTTGACCACTTGCTAAAGTCAAGTTGCTATGCTGATCATGTAAGTGACCTGCTCTCCGTGTTCCATCAACAGGAGCATAGTACAAGTATACAAGGAACATGCTTTTCTGGTAAAATGCTTTATAATTACTTGAAAGAGCTTCCCAGGCATCCCCCGCTTTTGAGATACTATACATCTTTGCTACGCTGCATCTATCCTAACGTTTGCCTACACTACATTGATTTTGAGCTGTATGTGTCCACAAATAAGTGTAAAATACCATCCGAGATTGGTCTCGTAAAAACATACAAGGGGAAACCGATCTATGCCTTGCAGGGTTTGTTCTCAGCAGATGTTTCGTTTGCTTCCAGAGGGATGTTGAACGTCATTGCAGCGATAACGGGAATAGAGTACGACATCAACACAAAAAAGCGCCCATGGCTTTCTACCTTAAGCTATACTGAGTGGACCAATAACAATGTCAAGAAATGCATCAACTGGTTTCTAGGCAGCTCCCCGCAAGCTCTAGATGACGCGTGTAGCACTCAATCCCTTCTTACCCTTGTTACAGATGAGTATGTCCTTTCAAAGTTGCCCTCTCTTACTGACTCATTTAAAGACAACCAAGTGAAGTTGCAATCTCATCAAAAAGGTTTAGAAAATCAGATAGGGTGCACGTTATATAGACACAGATCTGGATTGTATCTTTATCGGTTCCACGTTGACGTTGATTCGCCACTGCCTTGCTTCCCGCACATCCAATACGCAACTGATGCCCAGCCGAAGCCACTCGTTGACTCATCCGGGAAACTTGTTGTCTTTGGTAAGGGAATCGACACAGAGGTAAAAACCCTCAAAGCGCTTAACATTACTCACGTAGTAGTGCACGAAGTCCAGCAGTTCTTTTCTCCATTTATTCCGGTACAAAGGCTAATTACTATATCCAAAACTGCACCCTTGTCCACCGAGCCGTATTGTATTGATCATGAAATTATCAAGGATCACACAGCTCTGCATCCACGGAAAGATGGACACTTTCATTGTGCATTATATGATGCTCTGCAACTTTCGTTCTGCACTTACAGGTGGCTACATCAAATTGTCACCCCAGACTTGATCGAACCCAAAAATATGCTTAGGTGCAAAGGTACCGATAAGGTTACGGTGCTCAGGATGCCCAGGAAGGACCCTGATGAGAACGTTGAGGACTAAACAGAAGCTAGTATTTTGTAAATTTTCAAAAAACGCTAGATTATCATTGGCTCAATAATCGCAGAATTGAACGATGGCAGAGCTAGGCAGGGACTATCAGCTTGTCGAGGACTGCGGCTCCTTCTCGCGACACATAAAGGTCCAAACAGGAGAGCCTGTCATTGCAATTCACTATCTTCTACCAGATGGATCCACACAGCCCGGTGACCGGAAGGCTATGCAGGATTTTATACACTTGATTAAGGCCGTGAGCTATCTGGCGATACCTGCTCCTATTGGTACCGTTGAGACAGATGACTATTGCTATCTCATCTACATCGACCACGGATACAAAAATCTGATGGACGTTGTCTCTTCAGCTGCGAAGCAGCATACCGTCAGCGAGGATGCCTTTTGGGAGATCTGTGGAGAGCTAGTGTCAACTTTACTTCATCTGCGGACGTGCCTGGCACACTACGGCCTATCTCTTTACCTTGAAAGTCTTGCTTCGACAAATATTGTACTAGATGAAGACTACAAGCCCAGAATTCTCAGTCTTACTTGTCTCAAATGCATTTCAGACAAACCTGAGCATCTCTTCCCGCATTATAGAGAAGCATACGGTGTGCCATCTATTGACCTCCCTCACTCTGTTTTAGAATATTGTGAACATGTGTCTATCAAGGAATCAGATACCTTTCTGCGTGGTTCCGAGCTTAATGACTATATTGCGCGATCCCTTGGGTCTCTTCTATACTATTTGACAACAGGGATGGAGCTTAAGCTCCCTCTATCAAATACAGATCAACTACAGTCCGTAATTATGAATGCCAGCGGCGTATCCTCGGAAAGGAAGGCACTCTTACTGGGGTTGTTGAGCAGCAACTCTATTGAGCAGGATCATCCGTTGGACTTATATGAGGTATATTGCATATGTTGCCAGCAGATAGATAAGCAATCAGTGAAGCAAATGGACTCGAGACCAGGGCATGATTCTGCATCGGAACCCATATCGAAGATGCCAACGGGTACGATGGACACCGTAGAATCCTTGCAAATAAAGAACGCTCAGCTTGAAGGATATACCTCTCAGATAATGAACGAGCTAAAAAGCAAAATGCAAGAGGTGTCCGACTTACGCGCGCAACTTACAGAGGCTCTCAAGCAGGGGGAAGTGTTCGCCAAGCAGTTGCCCCTGTTTCAAAAAGAGATATCCGTGCTCAGGAAGAAACTTACAGAAAAGTCTGCTGGGCCACCATCTCCGCGAAGAGACAGCTTGGAGGAAGAAAACGCTGCTCTAAGAGAAGAGCTCAGTAAAGCGTATACAGATCTGCAGATGGAGGTCGCGGTAAGAGAGGATCTTGAGCGGAAGCTTAAGGATGTAGCACCATTAGCTACACATGCCGAACATAAGGACGTCGAGCTTGAGGTTCTTCGAGAAAAAATTGTTCTTCTTCAGAAGAAGATTCAAGAAAGAGACGATCTCATTACCAGCCTCTATACAAGCTTGCACTCCCTAGAGTCTATTAAGCTACCTGTCAAAGCTCCAGATCTCGTCCGGCCAAGTGTTCGCCCGGCTCTGGTTGTCGACACGCCTGGACCTTCGGCAACGGTTAACTCTGTAGACCATAATACGGTAGCGCAGCAAGGAGAGTCACCACATGCACGCAGCGACGGGGAAGCTAGCAGTATCATCGGTAGTACTAGTATCAGTGATAGCCATGGAACACGCAGACAACTCACAGAGATTTCGGCAATGATGGCCACCAACCACTCACCGACGCCAGATATGGTGTCCCCATCTATAGATGCACAGCTTTCAAGACTGATAACTAATTCCGTACAGCGCATGCCTATTTCAACCAAGAAAGAAGAGCGAGGAGATGAGCTAAATATAAAGGATCTTGAGCTGAACAAACCAGCAAGAGGGATTGTAAGTGTACCCAACAGATCCAAAAGTACAAGGAATGTTCTAGACGAGCCAGGTCAGAAGGGAGACCTCAAAAATCCCAAGCCGAGTGCCCCTGACCGAATCTACTCTAAGAGTGCGAAGCGCCCTCGTGTCAAGACACCATCGCCGAAGGTCGATAATCATCATTTTCTGAAGGCACGATCTCCCACACGAGAGCAAGAGGTGACGGAGAAGCTTATTGAGTGCAAACTTCCCAACCAGATTATCAGGCTGAAGTCCGAGCTCACCCCTGCCGATCGCCTGATGCAGAAGTTTGACTACAATTCAGAGTACACTATTAAGAGCGGTGAGAAGAACTATACCCCACTTATGGAGATAATATGCAACACTAGGCAGCCGCGGGCAGCAGGGAGCAAATCTGTCATCAACTTCAAGAGCTATGCTGGATATATTGGCCAACAGAATGACCAGGGCCTAACCGCCCTTATGATAGCCAGCATGAAGAACAATGAACATGCAGTCAGGTTCCTGGTTAAGCATGAGGCGAATCTATTAACTGTGGAAGGATACAGTGCTCTCTACCTGGCCCTACTTTCCAATCACGTCGGAATTGCACGACTGCTACTGCCATATGAAGGGTTTGCATATGAGGAAGATCAGCAAGAACTCGCAAAAGATGGCATGACACACCTCATGGCGGCTGCTTCATCGAATGATATTATAAAGACATTCATCTATCTAGATTCACAGAGAGGAAGACAAAATGCTTCTGGATACACAGCGCTGATGCTGGCGGCAGAACGAGGAAATGCAGAGATATGTCAGCTGCTGGTGTCAGAAGAGAAGTGTCTCAAGAATAACGAAATGGAGACTGCTCTCATGCTTGCTTCCAGAAACGGACATAAGAATTGTGTGCGTATCTTGGCCACATCCGAGAAGGGTCTTCAAAATAAAAAGGGCCAAACTGCTCTGATGTTAGCAAGCATTGCTGGGTACCACGAGCTGGTCAACATCCTCATCAATTCAGAAGCAGGGAAAAATGCGTATGTCTTTGATAAGGAGACAGGATATACTGCTTTAATTTATGCGATAAAGCATAAGCACAAGGAGTGTATTGAGAAACTGGCTCAGAGAGAGGGCCGCAAGCCAGACATGCGCGGAAACCTACCTCGTATGTTCGCTTCCACCAATGATATTTTGAAACTCTGCCAGCTGCTTGGGATACAGTAGGTCAGGCTTAATTGAATTAAGATTGCGATCAGTGAATCTACAGTATGGATTTGTTATGTTATGCTTACATTCCCACTTGGGAGACACCTCGTTACCAAATGTGGAGGGTTATGCCCGACTCCATCCTGGGGATTCGCGGTCGTGACGCCTGGTTGTCTGGAGCCGATGCCCCAATGATGCTCTGACTGGAAGTATGGACAGATATAGGTTGTTTTCTCTGTGTCAGCTTATCACATCAGATACGTTACTCGGAGTAACTTATAGACTCTAGAGTCCATCTTCTTTGTATCGTCTTTACAACTCCAGTAATCTTCTGTTGCGGATATGTTGGCCTTTGATAGGTGGTTTCCATACCCTCAATTTACAATTCCGAACCCATAAATTTATACGCCACTGCATCACCAAAACCAATGCTCCGCACAGACAATAACGGTATCAAAGTTGGATGCTGGAGTTGGCACCAGACAGCTGACTCAGCAGGGGCACGTCAGCGTGGAGTGATGCGTTAGAAGTTGCTTGCCGCTTGAGCTTGGACCTGGAAGACTTGGAGCCTTTCTGCGGGGCGCGCTCCCTTAGTGGGCCGCCTCTCCTGGGCCGTATCACGAACCACCAGATGAGGAAGCCGGCCACTGCAACGAGGACGAGGAGAACGACGACCACGATCGCAGCCGTCGTGCTGGCAGACGATTTGTTAGATGGAACAGGGACTCCGCAGACGAAGTCGCTTGTGAGAGAGAAGCCTTCATCGCATATGCAAGTGGGCTTTATGCCATTCTCAGACACGCACCTGCCGTTGCCCCCGCAGATCGTCACGGTGCCGTCGGTGCCGCGCTGGACGCACTGGCTGCTGATGCAGAGCTGGTCAAGAACACTTTCATACCCATACTTGCACTCGCATGTACTATCTGTGGAAAGTGGACAGTCGCCGTTCCCCCCGCAGAGTGTCCCACCGGAAATGCAGGCCGATGGGTAGCAGAGAGTCCCGTGGAGGGTCCAGCCCTGGTTGCAGCTACAGATCGCAGAGGACCCTTCACCTGTACACTGTCCACCGCCGTTGCAGATTTTCCCGTCCTTGAGACATCTTGTGGGGATGCAGTCTTTGTTGACTAAAGTGTAGAAATCCAGGCATACACAGCGATAGGTATCCCCCGCCTTCTCGCAGGCCCCGAAGCCACTGCAAAGCTTGTTGTCCGACGAGACACAGTTTTTGTGCACACAACTAGTTTGACCTTCGAGACTCTGAAAGCCATCCACAGTGCAGTCACATCGCTTGTTGTCTTCATTGCACGTTCCACCACCATCGCAGACCTCGGCCAGGATGCTCTCGTGCGCCCCGAAGCACTCCTTGACGAAGCACTGGCCGGTCTTCTTGTCTGTGCGGTATCTGCTGCTGTCGCACCTGCACAGTCCCGTGCCGGCGACAGGGCCCTCTACGCATGTTCCTCGCTTGTTGCATATCATCGCAGGGTCAGTCTTGTGATTCTCTGGCATGCATTCCGCATACACACAGACACCCGTCCCAACAAGGGTCGTGCCGGAGTAGCAGCTGCATGTCTCAGTGTCTCCGGTCTCGTCACAGTAGCCCATATTGTAGCACTTCTTCTCTATGTTTTCATACGGATCTGTGTAGTAACACTTAGATTTTCTGCACTTTTTGCTTGTCTTATCAACGATGAAGCTAGAACTAACGCATACACAAGTAAAGCGGCTGTTGACTAGCTGACAGCTTCCCGCAACAGGGCTCGACTCCTCGCTGCAGCTGTCGCCCTCTGGACAGTCTGTCGGATAGCACCTGTTGTCTGTGTATTCCTTGTAGCCGGTCGCGCAGTCCTGACATTTGTCCCCAGAGTACTCAGAACGACAGCTGCATCCCTCTGAATCCTTGGTGAGCAAGCAGCTACCTCTTCCGCTGCATATTCTCTCTAGGCCCGTTTTAGAGGTGAGGCACTTAGATGGTATGCACAGATATCTGTAGCCACTAGCAGACAGTGTCTCATAATTGGCGTCACATGTGCATGAATATCCCGTATTCTTACTTCCCTTGCATTTTCCGTGGCCAGAGCACTCCAACTTCTGGACGGGGTTTCCGGGTAGAGTATCGCTAAGGCAGTTGCTGTTCATGCACATCCCCGTATTTATCTGGACAATGTTATACCAGTTATCGCACTTGCAGTAAGATTTCACCTGCTCAGTGAGGTTGAGAACACACGATCCCAGGTGCGAGCCACCACACATCGTCTTCTGCTTAGTATCGTCAGATGCTGTAACTTCAAATATGCAAGCTGCTGGAAGACAGAATCCATCCACGACTTCATAGCCAGTGAGCCCTGTTTTGCAATTACAAGTATAATCCTCGAAGGTTCCGGCTGTGCCTGTTTTTACACACTCTCCAATGGTATCTCCTCCGCATATTGATTTAGCAACCACATTGTTGGTAGTTACAGTATTAATCAGACATTTTGGGCTGACGCATGTGTTGCCAAATGGTTCATATCCAGTATCACAGACACACCCATTATACTCGCACCTGCCTAGGCCTCCGCAAATAATCGGTGGATCTACACCTTGACCGCTAGAAATGCACTTCTCTAGAACACACGTCTTTCTCAGTTCTCCGCTTACGTCTCTAAGTGTGACTAACTTTGCGTCGCTGTTGCAGTTGCATTGCTTATCCTTCAGGAGAGGCCCACCGTTGCATGATCCTAGCCTGTTACAGGCAATAGCAGGATCGTCCAGAGATTTTCTATAGACGCACTTGCTGGGTATACATTCGTCGTAGAGCCGACCCTTCTCATATCCCTCAGAGCAGAAACAGGTATAATAATTGTCAGTCCCATGCGTGCATACAGCCAAGGCATCGCCTCCACAGTAGACGTCATTTGGCATGCAACGTAGGTGAACACAGAGACCATTTGCAGATTTGTACGGATACCTGCAGCTGCACGATGGTGTTCCAGTGGAGGGTTTTGAACACCGCATAGTAGACCCGTCGTAGACCTTGCACTCGACGTACTTGACCTCCCCATTATGAAGCACTTTGCCAGCACACGTAGGATAGGTGCAGTAGCCCCCGAAGGCCTCCAGATCACCTTCGCACTCGCAGCCGTACCGACCAGTCAGCTGGTTGTATACGCAGACTCCCTTTCCGGAGCAGACAAGCACGTTGATATCTGGATTCCTTATGCTATCTGGTATGCCAACTGGCAGGCAGTCATAGCTGTAGCACATGTCACCGATCTTGAAGAAGCCATTGCTGCAGACGCAGGTTCCAGTACTGTCTATATATCCCGCACCAGGACCACCGCAGAGTCCCCTTGCTCGGTGGGTTGTAGAATTAGCATTCTTGCTCTTTGGAATGCACGTCTTGTTGTATGTAACATAGTCCCCAATGCAATTACACTGCCACGTTGCGTCCCGTCCGACAGTGCATTCGAGTGTAAAGGTAGACGGCCCAGCGCAATACTCGGGCGCCCATGGACCAGCAAGACTCTTGTCAAGCTTGCATGCATCAGTGACACACGCCTTCAAATTTGGATCCCATTTGGCAGCAGTCCCACAATCACACTCGTATCCGCTTTTATCCTTTTTCTGAATGCAGTCTCCAACACCGCCGCAGTAATTGTACCACATATGACCGAATTGGCCATCGTGACAGTCACTATGTATGCAGGTTTTATTGTGTTTTTCAAAGTGTACAAGGTGGAACTTCTCTGGACATACAGTACACGTTTCAGGTAGATCGGGTTCGTCGGAAAGCTTAGCGCACGTAGGCAAGTTATCAACTGGCAGGTTTTCTGTTACATTCTCAAGGAACCCACAAAAGAACCTTCTTGTCTTGTCTATTTTGCTAACATGCACACACCCAGGTTTAGCGGAGAAGGTGCCGTTGTAGGCCGAAACGTTCCCATCACTGGAGTCTTTAGGAACGCATGTGATGAACGGATTGCTAGGATCGCCGAAGGTAGTGTACTGACCATCTGGTCCGCAGACGCGTGAGTCAGCAGCACGTGCGGTGGGCGGTTGCGGCGTCGATATGATGCATTTTTTGGCGGTGCATACGCCATCTATCTCCTCTGCAGTGGCTGTATCACAAGTTTCGCACTTATCGCCCGTGTAGATTGATGAGCAGTTGCACTTCATTGTAGAAGAATCTGCAGGGTCAAGTACAATATGCCCGTGGCCACTGCAAACCGTGGCAGGGCTATCCACCAGACTGCTCAAGATGCAGCGTCCTGAAGCAATGTAGGTATAGTCCTGATCACAAGTGCATTGTATATTTTGTAGATTGTCGGTTTTGCACGTGCCGTGTCCCGAGCAGACCTTCCCCAGCTCCTCGTCCATGCACGCGGGGGACGTGCACTCTCCGCTGACGGCAATGAGCATGTCCGGACAGCGGCAGTGGTACTCGCCGTCGGACTTGACACATGTTCCTCCGTTCTTGCATGATTCCTGGTTGTTTGAGGTGAGGCATCCCAGCGGAACGCACTTGTCGCCTACCTGAGCGGATTTCCCAGAAGTGCAAGTATCGCAGAGGTCGCCCGTGGCAAGCCCTCGGCAATCGCAACTATAACCAGCCCCGTTGCGCACACACGCGCCCACTCCGCCACAGATCTTCGAGCGGGACTCGTCTGTGCACACGGAGTATGTACAAAACTGACCGACCTGGACTGCATCCGAATCGCAAACGCACTTGAAGGTACCGGTATTGCCCTCATCTGTGCAGTTCCCGAAACCCCCGCAGACGACCGGGGACCCGTCGATCGTGACTACGCACTCTGTCCTGACACATTTGTGTCCAACGCGTGTGTAGCCATCATTGCACTTGCAGCGATAGTGATATGATTCGCGATCGAGGCCCACGTCAAGGATGCACGTTCCCTGGCCTGAGCACACGACGCCATCCGAGTCCTGGCAGGCCCGCGCATTGCACGTAGGGAGGGAATCAGACGAAGAGCTTTCTGTAGCGATCGCGTTGGCGTCGTCGCACGACTGGCAGAGGCCCCCGCGGTAGATCGGGTAGCAGTCGCACGCGTAGTCGTCAGCACTCAGCCCGGCCAGCCCGGGGTCCTTCAGGAGGCAGCGGCCGCGGCCGTTGCAGGGGGCCTTCGTTGCCTCCTGTCCTGAGAGGTCACCGGTGTTGAAGCAGTCCTTCGACAGGCACTCGCCCTCGTAGGACACGAAGCCATCGGGGCAGGGGTCGCACGAGTACGCCCCTGCGTAGTAGTTGCACTTGCTCGACCCTGTGCACTCCGTCCCGTTCACGAGGCAGGCGTAGTTGACGGCCCTGTCTGCGGGTGTCTGCCCACTGGTAGTTACCTTGCGGAACCCTGCACGGGGGGCGTCGCACGCAGCTCCCGCCCAGCCCCGCCTGCACTGGCAGAAGTGTGCTCCGTCCCCGTAGGCGCAGTCTCCGTTAACACATGCAGGTCCTGTCCCGCATGGGGTCACAGAGTACACTGTGATGAACAGAAGGCCTAACATAAGGTCTTTTAAGAAAACCGTGCACACATTAGTGTATTACTTTTACACACGTTTCTATCGATATACTATTTAGTTCCTTGGTCAGTTGGTTGGCTTCTTTAGTCTACGGCGCACTTTTCCTCGGATTTAAGCTACAGTATTTTCGCAGTATACTGACATAGACTGAAAAATTGATTACTTTGTTTGCTCAAGATTATTGTAATCTATCAGTAATGGGGAGGCATTGGCCTTGAACCTGAAGAGTTATTCTGTTTCTGTGATCCTGACCTCACATATAGTAACCTAGGATTATTAACGGATTATTAACAAGACTGTATGCTTAGATTATGAATAGGGAGGATGGTTCTAATCTAACCTGTTAGAAGAAGATATTTATGTGCCAGTGGAGTTAGTGTCCATTGTGAAGTCTTGGTAAATTAGCGTTTAGTGTGTTGCGAAAAATTCAAAGTATGGATCTATTGTAGCTCCGATGCTATGCAGGGGATATGTTCGTCATCCACCCTCACAACAAGTGGACCGCAGTCGACCAGGTATCAGTGTTGTAGACCCCTGGGGTGGAGCCGGACATATCATAGACAGCCTGGTAGTGACACGGGGAAAACCATTCAGCACAGAAGCCCACGGCCCAGATGTTCGGTATGCCGAGGAGAGCATCTCTATGGAGATTTACAAAAAAGACATTTCATTTTACCCCCAGCAACTTAAGGAGCAACTTATAGAAGACATCCTACGGTAGTTCTAGATACAGTAACGTAATGACTGCTGAACTGTTGCAGCTCAAAAACCAATTCTACGATCTTGCCAAGGAACTCCTCGGTCAACTCGATCCTTCAGAAGCTCAAGAAAAGACATCAGCGGCAAACACCTACCATGTGGAAGGCACGTTCGCGGGGTTCTTAAGCAAAAATATCCTGGAGCAATGCGAGCGCCGCCTGCCTCACGCATCTAGACCCGTCTGTTTGGATTCTTCACAGAGTCAACGGGATCATACATTAGCAATGGCCGCACTGTTAATTCCTATCTATAATTTAATAGCTAAGTATCACTTAACGCAGGTAATGAGTTGTGCAAGCAGGCGTCTTGTCACAACCATTGACGACACAGCGTTTCCTGTAAGGACTCTCAGTGGCGCCTCTTTATCTATAGAAGACATCCTAACCGTGAAGACCCCTAACGCGTGGCTAAATGACGAAGTAATCAATGCACAGGTGTCACTTATAAATGCTCGTTGCAAGGGGCTTTCAATTGCAAACACACACCTTTATAGCAAGGCTTTGTCCTCAGGACCATACGGGCTAGAGGCCTGGCTCCGTCCTCTTCTATCCCAGCCAATAGAAACCTTTGTTATACCAATGAATCTAAACAACACACACTGGACAGCATGCTCTATACATCTTCAAGGGCATTTTGTTTTCTGCTTTGATTCTATGCGTGCCATTAACACACGCACAATCAAACCAGTTCTCCTGCTTCTGTTAACTTACGCAGATATGTTTGGATTGACCAGGGATGTCATACATAGGAGCTTAGTAGTTTTGTTCCCGGGGTTCGCACGCACATTCATAGAGATAGATGAGGAGGAGCATATACTTGAAGAGCTAGCTAGTATTGAGAAACAACGTGCCAATATTGCATTACTTTCACAGAGCGTCGGAGAAAACATAGATACAATATCAATTTCGTCCACAGGATCAGATGCAGAGCTTAGTTCGGTGCAGGCTGTACTCACTTCATCTGCCAACACAGATACCAGGCCCAAACGAATCTTCGAGAAGCTTGCACTTCAGCGTCCACGATCGTCGTACTACTTGTTGCACAGGATGAGGCTTAGTATGTGTGGTATATCCAATTCCACGGACAGTACCGGGCTCCTCTCCAGACCAACGATTGACACTAAAGAGCAGGATGATCTAATAGCTACCAGGGGAGCCCCTACATCTCCCGCAGCTGCAAACATAGTTCTGGAGATCTTATCTACCCTTACTGCATGCACAGCAGACATTGAAGTCGCAGGGCAAAGGCTTCACGATGAGGGGCTTGACACTCTTTTGGATTCCCCTTCAAGTGATCTCCTGTTTGTAGATGTGAAGACAGCAGAGATAGCTTTGCACAAGCTGCGTAGAGAATACAACATTGGGAGCCTGCTTACTTCTGCTGCAGAAGCAGTAATGCTTTCACTGAATATGCCTCAGCAAGAAAATGGGTATGATTGCGGAGTCTATATGCTGTTATTTATGAAGATGATTGCACGTCAGTTTGGACCTGGCTATCCACTTGTGGCCCAGGACACCAAGAGAGTAAGGTCCCTTATAACTATGGAGGTGTGTAAGCAAAAGCTACTGATCACCCCGCAAGATCTGGACGAGCTCTGCTAGGCCTATGGGTCTGGTGTCTAAGTTGTGTTTGAAAACCCTACTCTGCCCGTGTTAGGGAAAGTTTCAAATTCTAAAAAATAGTATGTTTTCTACCGCCTCCATTGCCTCAGAAAGCGACTGGTTTGAGGCCGTGAAGCAGTCCCGTCTCGGAGATATCAAAAACGCTGCTCACTCCTATGCTGGAGCCGTGGACAACGCTGGGGAGACGGGTCTGATGCTGGCCGCGCGTCTGGGGTACGAGTCGCTGGTTAACTTTTTGCTCCCCTATGAGTCAGGACAATTTAATCTGCGTGGAGAAACGGCGCTAATTATTGCCATGCAGGCCCACAAGCTCAAGATAGTTCAGCTTTTGGCACCCCGCGAGGCTTCTGTCAAGCTAGAAAAAGGAGGGTCCGCACTCCACTATGCCGTGATTTACGAGTACCTGGACTCCATCCCTATCCTGGCTAAGTATCTCAAGGATGTCCCCGATCCAGAGGGCCTGCTCCCCTTGGAACTTGCCGTCCGGACAGAAAACTTTGAGGCCACCGTGGATCTTCTGTACTACGGTCAGCCTCACAGCCTCGCGAGTCTTACACGTGCACGGTCTCTCCTTTCAGACAAGCTTGGAGCCAATTGGACACGTGAATTTGATAAGTACATGTCTGCTGCTGAGGATCATTATTTGAACGATTCAGATAGCTGCGGTAAGGTGCCAGAGGGTGGTACATCAACTTATACCGGAACTTCACGTAACAGTTATCCACCCTTTTTTCTTGAGCGCACGGAAGAGGATGCCTTAGTAGAACAGCCACAGCCACCCTACAGTCCAACTTCTGAGGACTACGGAGCATTGGGGGCTGCAGCTGCCGCTGCATCGCGAAACAAAAATAAGTTTGGCAATCTGAATTTACATGGTACCAATCCAATCATACCAGAAGAGGACGATATTCCCAAGATAGAAGACGTTGTAGAGCCTGATCTAGATTTTCCTGTGCGATGTGAATACGATCCACAAGGTTATAGTCCAATCCAAGAGACTGTCAACCACACGGTTACATCCCCGTCCATCTTGACAGGGGAGCTGATGAACTATGAGAATGCGCTTTTACAGCAACCATCGTCAAGTATAGGCAGGGAGCTAGAACTGGCAATCTCTGATGCTCGTTATGAAGGGCAGCATGACTCACAAGACGCTGCTCCTCAGGCACTCATTTATGACCCTGTGCAGCCCAAGAATATCGATGCAAAGTCACGGCAAGAAGAACTTGCACGCAAAGCGGAGATGGAAGACACCAGATACAAATATTTCGAAAAAGACATCGCCAAACTAACGGCATCTGTTTCAAGGACAAGGACAGCCAATGATGTATTGCAGCTCCTGGGAAGCTCAACAACCATAGAAGAGGATGCACTACCAAGAAACAAGTTCGTCCCTGATATTACTGCTTCTCAGCGTGTGGTTTCACCTCGTGGAAGTATGCGGGCTAGCTCAGGGCCACGGTCCCCGAATCGAAGAGCGATCAATTCTCAAGGATTGGACGCGTCATTCTCCAGTCGATACTCCAATGTGGAGAAGGCAGGCAGCAGGTTATCTGGGAGCCGCACCACAGAGAACCTCCTCAAAGATCTGGTGACAAGTAGGTATTTGAATGGCGATACTGAGCTCATTTATTCGGTAAAGCACAAGAATCTCCCCATGGTCGATCAGCTGGCCCCTTCGCAGCACGGTGAGCGAGACGCCGACGGGAAAACAGCCCTTCATCTAGCAGCAGAACGCAACAACAAGCCAATGATAGATATCCTAGCGCAGTACGAGGCAAGTATGTTTGATAACGACGGCTGGACCGCTCTCATGCGCCTTGCTGCACAGAATGCAGTAGACTCTGTCTGGCCTCTTCTTGACAAGGAGGCGCGACTGCAGCGAGCAGCAGATGGATGGACGGCGCTGATGATCGCTGTAATGCACGCCGACCTGGAGATGGTTAAGATATTGGAGCCGTACGAGGTGGGAATGCAGGCCCACGACGGGTCCACCGCGTTAATACTAGCGATAAAGGCTGATAGACCCAGCGTGGCGACGTTCTTGTTTCAGAAGGAGCGGCATATATGCGACAAAGACGGTATATCTGGCGAGCAGTGGGGAATCAACCTCAATCGGCCATATATCAAAGCGATACTTGTTGAGGAAGCGCGAAAACGAGAAGAGCAAATGAGCAAGAAGCGCCAAAGTGTGGTTTTGCCTAAGTACGTCCCACGATCACGTATAACAAAGATAGAGGCCAGAAGCCCAAGACGTAGTGACGCCATGAGTGACGGTTACCGGCTTCCCTCCATATGGCTCAACGAAGTTGATTAGTATGCGGGAAATGTCACTGAAGCAGTGATTCCAGTGCATCTGTCCATGCTAGAGTTCCCCTTTCTAAAGTAAATAGCGAGGAAAGAACCGCAGGAGCTGCTGCTCGATAGAGCTGGTCGTTTCTGTCTCTGAGGAATCGCATATAGGAGAGTGTAAAGCGAATGTTCCTATACATTATGACATCGCGCTCAGACCCCGTTTGGATTGCCTTGAGGCGCTGGGAAAGATGAGATAAAATAGAGGACTGGAGGGAGGCGGGATCTGCGTCCGGATCCTTGGAGGCCAGAAGATTGACAACTCCGTCTTTGCAATCTAATGCAAAGATACCATAGCTCAAGAAGTCCACCAACAACCTAAGATCGTTGATATCCGGATTCGTGCGACATAGCTTCACAAGAAGGGGCAAAACAGACGGGTCCTTATTTTCGACAGACTCTATGCTACTGTCTGCCATGGTGGTGGCAGCAGAAGAAGACTCGCCCACAATCTCCAGAGTAGATGCATTGATCGACGAGAGAGAAAGATTCATGAGGCCCATGAGATCATCTCGGTACAACCCAACGTGGTCAGCGATCTTGACAAAGAACGGGATGGTCGTGTCTTTGTAGAGACAAATGGCGTCGCTATTGGGTGTAACGGTGACCAACAATGGGATGGACAGCTGTTTGTCGAGAAGGTCTCTGAGTCGTGGAGATGAGTATACCCGCTGTGCGTAAGGGAGGAGCGCGGGGATGTCCAGGTCTATATCGAGGGTAAGAGCGTAAGTGCTGAGAATAATTCCTGTGGGAGACCGCTTTATATCGGGCATCTGGTGGTCTGCATCCAAATAGGAGACGATCTCCGTCACAGAGGCATGCGTCTTGGACACCACCTTATTTGTGAACAAGAAGTCATCGAGTCCGCTCACCTCAAACACAAGATGCTTAATTAAGGACTTGGAACACACCAGTTCAAAGTTCAAAGTGATGCGATTCAGCTTCGACTTGGACGGAAGAACACGGTGTACGGTCTGGGGCTGGTCCAGGTACCTCAACTGCGGGTTCATCTCGCGCGTCCTCTGGTCCCATGTGCCACAATACTGCTTTAGACAGTCTCCGATACGTTCATCGACAACGGCTCTATAGCATAGCTCGGCAACCTGGTATACAGCTTTGTGGTCAGAAAGCATCAGGTCCTGAAGAGATGAGTATTTAATATAATTGAGCTTCAGATTATCGCCTTGATTGTATTTTCTGGAGATGAGGATGCGATCTGTCCAGGAGGGCTCTCTGTCTAAAACTAGCGAGCCTCCCTTTCCATACTTGTAGGATGGCGGGAAGACAATCTTTTCTTCTTCAAACGAGTTACTGTTGAGAATGAATGCATCCGAATCCATCCTAATCTTGAGTTGGTCTTCTTTCGTAGCCTTATCTATGCGATAGTTGAGGTCACCAAGCAGAATTATATAATCGTAGCACTCGAAGATCGGTAAGTTCTCTTGGTTTCTGCGGTGAAGAGCACTCCTATCCATGGGGAGGAAGCTTGCAAAGCGGAGGTCACGTGCCTCATTGAACTGGTCTGCAGCCATGAAGTTCTGCTCATCTGTCGACCCATCCTGCTTCTTCACAGTACACAGGGTCACAGAGGAGTGGTGGAAGAGACTAATCAGCTGCTTGTCCCGCTTTTCAAGGTCCTCCTCTGTTTCACCGTGCAGAAGATGACAATTTAAGATCAAATAGGATGTGCTGTTGATGCAGAAAGAGACCGCAACACCACCCTTGTTACCGAAGATTTTTCCCACCCCCATCGAGACCGTCGTCGCCTCGATGTCGTGCATCTGGGGCAATAACTGCACATCTATGTACATGAGTATCACAATACCCATCATGAAGTGAGAGGCAAGCTTCATATACTTGAGAGAGTTGGAGGACTTGGTGCCTCCGCGGACAAACTCAGCGTCTAGAAGATCCTCCCACTTCGTGATGCGCTTCGACTTCTTAATATTCGCGGAGATTGACATGTCGATCTCCTGGAAGCCCAGCACCACCACGCGGCTTCCGACCATGACCTTAGCGATCTCCTTGGCTGCCAGCTGGTTCGGATCCTTCTCTTTAACGTTGAAGGTCATGAACGCCATCTGCACTGGATGGTACTCAAAGACCTGTTCCATGACCCTTTTTGTTTTTAGATCTATGTTGAGGCCTGCACTGTGCGTAAGCTCAGCTAGACTCAATCATATTGTCGCGGCACCAGACATCACAGAAGAGCATTTACAAAAGCCCATAAAGCCGAGCTACGGCCCTTGCATATAAAGGTGAGACGGAGGTGAACAAGAGTATCTTCGACCCAGAAAGGCAAGAAGGAGAAGCTCAGCATGGCCAGCGCCCTCGGTAGACTGGGCACCAAACGAACAGGGCTTGCTAGAGGCAGGAGTGGATGCAGATGGGAGGCGCTTGGGAGCTGGCTCTGGCGTGCAGTGGTGACCAACAGGTGTGTCCGCAGAAATCGCTCCTGAAAGAAGCTTGTGTTGCTTGTTGCTTATAAACACCGAGAGCTTGTGCCCAGCGAAGAACGTGCAATTAAGCTTGGCCACGCACTCTTCAGCTGCAGATTGGCTAGCGAACTTAATGAAACCTTTGCCCGTAAAGGCGTTCTTGTCGTCTATGTAATACTTTACAGAAGAAACATGACACGCATTCGCCTTCACATGCGCACGGAAATCATCTATGGAAACAGAGTACCCAATTCCATTGACAAAGAGGACTGTTTCGATTGCAGGAATGAGCGCTGCCCCAATCCTACAGTTGAAGGCTACATTGAAGCCCTCCGCGGCAAGCCGGAGGTACTCTTGTGCAGCGTCGCCTGGAGTACTGAACGACACGTAGACGGCACTGTATATCTTATCTCCAATACGCTCTCCTGTCTTCCGCTGGCTCTTTGCTCCAGAAATCTTCAAGAGCCGCAAGAGTTCATCCATTTCGGCAGGATATGGGAGGAGGTCTATCTTGAGGTCACTGGATACGGTGAGTGTGGAGCCAGGCTGGTGAGTCGTTGCTGATCTATACTCGTACCCTCTTTCGTTTTAATTCTTTGCTTTTTTGCTTTTTCCGAGTACCTGGCTTCTATTAGCATTTGGCTTCAAAGCTAGGCCGTTACCATGCATAATTCACATTCTATTTCCTCAAGGGATCTAGCTAGCCTAGAATATCCGCTGGTTTGTCGAGATGAGGAGAGTCTTGAACTGAGCGAGCTATATGATACGGAGCCGTGTGTGGACCCCTCAAACAGTTCAGACATCCTGATAGCTGGCAGGAAGCCCGATACCTCGGCTGGACTCGGTGCCACTACTCGACAATCTGCCCGCATAATCGATATATCTAAGCCTCGTATTGTTTCCCCCATAGCACCCAGATCTATATCAACTATAGAGGACCATGTACATTTATATCAATCTAACCTACAGAAGATCATTAGTGATCTAAAAGCCTATGTAAGCATAACAAACCATCCTAACCTCAGCGCTCAAGACATTCCTAAGATATGCGTTGAAAAGCTAGATACGGAAGAGTATCGTCGCAAGTTCACGGCCAGAACGAAGCTCTCCACAGCACTTCTTCAACAAGCTATGAACCTGCGCAAAAGAATCGAGGAAATACAGGGTCTTCTGGACAACTCGTGCACCCAGCCTCTGTCAGAAAAGCTACCCGGTAAAGAGCGGGCTCTGGAGTCCAGTGTTGAGAGTGGGCGGCCGCTCCCTATCTATGATCGTCTATTACCCGCTACACGCTCTCCTGTATATGAGCAAAACTGCCGCGTCATTTGGGCCTCTAGTGAGTCGTTTGTTCTTCTTGCACACATAAGGCACTCCTCAGATATGGGTACAGACCTTTTTGTCGCTCACGTTGACACTGAGTTGTCACGTTTTCAACAAGACAGTAACGCAGATCCATCCACTGACAAAGGATCCGTCATATGCACCCTTACCTTTTGGCTCAAGAAGAAAGGCAACCAGCTACTACTTCAGTTTCTTTGCAACGAGTTTCTAGAGGCCTATCGGCCAACGCTTCAGGGCAGTGATCAAGATATATCTGTGGAACCAAAACACATCAGAGAGAAGTGTTCACTGGACATGCTTGGGACTGCTCTCGGGCTTGGCATTAGACAGTCGCTCTCTTGCAATATGTTACAATTAACCTTCAGAGACATCTCTTCCCACGCTGCAAAGCACATCATTACAGTGATGTCAGATGTGTTTCAGCGCTTCTATGCACAGCTGCAGATCTGGGGAGCACTGCGGACGCCGCAGATTGTATTCTTAACATATTATCGGGCATGCCCGCACCTTTTCGCAAGCAAAAGTGATAAATTGATGAGCTTCCTGGGCTCTCAGATTGTTGGGGGTCACATGGAGCCAGAGCTCAAAATCTTATCTGCAAAGAGCACTACCCTACAAACATTCTCTGGCAATTGCCTGTATTGCAAGCTTTACGTAGCGCAGTCCTTAGAATCGGTCATAGTACGGCTTACGTTCCAACAGAATGTAGAGAACCACATTGCGCTTACCTTCACTGCCTTTAGATTTTCGTCTGGAGAGGCTATCTCTGACGATGACGTCCGGACTATTCTTGCTGGTGGCTGATTGATAACTGCCACGTCGTGCCCATACGTCTGCACTGATTAGTCTTTCTGAAGCGATTTCATCTGAGGTCCTGATAAATCATCTGATAAATCACGTGTTAAGTCAAAATCTCACGATAGGACCTTACAAAAATGTTCCGCCCACACGCCGCCCCCCGAGGAAGTTCCGTGAGTGCAGCGCTAGTAGAGCATGGACGGACTAGTATCACTACCTTTCATCCTTCGACCCCGGAGACATATGTCCCTTCAGAGTGCACTCGCACCATGAAGCCGCGCACCTCACGGATTACAATGAGCACCGTCGGGGCGTCCCGCGTATCACCAAGTGTTCAACCAGGTTATGCACAACCCGAATTTAACAGCAAACTCGCTGGAGCCATACGCCACGAGCACCAGAAGAGTCTGCGGGAGCACACTTCCGCCTTTCAAGAGGTCGCCTACAGGCACGCAGATCGCCCTGCAGAGAAGCTGGTTTACGGGGACCACCATGATTTCTTCTATCCTGCACAAGAGTGTGGCTTAACGGGCCCCCTGGGGTCACGTTTTTGCCGCAATCCCGAGAACATCGGTCAAGAGGACAAGGATCGACGGGTGCAAGTGACTAACGCTAGGCAAGGCACCAGGCATGCAAATGAAGAGCGCATCCGTGCAACTTATGCAAAGGAGGAGCAGGACGCCCAACAACGCGAGGCAAAGAAAATTGCAGGGAAGCGCCGCCAACGTGAGATATACATGACAATGCTCCAAGAAAGTCTTGAAACACAGATGTAAAGGTGGTCGTCTCCAGAGTTTTTCCAGAAGTGACGTCCTCATATGATGGCATTGAGATTTAACAGTCAAGCAATCTTGCCGAGCAATCTTGTCTAGGTAACAATGAGAGAGCGGGAGACTGTCTCAAGTGCGCCCACTTTTCAAGACCATTTACAGCACTTGTGATAATTACAGCTAAAATGGGCTGAAGCAGCGCTGTCTAATTACAGAATAAACGTCTCCGTCTTTTAATCTTGAGGTACCAGCTCGCAATTAATTTCGCAAATCACGCGGGAATCTGTGTCAAGCCAGGATCTATGGCACTGGCGCGCTTTCCACAGCACTATAGATTTATTGGACTTGCCAACATTGGCGGAGATGAGCTTATCTATAAATTGCTTGACGAGACTACCGAGCAAGAGGTCTTCTGCACAATCTTCACTTTCGATCAGCTGCGCAAGAGGGCTTATACAGAGCTTCTTTCCTTTATACAAATATACACCGCACTGGATCACAGAGGCTTGATGCGCTATCGGGCCATTGAAACAGAGCCGGCAGATTTGAGGCTTTTCTTCATGACAAGTACATACAATGTGAATCTTGCCAAGCTAAACTTACTAATGCGTCAGGAAGGAAAATCCTATTGCGAACTGGCACTCTGGCAAGTAGCTGCCCAATTGATTGACACCATGACCTATTGCAATCTTCCGCGAACCCGTCAGTTTGGCCACAAAAGCACCCGCCTTGCAGCAAATTCCTTTCCTCATTGTGTCCTACGGCCATTTATCATTGTAATAACAAATTCATTCACCCAAGAGTCAGACCTATTAAAGCTATCTACCAATTCAAAGCAGGCCGCCTTGTTTCCTCTCTCGATCAAGGTCATGCCTGGTGTCCTCACTGTGGGCCAACTGCGTCAGTTTCAAACAACTGCTGCTAGATCGCACCTTTCGCACATGGCCCCCGAGCTTCTCCTTGACTCCGAGGAGGTGAGTCCCTCTGGAGCAGTCGACATCTGGTCTGTAGGATCAGTTTTGTATGAAATGGCCACAGGGAAAACTTACGACTCTGCTATTGACCCAACGACCAATCTTAGGACATACTCCTTTGAATTTCAAAGTATGCTCCGATCAATGCTATCCATAAAGCAATCTGACAGACCAACTTTTGAGGACCTGCTGAAAGCTGAGAGAATACGCTGCGTACTATCCGACATACAAACAGGTTCCCAGGGTCCTGCATCGAGCCAACCGGACAAACTGATTCTCCAGTCAGTTGAGCTGCAGGCACGTGAGCTTCTCGCAAAGCTTCCATATTCTACCGCTGAGCAGGCACAAATGGTAGCAAGTTGGCAACAAGAACTTCCTCATGAGCCAAATTACCTACTAGGAGTAATGAATATGATCGATGATGGGTCCTATCGCTGTCACACTCCCACTGGGAACAGGTTTGTGCACACTAGTTCCAGCGCTTCCCAGTCTCTCCGATCAAGAGTAGCCCAGACTCCTGCATCAATTCATACGGGAAAGAATACCCGTTATGGAAGAAAGATGGCAAAAAGCCCGGCCGGGGTGCAGGACTCCTACACGCAGCTTATGCAGCACGCTCTGAAAGATAATCTACTGAAGGCTAAAAAGGCTATGGACCAGGTGTGTATAGTTTTCACAGACGGGACGTCTGCCCTAATGCTTGCAGCTGAAAATAATTCTCTTGAAGTTGCAAAGCTCTTGGTATCATATGAGTGCTGCCTACAGTCCAAAACCGGGCTCACTGCTCTAATGTATGCAGCAAGAAGAGGCCATGCAGATCTGGTGTCTCTCCTTCTCAACCACGAAAGCATGATGGTGGACTCTCGTGGCTACACGGCACTTATGCACGCTATAGACCAGGGTCACCTAGAGTGCATCCGAATCCTTGTAAAAGCAGAAACAAATTATAGTGCTCCGAATGGCATTACGGCGGGACTGCTTGCTACGAAGGACATAAATGACGTCATGAAGCAGTTTAGGTGCCACTCGGCGTCCCAAATGACGTCTGCTAGCACCTATGGGACTCCTGACGGTAGGCAAACACCCAGCACAAGAAGATCTGTGACACCCAGCAACAACTCCAGCCTTAGTATAAGCACTAGACATCAAACTGTCGCTGAGAAGCTTGCGATTGCTCAGATTGTCACTGCTCATGAGGACACCCGTGACCCCGTAACACACGTGACATGCCTTATGCTAGCAGCCCAGCATCACTCTGTAGAATTGGTGCAAATGTTCATACACCAGGCTGGTTGCCAAACACCCAAAGGGCTTACGGCCCTCCATATTGCTGTTCAGGAACTGTTTGTTGACGGTGTTACGCTTCTAGCCCCTTGCGAGATGCGTTATACCACACAGTATGCTACCAACGGGTTTGGTTTCCATAGAGCGACGGCTCTTTGTCTCGCTGCTCTTGTAGGCGGATGCTCAGATAACAAAAATACGTCTCAGGGTCATCTCGTAAGTAGTCAGGGAGATCGGGGACCCTCTTCGTACAACTACTTTCGAAGCGTCAGCCAATACAGCTTCAATCACGCCTTGTCTGCAAGAAGCACTACTAAGAGCAACCGAGATAACGAGCGGGCCATCCTCTCTATTCTAAATCTCCTAGTCCCACTCGAGGCCACCTATGCGGAGCCTGGCACAGGGAAAACTGCCCTTATTGCAGCAGCGACTGTCGGTAACGCACTCGCTGTCCGAGCACTGGCAAAGCACGAGGGTGGCTGCAAGATGATAAAGGGCTGGACAGCGATGATGTGTTGTGTCTGCCGGGCAAGCTCCACAACAGCGCAAAACCTGTGCACATACATCGAGTGCATAAACGCTCTAGCCCCATATGAACAAGGTATGACGTCTGAATGTGGGTGGACGGCTCTTGTCTATGCCAGTGCCTACCTGAACCTTGCGTGTATAGAGGTGCTGGCGCCCTTAGAAGCAGCGCTGTCAGGAGAGACGGCGCTGAGCTTTATGGGTGCTCTCGTGGCTGAGGGTGAGATGACCAAAAGCGAGTGGCAGTATTCTATGTCCCAGGCAAGATCCTTGATAGTAGAGTACCTAAGATCACACTCTCTTACTGGTTTGCCGCCGCAGCAGCAACTATCCATAGGAGAGCTTCCTGACGATCGGGATATGAAGAAATACATTAACAATAAGTCCGGCCTCTTTGACGACGAGAGCGAAATCTCCATTCTTGAAGGAAAGTATTTCCGCTGGGAGGGGCCACCAGACTCTAGCATTGCCGGAGAGCCCATGCATGGGGGTGCACGGGCAAGCTCAGGGCTTCATCCACAGCGCCAGAGCCAGGTGAAGAAGGAGGTCTTGCCGGATGTGTCAGCTGTCGTCGACAAGAGTTTTGCACGCGAGCAGAAAAGCTTTCAATGCCAGACCTCTGTTGCTATTCCAGAGCAAGAGAAATCATATAGGTATACATTCAATTCTAAGCCTCTTCCACCTCTTATCACTGCCTCCCCATCCGCCGGGGATCATCTTCCAATTCTCCCGCCCCTGAATTCTCATAAAAATTCTCATAAAATCCGCAATTAAACATTGGCAAAGACGTTGGCCTCCAATGCTCCTTAAAGTTCAGTTGACGACAGGCTACATTCTCACGCTCGATGTAGCACCGACAGAGACGATACTCGACATAAAGAATAAGGTGTATGACCAGGAGGGAATACATCCTGCCCAGCAGAAAATGTTATACTTGGCCCAGCAGCTACAGAACACTACCACCGTCGAGGAGGCCAACCTCAAGGCAGGAATCACTATCCAGTTAGTCGTTAACCTGAGGGGAGGCTAGTGGTAGAGACAATGAAGGGGTCGTGAATCTACGTTTACTACTGATCTTGCTCGCCACTTTGCCCTACACCACTTCACTTCTCGAACCTCTCCGTGTCCATTCCTGTTAGCCCATATTCATCATCTTGCTCTGCGGTTCTTTGGTAGTGTTCAACCTTAAGGGCAGGGTCATCATCAGGCGCGTAGACGTTCTTGATGAAAGAGGCGTCAAGGGGATCGTCTATGATGATAGTGAACCCTCGCTTGCCATCCGCCATTTCTTGCAGCCCCACAAGCAGCGAGCTCCACCGCTCCCGTTGTTCTGCGGACGAGCTGCCATCACCCAGCCAGAAGACACTATGCCTTTTCAGCTCGTCGTACATTATGCGGAGCAGACCCTCCAACGTCGTATACACGCCGCCTAGCGTTCCTGGCTCCAATCTGAGGCCGAGCTCTGGAATCTCGAGGGAGCAGCTATCTGACTTCAGGACGTCTCTACTCAAGTCTCCGCTGTCTCCGTCCTCAATGGCCGTGCATGTAAATGTTGTACGAGCGCCATGTGGCGGGATTGCGCCCGCAGACTTCACTTCTATGGATTTGAACCCACAATTGTCGCAGGCGCTGCACATTAAGAGGCACTCCTTGAAATAGGGTATGCTGATGAGGAGCGATTTGTTCAGTATCTCCTCGCTACAGGCAGGGCACTTTGTCGGTAACGCCATCACTGGCATGTCCTCCGGAGCTGTGTCCAAAAGTAGCGTAACATCCTCGAGCTTACGCTCATCAACTCGTGAGACCCCAGAGCCCGCAGCTTGCCGCTGAATCACCTGCTCCTGTTCCGGACTTATTCCCAGTAGCTGTGCCTCTTCCTTGGTGCGCTGGAAGCGCCGGACGGTTAGGTTTCTGTCCAGATCACCTGTCTGGCGACCAACGAGCGGCTCAATGTAGGAATTACCAGAGGGATCTCGAAGAACCAGAGTGCATTGAGTCTTCAGCTGAAGCACGTTATTGATCTTCAAGATCACATCGTCTATCTTATCCGCGGCCTCAGGGGCCTTAAGACGACGCTCCGGCTGCAGAGCAAGCAAGTTTGTCGCTATTTGCTGGAGAGCGCCCTCTACTGTCGTGTAGAGACCCGACATGGGCCGCGGCTCCTGCTCTATCCCCAGCTCCCGAAGGGCTAGAGATGCCGTGGAAGACTTGATTACTCCTCGGCTAAGATCCTCCTCGGCTTGGATCACTAAGGTAACCTCGACGCCCCTATCTTGGATGTCTGCTGCTTGTTGGACGTCACGGCCTTTAAAACCGCAGTGCCTACATCTGAAACTCGAGACTATGCATTGCTGAAACTTGGGTATGTCGACAAAGAGAAGCTTGGTCTTTCCCATCCTATTACAGTGCATGCAAAGACTAGCCGTTACGTGCTGCTCTCCGATGTCCACCTGCACACGGGATCCGAATTCTGTCTCCGCATCGGACGAGGACGAGGATGAAGCGCTCGAGGATTGAGAGGCCGACCTAGACATTTCAATTATTTTTTAAATCCACCTAGGCACCTATTTTAGCGAAGAGGCGAGCGTTTGGTGTGCATCCTGCACTCTCGAGTGTAGCAGATACGTCTTGCATAATGTCATCTCCAAAAGGTCTGTGTAAACGAATTCTTCCACAATCGATATTCAAAGCGTCTCCAATCCGTTCAATCATGGACTCGATTGTGTACGAAAACGGGAGCTTTAGTAGCAGGTGGTGATCATTGAGCGCCGAATCGGGGCTTGACACCCGTATCCTCAGCGTCGCGACTCTGCCATCATCTGCTGTTTCTGTAACGATTGTGGTCGACGACAGATTGTCCTTGCCGGCTTCCTTCGCCTGCTCAGCGGGGGTCTTCCCGTGCACAAGAAGCCCCAGTGCCTCCTTCATAGGGACGATTTGGCCGTTGCTTACACAAGTTCCTTTCACTCGCGACAGGAATTGCTGTAGAGACATCGGCTTCTCCAGATTGGCCCGTTGATCAAGTAATTGGTCGTACGAGTAATTATGCCTGTTGCCGTATTCTGATACCGTCAAGTAGCTACGTTTGACGCTCCCGTGCTCTGCCGCCGCCTCAATAGTGCTCTTGGCCGGCTTTGGAGGAGGGGGCGGCTGCGCAGACTCATCAATCATGAGCTTCGCCTGTCCCTCAAATAATTCCACACCACAGGACTTGAAGGGCTCTGCCTCAAATGAGGCGTCAATTGAAATGCCGTCGGGATGCGAGGCCCGAAACTCGGAGGGGAGAAACCCAGCTGCGATATCCTCTACGAACTCCTTCGCAGTCTTGTCGTGCTCATAAGCTCTGAATGGCCCCCTCTTGATGAAGATGCCATTGGGGTAGAAGCGCACAGGAATTGAAGGCTTGTCACCATACCGGCCCTGATTGCCTCCGTCTGCCACCAGAACTCGATCCTTCGAAACAAGCTGATTAAGCTTTCTGATGTTGTCCTCGAGGATGTGTCTTTCCGGGGGCTCCCAGGTCTCTGTAGAATCCCCTATGTGATCGAGCTGTAGCGTATGCTGCACAGCACGGGGTGCAGGCTCTTTTGATGAGTCAGTATCCTCCACATAAATGAGGCCGTGCGAATCCAGGAACAACTCCATGTCATAAATTTGCTGCCTGAGAACCTCAATGTAATCCTTCAGAGCCATGATCTCGTCTACGTTGGCCTGCTCCCCCGCTGCCGCAAGTCTGCAAAGGTCTACCTTTTGCCGCAGAGAAGTGTTTTCATCGTTGGCCCGTCTGAGCATCAACTTCAATTGCTGGTTTTCAGCCTCCACTTTTGTAAGGCGGTTAGCGAGACTAGAAACCAGATCCTGCGCACCATTCTTGGGCATCAAAGGCTTGGCAGCAGCGCTCTTCACCACCTGTCCAGAAGGCCTATCCCCACGAAGGGCCTGTCGCAGTTGCTTTAGGTCATACTGATCCTGCTTGTCCAGCTGTGCGCGCACCGGCTTGGGGAGCTCCGTACGATACTTCTGGTGACCCTCCTCCATGAAACCCTTTTTTGAAGCCGCTGGATCAGAGAAGAGATGAACATGTAGCACGGTCAGGAATCAGAGCAACGCCTGCAGATGCATAAACTGGACGTCATAGTGTGGGTACCAATAGGTCGCCAAAAGATTCAAAAGGCGCCAGGCGACAGAACCTTTGACTTGTTCAAAGGGATCAAGAACTGGCAACGCAGATCTGGCACACATATGTGACGTATAATGGTACATTGTTTGCAAAACAGTTAAAACTTTTTTCATGGTGATTGGTTCTTTAGCTTGTGGATTAATCAAGGAAAAGCAGAAACACATCAGTCATCAGCCAAGCACCTGAGCAAATTAGATAGATATGCTTCTAGATCCCAGAGATTATGTGTGCGATAAATCCATCAGCTCGGATCTTCACCGAACAGCGCCCTTTCTCCGTCACGCTAGAGTCTTAACCTAAAACGTGCCAAAATCGCGTTGGATTTTGAGGACCTGTTTCTTGAAGTCATGTAATTTTTGATGGTTCCGCTTATTTTCTTGGCTGAAGGAAAAACAAAATAAAAGTGTGTTAAGGCATTATGGACATTAAACAGGATATGAAGGACTCGGCGATCCCGCAGGGAGGCGAGTCCAAGGGGGAACCCAAGACAGAGCCCAAAAAGGGGTGCAACTGTACTCTTCTCTACGTGATGTTTCTGATGTTTGGCGTTGGATCGTTGTTGCCATTCAACTGTTACATCACACCTTATGAGTACATGATACGATTCTACCCTAAACCCGTTCTCTCGTTCTTCTCTCTGGCCTATAACGTCGGCAATTGGGGCATGATGTTCATCTATCTCAAGATTGGAAAGAAGATACCGGCCCGCATGAGCAATATCATAGTGTTCATCATTTGGATAGTCTGCCTTACCGTTGTCCCCTGCCTTGCGTTTCTTGACATAGCCACTATTGCTCGATTCGTTATTGCTATTATTTTAGTCTTCATCTCAGGTGTTTTGAACGGTATCTGTTTTCCGAAAATCGTCTCTGTCGGTTCACGAATAAGCTTTGATCTAGTCCAGGCCATGATGTCTGGGAATGGAGTGGCAGGGATTATTACGGCAGCTCTATATGCTATTACCAAGGGGATTGCTATCGCGAGCAACAATGGTAAGTTTACGGACAACCAGCTTAAGTTCGGAACGCTATCGTACTTTATCTTGTCCGATGTGATCCTCCTGATATGCATTTTTTGCTGGATCAAAGTCATGAAGGACTACCCTCACCTCAACTACGACGAGACCCCTGCAGAGCAGGTGGAGATGGAACCCTCGATCATTAACGGCAGCTCTGCGCAACCCGACAGTGCCCCCAGTAATGCCATGCCGCAGGGGTCCGCCTCCCTCGGGAACGAGACCATTGATCAGTCTGTCCTGCCAGTAGGCAACTTGCTTAACCCCAAGACGGGGCAGAAGTATACCTTCATGCAGCTGGTGCGCGTCCTCCTGGTTCCAGGCCTCGGTGTTTTCTTTGTATTCTTCATTACTCTAGCTTTCTTCCCCTCCATCACAGGAAAGATACCATATGTTACTGGAGTTAATAATAACCTTGACGACAAAGGCTGGTGGTCTGTCGGTATGACGAGTCTCTTCATGATCTTCGACTACGTGGGCCGATCGCTTCCTCAAATCGAAGTTCTGACACGGATTCGTACGACCCCTCTTCTCATTTTCTCTTTGCTGCGGATCGTCTTTGGAGTTCTTTTTCTTCTAATGGGCATTCCTGTCCCTACTCTGAGTAACAATAGCATCTCTAGGATCAATGCACCCATTCAAAATGATTACGTCTCAACCATCACTATGATACTCTTTGCTCTCACGAATGGATACGTTAGCACTGTGATCATGATCCGCTATGGCGACCACGTGCCTCACCCGTCCTACATGGCTGCCTCTGGTGACATAATGTCCTTCTGGCTCAACACGGGTCTTATTGCTGGAGGCTTGGTATCGCTCTTTATTGATCTAGGGATGGATCCCACGGCTTTGAATGTGAGTTAATTGAATTGAGTGAACATCTTGTTGTTTGGTCGAGCCTGCTCGGCTTATATTTTATTATTCTGTGGCATTCCCTGTTAACTTCCCTGCGGATTTCCCTGTTAGTTGGAGATCCAAATTTCAATCTAAAAATCCATGAGGATCTTGGTTGACATGGATGACACTCTTTGCGACTGGATGGGCGCCTCTACAGCTCGCATAACAGAACTGGGGTATCCCGTTAGTAGGGACCCGCATGCATACCCCGTTTCAATAGTCTTGTCGGAGGATTATGGGCTTCGCGCCACAACTCTTTTATACCGCGCAATGCGAGAACCAGGATTCTTCATAAATCTGCAGCCACATAAAGAGGCTGTGGAAATGGTACGTTGTTTGGATTCGCTTGGCTTTGACGTGTGCATTTGCACGATGCCCCTCCCCTATGACAAGGAGGACTGGTGCAAGGAGGAAAAGCGGGCATGGGTGGCTAACCACCTGGGCTATAAGTTTGTCGATAAGATGATCTTTTCGTCGCGGAAGTACGAGGTTGCGGGGCTCTATTTGATTGATGACTCGCCTGTGACAGTGCATTATGCTGAAACGCACAATCCTCAATGGAAGCCTGTCCTTGTCAACCACTTCTATAACAAGGATCTCTTTTGCGAGCGGCGCGTTTCTCTAGAGACCATGCAGAGGGATGTGCTTGAAATACTGAATAGAGACGGTATTCTGCCGTCAGATTCCGCTACTCTTACCCCATCAATCAGCGAATTGCAGTTCACTCTTGCGCAAGAGACAATTGCTTAAAACTGTCTATTAAAAAGATTGATAATCTAAACTTATGGACATTGAAGATCAGGTTGCACCTGCGCTTGCACACGCTCAATCCACTTCCCCTCTGCTCACGAATGTGCGGGTTATGATGGTAACCATGGGATGCGGCCACAACGCTGCTGAAAGTGATATAATTGCAAGTGCTTTGCAGACAGCGGGGGCCGTCATCACCCACAGCAACGGGAAGTACATAACACCAGAGAGCGCCAGAGATGTGGACGTCCTGTACATCAACTCGTGCACCGTGAAGAATCCGTCCGAGGACAAAGCCTTTGTCCATGTTCAGAAGGGATTGGAGGTTGGTACGGTCGTCGTGCTTGGCGGCTGTGTTCCCCAGTCTTACGGAACCGTGAATGATGAGCTCCGAAAAGCGTCTGCCGCGAAGCAGCTCATCATTTCAGGGGTGCTTACTCAGCAATGGCTAGCAGCGCTTCCAAGGCTTCTTCGCGAGGCCATCGATCTTCATATTCTAAACAATTCTCACTTACTGCAACCTGCTTTACGAATGACGCAGCCATCGGACAAGGCAGGAGTTCCTGCTGCTATCTCATACGTCACCAAGGAAGCTACAAAAGACGTCGAAGTAGAGTATCTGAAGTGCACTCCAGTCCACCGTGCTAATCCTATCATTGACATTATTTCGACTGGCAGTGGATGCATGGGATCTTGCACATACTGCAAAACGTGCCACAGCCGTGGAAGACTGCGCTCAGTACCTCTAGATACCTTACTGGCGCGTATACGTAGTAGCCTGGCTGACCCTATTATCCGTGAGCTTTGGCTGACGGGAGAGGACACGCTTGCATGGGGCCGTGAAAGTGACGCAACTTTCGCTGTACTCTTGCAGGAAGTCCAGAAACTTTTCGAAACAGAGAACCCGACACATAAGATGCTGAAGATAGGGATGACAGATCCTGACTCTGTTATCAACCAGGAGGACTCTCTGATATCCTTTATGCGCTGTAAGTATGTGTACAAGTTTCTCCACTTACCTGTGCAGTCAGGGTCAGATCGGATTCTAACCCTGATGCGACGCCATTACGACATAGAAACCTTCTTGAGGTCTTGCTCTAAGCTGCAGTCTGCCGTTCCAGATCTTTGCCTAGATACAGATATAATATGTGGCTTTCCTGGCGAAACCGATGAAGACCATGCACAATCTCTCAACCTTTTCCGTAACCTCAAAGAGGACGCACCACGTTTTCAGGTCGTCAATATTACACAGTACTATGCTCGGAAAAACACGCCTGCCGCATCCATGGAGCAGGTTCCTGCCAGTAAAAAGCGGGAGCGTACCAGAGAGATGTCTGAGGTCGTTAAAAATTCATTTCGGAGGGATCAATATCACGGTCAAGTTCATGATATCATGGTGCTAGAAAGGCTGCAGACGGAGAACCATGGGCGACAATATGGAGGCAAAACGTATAATAACCTCACAGTGGCCATAGAGGCGGTCGATCAGGAGGTGCCTATTAAGTTGGGCTCGTACGTACGCGTTCGCATAACAGGCTCTACGAGAGTGGCCCTGATAGGATCGGTAATGACTTACCATAGCTCGCCCGTAATAGTGCGGCGAGTGGAGTGAATGTATACAAGCGCTGTAGTGCAACCTGTTTTAAGATTGAAAAAGCCTTTATGCATGACGCCTGGGCCCGCCTCTACAGCGATATACACGAGGTCTCTCAGAAGAGGTGGTGGACCAGCTACTATGCATACCGAGCAGATTCTACCAGAAAAGTAGTCTTGAAGAGGATCGACCTCTCGAATCTCAAGACCAGAGAGTCAAATACTCTGGTCTGGGCATACTCACAATTGAGGGATCTCTCTAATATCTATGTAGTCAGATGTTCTGTGGTGCACTATGCGCCAGGGGACAGTCTTCTTCTCGAGTCTCCTTTTGAAGAGGGATGCAATCTCATAGATTACGTTAAGCGCAGTTGTGCGTCCTGTGAACCAGTCTCTGAGGAGGCCCTTTGGCCTATACTTTCTCAAATATCCATGGGACTCGCATACTTGCATACTCCTGCAGGCAAAGGGGTCATTCTACACCGGAATCTAACGCCGGCGAACGTCCTCGTGGTAGCAAACGGTGCTATAAAGCTTTCGGACATCCGGCTTGGCCCGCTATTTGACGATGATGAGCCCACGGCATTTCGAGCGCCAGAGCTGCGATCGTCCGGTAGCTTTAGTGCAAAGACCGATATCTACTCTATGGGTCGTATTATAGCTGAGCTTTGCATAGCGGGTCCCTTATCTGCCGAGACAATAACACGTTCTGCACTGGAATCACACGGCTACACCAGTGTATTTGCAACCTTACTCCATGCATGCCTAGACCCAGACCCAAGCAAACGGCCTACGGCGTGGGACATAGCGGAGCAAAGCACTCTTATTAGAGAGTTGCGAGCCAGAATGATCTACGCTCACATGACAGCCAGTAACTCAGAGGAAAAGCAGATAGCGCCGCCTTCCACCTTTGTTGATAGTAAAACATCACTCATGTTAGCAGCAGAACGCGGGTCATTGGTTGGCGTACAGACTCTCTTGTATGAAGCTGGAGCGGTTTGGTCAGGTCCTCGAGAACTGCCCGGAACAGAAATAATCACTGCTACAGCGGCAACTCTAAGCCTCGTAAACGGCCACAAGGAGTGCTTTAAGGTACTGGCCAAGCTAGAGGTTGGCCTTGCTGGTGTCACGCCCCTAATGCTCTATGCAACTGGGACAGTTAATTTGCCGTCTGATCCCACCACTTTAGAAACTACCGTCACTGCCCACTGCAGTGCTGCATGCATGGGGATCACTGCTCTGATGGTTGCTTCCATGTGCAATACTCCTGTCCTGTTTCCGTTGCTCCGTGAGGAGCTTCTGTTACTTGATAGCCACGGGCGATCTGCGTTAGTATACTTGCGTGACGTTGAAAGGGACACTTGTGCGGCTTTGCTGCGTGTTGTAGACGAGGATGGAGCACAAATACACCCTCTCAGCAGGGCGCTGCTCCTGGGTGAGGAGGTCAGCACCGAAGTGGTAGGTATGAGTGACGATCTTTGGGCGCAGGACAGCTTTGGGTGGTGCCCTCTTTTGTACGCGATAGGCTTTAATCGTGCGTATGCTGTGCGCTGCATTTTGTCCTGCGAAAAGCAGCCTCCACCTAACAACATCCTTGAAGCGGCCTTACACATTGCACTTGCTTCACGAGGCTCAGATGAGGTGTTGAGTGAGCTTCTAGAACGTCTAGATAGATATAAGATCACTGTAAGGACCCGAAGAAGGTATGGGGACGTTACCCTAATCAAAACTGAGCTTATGCATGCGGCAGCAAAGGGCAGTGAGGATGAGGTTCGTAAGTACATTCACCAGTTGGGGAAGACCGTTGCAAGTTTAGAGGGAGGAACAGCCCTGATCTGTGCTGTCTCAGGAGGTCACGTCGGGTGCTGCCGACTACTGTACAGGGAACTAGGTATGCAGGACAAGCGCGGACGTACTGCACTCGACCATGCAGAAGAGGGTGGGCACTCTGAATGTATGTGGCTTCTTCGGCATGAGTCCGGCCTGTCAAAAAATGAAGCCCAATGACCACGTAAAGCTTACGCCTCTGGGAGCAGGCAACGAGGTCGGTCGCTCTTGCTTTATTCTGTCATATCAGCGGAGTGGCTGCTCTGGGAGCATCATGCTGGACTGCGGGCTCCACCCTGCCCTGTCCGAGACACGCGACTACGTTGCAATTCAGGCGCTCCCCTTCTTCGATTTAGAGGACTACGTCTCCACTTTGTCCCTTATCCTCATCACCCACTTCCATAACGACCACATAGCCGCTCTTCCTTATTTACTGCGGTGCCTTCGTGACCGAGCTGTTAAGGAGGGGAAGCCAGAGCTCCACTACATCCCTCCAGTTTATATGACAGCACCAACTCTAAAGATTTTCAAGGAAAGCGTCACTGATGTCATCTCCCAGACGAAGCTCTACACCCACGAAGATGTGGAGTTTATGGCCAAGAACACTAAACTACTCACGAGCTTCTACCAGACAGAGCGGGTCAATGGGATATCTTTTACCGCAATGCCGGCAGGTCACGTCATTGGAGCGGCCATGTTCCACATTAGTATAGATAATTTCCACGCCCTCTACACTGGTGATTTCAGTTGTGAGCCGGAGGACAGGCATCTTCAGCCTGCTACATTCCCCCAGGTAAAGCTTGATTTGCTTATAATTGAGTCTACGTATGGGACCATTCGTCAAAAGGAACGCATGACCAGAGAGCGTGATTTTATAGATCTCATAGTTTCGACCGTCAAAAAAGATGGCTGTGTGTTGCTGCCAGTGTTTTCTATAGGCCGTGTCCAAGAGCTTCTTTGCATCTTACAAGAGTACTGGCGAGAACATGAGCAAGAGATGGCTAGAGTTACGATCTACTACGTGTCTGCAATTGCTGATAATGCACGGCAATTGTATTCGAAGGATAAGGGCTTCCTGCGCCACGGAGACACAGGACTGTCCGACATTCAAACAGGGAAGCGTAAAGATAGAATAATCTACACGAAGACGCGGCCCAAAAATCCGAAAAAGCCCTATGTGATGTTCTGCACACCTGGAATGCTTCAGTCCGGTGTCTCAAAGGAAATGTATAACGAGTTGTGCGGATCTCCTGACAACCTCCTGCTTGTCACGGGATACGCAACTCAGGACACTCTTCTCTATAAGCTTCTTGAGGGAAAACCTCCTGGGGGTTATGCGGACGCCAAGATGCGTATTGAGGAGCTGTCCTTTTCCGCTCACTCGGACTACAATCAAACACTCGATGTCCTACGAAAGACTCGCCCACGTAATGTCGCGTTCATCCACGGTAGTGAGAAGAGCATTTCATCGTTAAAAAGAACCATCGCCAATGAAACCAGGGTCAACTTCAGCGAGGGAGGCAAGGAAGCAGACAAAGAAGAAATATCGTTTCATTATCCTCGTAACGGAGAAACTGTCACCTTCGCCTTCACAAATCCTGTGCAGCTGAGCATCAAGGTTGACACTGGTGCAGAAGACACTGCACAGACAGGAGTTGAGGACTCTCGCTCCATCGCAGCGATAGCCAAGGCATTGGACAAGAAGAAGATGTACATCGTGCAGGACGGATTTGCGTTTTCGTTATACAATGCGTCATCGGTAAAGAAGAAGATGCAAAGATCGTGCGGTGGGATCACACTTAATATGAGTTTGACAATTGTGGGAGATAGCCCACTGACAGAGATATTTGAGAGTCATGGATTCCGGGTTACTGATTTGGGAACAGCCATCCTCTTGGTGCCCGGACTAGAGGAGATGCATGACACTGTACAAGGCGCCGGGACAGAGCCAAAAGATGGGAGCAATGCAATATCCCTGGCTGTGACGACATCATCTAGAGATGTCAAGCGGGTAACTCTTTCATTTGATCTCTTCTCAAGCGTATCTGCTCTTTGCATACGTATCCTGTACATTATCCACTCGGCATCAAAGCTGCAAAAAGAAACGTCTCAAACATGCTTAGACCTTCCATCTGTTTGCCAGCGTATTGGAGCATCTCTATTAGAAAATTTCAACGTTCAGTTGCACGAGTCGCCCACACAAGAACTGACTGCATCTTCTCCTCCTTACATTGTTATCGGTGATGTGAGATGTTTTCTAAATTTTCGTGGTTGGAACTTTGATCCTGTTTTCCCGTTGGAGAAAAAAGACTTTACTCTCCTCTCCGACATCTCGGACCACACTAACTGTTTGGTGCGAACACTCCTCCCGTGACTCTCTCTTCTTCAGGAAATGCCCGTCTTGTCATATGGATTGCAACCCGCACAGCTTAAGTGTCTCTACGGGATATACCAAGTGAAAGTCGTGTCCACCAACAGATCTGAAGACTATATTGATTCTAGGGCAGTACTTTTCAAACTGCTCTTTAGCTTTAGCACACTGAATGATTGCATCGTCGTTTGCTAATACTAGGACTGTTTCTAAATCGAGGTCGTCAAGCCTGGTAAAGTATTCCTTCCCAGAAGTCCAGGGGAATGCTGCTGAGCTGTTGATGGCCTGCTTTATAGCGCTGGTGCAGCGACTTCGAACATGCGACTCATATTTTCGCTTGACGTTTGCCTGTAGAGGCTCTGGGAGGTACTTAACCCGGTCAGCACAATCCAAAAACGTCTTGAGGGCAAGCGTTGGATATACAGACATGAGAGGCTGAGTTATACGCGCCAGGATGGGGTGATCACGCATAAAAATCAGCTTTCGGTTCAGCTCCATCACCATACCGACGGGAGCTAGCAGCACCACCTTGTCAACGATATCTTTCAAGATCGGGGCCATGGCTGCAGCCATTAGGCCTCCGCTAGAATGCCCCACTAAGGTTATCTTTTGCTGAGAAGAGGTTGAGTTGATCAGTTTGTATGTTCTCACTGGGTAACGGACCGTTGTCGCTGTCGCTGCAGCAGAAGGCCCTGAGGGATTGTTTTCGTCCTGCGGATTCAGCTCTGCCGGAGGTTGAACTGGTGAACCCGGAGGCTCATCAAGTATCTCGAATCCATGTATCCAGTTAAGCACTGGCAGAGAAAGGACCTCTAAGCAATACCTTATTAGAGTGTCTATGTCATAGGAGTCTCCTGGTGTTCCGTCACTTCCTCCTGTTGCTGGCCAGTCGAACGTGAGAACTTCATGCGTCATTGCAAGGGCATTGATGAAGGGAGCATTAATCGTTGTGTCGAAGTCGAAACCATGCAAAAAGAGCACTCTCGGGTATTGTTCCGTCGAGGGGTCCACTGTTATGCTATCGATTTGATTCTGCTCCTTCAGTGCTTTGTCGACAGCATCGCACACGGGGTTATCCAATGCTTCACCTGTATCCTTTGGTGTGCTTGCGTCTGTCTTGGGGACTGTGGATACAGGTGGGGTTTCAAGGCTTTCGTCTTGGTATCCAGCGTTGCGGTTAGGATTATCTGCAGAAACGTCCACTAGAGACACTCTTCCGTTATCGGCTGTGTTCTTTAGTATATATGCGCTGTGCACGGTACCAGCCCGTGGATGTGAATAGTATATTTTGCACATCCCAAGCGCAGGAAGTTTGCATGCTTGTATCTTTGTTGGGTTGAGCTCCAGCCATTCCAGTGGATATTTAATCAAGAGATCCGTGGAAGCGGGGAGACGCTCGAGTGGCGGTGGGTCGACCAGCCTGTCTACCGTATCCGTGTCAAAGAACGAGACTGCACGCATGTCTGGGTTGTTCAGGTAAATGTCTTCCTTCATGCTTTCGGTGAGGATCTTTCCTGGATCGTCGATGGGAGTTGCTGTAAATACGGGGTATTTGGGCAGTTTTAATGCAGAAGCAGGATCAGCAACAGGATCGTCAAGTCTTGAAACTGTCTCGAGGTATGGCCTTAGAGGTATACTAACTGGTGGCGGGTATGCTCCCGGGGAGCGACCACTGACTCCTCTGTCATTGGGAGAGGATTCAAGAACTAGTGGTGTCTCAAAATGCTGTAGACTCTCTATCTCAGATATATCTCTAGACTGTTCCGGCACATAATCTGCTTCCTTCGCCTCATGGGCAGGGCTGGGCTGCCCTTCGGGAGAGTTTATAGCATTCATAGCTTGGGAGACCTCTTGCTGGACCTTATCTGCCATGGCCTCGGGGCTAGTAACGCCCAGAGTGACCTCTCCAGCAGGTGAAATAGTGACTTGCTCTGCAAGAGAAGCCTTCTCAGCGTCCGTGAGCTCGGTGGTAAAGACTACCTCATGGTCACTGTTCGCATCGTTGCCCGCGGGACTTGTTGGATCGCCAGACGGTGTCATTATTTTTTCCTAGAATGCGAATTCGTACTATAAACCCTGCGAAACTACTAATGTACGAACCCTACAAAGAGAGCTCCGCGGTGATAAAATAAATCACCCTTGCTCAATTATACCTAAGACTTCCCGCAACTGAGACTCAGTTCTGCAGAGCACATTTAGATCAATGTCGCGAACCGTTTCGTCAATGTTCAGAACTGACCGGATCTGAGCGAAGACCTTAGCTCGTCTTTCATTAGAGTAGCTCATGAGATAAGCTGCACAGTTGAAAAGACGCATGTTGCGTTCGCGAACAGGGTCTTTACTGGTATCGTAGACCTTTGAGCGGAAAGTGCTGGACAGCCCTGCATCTGACAATGAGTGCTGAGCCTGCGAGATGCTCGGAGCAGCAGTGATAGTATTGCCTTTTTGTTGCGACGAGGCAGACCTCGCGCGTTTCTGTACTGGCTGAGTTTCTTTCAATGCTGAGGTGGTCAGTGTAGAACTGTTCATGGGGGTTAAGGCTCCAGACGCGGGTCTAAACTCATTGAGTGTGGATGGAAGGTCAAAGGTCACCTTCTTGCTTGCGGAGCATCCGGACCCAGGGTCATCCACGGCATTCAAAGGAAAAGATGCAGGATCAGCCTCTTTATTAAAAGAGCTAGTGCTGTTGGGACAAGCAGAAGTGGATAAGCGCGAGCCGGACCTTAGGGGTCTCGGGGTCTTACTCTTATTATTAGGCTGAGTGTCCAGAGATCCAGAGGGATGAGGGGCAAAAAGGAGATCCAGGGCATCAGAGTCCGACTTCGGTACGGGCTTTCGTGCAACATGCTGCTTCATATTAACGGGGCACGCGAAATAACGCTCGACCTCAAGGAAGATATCATTAAAATGCTTAGCCTTTGCTGAGACTATCCTCCCTTCAAAGACGTTTGCTTGGAACACACGAATGATCTCGTTATAAAGTCGCCCCGTAGCCTCTATGATGGGTGTACAGTTTTTTGGACGGAGTGCCTGCTCTAGCGTGTACCCAGGTTTGATATTAAATCGAATGCTGTTATACGTGATCAGAAGAAAGTGGTAGCTGATCTGGCCTATCTCTGAGTAGTGACCGCCCTTCAGATTAGCCAGAATGTTTTTGAATGCACATGGGTCTTTGATATTGGTCCTATATGTTTGACAGAAACCCGCGTCATGCGCGTACGTCTCCAAGACAGGGGTCTTGAAAATGCTCGACAGAACCTCGTTTTCAATAATATTAAGGAATGCGCCTTCCACTGTCTTCGTCAGAGGACCCTTCATCCACGCAATGAGGGGAGCAAGAGACATCGGACTCCGAGAGCGATCCTTTTGCTTGCAAAAAGAATATGAAAAAGAATATGAAAACTGAAATCAGAAGACTAAAAACATGCACGCCCTTAACCAGGACTGCTTCACCACGATTTCCGTGCCTTCGGTCGAAAAGTTGCGAGTCTTCCACTCCATCCCTCATGGCATAGACAACCCTCCGCGCCTTCTTTTCCTTCATGGTTACTCTTTCTTTACAGACCTCTACGCCACTCTGCTTAACGAACTTTGCACCCACTTCGAGGTCCTCGCGTTTGATTCTCCTGGTACTGGGGGCTCTGGTCCCATCTTCGACGGCGATTACACCGTCAACAGCCTCGTCGAGGTTGCTCTAGAACTATTGACTATTAGCCAGCTGAGATGGGTTCCCCGTGCGGCTTCGGTCCTGTACAAGGCGAACATGAAGTACGACCCTGACAAAATGCTCGATTCGCAATCGGGGGAGGACAGGCAGCTAGCCGAATCATTGGTCGAGTCACTGGCCTTGAGCACAGATAGGAAGAAGTTTACCATTGTTGGACACTCTATGGGCGCATTTCTAGCAGCAGAACTTACAGTAGCGTGCTGGAACTGCGTGGAAGCCGTCTATATGGTAGCCCCAGCGGGGATCAAGTGCGAATTGAAGAACTTCTGGTCAGACCTCTGCGGCGGTGCTTTAGGAATATTCAGGAGAGCATATGCGAAGCTGCGCCATAAGCAGACCATAGAGAAATGGGTGGCTATTCAACAAGACAGTCTGGCACAGGGGCGCTCTGTGACACATGCCGAGCAGATGCAAAGAGATTTCTCTGAGGCGTATTTGGCTAACTCAAAAGCAGCCGTTTCTCGCTTTTGCTGCCTGGTGGACTTCCCGTGGTCTAACGGGCATGACGTGTTTAGAGAATTGGAATCTATAATAGAGAAGAAGGGGTTGAACGCTTACTGCTATCTAATGGAGCAAGACGAGATAATATCGTACAAGGATGTCAGTGCCTTCTTCAGAGACATCATGCCCAATTGCCGTCTGCACACCGTTTCGGCCGCCAATCATGACTGGGTGAACGACCACCCCCATCTACTGGTTCATAACATAATTAACGACCGGGCTCATCTGACTGCGGCTACGTCTAGTGTCGAGATCTAACTGTATAAAATATTCCGTTATTGGGGTCACATCCCCAAAATTGCATGCCAGGAACATCTTTTATGGTCTCTTCAATTGCGCTCACGTATGCGTTCTGCTCGTGTTGCCCAGGTAGTTCGGTCTGTGTAGCAAGGAACATATCTCTTTTATTTAGGAAGCCGTCGACTTCCAGACCAAATAGCCCTATCTTGACCGTGCTAGTGCCATGCTCTTTGCTGAGATCTATGTAGCCTGGCCAGAAGAGACGGCCGTATCCATTTCCAAGCACTAGGTTCCGAAGACGTTTGGGCTTCTCTGACTGCGCCTCAGAGCTGTAAACTTTTATAGATTTAGTGGCGGCTATTGTGCCTCCAGACTCATCAGCGGAATGCAATCTAGTCTCCAACGGTGGAGCGCTGAACTTCACTGCAAACTGCTTAAGGTTCTTTTCATGCTTCTGCTGCATACGCTCAAGGTGCATTTGCTTCCGTGTTTGTCTATCTGCTTGGCGACGAAGCTTCCGTTGCTCCCTTCGTTCTGCTTTAGCCTTTCTCTTTTCAGCAATCATCCTTTCTTGATCCTCCCGATCTTGCTGCATCTTAGTTAAATGAGTTTCTAACTTCATTTGGTTTTCCTGCACGCAGTAGTTATTGCCGTCGGCGAAAGATGACAGTTGCTGGGCAGTGTCGGAAGTAATATCATCGTGGTCAGACGCGTCTGATGAGGAGCAAGTGAGAGGCGGAAACTCGTACACGCGTGCTTGAATGCTATCCAGGGAGCAGACTGAGGCATTGTGCTGCCGAATTTCCTCCATGTAAGAGCTAATATGAAGATCAAACTCGCACGATGTCAGCGGAGTAAGCTGATAAGGCGGGAGCACCTGAGTTTGCCCTGTAGGCATGTCCCATGAGGGAGGCGCTAGTATCTCTGGCTTTTCTAACGACAGATTGCAAGCGTCGCTATAGCCGAAGTTATGAGGATAAACCGAGTTATAAGAAGGTTGGTAGATATTCGTGCAAGAGATGGGTGGCTGCTGATAGAATGATTCAGGGTTGACAGGCTGGGGAAAGACCTCCTGAGGGGCGTAATTATATAGTACTTGCTGATGTGGCTGGCTAGAAAACTGTGATGGAAACGGATAAACAGGGTCTGTGACAACGTTCTGTGGTTGTGAATAGGGCTGCTGCGGCCCGGAGCTGTGCATAGGTTGCGGTGGCTGAGAAAAGCCAAAAACTGACGGGGATGTGTGTGCTTGCATGGGCGGGTCTTCGTCAAGCAAGAGTGGCGGATCATCATCGGATCGCGGAAGCCGCGGAGCACCTGGAGGAGCCAGCTGACGAGCAAACGAGACTGGGGTGCTCTGCAGCGCCTGAGGGTCAAGCTGTGGCGGAGAGGTAACACCGCTTGCCGAGTACATGGGCGTTGGCACCGGTTTCTGGGCCCTTCTTTCTCAGTAGATATCTGTTGCAAAAATTGAAAAACGCCGTTATAACGTTTCAAGTCCATTTGGCACCAATAAGTTGAGACAAAAAATGGAGCACGGACATGACGCCTCGGACCCCATTGAGGAGTACTTTTTGCCCCGGGAGAAGGTGAGCTTCATCTCTGTGGAAGGATATCAGCAGGTGAAACTGTTTCGCTCAATAAAGGATAAGAGTGGACCCTGGGTTTTGTTTCTTCACGGACTGACTTTCTACACCGATATATGTGCGGCATTTCTCAACAAGTTGTCTCGCAAGCATAATGTGCTCTCCTTCGACTGGCCCGGGGTGGGCGGTACAGATCCTTCCCGCAACGATATCTACACTCCACAAGAATTGCTCGGCTTTGCAGAGAAAGTTGTTGAAGCAGCAGAGCCGGGCCTGCCTGGCAGAGGCCTCAGTATCGTTGGGCACTCTATGGGCGGGCTCATGTCCCTTATCTTAGCAACTCACTATCTAAAGCAGGGATTTGATATAAAGAACGTTATCATGCTCGCCCCGGCAGGAGTCAAGGTCCACAAGTGGATGACTCACAGGCTGCTCACCACTCCGATCATAGGCCCTGTTCTGAACTTCATTTTTAAGAGATTCCCAGACGCCACCGCGAAGCGCATAGTCTACGAAACCCGCTACAACTTCCATTACATGCCAAAGCATATGGAGGAAGCGCTGTGGGAGCCTTTCAAGAAGAGCATGCTTCGCGACACGAGGGTCACCGCAGCCCGCACCCTTGCCTTTGCGCAGTTTCCCTGGGAAAACCACGAAGAGCTTTTTATAGAGTTGGATAGGAGTAAGGTTAATGCAATAGTCGTGCTAGCTGGGCGCGATGTCACCATAGATACCCCCGCCACAGAGCACTTCTTGCGGACCAAGTGCTCTTCTATAAGCATACAAGTGTACCCAGATTATACTCACGACCTTGTGGCCTGTAACGCAGATGTCATTACGGAATATATTTCTGCCGTCTTGCCGTAGCCGGATAGATGCCTAAATCTGCGCCCAGGCAGGGAAACTGGGATTCAGATAATTAAATTTTCTATGTTTGTCTCCTTTAATCGCCCTCAGGTGGAGTCCATATTTTAATTTTGTGACTCGAGTTTGGTCCTGTGTCTACCTGGGAGTCTTTTTTGCTTCTCGCTAAACTGGCATACCGATGGACATCCATCTCATTTACCCCTTAGATTACAGTTGGACTCAGATTGTTTGCGCATTAGAAGCCATCGGGATCCATGTTAGCAAAGATAAGAGTGAGGCGTTTTTAACGCTTTTTTCTGAGACAAGCCATCTTTCACACACGCAATACATGGAGACGACGTGCATCAGCTTCGACGCCCTTCCTCATGGTATCGGGGTGTTGCTATTCTTTCTCCCCGCAGACAATTATCTCGGAGAAGCCGTGCTCGCCAGAAACATAGGTACATTCATGCTTCTTCCTAGCCGTCTTTTTGTCATAGACCCCTCTTGCAGACGCCAACACTATCCAGCCCATAGAGATGCATCCAGTGTGGTGGGTGCCAACCTGTCTCCTATCCCCACATTCAGATTGCCCGACGACATTGCTCCGTTGAAGTGCTCCATCTGCTCGTACTTGGGCCTCGTCTTGCATAAGCGGGCCTTGCCCGACGTTGTACAGGCGTCCTCACTCTGCCTGCTTGTCTGGGAGTGGATAAGACGCTATGAGGAGACTGCGTCAAACGCTACAGTCGAGAGCATACGACACTTTGGCCGGCTTGTTGGGGGGAATCTCCGAAACGAGATGGTCTCCAGTGACCCAGGAGCTCGTGAGCAGGTGCAAGTACAGCTGACGACCCTAGCAAACTTCGTTCGCAGCATTCTTCATAAGAGCTGCACAAATACTTCGATGATACTGGGCCACTGCACGCTAAAAGAATACAAGCTACAAATCTTCATTTACGTCAGGTACAGGCCAGCAACCTTTCAGATACTGCTGGGCCACATGCTTGCAAGCATTTGCTGGTCGTTCACGGGAAGCAAGGAGGACACAGTCGTTTGCAGCCAGGACAAGACACATCTCGCCATCTCTGTTCTACTGCATCGCCCGCCTAGCTCACCCCATGCTTAGACGTCTAGTATTGCTATCGTCATTGGCGGCACTCATGAAAGGTGTGCCTCAAACTCTTTGGACGCCTCTACAAGGTAGTTGCCAATGAACTCGATCGCGTCTTTGGGCTTTCTGCATATTGCCTCTGCAAATGCATTGGACAGCTGCTCACCAACTGCTTCGGTAAGATACTTAATCGTCGCCTGGTCAATCCTCGTGTCCATCTCTTTTCCCCAAGAATTTGATATATGATCAATTCAATTTTTTTGTCACATAATTTATTTTAATTGCACTTGTCCATATTAACTTCATGCTTTTATGAATGGAACAACTCGTAGTCCGGGATATACAGGGAACGGAGGACCTCGAGGTGCTCAAGAAGAAGCACATCGCCCTGATAGTTAAGGACGGCATGTCCTCTGCGGCATTTTACAAGGTCTACAATAGCATTTTGTGCCGCTATCCAGATGACCACGTCCTGCTCAATGGGGTGTTTTCCTTGCTGATGCTCATCCTGCTCGATATAGGTACAGAGCGACCGGAGATACCACAGGATGACGCGCTGGTGGACACTGTTCACTCTTATTACAAGGCACTCCAGGGCACCTTAGAGTACAAGGAGTTTCTGTCGTCTCTGCGCTCCATGCTCCCGTTCATCATGCAGCTAAATATTGATGCTGGTCGATTGTTTCAGATTATTCTTTTTCAAAGGACTCCGGCTGAGCTAAGGTATGAAACATTTGCCTCTGCAGAGGAGATTAGGGCCATGTGGGAATCGGATATCCTTTGCTTTGATTGTGGCGTGTACCTTAAGTATGGGAAGAGCGGTCATATATGTACCCATGCTCCGCAGCTTTCTGAACGGTTGTCCACAACCCAGAAGATTCAGAGAAACTGGGGTCCAGTGCGCTTTGAGTGGGTTGCAGAGCGGGTTCACGAGCCAACCAACATCCCCTTTGTGCGAGTCGTCTGAACTCTAAGCTTGGAGTGGCTAAGCTGTCTCTCGAAAGCCATTCTCTGCTTGTGGATTGGGACTGTGGACAATTGGAAAAGGTTCGCAGTTCACTGTGAAGTTGCTAGGCTACTAATAGAAGTTAGATGCGTCTGTTCTGTAGTTGGCTTCGTGTGCCTTGCGCGCGATTTCTCTTGGGTTCTTCTCTACTTCAGGGGGAGAATTGCTAGTTGGTTTGAAGCCGGCCTGATTGAACCCATAGTTCATGTCATATCCATAGTTGGGGTTTGATAGAGCATCAGACGACTTGCCTGGTCTATCCATACTTGCCTGTTCAATCGCCCGCTGTCTGAATTCGTCATAGGTGGCTGAGGAGTCAGAGGGAATGACATGCGACTCTTGACCCTTCTTGTTGATACCGATGGACGTGTGTAAACTAGCCTCTTCCAAAGCAGGATCTGCTCTGACGTGAAACTGGTCCTTAGGTCTCTGTGTGCTCACGTGGACACTGGGAGGCGGCAACTTGCGGATCAACTCACCATTGGCATCAAGGTCGCCCCCTGGGCTTATGAGTACGCCCTCATCCTTGCGCTTATGCTCGCTGTTGTGCCTTGTAGCAAGCTCTGCATGCTCAGCAGACCTCTGAGCTGCGTAATCCTTCATGTCATTATCGGACATAAAGACTATCGATGAAGAAGTGTTTGCACCCGGCTTCATTCTGCGACCGGGAAGGGGCTGCTCTGCCGTTGCATCTCCAGTCTCGAAGGTTATCTGTGAGACCATTTGCTTCTGTATGCGCGTGGGCACAGGGTCTGGGGGCGCCATCCAGGACATAGCTTTAAAAAAAGATGCTTGTGGATAGAGCACACAGCCTTCCGCTGGGCACCACCATACGTGGGTTCACAGTTGTGGAGAGTGAGTACGTATCGGAGACAAGTACCCAACTCATTAAGCTGATTCACGAACAGTCTGGCCTCACCGTCTTCAAGCATATCCCACAAGATGCCAGCTACACAGAGAACAGCGCAAACATTGCATTCGCGACGTTTGCATCTGATGATAAGGGCCTCCCGCATATAACAGAGCATTCCGTCTTCTGTGGGTCCGAGCTTTATCCCCACAAGGATCCCTTCAACGAGGTGACCAAGACGTCTCTCAAGGTTTACAACAATGCGTTCACGGCGCAAACTCACACTGTCTACGAGTTTGCCTCTCGCTGCAAGCGAGACTACTTCAACATTCTGTCTGTGTACTTAGACGCTGTCTTTCGTCCCGCCCTGCTTAAAGACCCGCGCATCTATGCCCAGGAAGGTTGGCACCTGCACCTCGAGACAGAAGATGGCGAGATTGTCCAGTCTGGAATTGTCCTCAACGAAATGAAGAGCCGTTGTGCGTCACCCTCCACTGTTCTTGTGTATAATCTCCAGCGCCTCCTCTATGGTGGTACTGCAATGGGCTACGAGACGGGAGGCCTGCCAGATGCAGTGGTTACAGGCACTCACACGGATATAGCTGAGTTCTACAAGCGTTTCTATTACCCTGGGAACTGTGTCATTGCTTTCCACGGGAATATTCCTCTAGAAGATGAGCTTCGGGCAATTGTGGAACCATACTTGCTTGATTATGTCGGCGGAGAAGGCCCTGCCTTATCAAAGCGGTCTCCACCTACCCCAATCCTATATAGAGACCAGCCTAATTTACCAGAGCTAACGAAGGATGAGGTCTCTGCACAGGCGCGCGTCTCCAGCCGGTCTGCTCGCCGAGTCCGTTTCGTAGAGTACGGCGTGTCCAAGGAGACAAAAGCCTTGAAAAAGGAGGGAATAATAGGCAGGATTTACTATCTCTTCGACCTCCGTGACGCGACGCCCCTCTTGCTTCTCTCCGTCCGTGTGCTGGACTACATCCTTTTTGATCAGACGTCGAGCCCTGTGCCAGAGAGCCTTCAGTCTTCTTCGCTTTGCAAATCTTGCTATTCCATGTTAGACTGTACTGAGCTGCAGTGCACTCTCTACTTGTCTTTTCTTGGCTGTGAGCACACAGAGGAAGGGTACCTTGCGCTTATCAGCGCATACGAGGACCTCTTGACTGAGCTTATGTCTCCCGAGAGGGATGGTCAATACTATCGCTTCCTCTCTCCCCAAGCTGTTGACGCCGCACTGAATCACATTGAGCTCGAGTACCGGGACATCAGGCCGTATTCTGGCCTTGGGGTAAACAATCGCACCATTAGCGCCGCTCTAGCAGGCTGTCCCAGCACTACGCGATTGCTCTATGAGGAGCCCCTGCGAGAGCTTCGCAAGCTGGTGATAGACGGTACCGTAACAGAGTATCTCTGTGGCGTTCTGGCTAAGTATCTTACCGCTCTAAACCCCCATCAGGCCGATGTTGTGCTAGTGCCCATTCCAGGGTATCTTGAGCAGTGTGAGGAGGCAACGCAACAGCGTCTAAGAGCTCTCAAGGCATCCATGTCGCCTGAAGACATACAGGCCCTGATTTCTAACACCAAGAGTCAGATTCGCCGCGCGCTGGAACCAACTCCACAGGAGATAAACGAGCTACTTCCCATGCTGAGGATTGAAGAGATAGACGCTGTCAACACAGATATGTTCAAGGCCCAGTCGTTCCTTCACTACGATCTGAGAGTGAGCCCTCACCTCATGCCTGTCCTATACTGTCATACTGGCGAGCAAGGGAAGAATCTGACCTACCTCGAAGTGTGTACGGATATTACAGACATGTGCGACCTTGAGACTCTTCCCCTCCTCTCTCTTCTTGCCAATCACATCCTAGGCGAGGTTGCTACCACCTCATACAAGACAGTTGAAAGCTTGCACAGGGCAATTGATTATTACACTGGGGACTTCTCCATCTCCTTAAAAGCAGAAGATATCCCCCCATTCCTCCGGGACGTGAAGCACCCCACCTCTCAGACATGCACATCTATACCATCAAGAATTTATATGAGCATAAGTGCAACTTGTAAGGACACAGATACAGAAGCAGTTCTACGACTCATATTCCACGAGATCTTGGGCGGCTCAATTGTGGGCCTTACAAACCCTCGCGTGCTTCTCCGCCTACTTCACGAGTTCTGGATGTCTCTCAGAGAGGATATAGTGGAAGGAGATGGTCACTTGGTGGCAAGCAGGCGGGCCAGTGCTGTGTGCGGTCGCCTTACGTCCTTCGTATATGAACTAGCGTCGGGGCCATCTATGTACAACTGGCTCAGCAAGTTTCTCAGGGACACCCTTGCAGATCATAGCTCCGGAACCGGCAGCTTAGAAGATGGCAGCGGGGCCGCAGAAGAAGAGATTTGCCATAGTGACAACTCCTTTGAGGGAGATGATAACGAAGATGAAGACGACGCTTTCCTAGACAATGATTCCACAAAGCAAGAGCTCTGTCTCCTCGGAGAGCAGCTGGCAGCTCTTCTTGCCAAAATGTGCGCTCGCCCGGAGCTCTTTCTCGTCTGCGTTGGTCAGCGCATCTCAGACCTAGCTCCTTACGTAGCAAAGACCAGGTATGCTCCAGAGGACATGAGGAAGATCCAATCCATCTTGGCACAGCATACATTTAATGCCGAATTGCTCCGTGTAGTTGACAACTCGTATTCTCTGAGGCCGGGGAAGCTGAGTCTATGGGTGAAGAGGCGCAACACTTGTCCACTGGCTGAGCAGTTTAATCGCTTGCTGACATGGTATCGTTGCGAGGATCAGTCTCTGCCCTTGGACGCTGACTTGGCCGACTACTCTGGTGTCTTTAATAGCCTAGCGATCCCAAGCGACGTCTCCTATGTTGCTCGCGCATATCTGCCTTCTCTGGCTGAAAACCTGGCCATAGGAAGGAGCCACTTGTCTGGAAATATACCGGCAAAGTACCTCTCTCTTCACATCATCGAAAACGTATACTTATGGGACAATGTCAGGATAAAGAACGGCGCATATGGATGCCTGCTAAAGCTCCGTCTCAACGGCTCCGCTATACTCTTCTCCTATGATGACTCCAGAGTGGTTGAGACTATTAAGATATATGATAAGTTATCAGAGTCAGCAGAAGAGCTGTACGGTAGCCTAGATAAGCGAACACTAGACGGTTACAAGATAGGGTGTCTCAGCGCCAACCAGATCGGGATTTCGCCCAAAGAAATCTTTAAACAGGCCATTTACTATTTCATGGCAGGCTACTCTGTTCGCAGGCATTACCGAGAGATAAAGCAAACCCTCCGTGTGACCAAGGACGCCCTCATGAAGGCTCACGAATACTTCTCAAATCTATCATCCGCGCCATCTGTTATTGTAGGATCTGCCTCCTCATGCAGGGATGCATTTGCCAAGGGGCTGATCCGTAAATACGACGTCTTTGAGTGATTAAGGTTTACCTACGGGATCTAGAGCCAGGGCTAAAGCATGAGGAATTCTGATATGGTCTTGTGACCACAGACGGCAGCGTAGCTAGCTGCGCTTTTCCCATCGGTATCTCTGAGCCCGCCCTCTTTCTCTACAAGGGCTTGGACCACTGTCATGTGCCCTGCAGCGGCGGCGTACATAAGGGCAGTCGTCCCTTGGGAATCCTTTATGCGAGCCTCCTTCTCCATGAGCAGCGTGACAGCTTGTAAATGCCCATTACGTGCTGCAAACATGAGTGCGGTCTTCCCCTCCGTGTCTTGTAAGCCAGCTTCATAGTCTGCTAAGTACATGACGAGCTTTGTGTATCCCTTCGCAGCGGCTATTATCAGAGCCGTCTTTCCCAGGTTATCCTGCATTTTGGCTTCAGCATCAATTAGCAGCTTTACAACTGAGAATGAGTTTGCCTGTGTACCGATCATGAGAGCCGTTTGACCATCATATGCCTGGAGCCTCTTCTCTTGAGGCAGAAGGAGCTCTACCATTGGGATGTTACTGTCCCGCGCTGCAAACATGAGTGCGGACCAGCCATAGTTATCTACCTTTCCCAGCTCAAGCGAATTACTTATAAGTAGGGTCACCAAGCTCCCTATACGCATGTTCTTGTGTGCATCTTGGCTAGCTGACGAGTCTGGTGTCGATGAATCACCGTGAGTGTTTAAACATAAGCTTGTTTTGCTGGCCATCATGAGAGCTGTGTGCCCGTTGGCGTCTCGCTGACCAGCTTCGTGCTCTAGTAGCAAGAAGACGACCTCGTGGTTTCCCTTTTCAGAAGCATACATGAGAGCAGTCTTCCCAGTGAGATCTTTCAGAAGCTTCTCCCTTCCCATCAATAAGTGCACTATATCGCAGTAACCCTCAGCAGCGGCTACCATGAGACTGGATATACCATCTGTTTGAACACATCCTGCCTGTATTGGAGCAAGTAGCTCAGCAATACTGGTATGTCCACGCTTGCAAGCCATGTGCAAGGCTGTGGTCCCATTGTGTGTACTTATGCTGGCCTCGTAGGGTAGCAAGATGCGCACAGACTCTAGCTGCCCTTCCCTAGCTGCAAGATGTAGTGCTGTTACTCCGTTCGTAGTCGTGATCCCACCTTCAACGGGTGCAAGAAGCTTTACACACTCAGTGGTTCCTGACATGGCTGCAACCATAAGTGCGGTATAGCCGGCCTTATTTGTCATTCCCGTCTCTGTGTTCTCCGATATGAGACGATAAACGAGATAGGAATACCCATGCAAGGCTGCGTGGATAAGGAGGGTGTTGCCGTCTTCATCTACTTCGCGGGGAACACGCGCAAAAAGCCTGTTGATGACATTGTTGCCAATCTTTTTGCCTTCTTCAAGCTGCGAGTCAAGCTTTTGCTGAAAAGTGGACCTGTCAGCCTTGAGGGTCTCAATTTGCTCACGAAGTTTGGCTATCGTCTCTTTTTCTTGCTCATATTCTTTCAGCTGTAGCTTTAGTGCGTCTATTTGGTCATCCCGCGTCCTCAATAGCTGTGTTACTTCATTCATTGAAAGTATGCGTTGGTCGGTCTGACAGCCAAAGGATACTTTAGATAGTGGCTCAGTATTGCTGCTAAGCATATCGTTATCATGCTCATTAGGCTTTGAGGAGTCTTGAAAACCATAATTTTCGGGCAAATCAACGGAGATTAACGTGTTTAGGGGATGAAATGAGGAGGTCTTTGAGCTATCTACAACGGTATTATCTAGAAGAGGCGAGTGAGTGATGTTTTTGTCTGTTTCATTAGCATCGTTAATGGACTGAGTTGTTATGGCGAAGCTAACAGCAGTTTGGGGACCATCTGAAGAAAGGTATCTCTCTACCTTAGCAAGGGTCTCAGGATTACCTTGTTCTTGTGCTACATGCAAGACATCATCTGCAATTGATTGCGGAAGTAGTTCACGCGGAAAAGCAGCAATGAGAATGTCTAGATAGGCTGTATCGTCTGCCCGTACCGCTAAGTGAAAAGGGGTTTCACCGTTTGCATTCTGAACACCTCCCTCAAGTGGTGCCAGCAGCTCCGCGATGTCTCTGTCACGTTTAGCAATTGACACGTGCAGCCCGGAGTCGCCGTCATCATTAACCTGGCCAGCAAATTTCTCTCTATTATTTCTAACAATATCTACGGACCCGTTTGCTATGGCTGTGAACCAACCCGTCGCAGACCGCAAAAGCATGTCGGTTTTTAAAACTAAGAGAGGAGAGAGATGCACCCATTCACTCAGAAGATGAAACTGCGAGGACGAGCGTGTGATTACGGTAGGCATGCTAGATTGCTTTGTAGACGAGGGGCCGCGACGCTCGCTTCTTGTACAAAACCTTGTGATTAGGGTTTGTGTTGCAATGTATTGTTCCGTCCATGTGCGGGTTCGTCTCGCAACCGCATGTAGCACAGATATAGACGACAGGCTGATTTTCCCCAGCTGGCTCCATTTATAACATCAAAAAATTGAAGATAGAGGATAGAGTTCAAAAAAAGGCAATCTAGCTGAGGTTAAAAATCGTCAATGCGCCCCCATCAAGCTCCTCAGACGAGTCCTGGGTGCGCGCGAGGAAGCCCAAGGGTCTCTTCGCACTCTCCTGTCCTGCTCCCACCTTCTGCGCACATACTCAATGCCAAGGCTTCCAGTCCCAACAACTCTGGATCCCTTATAGTTAGTCAATGCACCACGTCTCTGCGAACGCCTGGCGTCAGTCGTTCTGCATATGTGGGTTCTCCTGCCTCGCGAACGAAGGGCCCCGATAGGTCCATACACAAATCTATAGATCTAGAAAACCCCAGATCCACACAGCAGCAGGCCCAGAATCAGCAATGTGCTATCCTTGCAAAGAAAGTTGCTCAATTAGAGCGCCGCGTTGCAGAGCAGGAAGTACGAATTTTAGATCAACAAGAACGTTTGTCCCATTTGGAGAAATGTGAGACCCAGAATGACGCATTCCATGCAGTGATGAGGCTCTCAGATGAGGTTAGCGCTCAGTTTGTCGAAGCCATGGGGAAGCTCAATGACCAATTTAAGCTTGTGCAAGCGGACATAGAGTATATTAATGGAGAGATAGCAAAGATCATGGGCGACACAAAGCGCCGGCAACAAATCGTGACGCAGCACGGGGCAAACATAGACGCTATAGTCAGGGATTTAGCATATCTCAAAAAAACATTTCATAGAAATCTGAACGCACATGCATAGCACGCATAGAGCCTCGGAGGTATCCCAGCTATCCACCCCACACCCTACTCCCAGTAGTGCCCCGAGCAGCAAAGGAGTGGGGCAGCGTACTAAGGGTGCACTTTCTCCCATTCAGCGACCTAGCGGAAAAGCAAGTGATATGGGAACAAGGAAGATTAACGCCCAGAAGATTCCAATAGTACCATTGACCGGGGCCTTGAGCGGCCTGGATGCCCCAGCAACTCTATACCCAGAAGACCTCGAACTTCTGGCAGAAGATGACGTAGTAGGAGACTTGGACTTTGTCTCAATATTAACCAATCGCAAGCTTTCGTACACACAGTCGCACTCCATATGTGAGCCGATAGCAACCCCCGGGGCAGTGCTCACGGATGTGTTTCGGGGATTGCGCGAACAAAATGCGAAAATCATAAAGACTCTGAATCTCTTGATAACCGCAGGACGGAAAAACAAAACTGCTATCGCTGACCTGGAGACCAAACTGGGTGATGTTACAGCAGCGACAAATACACTCATTACTTCTACCCGTAGCTTTAAAGCAGATTTGGCGTCCACAGATACAAATATTAAAGCGACAAGAAATCATATGCTCTTGGTGCAGGATCAGCTGAAGCACCTTACTGCTTCCATGAATGCTAGCGCATCCGACGAGCAAAAGAGGCAATTCTCACGTAGCTACAACATCTATGGAAGGGTCTATGGGAACTCACCCGACGTACAGGAGAGGGATTCTGCACTCGCAAACAAGAACGCGTTAACACTATCGACTCTTGCAGGTGATGCAAGGAGCCCGTCCCCATCTCCGCCCCCAGATAGCCAGATCAGTCGCTGCCTGGTCATGGTCAAGAACGAGGCAGCTTTAGGTTCCTGCCACACGCCTCCCCAGGGCAACTCTGCAGCTCAATCCCAGACCCAGGCTAGTACTAAGATCCTCAACAGTCCCCTTAATAGTGCATTCAACCTTAAAGTAACTCCGTCACGGGGAGTTGCAGTAGCAAAGACCGATGTTGGTAGGCACATGCCCGCGGCTTTACAATCGCTAGGTCATCCTCAGTCACCGCAGTGGTGTCTCGAACAAAGTAAAACTGTGCGTGTTCCCCTTGCTACACCGATGGAGTCCATGGAGATCCGAGAAGGTCAGGGGTGCGACATGGACGCCGCCCAAAGGCTAGACGCGCTGGAAAAAAACCTTCGTCAAGTAATTGAGCACTTAGGCTTGTCATGGATCGAATAAGCGCCAACAATGCACAGTTCTAAATTCCGCCAAATCTAAAAATTGGTTTATTCTTTTAAAAAATGTCCGTTAAGGCAAGTGCAGACTGGTTTGAATGCGCCCTGGCGGGCAACGCAGCGTCTATCCGGAATGCGAAGAAGAAGTGGAAAGGCTCCAAGGATAATGACGGTAACACGGCTCTCATGCTTGTCTCCAAGTTGGAAGACAACTCTGTGTTCGATCTTCTCATCTACGAGGAGGCCGGTAATATGAACAACGAGGGTCACAGCGCGCTTTCCATAGCTGTCTTAGCCCGCCGGATGGATAAGGTCGAACGTCTGGCTACTCTTGAGGGGAGCATGATACTTGGGCGTGGTTGCACGGCTCTTATCTACGCCGCTTCTGTTCAGGACGCCGACGTTGTCCCGTTGCTTGCTCCGTACTCCATCATCGATCAGCGAAACGATGAGGGGTATTCCGCACTCGATATTGCTGTGATGAACAATGATCTTGCCTTCGTGACATCCCTTATCGGCGCCGCGCGTGTGGACCTGGATACCCTCGACATGGCGCTCCGCTATAGCCTCACCCCAGATAGTGTCAGGGTCAACCAGGTGTTGATGGATTATAGAGCTACAACCTATCCAAACTCGGACCCTTTTGATCCAGATGCACGACCCACTAGCCACCAAGCACCTTCGACTACTATTACGAGCCTTAATCATCAGGGGACAATCGATCCTAAGAGCACTGATGTCGTCCCTTCTGAAGATTCAATGCAGTCACGAAGCGAGAAGCAGAAAAGTGGCAGATTTTCTCGTGCTGGTTCAAAACAGTCTTCTGTTCGCAGAACACCAAAGCTTGACAACGCGTCCTTCAGCAATTCTGCGCTTGTCCAGAGCGTGGCTCGTATAGGGACTCCAGGGCCAGAGGAGGCGTCATCGGTGTACGGGCACCCGCTAAGCAATAGATCTTTTGAATCTAGCACGAACTATGCAGATCAGACGGCGTCCAGGCTGACCAACGGTAGTGTAAGATTGCAGGACATGGGTGATCCTGAGTATGCCGTTTCACGCTTCGGGGATACGGTGCGCTCTACTTCTCTTATGGGGGAGCCGTCTCAATCGGCTGCTGATCTTAAGCCTCAGAAGGGCGGTAGAGCTTCCCGTGCCGGCTCGAAGCAGTCTTCTGTCCGCAGGACACCAAAGCTTGAGACGGCATCGTTTAGTAACTCGACTCTCGTTCAGAGCGTGGCTCGCATAGAGACTCCTGCCCCGGAAGACATGATGCCGGCAGGCAGGCAAGTGGCTGCTGGTAGTTCCGCAGCCTATGGTGAGACTTACGCTATGAGCATGGAGGCTCCCGTTGACGGATACGTCGATTCGGAGTTGCAGTACAGCGTGACACCCAACGAAATTCTTACGAATGTGGGGTCCTCTCAGGGCGGTGGTCAGGGCTTTACTAACTCAGCAGTGCTTTCTCGACTACGCACCCCAACCAGCTCTGTCATTGCGGACAACGGAACTCAGGGCCTCGGCATTGCGCCTACGCGGGCACTGAAAAGCGCCTCTCAACCATTGAATGCATATTCTGCAGGATCGTTTAGCCAAGCGGGCTGCCATGGTTCGGTCCTCTCCACCCGATCTATCACGGAGTCTATGCCTGTTCAGTCACGCCGAGCGCTCCCGGAGAGTGCAAGTGTGACGCAGCTTCAGGAGCTAGTCCGCGAGAAGCAGGCCATAATCGATGATCTTCAAAACCAGAACATGAAACTGAATAAGGAACTCGTCGAGGTGAAGCGTAGTCTGCACAAGGCGGAGCTCGTTTCTGGTTCGGCTTCGCAGGGACACTGGGCTACGCAGTCGTCCATCGACAAGACAAACCTTGTTATTGCTGACATGCAGGAGCAGGCCCGCGAGATGAAGACCGAGGCTATCCGCGCCAAGAATTTCTTCGAGCGCGAGCGTGAGCGCCTCAATGGTGACATTAGCGAGAAAACAAAGCGCATCGCTGTCCTTGAAAACACCAACAGGAATATGGAGACATCGTGTGAGAGACTTCGAGCCGCCAACAAGGACCTCATTGAGCAGCTTACCAAGAAGAAGACAGACGATAACATCACCGAGATGGTGGTGGCACAGAAGGACGCAGAGATAGGCGAGCTTCGTGACCGTATTAAGGAGCTCGAGAGTGACGTCGTCCGACTGACCCAGAAGGTCTCTTCCCACACCTCCGTGGCTGGAAGGTCTCGCAGCGGAGATGAGACGACCGTCTCTCAGCTTACCAATGATTCTAATCTTCGCGGCTATCCTGCGCAGGCTGGCAATTCAACCAAGTTAAGTGCCGGGCCAGACGAGGCTGGTGCCTCCGAGGCAAGCCTCCAGGACGTTGTCAGGCAGCTTACAACTATGAACAATTCTAAGGACATAATTATTTCTGAGCTCCGCGGTGAGCTAGCGAACCTTCGTGATATCAGCAGGCACAGCCAGCAAGACCATGGGGCGAGCCGTTCAAAAGCAGACGACATGGAGATGTACGACGTTAAGATGGCGCTTGCTGACCTCCAGGCGCGTCATGACGCTCTTTCTGAGGATAACTCCAAGACGCTCGAGAAGCTAAGGGTTCGTACACGCGAGCTCCAAGGCCTCGTGGAGGAGGTGGAGGGCGAGATACCTGCTGGAAATCTAGGAACGCAAACAGATATATCACGCATGAAGGCCATAGTAAAGGTCAAGAACCGCGAGATTGCCGAGTTGAAGGAAAGCGCACTCAACACTGCATCGAGGCATGCTGCGACCTGCAAGGCGATTAATGCAGAGAACGAACGTCTCAACGCTGCTCTTCGGCGCAAGGAGAACGAGCTTGCTAAGGTCCATTCCGAGCTCTCGACGGCCCGCGATTTCCAAGACCACGTTGAAGGTGTGCGCAGCGAGAATACCCAGCTCATGAAGGAAATGAAACGTATGCGAAGTGAGCTTGAGAAGCAAGCAAATATCCACCCAGAGCTGGCAAAGTATGAGAGCTTGGTCAAAACTCTTGGGGAGGAGAATGATACGATGCGCCGCGTCTTGAAAAAGAGGAAGGAGCAGATTGAATATCTGAAGAACGGAGGAGACCCGTCTCTTTTGCACACAGTGGGAACTGGGTCCAAGTTGTCTGGTACAAATACGCCCATCAGCAAGACACAGACGCTTAACAGCACGAGCCCCCATTCGGATATCATAAATCGCGATGCCAAGGGGAACGATGTCCTGCTTGTTAAGAAGTTAACCGAGGAGGTTAGATCATATGGTGACAAGGTCACCGAACTGAGCCGCATGATAGCTCTCAAGGACGCTGAAATTTCTCTACTTCGCAAGCAAACGACCGACGGAGCGACGTACAAAGACCTCCTCTGTCTGCTCAACGAAAAGATGAAGCGCGTGGACCAGCTTAATGCAGACGTCGAGCAACGGGACAGAGAAATATCCAAATTGGTTACCATCAATCGCACAGGAACTGCCAAGCCTAAAGGCCTGACCGCGAGTATTCACAAGAGCGCTGCTATCAGTCGTTTCTACAGCCACGATGAGGTAAAGGATCTATTGAAGCAGCTTTCTGACAAGGAAGCTGAGATCGCGCTTCTGAAATCCGAGAACATGAATAACAGCTATGAAAAGATCCATAACCTGGGAGACAAGTTCACTGTGGTGAAGATAGAGAATCTGGAGGACAAGGTTGCTGTCTTGAACGCACACTTGGCAGACCGCGAAGGTACGATTGAGCGTCTCCAGGCCCAGCTACAGGATGCCGAATTAGCCCTCCAGAGCCACAGAGCTAACCTCGGGCTTATCGGTATTGGGGGGCTGATGGCTTCGGGGAGCTACACGTCCCACAGAGACCGCGCTTCGGCCTCTCCAAGCACAGTTATGTCGCCGGATCTTGCCTACAGCAAGTCTCTAGAGGCCAGCAACGCTTCTCTGCAACAAAAGCTTGCAGACAGTAAGTTGAAGATAGCAGATGCACAGCAGGAATTGGAGTGGGCCCAGATGCGCATGGACTCTATGCACAGCGATCTACAGAAGTACAAGAGCAGATCTGGTGCTGCAAACACTCCGACAGCTGAGGGGCGCACTCCACAACAGCACAGCACGCCCCTCTCTATGACCGGCCAGCGTCCCGTCCTTGAGCCGAAAAACCACACGCCTGTGTACAGCAGAGGAAAGTGACCGGGTCTTTTACTCCGGAGCTTGTCATTTATTTCATCAGCCCCTTTTTGATGCCGACTATGCTTTCGAGATACGGTGCCAGCGCAGCGCTGTCCATTCCATGTGCTTCTGCAAATGGGGGAACGGCCGTACAGATACTCTGAGCCCCGGACTCATAGTAGTAGGAGTGCAGGTCGATGTGGGTAAACATGTACGTCTTGATGTAATCGTATTTGATGTTGAAGCTCTCCTTGGCTTCGTCATAGAATGTCACTGCGCTAGGGGGCAGGTCCCGCTCTACAGCCTCTTCTAAGGCACTACAAATCCTGCAAGGGTTAGTGTTCTGAGATGCAAGGGCCCGGGCTATCTCTTTGAGGGCAGGCTCGATTTTGGTCAGGTCAAGCGACTGGAGGCTTTTCTGTGCCTTGATTCTCTCCAAGACTTTGCTTGCGTATGCTTTCATTGACAGGGGCTCATAGCGGAGCATTTGCTGGAGCACAGAAGGTGACGGAAGTGTGCAACGAACCGCGAGGTTAGCCTGGAGGCCACCGTGAGAAGGGTCGTTGTGTATGGGGGTTCCGGCTGCCTGCAGATGGAGCCTTAGCTGGTGTGTACGCCCTGTTATGGGAACACACATGGCCAAAGCCGTTTGTGTCGATGAATCAACGTGCACGTATTCGATCACTGTAATTGCCGCTTGGTGCTCTCCAATATCCGCCATTGACTGCGTAGGGTCTAGTTGAACCGCAATCAGATCTTGGAGCAACGCAGTGCACTTCTTTGAGGACACAAACCGTGAGTAAGTGTCACTGTCCTGAAACCAGAGCATTTCTTTGTCGCGCATAAACGTTACACCCTTCCCAAAGGAATGAGAACAAGCCGTGAGCTGCTCGATGCACTCATTGTATTTGTCAAGGCGCTCCAAATTCGCCCCGAAAAGCTCGGTGTGAGTGTTGAAGTGTATACAACGAGAAGTGTAATTGCCCTTGAACCTGAGACCCATAGGCCCCCAAATCAGACACACCCTTCTTGGAGAAATGTCAGTCGACACCATGCGACAATTGGCTAGGTACACCTTAACGTTTCCTCGTTCAACTATCTCGTTCCGCTTTTGCTCTGCCTCCTTAGATGAATCAGCCATGACAATAAGCCCGGAGACAAGCTTATCAATGCGATTGCAAGCACGTAAACTCTTTTTGGTTGTCAATTTGGTGTCCGGGCTAGCAACCAACTCATTGACACTGTGATAGCAGTACTTTCCGCAGGGGTGTACCGGCATGGATGCAGGCTTTTCGCAGAAGACGTGGTCTCCCTCATCTCGTAGTACAGGTTGTGCCAGTATAGGAGGTTCGTGTCGGTGCATAACGTGCAGAATAAGGTCAGAATCCCGCAGCGTAAAGTTGGCGATGGAATCCTCTACGTAAAGAACCTGCTTTCTCGTTTTTGGCGTAAACGCAGATGATGGTTGACCCCATGTAGGACGCTTTTTGATCTGTGGCTCGGGGCTGGGGGCAAGGGCTGCGTCTGGCTGTGCATCCTTAACAAAGCAGTGAATGGCTCCGCGACGCAACACAAGTATCTGGCCACTGGCTGCTGCATTGGCGTAGTACTCTTCATCGTACTCAACAAACTCCTCGCAGAGGACCTTTAATAATGACCTCTCGTACCAGCGCTTTTTGGCAAAGGTCCCGAAGACGTAAATGTAAGGGCAGAGATGAATCAGACCGGCGTCTTCTATCTGCTTGTGGGGGAGCATTTATTTTTATAGTGGAAAGGATTCACTGGACGGCCTATAGGCTGGAGCACAGCGTGTATTTTGCTTCGTAGTATCTGGTAGGCTACTGGGTGGTAGTGCTCAGAGCCTTGGTTGCCTAGCCATGGACCTCCTCTTCTGGTTCTAGCTCCATACCGCCATCGTGATCATCGATACCCTGATCTGCAACAGCGTTGAGTATCCGCAGTATGCCGTGTATGGACTGAAGAACCTTCAAATTCTTGATGACCCCTTCCATGGAAAACGTGAGGGAAGCCTCTTGTTTGAGTACCACAGCCGCCTGCTGTTCATTCTGAGACCCCGCGGTTGCAGAGCAGATCATATTCTTGTAAGACTGTAGCGCCTCCGTCGCGCAGCTGTGCGCTAGGGCTACTAGAGACTCTATCTCCATGAGGTTCTTTTTGCCTAAGAGCAGAAAAACGGAAAGAAAAACAGAATTTTGTTTGTTAACCCCCATGGCTACGTATGATCACATTATGAGCTCACTGCAGGATCACGTCGACTCCCTTACCACACTGTCTGCAAATATCACCCAAGCAGTTGCTGAAGACCCGACAATTCCCATGGATTCGTTCGAGACCGAGATTGCGCTCATTGAGACGAAGTTTCAGGCTGTCCAGCGGGCCGTGACGCAGGCTCTAGGTGGAAATAGCATGAATACAGATGAATTATGCACGTTAAACTACAAGTATATGGAGTGCAACAAGAAGTTAAAAGACATCCGAAAGTTCATAGCAGAGCACGAAAAGGAGGGACTTTTGACCACAGACAACGATGATTTAAAGGATCTTTCTCCGGAGGATCTCAACACAGGAGGACCGGAGCCTACGAAACCGTACAGACAGGTTCACATATCCGCCGCGGCCCCAGTACCAAACTTTCTTGCCCCACCAGCAACTGGCCATTCAGGTGGAGGTGCCCTAGTAATCCCTCCTCAAACGTCCCCGTCCATCGCTAAGTTGCAATCTGCTGCCTCTATTAATAAGGGGTCTTACAACTCTCTCTTGGCTGTCTCTAACATAGGTGACAAGGGAGCTAATGTCTTGCTCCCCTCTGATGGTACTGAACTGTCCATGCGTACCAGTTCACCATCTGGTGTCCTTCGTAAGAGTTCTAACCCTGAACAGTACAAAAAACACGCAGAAGAGCTTAACAGAGGCATCAATAAGCTTCGTTCAAACCTCATAGCACTCAATCGAGCAGCTAATGAGCCAGAGACAATCACAGAGGCTCTGACGGGCGTCAATCTGCAAGACGCTCGACTGGCCAGAGATAACAAGAAGCCCGTATCTGGGTCGGAGAGCGTGGCACAAATCACGGCCAATTTACGACGAGAAAACATCTCTCTCAAGGAGGAGCTGACAACGCTGAAGACACGCACAAAGCAGCAAGAAGATGAGATAGCATCCCTCAAGAAGGCACTCTCCACGCAAACGAAGCTATCGGAAAAGCAGTCTGATGACATAGACATCCTTCAGGCTTCACTAGATAGAGTCACAGAAGAGCGCCAGTCGTTATCTGCTACATTGAAAGAGAAAATGCGCGCACTCGGAGACCTGCGCAAACAGCTAGACACTATAAGTGATCAGAACAAGGAGTTGACCGAATTGTTGGAGGTGGAGCGCAATGATCGAAATGTGGCCATCTCAGAACTGCGCGCAGAGCTGGGTCACTATAAAGCAGAGAACGATACCCTTAAGAGTAGACTCAAGACCCTAGACGAACTAAATGTAGAAGGCAACGTGCTTGAGCTGGAGCGAGTCACTGCCGACATCGAAGACATGCAGACTATGGTTAAGCAATTGAAGAAGCAAAAGGCAGATATGGCCAATAGATTTGCGCGTGAGAAGGAGCTTCTCCAAGAGAACATCGATGTTTTAGAAGCGCAGCTTGCCTCAGGTTACTTAGAATCGGAGAAGGGCGCTCCGTCCCACGCTGAAATCGTCATGCTGGAGCAAGAGGTGGTCAAGCGCGACATTGAAATTAAGCGTCTCCGTAATCTGGTTGCTAAGGCCATGAGTGACAAGGATGAAGCAATGGCTCTTCTGGGTCTTGGAGCCGGTGACACTACAGACGAACGTACAGATGAGACTGACACAGACAGCGCGAGCTTTAGGATGCTTGAGCCTAGGTCCGGGTTTTCTACTGTGCCGCCTGGGCCATACCCTGTTGGCCGTCAGAGCTTTCTTTCTAGTCTACCACAGGCTCCGCCCCAGCCCCTCCAACCAGATGCGGGCAGAGCTCCCAGTACTCTTTCTATGTTACTATCCCAGAAGGCTGGCCCTTCCTTCGGTGTTTCCACGGGTCAGCTGGGACGAGTGGGTGGGTCTGAGGGGCATCCAACAGGGAGAAATGCCAGTTTACATGATGATTCCACTGTGTCCGGAGCTAACGAAATCGAGGACGATGACCTCGATGTGGCTGCTCTTGTCAGGAAGAAGCGTGATAAGAGACTATCAGTAACAAATGCCCCCAAGTGAACGAGAACAAGCTTTGGCATGGTCACTATTCTGCTGTATCCACAGAGTTGCCACTTTGGTCTCGTAAGAGCATGACTTCTCTGATCGCAGCAGCAAGAGCTTCAGGATTTGCACCCCCTTCACAAAGAGAAAGTATGCAAGCAAGAGCGCTCCGAGACAATCCCGTCTTCAATATACTTGATATTTCCTCGATGTGGATGAGCGCGTCTGCAAGATCGGGCATTTTTTGGTTAAAAATCTAGGTACCCTAGCCTACTTTTCTCGTGTCAACCTTCTGTTGTGGAAGCATGCACAACCTGCTGGGATTCCTCTTCGCTTCAGTACCAGAACAAAGACATTTCCCGAACTAGCTCAAAGTCTCGATGTGGGAATTTATTAAAATTCCATGGATATCACGGGCTGGTTTTGTGCAGCAGAAGCAGGAGACCTTGAACACATTAAGGAGACATGTATACAGTTTGTAGGCAAAGTCAATGAAAGAGGTCGGACAGCCTTAATGTTGGCTGCATCCTTAGGGCACAGATCCATCTGTGATTTCCTCGCTAGGTTTGAAGGCCGTCAGACAACGCCTAAAGGAGTAACTGCCCTTATGATTGCAGCGGAGTTGCAGCACATTGACATTGTGGCCGTTCTAGCGCCCTATGAGTCAAGGATGCGCTCAGACAAGGCAGAACCAGCAATTATACGTGCTGCGCGCCATTGCTGCATGCCAGCGTTAGAGATTCTCCTACCCTACGAGATGTGCTATGCATCGGAGTGCTTGGCTGTGGCAAAAATTAATAGGTTGGAAGAGGTATATAAACGGATTGATGCTGCTCTCACAGACAACTTCACAGAGAGCCTCAGTGTACAGGCTACTTTGGCTCAGCCCATCCTCCCTCAGAACAGTCTATTACCACAATCTCAGCATCAATCCCAATGTATTCAGATGTTAGGGGTAGATGGGGACGTGGATGCACGTGTAGATGCAACCGCAGACACAACTCTGCAGCAGGCCGATCTTATCACAACACTTACCATTGAGCTGGAGGATCTTCGTCTGGTAGAACGAGAGTATGAGGATCTAAAGCATATGTGTGAAGCATACCAAGAGCAGATCCGTGAACTGAACCTGGACAATGACACTCTATTCACTGACAACATGTCTCTACGGCGGGACAAAGAGAAGCATCTAAGAGCCCTAAAAAGACTCGGCCCCTGTCCATCCTGCAAGAAGTCACGATCGGAATTGCAGAATCTACTGGCTGAAAACACACGGCTATCAGCAAAATTATCGACAATAAAGACAAACTCCTTGGAGGTATGGTCTAGGATTCTAATGAAGAGGGCCTTGAGCGACGAAGAAATACAGCGATTCGCCCCCTTTGCTGATTTAATTCAGTAATGCAGATAGGGGTTAAAGATCAAAGACCAGTAATTACTGGTAGGTGATCCATCCCGCCTGCTACGTCAAAGCGTTGCTTATTTCTCTCCGTAGCTTATCAATTGCCGATTCGAATTCCGTGAGTCGTACGCTTGCAAAGAAGCTCATTAACGTCTTGCACGTGGCCATGTCTTGCTGATAAATGGCTACCTTGGCTGGATCCGAGGTCTTTTGGATGCTAGAGACATATAACTTTATAAATCTCTCCAATATCCCTCTCACACGCGTGCCTTGTATATTATACCTGAACATGTTACAGACCTCGTTAGGAACATAACGCTCTATGAACTCATTCGGGGAGATGTTCGCCATAACATACACATTTGTCAGGATTTCACACAGTTCTGACAGAAACTCGCTAAGAAGGTCTGCTCCCACATTATTTATTTTCCTGCTTAAATCATGGAGAGTCCGGGGCCAAAAAACTGTCATGATGACTCCGTAGATGGCGCCAAGGATTGGAAACGGTACAAAGATGCTTTCATATTTCTTGATAGGAGTAGTAACCTCCGTCAAGCCAAAATGCTTGTATATCTTGTCCTTGTGAGGGCTTCCTGTCACTTCTATAGGTTTATCAACTGTCACACCCATTGTTACACTGTGGATACCAGATCCAGCCCAGGCGATCGAGTCAACTTGTCTATGACTACGCGTGCCAATGATTTCATCGTTAAATATGGCTATCAGTGATGAACACAGCTCTTCGAGTTTTCGTAAATTTTCCCTTGTTGTGTGTGAATAGATATAGCCATAGAGAGATTCTAGAAGAACGAACTGGGAGCCCATCAGCTGGTTGCCTAGCCTGCCATCTAGTAACTCTGCGAAAGTCCCTGGGGTCATCGGGACCTTGTTCGACTCGGCTATGGCGCCAAAAAGCCTATCTTGTCTTCTGCAAAGATCGGTAACGGAGGATACCATATCTTGCGACGGCCCTCCATCTGTACCAACTGCAGGCCGACCCTGCGACAGAAGTACTGTGAGTGTCGGATACTCAGCAGCAGACACATTGTCTCTATATTCATAATCTGCCACAGCGCGAGTGGATGGATGGAGTACGCTGGTGTAAAGCGCCCAGATGGCATGCTCAGACCAGGTTAGATCGTTTTGTTTAACATCCTTGCTATCGCCAAAATTATTTATAATGTGTTTGATTGGTGCAACTACAGCCATGAAGAATTCATCTAGCCTTATGGTTCCGCGGAGAGAAAGGGTACTGGGATAAATCGGCTTCAAAAACGTTGCCACCGCATTGGAATTTATCCGCAGCACATCCAATAGCTCAGAAAAATATCTATAGACCGTCACGTCGTGTCTCTTTCTGTCTATTAGAACAGCAACGTCAAAGATATATCTCAATAAGACAAGTGAGACGATGGGATCATCCTTTACCTTCAGGCACGCTTCGACTGACTTATCTAAAAGTATATGTAACTCCTTTAAAAGCTTGTCTTTGATCTGGCCCTCCGATAGCTTCATGCGGTTGCAGGTGTCATCGAGTCTGAAGCGTATTTCATAAGCAGAGTACTGCATGGCTTCTGTTAAGCTAGGCATAAGGCAGTATTTCTTATCCAAAGATGAAGGGATGGAGAGACTGAAGCCTGCCAGCACCTTATTAAGCGACGGCGTCAAAGGCACTGGCTTGAGAACAGATGTCGTCTGGGAAACCTGAAAATATTGCTGAATAGGTCGCAGAAGTCCAAAAAAGTACTGCATAAGTTCTGTGGCCAGCGGCATCCCGGATTCATCTATTGCGTTCACCAAGGAAAAAATAAAGCTATAGCACTGCTTGAAGTCACGAGCATACAATAGAGACGAGAATGATACGTAATTCTCAACAAACTCAGCACTATACTGGCGACAAGCGCAGAGTACCTTATCGTATATCACCTGCATACTGGACGCTCCCCGGAGGAATGACGTGATAACCTTCCTTGTCCACTTGGGGTAGTTCACCCCTAGGGATTCAAAGATAAGCTTGTTGTTATCGAGACCGTACCAGAGACTGAGGGGCTGTGCGGGGGCTATGCAATGAATACCCCCTGCAATGATTGAGACAAATTGCGGGGCTGTAAACTGTGCCATAATGACTAGGGAAAATACATATTGACAGATCATGATCTTATGTCTGGATGAGACAGAAAAGACATCCGGCTGGAGCGAGCTGAAGGAGAGGGAGGTGATAGGGAGGGAGGAGAGTAAGGTAGAAAAGATGGGCTGTTCTGACTTTAGTGACATAACAAGGAGCTGACCCTGATTTGTGCCCAGCAACCAGTAGTCTGCTACAAACGGTGACACCGCCACCGCCGTAACGTAGGCCAACGAGTCGCGAGACACCGGTTGTGAAAGTGAAAATGTTCGTGTGTCCGACTTGGGTGAGCCAGTGTCAAGTCCAGTGACTTTGACAATGGAGCAGATAGATCCAGAACTGACGACAAGCGTTACGTCCTTCGGCCCATCGGATAATATGTATAGAGAGTTAATTTCAGACGAAAAACCACGCTTCAATACGATTGCAGGCATGCCGCACGAAGAGGTGTCTAAGATCCGTACTAAATAAAAGAACTTATCGATGGAAAATGCCAAAAACTCCCTTCCAATTGCACAAGAACATAGATGCTCGGCAATATCCTCCTTGGACTTGGCCGCAGGAAACTTTGACGAAATGTTGCTTTGGTAGGATGCGACGAGCGTATCAAGAATATCGTGTGTGTCGGAAGTCCCGCATGTGTCTGGCCCTTTGCCGCTCACAGCAGCCACCGGATTGGTAGCGTCAGCCACTTCACTCCGGGTCGTCTGATTCTCAGAACAGCTCTGTCCTGCGTCGGACCTGACGCCCATCAAATATCCAGTCAGAGAAAGCATACCTTTCTTGATAAATTGCTTGTTTTCCAGTCTATACACTAGTAACTCGTTGGTTGTGCTGAGCAGGGCTATGTTATCCCCCAGATGCTCCAAGGGGTTTACTGCAAGAGTAGCAAACCGTATCTTTTTCTCAAATATTCCTGTGTCTATTGCTCCCAGGCAATAGGTGTTATCCTTGTATGATGCTTCTAAAAGGGAGTACCCAGACGGTGTAATAGTCATGATACCCCCCGTGTGTGTCTTGAAGGCAACAATGCCTGAGTCACCCTCCAAAAAAGCTTGAGTGGTAACAAAGATGCTGTGGAGGCTTTGTGTGGAAGTACGTAGATGCTCTGCACGGAAGAAGTCGTCATAAGGCGTCTCTGTTGCTGCCACAGAGCGGACTTGATGGGTGATAATGGACATCGGTAGCAACCAGCTTTCTAATCTTTCTAGATTAAAAAATCCCCTTTTAAATAAAAGGGTATCAGTGTTGTTCCTTTGTAGCTCTTACTCCTTCGCCTCTCTCAACTATCTGTAAGGACACCACTCAGTTTACTCGACACCTTCTGCTGCCCAAGAGTCTAGATCTTCTGGGAAAAGTATCACTCCGTTATTCATTAGGTGATTGCAGTAGGCCTTGAGGGTCGGATCTTTCTCTAAAGTGATGGAGTTGCCTATGATTACCACAAGACGCTTCGCACGCGTAATCGAAACGTTCAGCCTGCGGATATCGCTTAAAAACCCAACGTCACCCTCATCATTGGAACGAACAAAGCTAATGATTATTATTTCTTTTTCCCTGCCCTGAAAGCCATCGACAGTGCTTACCTCTAGGCCTTTTGTCACATGCGCCTCCATGCGTCCTGCAAGCAGGCTCACTTGGGCTGTGTATGGACTGATGCATCCTATGACCGTCTGGGGAGTGCCCACCTTGGGCGAGCTGGAAAGAAGGGAAACGAAATAGTCTACCAATCTGACCACAATGTCTGCCTCGCCGTGGTTTAAAATACTGAGTTGGGGAAGCAGGGTTTGGCCGTCCTCTTCGCGAGTTTCCAAGAGGTTCATGCTGCAGGTATCTACGAACAATTCCGTTGGATTCTTTGGGAGCGCATCGTCATCAACACAATTGAACCAATCTTCACCTAGAAAGTCTGCTAGTGAAATGTTTCTAACGGATTCAGCTGGTACCAAGCGTCCCAGATAGAACTCTTCACTAGGAAAACGACATATTTGATGACAAAATCGATACTGCTGCTCGAGCATGACAAGAGGGCTTATCTTTGCTTCCTCGGAGACAATCTCCTCTGCCCTCTGAACTAGATTGCTGGTTATCCTGTTTAAAAAGGGCAGCGAAAACGTTTTGGAGTGCATGGCTCTGTCTGAGATGACTGTGGGTGGTAGCTGATTGGGGTCACCAGCCAGGACAAGCTTTCCCTTTGTGAGGAGTATCGCTCCCAAAAGAGAGACATCCAAGGCCTGGCTTGCCTCATCTACAAGCACAAAGTCAAATCCACCTGAGCTTTCTGCAGCACGAAGACATAGAGAGGTGGATGTCCCATTGAGTGTGCAGGCGACTAAGCGAGCAGTAGCGAGAACCTGCTTCCCACAATCGCGTTGGCCAGAAAGCATATTATTTCTTGCAGCGTAAAACTCAGAGCGTGCCTCATACAGGGCCTTCTTATCTCCTGTTGTCTTAGTTTTAGCGCGAACTCGCTTATATGCTTGCTCAGCCTTTTGGAAATCAATCTTTGCACTGTGTAATTCTGACGCATAATCAGTGAGTAGTTTGCTATCAAATAGAAATGGATAGACAGCTTCCGTTGTAGCGCGCGCCGGGGATCCCAGACGGAGAACCAAATCTGTCTTGCTCCCCAGCTTGCGGAGAGCAGCGCAAATACCCAATAGGAGATTGTCGGTGGCCGTGTTAGATGGGGCGCACACCAAGATTCGTATTTGCGGATTGTTAAGTAAACAGAGCGCAACACCTGCCGAAAGAGTTGTTGTCTTGCCGGTTCCGGCCGGCCCCCAAATTACGGAGAGAAAAGAGGATGCAGCCATACACCGCACCGCTTCCTTCTGCTTGCAATTCAACAACAAAGAGTCGGGAATACACAGCTCATGGCCCCACTGCTTAGGCGAAAGAGGCTCCAATTCCCTCTCTCCCAACAGAATTTCTGTGATCTTCCTGCGCACATGTCTCATCTCTGAAGACATCTCTACTCCTTTGTCCCAGGGCGCTCTGGATGCCTTAAAGTGCTCTATGTTGGCATGCAAGTACTTGAAGGTTAGATCGCTTCCGGCTCTAAAAACGACCAAGGGCTCAGCTGCCTCCAGATCTGCGATATCTATTTTGTCTTCAAGGCTGATTCCCACAGCTTTATCAGTGAAGGAAACAACGATGCCCTGGCAAATAAGTCTCAAACGCCCATCCAGAACAGCCACAATATCTCGCGGGTGGAACCCGCTAGCATCTGGTCCCAGGGGTGAGTTATGGCGACCCAGCTGGGCCACTGGAGTTCTACTACTCGCCATCACCTGGGATTGAAGAACTGTCAATCCCTTGACGGCATATCCCGCCTTTTGAAGAAGTCTCAATGGGGCGGTAGGCGCTGCTTGGAGAGAGGTAGCGAAAGCCTGAGACCCCTTATAAAAATCATAGCTAATTCCTGCGGGAGCCGGACAACGCTGGACCTCTTCTACTCGCTCTGCATCAATGCAAGCTTTCTGCTTGTCAATCCACTTATCCATCACATCCATTCAAGCAGGCCGAACAGTATTTGCAGTCCCCACAAGCACACGGTGCAGTCGCTCTGGGCAATAACTCTGAACGGAAATTTAAATGTGCATATTATTATATGCCACTATAGTTTTAACAATAACTCTATATCATCGCAGTGAACCGCAGCGCCTTTGACCGGGTATCAGTGATATCAACTCTACTGCACACTGATGACAGACAAGCAATATACCGTTGTAATAGAGGAACCAACTGCGAAGCTGTATCGCATTACAAATCCGGGAATTCAAATGAAGCCTCACGACTTCACGCTGGTCAAGCAAGAAGATGGCGACCGACAGTTGATCTCCACCAACAAGCTTTATGAGGCAGCAAGCTGTGATTCAGTTGCCACTGGATATGAGTTCGATTACTACGTTGTGCGGATAAATGACGGAGACAGCACAGTGACTCTTACACCAACTGTTCCTGTGTCTCTTTATTTGAACCCGGTGCACGAAGAAACCATAAAGCCTGTACTGCAGCGCACAGCTGACAATAAGCTTCGGTCAAGTTGTTCGCTTCGCGAGGCGGTCAACTTCTTCACGACTCGCCAAGGGACCTTCAGTCAAAGTAAGCTTCAAGGAATGATAACAAGCACCATGCTTTCGACGAGTAGCATTGCAGAGGCTGGCGGAGCCATCATTGCTCAGGAAAAGGCTAGGGGTTTCTGTAACGAGTATACAAATTATCCTCCATTCAATCTTTCAGCTAGCCTGGCTAGTGATGTCTTCCCCATTCGCGGGCTATTGTGCATAAGTATCATAGACTACTGCAAAACGCACACCGGCTCTCTCTCGCGTGAGTATTGGAGCAACTATGTAAGAGAGGTATCGATGCCTAGGGATTTATCTGTGACTGCAAACTCAGACGCTACGCCCTCAGCTTCCGCACAAGGCGATAAGGCCGCTGCCACTGGTAGCTCAACCTCTAGCAGCTCTGACTCTGATGAAGACATCACTGTATCTGCTCTTCACAGCGCTGATCCTTCCGCCAAGGACACGGACTCTATGCTAGAGCTTACCGAATTTGCTAAAAATGAACGAGAAAGGCTTTCTGTGTTAGGCTGCAACCAATTCGATGATACATTGAACAGACCATTGTACATGAACAACATACACTATCAGGAAGAAGGTGGGGTATACTACTACACTATTACAGGGATTGTGAAAACCTGGAAACGTCGGGGTGCCATTGACTATGACACCACCATCGAATCAAAGGATATAGTTCGCTTCTTGCGCGAGTTTGATTTCCGTTTCACCTATACTCGGTCCAGTATCGACGTATCCGATGGACTTGCCATACAGCTACTAGAGCGGTACAGAGCAAACCTTTTGGCGTACGCAGCTGTTCCTGGCTATGACAGGTGTCGCCTCCACGACTTAGCATCTCTCTTACTAGTCCTCTATGAGATGCTCTTGTATATAGCAGGCGCTGATAGATACTCTGTCCCCATTACAGAGTTCATCAGTGGTCGACTTGGGTGCAGCTTCAAGCCATCTACTGGCAGGGCTCGGGCTGTGAGAGACATACTGCCGCCATATGCATGTGCAATCATTTTGCATTTTGAGAACTATACAGTTGACCCGCAGGTACTGTCCAAAGTCCTGCAGATTGACATCTTTGCTATCTGTAGACTTTGCACCAGCCTCTTCTGTAAGCGAACGGGCAAGGACAATCAGAGGTATCAGTTGAAGGCACCGGTTGTTAAGAGCGGAGAGATAATTAAAAAACGGCGTGGTTTACAGAGTATAGCACTCAAGAGATCAATGGTATAGCAATTTTGGTATCTCACTCTCATTTTTTACAAAACATGTCACCAGTGAGTCAATCTTGATTGTGTTTAACGAATAAAGTACTGTGAATAAATTCTTTTAGCAGGTGGTGGACGACTGAAAGTCATCCCAATCTTATGTAGATTTCGTGCTCCATGATATGGAAGAAGAAAATGCCAAGAGCGATGCCCAGTGCCAGTCCTGCGTGGAGAGTTTTCATGATCTTAAAGTATAGAGGCGGGCGAATCCGACCCCTGCATCGCCTGATCAGCACGGGCATAACCATGATTCCAATGCCTGTCAAGGCGTCCAAGATCATCATGATGAACGACCACCAACCGGCGTTAAATAGAGACTTCAAAGTAATCGCCTTATATGCCTTAACATCATAGATGTGATAAGTAGCTGCGACAAGAGCAAATGCCGCCGCAATAATATGTATTGTTAAGAACGAAATTCGCAAGCCTTTGGCTCGGTGAGAAAGACACGGAACCCGAGTGAAGTGAATGTGAAGCTTTAGCCCCAAAAACACTCCTGTTAAGAGGACTAACACCGTACTTATGGCTGCCAACAACGATGAGACCTTCATTACTGCTCGTTAGATATTGGGTCTGGCTTGTAAGGGAGCAGGTGCCACCAATATTCCAAGTACGAGTATCAAATAATTAATTATAATTTTTACTCAACCAAAACACATCCAGGCTTCACAACTTAGCAATTGTGCACAGCAGCAATGCATCCCAGCTATGGATGAGAGCACTCTTCAATGTCAATACATAATTGAGAAAGCTCCTGAGAGGATGCCGGAACATAGGTCCATCACTAGAGTGCACTAGTAAGGAAAAGGATTGTCAGCTATAGTACTCTATAGCTTTGCAAGTGTTCTTCTATGAAAGCAATAGACGAGGTAGAATAAGCAATAAGTAGCTGGATATATCTCCTGGTAGCAATCACATTAGTACCTAGCAACTAATAATAAGTCCTTGTCTAACTTAGATAAATCTTGCTTTATGTACAGTTATACAAACAATCACTATCTACATTAACAAGTGGCGTGTGATCACATTGACAACATGAAGACTATATAGCGGCAATAGACCATTACACGCAGTACTATTGCTTAGCTATTACGCCTACCAGTTCTTTGGATTGTCAATCCAGCCTTCAAATAGTTTCAAAATCTGTTATTTCAAAAATAATGTACCCAGTGCTCCGGCTGTATCTCAAGACGGCCAGAGCCCACCTTTGTCTCTACATCTGCATGATTGTCATGCCGGTCGTTGTGATGGCCGCTGTCGCGCTCTTCTTCTCGTTCGAGGATAGACTGCAAAGCCCTAGCAGCGGCCTAGGCGAAGGGACTCTCCCGCGCCTCCCGTTGTGCAGGGACCTGCCTGGTTGCACGAGCCAGACCGTGTACCTTGCATTCTCCCCCGACACGATCGAAGCGCGCCGGGTCGTTGACAGACTCGCCCAACAGAACGGATTAGAGTCGGAGCGGATTGTTGCCGTAAAAGACCGCGCAACGATGCAGAGGCTTGTGGCCGGGAAGAATCTCGGCCCGAGCTTTGTCGATGACGTGATTGCGGCCAACCTGGGAGAGACGGTGCGGGGGCACCTCCTAGGCGCCGATGGCTCCCTTGCTTCAATCCTCACCCCGCGGGAGGTCCTTGCAGACAGGGGCGTCGTTGCAGAGATGCTTGACACAGCGTATGGGCTTAATGACAGAACCCTGGATGCGTTCGATGACGAGTGGGCCGCGAGCATGGGACCGGCCGACAGCGTCTTCCTCGCGCTCGACCTAAACATCTCAAACCGGGAAGCGTCAGACATCCCGCAGGCCGTCCAGTACTCGCTCTGGTACAGCCAGGAGATGATGACCTGGTACGCTGTCAAACACCCTAGTCCACGGACAAGGTCCTCAACGCCTAACTCGTACGCCATGTCGTATGTGTGGAGCCCGGTGTCCTTCAGCATTTTCGAGGCGATTCACAACGCCCTGACGGAAACCTTTATTGGCAAAACCATTTCGTACAGCCTGGGAGAGTATCCGTTGCAAGGCTCGACGACCACCCTTGCTGGGATGCAGGCGTACATGATTCTCCAGCTTTCTATCTTCCTCGAGTGCATCCTGACCCTCATCTTCGCAGCGCACTTTCGCGGGCCCTTTCAGACCACGCTCCGCCGATTGGGTGTCTCGGAGTTCTGCATGTACGGGTTCACGTTTGGCACACTTTTGATCGCCAACCTCTTGGCATACGGACTTCTCTTTGGTGCTGGCTCGCTCTTCAAGTTGTTTCCCTTCTCGAGCTACACTCCTTCTCTTAACGCCCTTGTCAGCATCACCTTCGCCCTCATCACCACCGCCTCCGTGCTGCTCCTGCACATGCTCTTCTACAACACGTCGGTGGCAATTGCCTTTGGGACGGTGGCCCTGATTCTGCTCGTGGCGTTCCCCTTCCTGATCCTCCTCGAGCAACCAGACTACCCCACGATCTGGACACAACTTGCTATTCCAACCTGGCTGACAAAGGTCTTCTACGTCCTGTTTCCTCCCCTGGGGCTCGTTGCCATCTGCGACATGATGATAACGTTGAGACCGGAGCGTATGCTGACTCTTCTTGTTGGACAGAGCGCCAGCACGTACGGCCTTGAGCTCCTGTTTAATGACATAGATGGATATCATTCAAAGCACTTTTCGTGTCTAGGTACAATATTTATTGGTGTATCTGAGTGTACTTTTCAGCTTCCTTACCTTGGATCTCTTGTCGTCACGTCCCTGGTTCAGAGCACCCTAGCTCTTCCGCTGTTAACTCTGGTTCTCCTCTTCTGCAAGCATGAGCCAGGCTCACAAGGACTTCCCCTCAGCTTCCTCTGCAGCCGCAAGTTCTACCGTACAAGGCGCCCCAAGGACAACCCGGAGTTCCCCTTTCTGTCTGTCTCAGGGCTTCGGAAGACATACCGTAAGGCAAAGAGATGCACGGTCGTCAAGGAGGAGGCGCTGTGCGGGCTGGACTTGCACCTTGAGCAGGGAGAGGTCACGGGCCTCGTCGCGACAAGCGGCGGGGGAAAGTCCACAGCCCTGGGGATCATGGCTGGCGAACTGGCGCCCTCCGGCGGGCAGTGCGCAGGGCTCGGGCACGATCTCCTCTGTCCGTACACCGCACGGTCCCTGCGGGGGTTCATCTCGCTCTGTCCCCAGGAATGGAACAACATCTGGATCAACCTCACTGTCAGGGAGAACGTTCTTCTGTGCGCAGAGATCCGGGCCAGGGTCACGGGCCGCCTCGGCGAGCTCCAGCACAGAAGCGAGTCTCTCGACGGATACGTCGACGAACTCCTGAAGCGCCTCGGGTTGCACGACCACGCGCACAAGCAGGCGTCTGCCCTGTCTGGGGGGATGCTTCGTCGCCTGGCCCTTGCAAACGCAACGGCGGGAGGTCCGCGGCTGATACTTCTCGACGAGATTACGGTGGGCGTGGACCCGATCCTGAAGCGCCAGATCTGGGCGTACGTTCGCGCACTGGTCACAGAAGGCGCCGCAGCAGTCCTGTCCTCCCACGACGCCAACGAGATAGCAGAGCTAGCCACTCGCGTTGTCGTGCTCAAGGCCGGTCGGACGCAGGCCGATGCCCCTGTCGTGCAACTCCTTGAGGAGCATGGAGACTACGTGGTCTCAGTGACGTCGGAAAGCCGCGACGCCATTTCACGAGTAGCGCTGCTGCTCTCGACGGAGCTAGGGACTCTGCTCGGAGTTGGCGCTAAAGAGCTAGGTGTTACAATGGACCCACGGCGTGCCAGCATATCCATCCCTGCAGCACTAGTCCCAGATGCACATGCTCTGGCGGGTCTGATACAGCACTGCCGCGCCTTCGAGAAACGAGAGGGCGTCCAGGTTGCCGTCTCACGGGCCCGGCTGGAGGATGTCTTCGAGCACCTGCTGGATGGCGAAGACGACGCGCAGCCGGAGCCTCTGCGCTCAGTAACTCTGGACGAGGACAGAAAGCCCTCCGTGACGCGCCACCTGCTGCTCCTCTTCCTCTCCCTGGACCTTCAAGAGCACTGCAGAAGCTTTGTTTCCATACTTGCTGCACTGACCGCCCTGTTTGTGCTAATTTGGATGGGGGTCCATTATACTCTTACTAGCGTCAAAAGTGCTATTGAGTTGGTAGAGGCAGCGCAACTTAGCGAGTGGTCTCTGTCGTGCCTTGCTGACTGCATCAACACCAATCCCGATGCAGACCCCTTGCTGACAGACGCCAATGTCACAACTGAAAACGTAAGCGAGTTTTTGAAGGCCAACCCAGGAGTCGATGCCCTTCAGGTCATGGAGCGCTGCCTGGTGAAGCGTCCTCGGCGACTCTTCGAGCCAATGCTTCAGTATCCAAATGGATTCTCCGCCTGTCTTAGCTACATGAATCGCTTGGGCCTCGACACATATCGCTACGATTACTTGACCGTTGGAGATCGTCAGACAGGATCCCTGGGAACCAACGAGACACAGTTCAGTTGGTACTACATTGGCGTAGTAGGTGACGCCTCGAAGGTCGAGACCTCAGACAGCGTATCATTGAGCCTGTCTCTGGACGACCCTCTTATAGCAAGCTCTCCAACGGGAGGGCTTGACTATTATGTCGCAAACGAGCCCCAGCAGATCTCTTTCTCTCCCCAGAACTTTGGGGATGTGTGGAGGAGGGGCGTGGAGGCAGGCCTCAGACACCCCTTGGACTCCGATGACCTGTTCTCGCTTGTGGCCCCCCGCATGACTGTACCTCAGTATCTTCGCAGTGACACATCTCCGCCCCCGAAGGATACAGAGAATCGCACACTTCTGCTTGAGGAGACAATTCTTCGCCAACCCACGGCAAGTGACTTCTTCGAGGGGATTACGTCCACAATTGGCAGTACATTTACCAAGCCAGACTGCTTCGATTCACAGCCGGCTGTACAAGCACGTGTGGTTCGCAGGGTGTTCAGAAGCATCCCTGCGGTTATCTTTCAACCAGGCCAGCACGAGGCAGGCAGTGCGTTGCTTCTTAAGATGTATGCTATGCTTCCTCCTCTCGGGCCACAACGCAAGGCCTATCGTGATTGGGTCATTACCTTTACTCCATCGAAAGAGCGGGCCGATACGCCAGCATATACTTCGAAATATTTCATCCCTACTTTGTTTCAATATCTGTACAAATATCCTAACAATGCCATTGATATCACGAAAACCGATCGTGTCAGATTCACATTCACGACGATTGGGGCGGATGCGATGGCCAAGATGACCGGCGCTCTCTTCCGTCAGCACCTCGTAGAGTCTCTTCGGGACACGCTCGGCGTAGAGGAGGCGTGGCGCCAAGGGACAGAATTCACCTATGACGGGTCCGTGATGAGTATCCCTAGGCGGTATCTGAACAGAGATCTCATATTCGAAACTCCGGGGGCAGCCCTGCAATCGATGGAGATAATGAGTGACTACTACTTAGTGTTCCTCTTATTGCTAGGAAGCGTTATCGTAGCCGGTCGCGCTGCCCGGGAATTTCAGCAGCGCACCGTGACCCTTCTTCACCTCCACGGGGCCTCTGAAATGCGCGTTGTCATGGTTCTTATCCTGTACTTCAGCATCTGGACCATCATCCCCACAATACTGATTGCAGCGGCCTTGACAGCACTCTTTAAGGACGCCTTCTTCATCCACGGTCCTGCAGTGGCCGCTGTCGCATATACCTGCCTGGGAATGATAGCTCTTTCCAGCGTGTTCAATGCAGTCCTAGTGGCCGTGCTCCTTCGCTCTCAGCAGAACGCCATGCTGACCGTGGTTCTCCAGATCCTCGTCGCTGTCTTTGTCTCCGGCTCTCTCAGGGCCGAGGGAGCAGTGGCCGCCGTCCTGGGCCTTCTGGCTCCCGGCGCGGGGTACATGCCCGTGCTGCGAAACGCCATAGGACTTAGCCGCATTAGCTGGGGGTCTCTTGCCCTCTCGTTTCTGATATCGCTGCTAGAGGTGCTTGCCTCGCTTGGCGTGCTGCTGCTCAGGAAGATTCGGGTCCGCCAGAGGATCAAAGACAGGACCCCTGACGGATCAGATTCAGAGGAGTCTGGACTGCTGAGCGGGCTATCAGAAACAACTTCCATGACCAGCCTCAATTTGGAGAGGAAGGATGCACCTCCCGGACACCCTGACAACCACCTCAGCGTGCAGGGGATCTCGCACAGCTATCGCAAGGGCGTCCACGCGCTCGACAACGCCTCGTTTTCGGTGCCGGCGGGGAGCATCTTCGCCCTGCTCGGCGCCAACGGGGCCGGGAAGTCCACGATGATGCACGCCCTGACCGGAGTCCTGAGGCCGACTGCTGGAAGCGCTCTCTGCGTGCGTAACGAGGCCGACAGCAGATGGGTTGACCTCTTCCGGCGGGTCCACCACAGCCGGTACATCACAGTTGTTCCCCAGCACGACCTTTACTGGCCGCAGCTCACGGTCCGCGACCACGTGAAGATCATCCGAGGGCTCACGCCCAGGGCACTTCGGCCAAACATCAAGTCGACGGACCACGTGCTCCGCCTGGTGGGGCTGGCCGAGCACGCCAACAAGAGGGCCGGTGCGCTCTCGGGCGGGATGCGGCGGCGCCTCACGCTCGCGATGGTCCTAGTTTCGTCTCCCTCGCTCATCTGCCTCGACGAGGCGACGACGAGCTTCTCGGGGCGCCTGAGGAAGCGGGTCTGGGACGCCATTCTTGCCAGCAAGGGCGTCAACAAGACGCTCATCGTCACGAGCCACGACATGGCCGAGGTGGAGGCCCTGGCAGACACATGCTGCGTCCTCCGGAAGGGCCGGGTCATCGCCAGCGGGTCTGTCGACGATCTCTCTGCACAGAGCCGCGTGGCCTACACGCTCACCGTCGCGTGCGGATCATTAGAGGCGTTCGACGCCTACCTTGCTGGCCCCCACAAGTGCGCCTGTGAACTCTCTGGTGGGCTGCTTGCAAACGCCGAAGTCAACAGCGTTGCACGGCTAGTCAAGTACAGGATCCCTCAAGGTGTGGACCTCGAGACGGCCATCTCCTCTCTGTCCTCGGCCGGGTGCCTAACGCACGCCTGGGCGCTGACGCATGCACGCCTGGAGGAGGCGTTCGTTGATCTAACAGGGTGCTAAGTTGCAGAAGGCAACCAGGTCACCTCTACGAAGCTTGTGATTCTAGTGAAGCGAATAAGCCCGCCTCTAATCATCTTCCCAACCGCAATTCTGTCTCAATGGCTGCAGGCACCGGAACACGGCCCATTGTGTTGCTGCTCACACGCGGCCCAGTCTCTGGGCAAGGGATGCCTCTATCTGGTGCAGTGATCCTGCAGTATTTACTGTGGTAGAACAGAGTTGTCACGTCTGATCCAGCGACCAGCAGGCTAAGGCGCTGACAAGGCGTGCTATTCAGTGCCTGCCCTCGGATCGGGCAGGGCGTTTGGTTGAGACAACGCGGACGACGGGTTGCGCGCCCTCTTGCAGAGGCTTAAGTTCCAGATTAGCCAGGGGATAAAGGGTGTTGAGCCCACCGTAGTCAATTGCGTCTCCAAGGGCTGCCGCTTGCCGTGCACGAGTTTTGTTTGCAATGGCGATGCTGTGTCTTAGGGTGGCAACGGCAATGTCGTCGTTCTTTTCAACGTAGTTGGAGTAGTAGCCTACCTCTGAATCATTTAACAGATAGCAGCCACACGCCACATAGATCCGCTTGACTAGCATATCTGTGCTTCTGGCTGCCCGGGATCTGAAGACATTCGCTGTGGAGCGTTGCACAAACAGAAGTTCACGAGAAAACCGCTGGAGGATACTATCTAGGGTGTCGCACACCTCCACGCTGAGGCGCATGTTGCCCTCTTGCAGCGGGAAGAGGGTGTATATCTCAGGCTTGTACAATGATGTGCGAGCCGAGAAACCGCTGGCGGACTCGCTGGTGAGCGAGCTCAGTGTCTTTGAAAGCAGAGCAGCTAACCCTTGGACTGAACCGAGGGTAAGGGGAGGACATTGTAAATACAGGTGATTGCTTGTCTTCGCAATGGTGTCTCCGCTTCCTTTACGGTCGGTCCCGAACAGGCGGGTCAGCTCCTGCATATGTTTCAAGTCATATAGTTGATGGATGTATTCGCACAGCAGAGGAGTGAAGTCAAGATTGAGTACAGGTGGGTGATCGGTGCAAGGGATAAAGCAAGTTCCTTGGTTGAACAGCGCGCGGAGAAAGGTTAGGATGGTGTCATTGGCTACTCCATTGATGGTGCAAAACTTTATTGCTAGATCTGTAACATGAATGGCAAAGACAGTAAACGCACGAATAGGGACACAATCGTACACTATGTCCTTGGCGTCTGTGTCACTTTTCTGATTGGTATTGCCAGTGCCATCGTCTTTATCCTTAACTTGCGTGCCAGATGTATTTATAACATTATAATAATGGTACAGAACCGCGCTATTAAGCAAAGAGTCACAGCATCCAAACACAACTGCTGCGGTGTTAAATTTAGTGCTGTTGCTTTCCACACGTTCAGCTATCAAAGAGTGCTTGATATAGGCCCCACACGCAAGAAAATTAAGAGATGTAAACGCATATGCATACAAGCATCTAAGTAAGAAAGTGTAGAGGGGGGTCTTGACTCGATTTGACTCGGCCAGAAAGTCAAGGATCAATACAATAAGATTCGAAATAGTGTTATTCTGCATACATGGGTGTGGCGAGTAAAACTCCTCTGGTATAGAGTCTGTCAATGGTATACCTTGACATCTCTGTAGAGTAGATAGAGTCCATGTCGGCTTTTTAACATAACATCCAGATCGCCTATAGACGTTATCAAAGTCCTTTTGGGCCGATTCTTGGTGCTCATAGGTATCTGAGTCGTCTGAATCATGGTCCATATGGCCTGCATCTACGCCTTGTTCTGTAGAGAGAGTAGGAAGCAGACCAGGGAAGTCAAAGACACCGTACGGTGTTGGCTCACCTTGCTGTGATTTAAGAGAAATGACCTGCTGAGCCTTTGGAATAAGAGCACAAACAGCTTCACCCAGATGCCTCCGCAGTCTGTGCCACAGGTTAGCGGGTCGGCCTCCAACAAGCCCTTGCAATGCTCCTAGCTCTGCCTCGTCCCAGTGGTCTGAGCTAACTAAGTTAACAAGTTCAGTGAAACATTGCCCTTCTGTGTCGTTGTTATCGTATGCCAAAGATTCATGTCCTAATCTGAGCAATCCTAGGATATAGGATAAAAGAGAAAAGTAGGTTATGCCTGATGGCTGGTACTGAATCACTGTCTCAAGGCAAAACAAAACTCGTCTTGCCGCCTCTAATTCGCTGATTATAGCTTGATTGACCAAAAGGGCAGATACCTTCATTTCAAAGTCAACCACCTCGTTCCAGAGAAGATTTGCAAGAAGCTGCTTCTGCTTATCAGACGTAGTATGAACATAATTCATGCCTGGGATGCTATTATTCGGCCATCTACCCGGTGCTTTGGAGCTAAAAGAACTTCCATGGGCTAGCTGCTGAATATTACTGGGAACGCCCATGGCGTTACACATAGTTACATGACGTTTTAGCAAGAATTTAACGATCAGGCTGTAATTCTTGACGATTGTACAAAAACGTGTAAGCTGGTTCAAAGTGGGTATAAAGTCTAGGGGCTGTCCCTGTGCATCGATCGTGGGAAGGGAAGAGTCATCTGCGTATAGCCTTAACCCCTCCTCAGGTTGAGAGCTGTCGATATTTGCAATGCGACAGTAATTTGTTAGCTGGCTATAAAGCCTGAGGTCCGGTAGCGCAATGGTAGCCAGGGGGATGGTACTCAAAAACTCCATTATCAGAAGAGAAAGGTCTATTTCTTTGTTAGTGTATGTCACGTTGCACAACACTTTCCATGCTATGTTTCCTAGAGGATCATACGGAGCAAATAGCACGGCCAGCGCAGCTAGAGACATGACCTGCGGAATTCCTGTCCGACTTGTATCGGTTGCATTTATCTTAGAGAAGGAATGCCGAATAAGAGGGGCAAAAACAATTGCTGTGGGTGCTATCTGGATCACTTTGCAGAGCTCAGCATACAGCAGAGGATCTTTCTTAGCGAGGAGAGTCTCAATGAAGATGGCCCCCATTTCGGGATCAGTAGGGAAGATGGAAAGATAGGTGCGTATCAAGCCACAGTGTTGGTTTGTGCTCATTAGTTTTTCAAGACTTCCTGATCGGAGAGGCTCCCAGGAAGATAGAGAGTCTGGGTTCTGAGTAACATTCGAAAGAAACTCCGTCAGAGAGGCCATTTTTTACAGTGCCCTTAGTAATGAAAAAGCCACCTGGATCTGACGTGAAGGAAGTGATACTGCTATTAGGTCTTCTAGTTGAGGCGCAAAAGGGTCGGTATGCTTGTGTGCATGGACTGTATTATCCTTGCCGTGAATTAAGCTTCAAATAAAAATGACGACTCTTGCTACACTCCCGCCTCTCACCCCTGCGCAGAAACAGCATCTCCTGGAGAAGCTTGCTGAAGATATCATGTGCCCAGAGGAGCTTCACGCCCTCTTACATGCTGATGGAAACAAGCGCTTGACATGTTATGACGGTTTTGAACCCAGTGGAAGGATACATATTGCGCAAGGAATTGCAAAGGCCATTAATGTTAACAGGTTATTGAGGTCAGGTATTGACTGCGTCTTTTATGTGGCAGATTGGTTTGCTGCTTTAAATAATAAATGCGACGCAGAGCTCTCAAAGATCCAAATTTTAGGGCGCTACTTTGTGGAGGTTTGGAAAGCGTGCGGGATGCTGGGTGTCTCTAAACCGGTTGTGTTTAGTACGGGCCAAAAAGCGTCTGTCAGGTTTGTGTGGGCAAGTGAGTTCATCAGGCAGAACTCTTCCTCGTACTGGATGCGCGTAATGAATATTGCACGTAGCTTTACGGTGCCTCGTATGCAGCGATGCTCAACTATAATGGGCCGAACAGAGGGTGATGATCAGCCAATTTCTCAAATACTATATCCCTCAATGCAATGTGCGGATATCTTTGAGCTAAAGCTGGATCTGGTTGAGATGGGACTTGATCAGCGTAAGGTAAATGCCTTAGCCCGGGATTACTGCGATAAATCTGTAGAGCTAAGGCACCATAAGCCTGTTATTCTCATGCACCACATGCTGCTTGGCCTTGTGGGTGACGGTAAAATGAGCAAGTCTGTTCCTGACTCTGCTATTTATATGGACGATTCCTTCGAAGAAATTCAGCGAAAGATCATGAACGCTTCTTGTCCAGAACCAGGAGCCGAGAGCGGCAATCCTATTCTTGAGTACTACAAGTACATTGTGTTTGGCGCAATAGAGCAGGAGATGATATCAACAGAGTGTTTAGGATCAGTTGTTGTCCTACCATACGACCGGGACGGTAGTGCCGCTGACTGCAGTCAATTCGCTAATTATGAGGAGCTGGAGACGGCATATGTGGAGGGAAGAATTGCACCACATGTTCTTAAGTCCTCGTTGGTTCACTATATAGACAGTCTTATCGCCCCCGTCCGTGCCCATTTCAAGTCGACCCCAGAGCTTTCTCGCTTACTCTCTGATGTGCACAACATACGATCTGTCCGCTAAGCGTCCACTTACCCTGCGGGCGTGTGCTTAGAGCGGTCACCGAGACTAAAGCAAACATAGATTCACACACAACTAGAAAAGTGAACTCTACTTACTAGATGGTCTAGAAAATCCAGAAAAGCCGGAGAAGCCACTGCTAGCAGTGTCAGACATGGGTCCAGAGACTAAGCTGTCGAGATAGAGCTCGACAGCCCCTTGCGGAGTGACATTCTGAAGTCCGGCATGATTGATGCGACGATAGATATCAGTTAGAGTCGTTTCGTGGCGCTTGAGGACGTTGATCTTCTTGACCTTCATGGCAGGGGTCAGGCATCCGTTCTCTGGAGTCCACGGATCTCCCTCAACAACCAACGCCTTAGGGATCTCAAAAGATCTCAAAGAATTTTCCTTGCAGGTTTTCTGGATGGCCTGAAGGACCTGCATGAACAAGTCCTTCAACCTGGGATACGCACTCGGGTCTTGAAGGGTTATCTCAAGCTTTCCCTCTACATCTTTTGGTATTGCGTGGCCAAGCTCTTTTTGACACATGTCAACATTGAGAACGACCACACAGAGCACGCAGCTCTCGAAACGTGAGCCATGCATGATGCACTGCTCAACGTATTTGCAGCGGCTGATAGCGTTCTCGATTGTGGTGGCGGAGATGTACTCCCCTTGAGCAAGCTTAAAGATTCCACGCTTACGGTCAATCAGACGCAGTTCTCCAAGAGACCTATCGTATTCCCCTATGTCTCCCGTCATGAACCAGCCGTCCTCGGTGAGCGTCTCCTTGGTCTTGGCGTCGTCGTTGTAGTAGCCACTGAAGACCGAGGGCCCCTTGATCCAGACCTCTCCGCGCGGGTTTGGCTTGTCCGTCACGAGATAGTCCATGTCAGGGACAGAGGTAAGGCGTATCTTAGTGGAACTATCCAGGGTCACACCGACAGTTCCCCAGTGTAACGTAGACGTTGGCTGCACCACACCATGTGCCGCTGTCTCAGACATTCCCCAGCCTTCAAAGACCTCCATGTCACATGCGATGCGTAGGAACTCGCCAACTTTCTGTGAAAGAGGAGCAGACCCTGTCACGCAAAGAGAGCAGCGGCCCCCCAAAAGAGCTTTCGTAGAAGAGAATATCTTATTAGTAAGCCCAGGCCACGGCCTCCCAGCAAGAAGAGCCTTACGGCGAGAGCCATAGGCTGCAAAGAAAACAAAGCGCTTGAAACTCGAGAGGGCGCTGACCTTGGCCATGATTCCATCAAATAGCTTGTTCAGAACGCGAGGCACAGCAACGAAGAAGGTGGGGCAAAGCATTTGGACGTCTTCAACCAGCATTTTGATATCTCCTTGCCAAAATCCCATACAGGCACCGGAGTGGATGGACACAAAATTGATTACACGCATAAATATATGAGCATTTGGAAGAAAGGAGAGAGTGTAATGCTGTTGGCCTTGAAGCGGAAGAAGGCGTGAGCACTGCATGGAGATAGCGGTGTGCATCACATTCCCGTGGCTTAGCTTTACGCCCTTTGGATTCCCAGTTGTTCCAGACGTATATATAAGAGTCATCAAGTCGTCACGCTGCGAGACCTCCAGGTCCAGTGAGGGGAAGCTAGTGATTGGGAAGTCATCTGAATACAGGTAGGAGTATCCAGCAAGACCGGTGGCCGAGCTCTGTGCATACTTTGAAAACATAGCCTTGTATCTATCAGTCTCCCTCCCGAGGGTAGTAACCTGGTGGTAGGTCCCCGAGACAAGCTTCATGAGTTGTTGCACGGTTTCAGGCTGCCCATATTTCCCTTTGTCCATAGTGAACAATTGGTGTCCCAAATGAGGAATGTCCTTCTTGTCCGGTAGGTAGAAATGTGCCCCATGGCTACCGCTAGCAGTGTCACAAGCCGTACTGATAATGCGCGAATAGCGAGACTTTGTGCCCTCCACGGCATTCTGCTCTTCTGGTGTACGTCGTCGAGGATTGTGGCATCCATATTTACGGTCTCCCTCGTCGAATTCCTCCATGCGGCGCGGAACAGTAGAGGTGTGCGTTGGCATAGCGAGGCTTACTGTTTTACCGTCCGGACACGAGAATGAGTTAGCAAACTGGGAATAGTAGTCCGACACAAGCGCCCTATCATCCAAACGGTCATCGAAGATAATGACCGCCTTAACCGAAGGACACCTTGAAGCAGCGTCAGCCCACTTTGGAAGCCTATCTGGGGCTACAAAGAGAATGGAAATCTGAGAGTCATTTGCCACCAGTATAACTTCCTCTGTGCTCTGCGTATCATAAATCGGGACAAGTACTGCGCCTAGCGCAATGCACGCAAGATCCAGCACAACCCACTCTACACGGTTAGTGGATATAACACCAACCTTACTTCCTTTGGTAATGCCCAGAGCCTGAAGACCAAGGGCCAACTCGACGGTCATCTTGTACACCTGGGCGTATGAGTACCACTCAAAGTCACCACGTGACCCCTTGTAAGGTGGGTCGAACTTAGAGCTCTTCAGAACAGGAGGGGCCGTCATGGGCCGAAGAAACTCACGAGTCCCAAGAAAACGCAAACCAGGAGTGACTAGGGTCGTCTTCTGCATAATCCGCAGACCTGTGCAGGCATCGCCAGAGACGTCAAGCCCGGGAGCGTCAAAGGGGCAGATGAAATCCGACATGCCTCAATTAATTTTTGGCACTTAACATAAGTTTATACCTTTACTTATTAATTTCTGACTTCTAGATCTCGGGGTTTCGAGTTCACATTCCCATGGTTACGCTTAGCTGCGGACTGGGAGCCTCTCTCTTACGACGGGCCCTTCTAACTGCGTCGATGAGACGGATGCAGACCGGGTATTAGCCCCCGTTTTAGTGTTTGTGAGCCCTGTGAAGACATACTTCATCCCCCACTTGGTCCCGTCGACACCCTTTGGTACCGCAGGCATCTGAACAATCTCCATACTCTCCGTAAGAGTCAGGTGTATCCATATTCCTTTTAACTGATAGTAGTACTCCTTGTAATCATCTGCCGTGAGGAAGTATGCGTACTCGAGGTCACGGCTTATGAGGCGCTCCATCAGGTTGAGGTCGCGGAGAGAAAAGTCGCTGGCACACAGGGCAAAGGATCTAGAGCTACAGGATATGTCGTCCCATACCTTGCTTGCTATCATGATGCAGGTGAATACAAGCCTTTCCCAGGTCTCGCTAGAAATAGTGACCCTGCAGGGATTCAGGTTGATGAACATGTCAAGATATATGACAGAGGCTACAAGGCACTCTGGCTCTACCTGGGCCTTTCGGAAAAGTCGATAGATGAAGGTGTACACCTCTTCGAATTTTGGGAGTCTGTTGTAGTACAAGAAATTTGAGGTCTTGAAGATGCTGTATGGAGCAGTATCAACTTTGTATGGGAAAGGCATGGCATGGGTGGCAAGAATCATTCCGTAGACAGCCGCTGAAACGCCCTTGACTGTCATATTCAGCTTTAAACTAGATCCTTGAGCGCCACCATGTGACGCTGCAGCAACGTTCATGATTATATTTTCACCTGGTAGCGTTCTACGAGCGTAGTAAACAGTACTGAGGCAAAGGTGATAAACAACCTCTACGTTAGTAAACGGAATAAGAGGCGGGTAGCGGTGCCTGCACGCGGCGGAGAGGGCGGCCGCACAATGCTAAAGAAAAAATTGCATGGCCCGGGTGAAACAAGACTACGTGGTTGTCGATCCCAAGGGGAAGCACACAACGCTTACAATTGAGAATGTGGGGCTAATACCAATCATGGCTCGGGTGCGGTCTGTGAATGTCACCGCATACTCAATTAACCCGACCTATTACCTGATCCATCCCAACGGATCACAGGACGTCAACATAGAGATTCATATACCACGCCATATTGATCCCCTACACGACGCGTTCAAGGTTGCCACATTGACGCTGCCTCAGAAGTTTCTAGAGAGAGTTAAAACAGAGGTAGAGACCAGAAAAAGCCCCAGCGACACCGTGTGCAGGACCCTTTGGGAAGAAGTTGTTGCAACATACAATCCTATTACAAAGGATATCATCGTTCCTACACGGAGCGTAGGGGTATTAGGGACGTATCAAGCAAAGCTGGCGCAGGACACAGATGACCTAAATATCCTCAAGGAGGAAATAGAGCGTCTGATAGCCATGCGGAAAAAGAACGAGAAGCTGCTGCAAGACATGGAGACAAAGGGAATCGTCATCCAATCAAGGAAAAACAATCTCACGGAGAGACTAAAATATCTGCAGGCTCAGCTGGATTCTCTAGGTGTTTCGCGCGTAATGGGACAGATGAACAAGTCCAAGCGTATACTGGCCCACTACTTATTTATAATTTTCTTACTCCTGGCGTCTACCCTTGGGGGGTACGCCCTCTTGTAAACACGTTGCTTCATATGTTTGCTGCAGTGCATGTACTAATCTGCATGGTGAGTAAGTTATTAGGTCCACAAGTTAGTTTTCTGGCTTCGCTCCAAAAGATGGATAACGATCTCATAATTTTATTTAAGGTTTTTAATAGCTATGGACGGTACTCCAGTGGAGCAAGCTGTTGATGGGATGTCAGGAATGGAGCTTCTCTGGCTCGGCCTGGTCGAATATAAAGAGCTGCGGAGGCTAGGAAAAGATGAGCGCGAGAAGGCTCTCAAGGGCGTTTTGCAGAGATTTGAGCTTCTGACTACTAGAGGATCGGCTGAGCAGCGGTTAAGCAAAAACGAGAGCTCTAAAGAGCTAAACGAGACAAATATTCCGTTTCTGCTTGGCTACTACTACGTTGGGAAGATACTGAATGACTACGTCCATGAAAACCGTTTAAAGGCTCTTACTGTTGCATCCAATAACTTTGTCATCTTCCTAGAGATCCTCACCGATTATGGCATGCTGTCGCCCGACGAGGCTGCAGAGGTTGTTGTGATGCAGCAGGAGGCCGGACTTGGGGGAGAAAAGGATGAAGTAGACGAGATGATAGAACACGTAAAGCCTCAGCAGGGAATAATGAAGGCCCTGGCTACTCGCCAACGCGCCCAGCAAGAATTTCGAGTTCAGCAGGAGGCAGAGGCGATGCACGAGGAGATAGCCAAGCTAATGCAATCGACCAAGCGCGCAGATTATGACGCCGCTCGCGATCTTCTAGAGAAATATCTCCGTGCTCTCGTGCTTTCTGCGAAGTTTGGTGCGCTGAAAGAGCTCAAGTACCTTTACGAAGAAACGCGGATGCTATCATTTGAGAAGAACAACCCGGAAGAGGCGGAGCGCATCCGAAAAGATCGTATGCGATATGGGGCTCCCGAGAATACTGCAAAGAAGAGCATCAACATGGTGTCACTGACCGAACAGGACATTGCAGTCATCGACAAGAACAAGCCCATTCAAATATCGAACGCCGAGGATCTGAAAAGGCTAGAGGTCATCAAGCAAGAGGCCCGGAAGCAGGGTGCGTTTGTGCCGAAGGACTGCATCGAACTTCTTAGGGAAGGCAATGAGGCTGCTGCAGTTGCTATGGGGCCTACCAAAGCGGGCCTCAGCGGGATTGCTACGGCTTCCAACCTCACAACGCAAGACGTGCTAGGTCAGGCAGACGGGCTCCGCCTTAACGCAGAGCAGTTTACTGGCTTGAATCTTGTCTATGGGGGTGGGAATCCTTATACAGGCCAAATACCCGGTGACCCTAACGGGGACCATCGCAACGTGGTCTATAAGGTGTCCAGGACAGAGACAATGCAGCCAGGGACGAAAGACGAAGAGCCTGATGAAGATAAGCCTCCTTCAGACTACTCGGATGACGAGGAGGTGCACAGACAGCGTAAAGACGATGACGAGAACGATGGAAGGAAGAGAGGCTGGGGGAATCGCTATAGGCGCATGTAAGTAAACGTAGGGCTTTCTGTTAAACGTCGCTATCGACTGCTAATCCATGAGATTGTGCAGTATATTAGCTTTACCCCGTATGAGAGCGAGCTCCCCCTCTGTGAGCGTGCACTGGAGGTATGTCTTGCTTTGCGTTGGGCCCCTTGTGCAAGCAATACATCGGGAGTTGATCAAGCTCATAATTGTGTCATCAATATCAACAGCAGACAGCAGCGTATCAGTTTGCAGACAGCTGTACGCTTGAAAACATGCCTTGAGTCTTGCCACAGACACACGAGAGGACCTAGTACGACCGTTAGTTGTTGTGTGGCTTAGGCTCTGCTTGAAGCTCTGGCCCTTTCGCTTGAGGGTTGTCCTTCCGAAGCGGTACTCGTCCTGGCTGGGACTACTGTGCATGCAAATGTGCAAGATTGATAATAGAATACACTGGACACGGGTCATATGACCGCAATACGGAGAGATAGGGGAGCAAAAGGAGATGACATTTTCGTTAATGCTAGCAGTGATGAACCGAGGAGCTTCCAAAGTAATGTAGTCACATCTTTCATCAGTTGGGCGTCTTGAAGCTGCGATGAAAGATTTTCCACTAGCCTGTAAGGCCAATATCAGCTCATTGAGATTGAAAACACATACATCATCGAGGAGAAGAACACAGGTACACGGGGCAGCAAGCACATGGGCCTCTAATTCCTGGATGCTGCGGTACATGGCGCAATATAGCATTTCTGTACAAGCAACACGTGCATGGACCGCCTGGAGAACTGTTGTCTTTCCACTAGAAGCTTTACCAACCAAGACCATCTGTAGCAGGATGCCGCTACGAGCAACCTCAGATGTGAGGATCTCTAGATGCCGCACTGCCTCGCTAGCAGTCAACATATATTTACTTTTCCATGCCTTACACCCAACACCCGTGTTTCTGGTTAGGTTTAAGACAGAGACGACCTAATGTGAAAAAGCGTGTTGCTTACAAAGCCCAGCTCTTTCAGTGTCTTCCCGCTTAGAGAGGTACGAGAGTAGAGGACAGAGGCCGCGGGGTACCATAGGCTTTCCGTTTCCAGAAGTTCTAGGCTATCAAATAGAGCCTCCATGGTCTCGTCAACCCTTATGGAGACTTGCTTCGGGGCCCCACCGCTTGTTTTGATGGCCTTGACCTTTATAACACCTTCAACGACAGCCACTGTTTGGAGATCTGATGTATTACGAACACAACAAGCAGACCCCGAGCATGCAGCGGTAGAGTCAGTGTGTTCTGGGAAAACATCCTCAGAGCTTCCCAAGGGACCGTCAGACTTCATAGCGGCTCTCATTTCTGTGTACTGCTGCTGCATACGCTTGCAAAGCTCCTCTGACTCATGCTTTCTGGCCTCCATCTCATAACGGATGCGGTCATGGAGCTGAGCCTTCATATTCTTTTCCCTCTGCTTTTCCCGCTTGATTTCCTCAAGCTCCGCTTTTTGTCGTCGTATTCTTAACTCCTCTGGTGAGAATGATTGGGTACCTGGAGAATGAGTCGAGACACTGTTCTGCGTAACTCCCGAAGCAAGCGGGCTTCCGCTAAGCTTTGGATCCTCAGGGGCTGGCTCCTTCTGAACCTCGTCACCCATCTCTGTAGGCTGCTGTGCGGCTATATAGTCTAAGATGGAGTCTACGTCATCACCTGCAGACGCTACTGCGTCGCGAACCAGCTCCAAAGGGAAGCCGTATGTCTCATGAATCGTGTTTATCAGCTCCTCGGACATGGGGAATTTTTGGTTGGCAAGGAAGGCCAAAAGGAGTTTTTTCGCCGACAGCGTTCACATGTAATTGCAAAAAGTTGCAGAAAATTAACGTGAATCCGCGCAGACCCTTGCTTTGCAATTTCAGATGATGTGTTCAAAAGTTTGTTTCAAAATGTTGCGGAATCCAAAAAAGGATGAACCCGTTCGACCTTACTCCTGCATCGATTCCCTTCGTCCATGCGAGTGACAAGGCGGCCATGCTTCAGAGCGTGATACCGTTAGCAGTGGCTAAGGGCGTGGCATCTAATGCAGACACTCTTTCGGCGACAGACATCGCCATTGCGGCACGTGAGCCGCTACGCAACGCAAATCCGAATCCAGATGCCAGTTACATACTTACCCTGACACGCTACTATAAGCTTATGCGTCCAATTGCAGAGCACGCAAATGACCACGACGTTCTGCGCGCCACCGTGGCTAACCCCAGCAAGTGGGTCTCTGAGAACGTATCTCTCGAGTGCTCCTCCATTGCCGGTGAAGCAGTTGCTGCTGCAATTAATCTAGCTGCAGCAAAGATTTTTAGTGGAATAGGAAATCACTACGACGCGACTAGGTTCTTCTCGGAGGCCGAGGCTATTCTGCAGGAGGCTGCTACGCTAGCAGAAAGCGGCCACCTATGTGGATTTTTAGGCCCTACTCATCTCCGGGCGCTGGCTTTGTTTGCCCAAGCACAGTCTCTCGAGAGCACTGCCGTGAGCAAGATCAACAAATTGGGTGCAGAGGAAATAGAGTCAACTGAACTGCAGACAGCCCTGCGTACGCTCACCGAGGCTAGTGCTCTTTACGATCGAGTTTTCAAAGACCTGGCTCCGACAGCCTCTTCTTCTACCGTTGTTGCAAGCACGTCTCTCTTTAAGGCTAAGCTTCTCCCTGCTCTTGCCAGATACGTCGTTGCGAATGCCTACTTTAATGGGAACAGGCTTTCTAATACCGCTACTGAATGCCGCAGGGCCTCTGAACTTCTTACCGTCGCACAAGCCGCGCTGGAGCTTACTCCTGACCAAGAACGCATGACTTCTGAGCTGGCCACGGCAATTATCGGCATACAGAGCAACCTACCCGTGGCCGGTGTCGATGACGAGGCACAGTTATATGATCTTCAGAGGATGACAGAGCAAGATTTCCGTGAATTCAAGCAAGCATACGGCGCACCAACAGATGTTCTACCTCCGTGGAGAAACGATTCTTCTCAAGACACTGCGGCTCTTAACGAATTACGCCGCATTGTGGCCAGCAAGGACGATGAAATTCAGGCACTTAACATCTCGTTACGAAACGCGCAGCTGGAGCTTCTCCAGGTATCTTCTGGAAGCGTTCTCAACACAGAAGTCACGTATCTTAAGGGTCTTTTGGAGAAGGAACATGAAACCGTGAAGTCACTTCAAGAAGCAGCAGAACTTAAGAACAAAGAGGTGGATGCATTGAACGAAGCCCTTAAGCAACAAGAGGAGATGGTCAAGTCCCTCTGTGAAAGTATCTCTCCATCTGCATCCCGCAAGAATCTCAAGAGCCCAGCTGCGGGGGATGCGTCCACCCGCGAGGCAGACAGGCGAGAGCGCATGATAAAGAAACTTCAGATGCAGGTTATGAGTAAGGACATTGAGATTAATGAGTTGAAGTCTTCTCTTGAGCTAGCGAACAGCGGCATGTTAGCCTCTACCACCGGTGCGACGACAGACGAGGTCGACGCTCTCCGAAGGGACATTGCGGCTCTTCAGAATGCTATTGATGATAAGGACAAAGAGGTAAAGTGGCTAGAAGACGAGATTCGGCAAAAGGATGATACGATGATAGAATTGCGGGGCCGCACGGAAAGTGAGATAGAGTCCCTCCAGGAGACAGCCGCCAGCAAAGACCAGGAAATTGCAAAGCTCGAGGCAGAATTGAAGAGTACCTTGCAAATGATCCAGGCCCTCAAGAACTCTGAGGCTGATGGCGCTGGTGCAACAAACATACTGCAGCGTGAGAAGGCACACCTAGAGGATAAGTTGCAAGAAAAGGAAAATATCGTAGCAGAATTAAACGAGGCCTTAAGAAAAAAAGATTTAACGATTGCTGAGCTGCATGAGAGCGCTGCAGCTCAGCAACGGAAGGAACAGGAGACAATCGACTTCTACGAAAACCTCAAAAGAGAGCAGAATCAAGTTATCTCTGATCTGCGAAGCTCGCTCTCGGCTAAGCAGGCCACTTTAGCCATGGCAGAGGAGACTGCAAAGACACTAGAAAGTGAAGTCCAGTCGCTAAAGAGTGAAGTGGACGCTAAGACTATGGAGATAGAAAGCCTCCTTGCTATGTCGACGAGCAAGGCCAACGATATGGACCAGACCATGGAAGAGCTCCAGTCATTGAGGACCGAACTGCTGGCCAAAGAAGGAGAAATTCAAACCCTTAGGAACCTAATCGAAGAGAAGGAAGCAATAATTACTGATTTACGGATGACAGAAAGCGAACACCAGAACAAGTATACTACTCTCCAAACCACACTTCAGCGGCTGAATGAAGACCTTCAGAGCAGAGACCGTCAGATCGTTGCACTTTTAGAAGAAGCAGAGGCAGCAGCTGAGCGTCAAAAGGCGAGTCAACATCTTCAGGAACAGCTCCAGAGGCAGATTTCTCAGCAAGATATTGTAAGCAAAAGCGTCCAAGAACAAGTCTGTATGATGAGCGATGCTGCCTGTCGGGCCCGCTATTTAGAGGATAAATTGGCCACCAAAACATACGACGAAGAAGTTTTGCGTACTATGATACAACGTGTAGAAGATGCCGACCGAGACAAGGGGAGGACTATCGAGAGTCTGAGAACGGAGATTGAGTTTTTGCGCAGTGAACCTAAGTATCAGCCAGACGACAGATCGGGTCAAATAGAAGCACTGGAAGACAAGATCGTAGCGTTGAACACACATATTCGGTATCTTACTAACGAGCTACTTCAAAAGGAGCAAGAGCTAGTGCACTTAGCTAATGACGATAAATCAGCTGAGACAGACCGTCTGAAGAAGCTTCTTATTAGTCAGGATGATGAGCTGAATGAGCTAAAGGAGAACCTGTTCCTTCTTAGAGAAAAGGGAATAAGCGATGGAATTCTTGACGGAGAACCCACGATGGTTCCTGCAAGCATGCTTGTTAGCAAGCAAGAGGAGATCGATAGATTAAAAGAAGCCTTAGAGTCTCTTAGCGCAGAGGAGCCGATTATAGTTACCCGGCACGAAGAGCCAGAAGAGGATATCTCTAGTCTTAAGAAGCAGCTTACTGAGCTCACCGGACTGGTTGCCAGTCAAGCCGTCCAGATTGAGGGTTTGAATGCTCAATTAGCCGATAAAACACGTGACCTTGACACTGCCTTGTATGATGTCGCAGTCTTAAGACGTGCATTGCGCGTCATTGAGGATGACTACAGAGATTCTGAGCGCAGTCTTGACCAACTCGAACAACAAGCTGTCAACATGAAGGATGCTTATGAGTTATCTCTTGCAGCGCAGGTAAGTCCTATTGGCGTTCTTGAAAACGAGCTCCGAGCACTCAGTACGCATAATCAGCAATTGATAGACGTCATTGATGAAAAGGACGGTGAGATTTCACGGCTTCATGCTTCTGTTATCGATGCTATTTCTGCTAGCCAAGTTGTAGTTGCTCCTCCCGATTTCTCCAATTTGCTCACCGATAAAGACGCCGAGCTCGAGCGCCTCCGCACGCTCCTCGACCATCCCCCGGTTGAGCAGCCCGTAGACGACTCCCAGAAGTACCGGGACGCGATCGGCTTCCTCAAGGAGGAGCTTGCCTACAAGGACCATGAGATCCGCCGCATGAGGGCTGACAGCGCGCCCTCCGAGGTCGCGCAGATCGTTGACGCCTCCCTCAAGCAGGCCCTGGCACAGAAAGAGGAAGAGGTGGCGCGCCTCAAGAGCGCCCTGGAGGATCTCGCCTCGGACCACATCGGCCAGAAGACCGGCGAGCCCGACACAGCCGCTCTCAAGGCCCTGCAGCAGGAGATCAGCACAAAGGACGACGAGATCCAGAAGCTCACCGCTGTCATCGCTGCCATGCCGCGCACCCATGAGCCGCAGGACATCACTGACGCCGCAGAGCTGGTGCGCATCCTTGAGTCCAACCTCGAGAGGGAGAAGGATGACACGGCTGCTCTTCGCGACGCCCTGCGCAACGCAGAGGAGAAGAACAATGAGCAGCTTCGCGAAATAGATGATCTTCGTCGGGAGCTCGACGCGCTTCGCAGGGCGGCTCCCGTCGAGCCTCTTGCGGCTGCAGCCCCGGCCGACGACGACCTTCTCCGGTCGCTGCGCGCAGACAACGAGATGCTGATGGAGGATGTCCATGATAAGCGCCAAGACATCAAGGTTCTGGAGCGCAAGCTTCTTCAGGCCAAGGACGTCATCGAGGATCTCAAGGACGCGCTCGTCCGCGTCGAGCCCGCCGAGCTGACGGCCATTGCAGACGGCGACGCGGAGGACATCGGCCGCCTCCAGGACCTCCTCGAGAACATGAAGCAGCGCGAGAAGGAGCTCAACCGCTTCTACACCGACCTGCTGAAGCAGACCCAGCCGGCACAGGCACCAGAGCCCCTCACCCAGGCAGACTTCGAGCGGATCCTCTCCGAGAAGGACGCCGAGCTCGAGCGCCTCCGCACGCTCCTCGACCATCCCCCGGTTGAGCAGCCCGTAGACGACTCCCAGAAGTACCGGGACGCGATCGGCTTCCTCAAGGAGGAGCTTGCCTACAAGGACCATGAGATCCGCCGCATGAGGGCTGACAGCGCGCCCTCCGAGGTCGCGCAGATCGTTGACGCCTCCCTCAAGCAGGCCCTGGCACAGAAAGAGGAAGAGGTGGCGCGCCTCAAGAGCGCCCTGGAGGATCTCGCCTCGGACCACATCGGCCAGAAGACCGGCGAGCCCGACACAGCCGCTCTCAAGGCCCTGCAGCAGGAGATCAGCACAAAGGACGACGAGATCCAGAAGCTCACCGCTGTCATCGCTGCCATGCCGCGCACCCATGAGCCGCAGGACATCACTGACGCCGCAGAGCTGGTGCGCATCCTTGAGTCCAACCTCGAGAGGGAGAAGGATGACACGGCTGCTCTTCGCGACGCCCTGCGCAACGCAGAGGAGAAGAACAATGAGCAGCTTCGCGAAATAGATGATCTTCGTCGGGAGCTCGACGCGCTTCGCAGGGCGGCTCCCGTCGAGCCTCTTGCGGCTGCAGCCCCGGCCGACGACGACCTTCTCCGGTCGCTGCGCGCAGACAACGAGATGCTGATGGAGGATGTCCATGATAAGCGCCAAGACATCAAGGTTCTGGAGCGCAAGCTTCTTCAGGCCAAGGACGTCATCGAGGATCTCAAGGACGCGCTCGTCCGCGTCGAGCCCGCCGAGCTGACGGCCATTGCAGACGGCGACGCGGAGGACATCGGCCGCCTCCAGGACCTCCTCGAGAACATGAAGCAGCGCGAGAAGGAGCTCAACCGCTTCTACACCGACCTGCTGAAGCAGACCCAGCCGGCACAGGCACCAGAGCCCCTCACCCAGGCAGACTTCGAGCGGATCCTCTCCGAGAAGGACGCCGAGCTCGAGCGCCTCCGCACGCTCCTCGACCATCCCCCGGTTGAGCAGCCCGTAGACGACTCCCAGAAGTACCGGGACGCGATCGGCTTCCTCAAGGAGGAGCTTGCCTACAAGGACCATGAGATCCGCCGCATGAGGGCTGACAGCGCGCCCTCCGAGGTCGCGCAGATCGTTGACGCCTCCCTCAAGCAGGCCCTGGCACAGAAAGAGGAAGAGGTGGCGCGCCTCAAGAGCGCCCTGGAGGATCTCGCCTCGGACCACATCGGCCAGAAGACCGGCGAGCCCGACACAGCCGCTCTCAAGGCCCTGCAGCAGGAGATCAGCACAAAGGACGACGAGATCCAGAAGCTCACCGCTGTCATCGCTGCCATGCCGCGCACCCATGAGCCGCAGGACATCACTGACGCCGCAGAGCTGGTGCGCATCCTTGAGTCCAACCTCGAGAGGGAGAAGGATGACACGGCTGCTCTTCGCGACGCCCTGCGCAACGCAGAGGAGAAGAACAATGAGCAGCTTCGCGAAATAGATGATCTTCGTCGGGAGCTCGACGCGCTTCGCAGGGCGGCTCCCGTCGAGCCTCTTGCGGCTGCAGCCCCGGCCGACGACGACCTTCTCCGGTCGCTGCGCGCAGACAACGAGATGCTGATGGAGGATGTCCATGATAAGCGCCAAGACATCAAGGTTCTGGAGCGCAAGCTTCTTCAGGCCAAGGACGTCATCGAGGATCTCAAGGACGCGCTCGTCCGCGTCGAGCCCGCCGAGCTGACGGCCATTGCAGACGGCGACGCGGAGGACATCGGCCGCCTCCAGGACCTCCTCGAGAACATGAAGCAGCGCGAGAAGGAGCTCAACCGCTTCTACACCGACCTGCTGAAGCAGACCCAGCCGGCACAGGCACCAGAGCCCCTCACCCAGGCAGACTTCGAGCGGATCCTCTCCGAGAAGGACGCCGAGCTCGAGCGCCTCCGCACGCTCCTCGACCATCCCCCGGTTGAGCAGCCCGTAGACGACTCCCAGAAGTACCGGGACGCGATCGGCTTCCTCAAGGAGGAGCTTGCCTACAAGGACCATGAGATCCGCCGCATGAGGGCTGACAGCGCGCCCTCCGAGGTCGCGCAGATCGTTGACGCCTCCCTCAAGCAGGCCCTGGCACAGAAAGAGGAAGAGGTGGCGCGCCTCAAGAGCGCCCTGGAGGATCTCGCCTCGGACCACATCGGCCAGAAGACCGGCGAGCCCGACACAGCCGCTCTCAAGGCCCTGCAGCAGGAGATCAGCACAAAGGACGACGAGATCCAGAAGCTCACCGCTGTCATCGCTGCCATGCCGCGCACCCATGAGCCGCAGGACATCACTGACGCCGCAGAGCTGGTGCGCATCCTTGAGTCCAACCTCGAGAGGGAGAAGGATGACACGGCTGCTCTTCGCGACGCCCTGCGCAACGCAGAGGAGAAGAACAATGAGCAGCTTCGCGAAATAGATGATCTTCGTCGGGAGCTCGACGCGCTTCGCAGGGCGGCTCCCGTCGAGCCTCTTGCGGCTGCAGCCCCGGCCGACGACGACCTTCTCCGGTCGCTGCGCGCAGACAACGAGATGCTGATGGAGGATGTCCATGATAAGCGCCAAGACATCAAGGTTCTGGAGCGCAAGCTTCTTCAGGCCAAGGACGTCATCGAGGATCTCAAGGACGCGCTCGTCCGCGTCGAGCCCGCCGAGCTGACGGCCATTGCAGACGGCGACGCGGAGGACATCGGCCGCCTCCAGGACCTCCTCGAGAACATGAAGCAGCGCGAGAAGGAGCTCAACCGCTTCTACACCGACCTGCTGAAGCAGACCCAGCCGGCACAGGCACCAGAGCCCCTCACCCAGGCAGACTTCGAGCGGATCCTCTCCGAGAAGGACGCCGAGCTCGAGCGCCTCCGCACGCTCCTCGACCATCCCCCGGTTGAGCAGCCCGTAGACGACTCCCAGAAGTACCGGGACGCGATCGGCTTCCTCAAGGAGGAGCTTGCCTACAAGGACCATGAGATCCGCCGCATGAGGGCTGACAGCGCGCCCTCCGAGGTCGCGCAGATCGTTGACGCCTCCCTCAAGCAGGCCCTGGCACAGAAAGAGGAAGAGGTGGCGCGCCTCAAGAGCGCCCTGGAGGATCTCGCCTCGGACCACATCGGCCAGAAGACCGGCGAGCCCGACACAGCCGCTCTCAAGGCCCTGCAGCAGGAGATCAGCACAAAGGACGACGAGATCCAGAAGCTCACCGCTGTCATCGCTGCCATGCCGCGCACCCATGAGCCGCAGGACATCACTGACGCCGCAGAGCTGGTGCGCATCCTTGAGTCCAACCTCGAGAGGGAGAAGGATGACACGGCTGCTCTTCGCGACGCCCTGCGCAACGCAGAGGAGAAGAACAATGAGCAGCTTCGCGAAATAGATGATCTTCGTCGGGAGCTCGACGCGCTTCGCAGGGCGGCTCCCGTCGAGCCTCTTGCGGCTGCAGCCCCGGCCGACGACGACCTTCTCCGGTCGCTGCGCGCAGACAACGAGATGCTGATGGAGGATGTCCATGATAAGCGCCAAGACATCAAGGTTCTGGAGCGCAAGCTTCTTCAGGCCAAGGACGTCATCGAGGATCTCAAGGACGCGCTCGTCCGCGTCGAGCCCGCCGAGCTGACGGCCATTGCAGACGGCGACGCGGAGGACATCGGCCGCCTCCAGGACCTCCTCGAGAACATGAAGCAGCGCGAGAAGGAGCTCAACCGCTTCTACACCGACCTGCTGAAGCAGACCCAGCCGGCACAGGCACCAGAGCCCCTCACCCAGGCAGACTTCGAGCGGATCCTCTCCGAGAAGGACGCCGAGCTCGAGCGCCTCCGCATCCTGACTTCAGATAATGCCACCTTTTTCAGGAAGAAGCTGGCAGCCAAGGACGCGGAGATAAGAAGGCTTATGTCGGCTGCATCTCAGCCAGATGAGGCGTCACATGGAACAGAGTACGATGTTGCCGTATTGCAGAGTGCTTTGACTGTGGCTGACGACATCATCAATGATAAGACGCGAGAAACTGAAGAACTCCAGAAGCTCCTTGATGACTTACAAGAAAAGCTTCGAGATGTGGATGAGAATAAGCTTTATGAAACCATCGACATGCTTAGGAACGATGTTGACCGTTTAGAAAGATGTCTCAACGAGCGTACTAAGGAACTGAACTCATTCAAATCTGCGATGCCTCATGATAATGTTCTTGCCAATGCAGTGCAGAGAGAGAAGGAGATCGAAAGGTTCTACAGAAACCTCATTGATAGCAAAGACGTTATGATTAACCAGCTTAAAGCTCTTCTGTCTGCCGACACTGACGATCTCCTAAGGGCTCTTCGAATGGACAATCAGACTCTGGCTGAGGACGTGCGAGACAAGGCCAACAGTCTGCAAGATACTACAAGAAAACTCCGAGATGCCATGAACACCATTGACAGGCTTCAGTCTGAACTAGCTCATGCACGTACTGATGAACTGGACGACTCTCGTCCTTCAGAACAGGACTCACAATCTGATGGCTTACAAGAGCTACAAAGAATTATCCAGGCCAAGGATGAGGTCATTTCGGACCTGCGGCAACAGCTAGATACAGCAACTGATACAACCGTGGACACTGCTGAGCGTATACGCGTGCTTGAGAGCAGTCTAGCAGAGGGCTCTGCTCGCGAAAGAGAAGCACCGGCGATCATATCAGATGACGTTACGTCTCTTACACAGAAGATAGCGCTTCTTCAGGACGAGATTGACGAAAAGCAGAACACAATCGAGGCTCTTGTCGGAGCAATCAAGGACTTTAATGAGGCTAATGCTTCTCTAAGACAGTCCAAGATAGAGATGGAGGATCAGGTCAGATATATGCGGCAGGCTCTTGAAAACACCCAGGGTGCCATGAATCACATGCTTACGTCTGCAATTGGCCAGAACAGCGAAGTGGCAGCCGTGCTGAGCCCTCAGCTAAGCGCAATCGACGCAACGACCAACATGAGCGCTCTCGATATGCAGCAGAAGATTAAGTATTTGACCGACGAATTGAACAAATCTCGCCAGGAGGTTGACGACATGAAGAAGGCCTTTCAGGAGTCAGGCTCTGTTGGGGGGAGCAGCTATGAGATTGCAACGCTACGGAAGGAAATCAATCGTCTCAACAAGGAGTTGGATAGATACCGTAGCGGATCCGTTGTTACACCGTCGTTCAGTAGAATCCAGTGATAACTTGAGTCCTGGATGCTACTTTTTGTGAATGTATGCTGTAGCTTCTGTTTACAGTCTCAGTTTACGCTTTCTATGGTGGGGCGCGTGTTAGGGGCTCTGCTCATTGTGTATGCAACCCTCTCTGCTTGTTCGTCAATGATTGCTGGCCCGCGAGGAAGAACCTCGTTGGAGCTATTCTTCACCGTCCCGGCCCCAGTAATGATAGCCATTACACGCGCCTCGATGTCCTGCATGCTCAAATCTGTGCAGTCAATGACACGGATACAGTACTCGAATACCTTGAAGTACGCTGGTCGGTTTATTTTGTAGACATCGTAGCGCTTCTTCAGTTGATCACGCTCCAGCTCACTTGCAGATCGGGAAAGCACTGTGTCCAGCGGAAGCTGAAGGTCTATTACCACCGTGGGCAGACAATCTGGGCTGATACGCAACGAAAAGGCCTCCAGCTCAGAGGAGGGAAAGTCATCTAGGACCCAAGAATCGTTTGAGCACTGCTGGAGCTGGGTTCGAACGGACTCGATAACCTCTGTGCTTCCTAGAGTCTGGTTATTCCGTTCAGCGCAGATCAAGCGGCCCCCAAGCCTCTTCGACAAAAGGCTGCACATCGTGCTCTTTCCAGAGCATGGCGGGCCCAGTATAATGACTCTGTGCGTTGTCTTGCAGGTTGTCTTCGCAGGATCAAAGTAATTCTTCAAAAATCCGCATGGGTTGTCAGGCTTATGTATGGCGAGGGCCTCCATCGCTTGCTGGAGCTTGATGTAGATCTGCCGCTCCTCTAGATATTCGACGATAGCGTCATCTGTAATTTTGGCAGCCATTTTTGTTTTCTGTCAACTTCTCCCTGTACAGCGGGCAATACTCGGTGCCTCAGAAAAAAGCACCCGCACAGTTTACAAGACTCAAACAGGTGGTAGAAGAATGTCAATCATCCGCATTGTTCTTGGCCTCTAGACGCATCCTTAACTCAGCGTTTTCCTTCTTTAGCTCATTGATCTGATTTGTAAGACTAACAATACGGTCTTCGCCAGAGCATCCAAGGTATTGTGCAATGTACTCCAACGCATTTGGTGGCTTCTCGGCCTCTTCATAAAGAGCCACAAACGCCTTTGTAATAGCGTCAGACACGCCGGTCCTTTGAAGGAAGCGACGGAATTCTGCGCGGCGTAGATCAGTGTCAGACATTTTAAAAATATTTTAGATTCCAGGCCCACGCACCAAGATCACTCGCTCAACGATTCGATAGATGGACATAAATGCCGTTTAGTGTTACCATCTCATCTACCTCTTTGCTATAAGCAGACATCTTGACATGCATGACCTCTATGCCAGCTACCCGTGACTCTCTAAGTTGGTCCACATAGAATGGAACTATTGCAGACGAGGAGAGGTGCGCCTCGTTGTCAGCCGAGTACACATAAATATTCTCCAGTTGGTCGCTTTCCACATTCAAATCGATGAGGGTCCGCAACGAACAGCCCTGAAGAACACAGCTTCCAGCCTTAAGCGTTATTACTGGATGAGCACGCTTATTGCAAGCTTGAGATGAGGCGACCAACTTGATACTATTGAGCTCTTGGCCCATAGCTATGCCTTCATATCTACGAATAGCCTCAATGAATGCGGCGGGTCGTGGCATGTCTGACAGAGCGAGTTCGATCTGCGTCATGGTACTTGACTCATTGACACTCTGTCTGCAAGACTCATATGCGCTGGCTATGCTCGAGGATGCGCTTGTCAAAAAGGTACTCAAGTACTCGAAGGGATCGCCACTGCGAAGAGTAGCTAGCTCAGGAGAGTCGTGTGGTGCTGTTGGGCAGGGCACAGCAGTTATTCCCACGCACCATCGTTCTGGTAGAATTCTACTCAGGATAAGAGAGGCAATGGCCTTGATCCGTGTGCTGGCAAGGAGATAATTGCTATGCGCCGCAGCTGCTTCCTTGAAGTCGCTTTCCAGGACCTTTCCGATTGACATTATCACATTCCCTTGTAGATGAAGCTCATCAATAATCGGAATAATCCGCGCAATAGCTGGATCTGTTTGTTGAGCTTCGTTCAGAAAGGCTCCCATCTCCTTAAGTTTAGTGGCAAACACAGTCAGCTTGGGCTTAACGTCTTTCTCATAGATAGATGACAGTTGTAAAATTGTGTCATATATGCTGGCGATCGCGTTCCCGTCTGATGCACTTTCCTGAGTACCACTCTGTATACTTATTCGTGCCAACAGCGACCTAGTTGTTATGCTATTCTTTAAGCTCTGAGTTAGGAGGGCATTGGTGGGCAATCCAAGATAGTTTGGAACAGGTTTCTCGGGATAACACTGCTGCACGTAGAGCGCGATTCCGTCAATTAACTGTGCTGCATCGAAGCAGCTGCTACCTGCCAAGAGACTTTTGTTACAAAGAACATGTGCAGGCGGAAGTAAGTATTGGATAACGGGAATGCTGTTAATAGCAGAAACTATATCGCGCGCTCCATACGATTGAGCATTGCCTTCAACTGAAACAGTGGCTGGAATAGCTTTTTCTCCCTTATCAATAAGCTCAAATATCGCCGTTATCGCCTTGCTATTATAGGATATCTTAGTAAACTCCAACAACAAAGCATTGTCTGAGGAGTCCTTCGTGGCTACACCATATATTGCATCGAGTAGCAAGCCACTCAGCCGCTTTGAGAATCCGAGTAAGTAAACATTTTCGTCCTGGCTTGCTGGAAGCCCGCGAACCATACAGTCCTGAATAATGGAAATGATAGCCGTAAGGTCGTTCTGAGACCAGCCCGGGTCTAGCGCAACACCGCGGGGGGCATAGAGGCGGCGGGCGTCCAGGATGATATGGAGTGCAGTGGAGATGTAGAGCAGGGCGTAAAGCTTTCTAATAAAGCTCTCTGTTTTGTTCTGTGAAGGGACGGTTGTTGGCCATCTCCGAACAGCATCCAGGAAGGCTTCTTTGGGAGAGCTATCAACTACCAGACATACGCGCCACCCGACCCGGCCTAAACTCTGAGGAATGTATGGCTTTGGCTCGAGAAGAAGAACAATCTTCACGTGAGAGAGCAACTCTTCGTTATATTTCAGTTTGAAGCTAACCGAGCTCTCCATGAGCCAGCTGGGGAGAACAGAGAGCCAGTTGGCGCAGAGGTGGGCACCTTTTATAACAATCGTATGCATAACCGCAGAACTCATGGTGTCAATAGATTGCTCGCTTTTCCATGATTCGTATCTTCCCCCGAGATCTTCTAGTACGGTTTCAATAGCTTTGTTGGCCGCTTTTTCTTGGCCGGGATTTATGGTTATGGGGGTAGAGTTGGGGATGGTACTTGTAGGGTCCTGGCCTTGCAGCGTGTACAAAATGACAGGCTGGAGAAAACCGGCAGAGTGCCGTATAGCAGCAGCAATACTGTCCAGAAATTGCAGCTCCTTAGCATAATCATTCTTGAGGAGGGTCCTACTCACTGCGAGCTGTAAAGCAGTGGAAATCAGGTCCTTTCGACACGCAGAGACAAGAGCTGCCATTTCAACGTAAGTTAAGCGTCCTGCTGCATCTGGGAAAAGTTGGTTTATGTCGTTAAGGTTGTTGCACACCTTCACCTTGGCAGGAAAGTTGCTCCAGACAGAGCTGTTTGTAATGGAAATAGTAGACAGACGTGCCGAAGAAAAGCATGACAGGACCAATCGAAACTCTTGTGTAAGGTTGGCGGGAACCCAGGTGGGAACAGATATAGAGGCATTAGAGTCAGCACGCCCTGTAAAGTACTTGAAGAGACTATCCGTGAAAATATCGGGGCAATAATTGCGCAATAAAAGAGCAGAAGCGGCGACCACATCGCTTGAGAACACGGATGTCTGGAGCCTGAGTAGAGTGTCTGAACGGAACTGTTGTTGAGTTGCAAGAACTAGATCTGCAGTGATCTCCGACGGATTAGCAGTCGAGGGCTTATTACTTTGTAAGGCTTTAATCAGCAGCGGCATCACTGAACACTGATCTCCGATATATAAGCTATTTGCCGGTTGTAATGAAGAAAATGTTGAGACACAAGTGTCCATGTCTCTTGCCAATGGAAGAATGCGCTCTTTTACAGCATCAAGCTCCTTTTGAATGGTTTCAACCCCTTCTTGTGCTTTTTGTATTTCGAGTGTTTGCTGCTCTGCTTGCTTGAGCACGTTCATAAGAGTCACATTATCAATTATTGACAATGACTCTGAAGTTGTGGCAGAGTCGGTTGCAGCACTCAGGGCCGTGAGAAGGTTCTGCTCTACTTTGAAGAGTTGCTCGTTGAACGCCAGCTGAGAGTCCCTCAACTCCTCTATTTTCTTTAAGCTTTCTGGAGACCACTCAGCTAGAATACGATCAGTGTACAGATTAGCCTGAGACTTTCGTGTGGGTGCATAGGATAGTATCAGAACATGCTGAGAAAGATCTGACGGCACAAACACATCCAAAGACGAAACCAGAATCATGCGGAACGATGGAGACACTTCACTGAACTTGAAGGATTGGACTGGCATGATGGTTGTTGCTGTCGAGAGAAGGTAAGACGTATTCACGTACCCGGTTCCTGCAGGTGTGTCTGCTGCTGCACTCTCAGAGGCTCTATATCCACCTCCAGAATATCTTATGTATGGGAATAGAACAGAGGGAATAGACCCACTGTCGCAGTTTAGGACGACAATTGTTTTGCCAAACCTGGCTGCAATACTAACAAGATTCGCTAGATTCTCCGAGGCAGCACTTACAAAAGTGGTTCCCTCCACAGAGACGTCTTGGTTCTTCGTTTGGTCGAAATAGTTACGTAAAAATGTGAGAACTCCTGTGGCTTCGGTGACATGAGAAAGCACTATGGTTGTGATTAGATTATAATTCCTCATGTCACGCATGTCACGAGCGTCATCGTCAGCGGCACCTCGAGGGGCACTGTTTCGCGGAAGCTTGCTACTACTGTATAGCATGTCAAAAATGGCCGTATTCTCCAACGAACTAGTTGATGCAACAAGCCCATAACTAACATATCTATTCACGGTAACAGAATCATAAAGTAACGCGCCAAAGGCAGCTCTGACGGTCAGTCCTTTATCATCATCTTTTGCCGATACAGGGCTCCCGAAAAAGCTCTCACGCATGTCATCTGTGCTGGCACCAGCTACTACGAACAGAATGGCTGCATTAACGGCACACTTGTCGATAATATCTAGCTGCTGACTTGCTTGCTTGTACCCCTCTTCCCAGCGCAGCTTCTCTGCCCGGAGCCCGTGGAGCATCTCTTGGCCCTTCCGCTGCTTGGCTTGAATCTGCTGTAGCTCCTGCTTATACTTGACAAGCTGCTCTGTTTTCGCATTGAAGTCATCGCGGAGGCCTGCTATCTGAGCCTCTATGGCAGCGACCTCATCATTAATCGTTTGAATCTCTTTACGCATACTATCGAGGCTTCTGTTGGCGCTTTCCACGGCCTTCATCAGAGGCTCCATCTTAGTGCACACCTCGGCGTATTTGATATTGGCCTGAATCCACTTGGCAAGCGGTGCTGCTGCCCTGGACACGCGGCGGATGCGCTCCTGCTCAAAGCAGTCGGCGTTGTTCCTCACAACCTTGTTCACGGCATGTATGGATGCTTTGCTGGCCGTCTTCATGTCAAAGTTCGCAATTGTGCGGAGAACGCCAGACTGTGAAAGAAACGCCTTCATGCCCTTCCACGAGAGATCCTGGTGACCAAGCAGCACCAGGACTGCCTCCAGGACTACAGATACTGCAGGAGGCGGAGATTGGAAGGACTTGATCTCAGTAAGGGCGTCTGACGGGATCGCCTGGACGGCCTTTGTTGCCTCTTGAAGGACGGGCATAACAGTGCTTAGCTCGGCATCTGCTTGCTCCTTGTCCTTCATGATTCCCTGCTCTCTCTCGCTCAGTTCCTTCTGCAGAGCGTGAGCGGCCAGCTTCCTGTCGTTTGCTTCTGACATACGGCTTGAGATGTTTTCTAGCGCCTGGTTTGCCTCTTTCTGGGAAAACTCCACCTGTTTTGTGCGTTCCTGCGCCTGGGCAGCCAGAGCATCGACCTCGCTCTGCGCCTTCTGTAGCTGCTTCAGCCCCTTGGACAGGCGCTCACGCTTCCTATTTAGCATGAACGTCCACCTAGACTTGAGGAGATGGTAGATGACATAGATTTTGGTGTAGTATGATATCTGGACGGTATTGTGTGGCTTGTAGACAGACAGGTACTTACTTACGTATCCCGATGCAATCTTCAGTATCTGCTCGATCGTGTTGAGCGGCTTGAGGTTCCTACCTTCATTCGAAGCCATAGAGGCGCCAGAAATGATCGAAACAGTTTTTGTAGGCAGCGTATGAGCAATACTTCTTATGGGTGCCTTCAGAATATCGTCGGTAGTGCTTAACTGAATAGAGGAGGAGTCGAGGTAGAGCAGTTCAAAACTGACCAACTGTATGTTGCGACGCAGGGCGGGAACGAGGGAGAAGATGCCGTCGGTGCTCCTGCGCTCTGGGTTCAGCAAGATGACAGGCTGAACGGCTCGCACAAACAGGTTCAGAAAGAGCGTAGCCAACTCTGACTCAGACATAGAGTCGCCGTTCGGCACGCTTGACACCTCGGTAAACGTAGCAACCAAGCTCCTAAGATCTGCAGCAGAAAGTCGATTTCGGAAGTAGAGGATGTCACGGCTCGACAGCGCAGAAAGCAGGGCGTACCATTCTGGGTCTGCTTCCAAGGTGTTGCAGTCCATGAAGTAAGCAATGTGATGGTGGCCATGGGCAACCCTGTCGGCCAGGAAGCGCAGTACAAGAGGAGTAGCGTGGTCAGTGCCTGCAAACATGACCGTGCACCCTATACTTAGCGCCCCTGCAAGGGCAGTCTCCATTGAGAAATTGTGTGGCTGAGATAAGATAATAACACCTGCCGAAGACCTAAGGAAAATCTCCACAGCAGAGAGAAGCTTCAAGTATTCGTGGATGACGGTATCAATGAGTGGGGGACTCCACTGCATCATGTTCAGATAGGCATAATAGAGGCGAAGGCCGTTGTAGGTGTCTCCAAGAGAGGATACAAGCTCTTTAAGCAGGCCGATCCGCATCTTATTTGTGACTAGCTCTAGGGAGAGGTCGGAAAAATAGGCGTCGGGTATGCCTTCATCAGACTGCAATGCGCGCTGGAGCGTCTGCGCTGTCGTCCCAAGCTTGGCATAGGTTAAAACCTTCTCGTCCGAAACTTGGCTTATTGTCTTGAGACACGCGCGTGCTGCCGACTTACCCTGGGAATAGGGGATTGGTACCTCAAGGAAGATCTCCAGCAGCTTTGTTATCTTTTCCAAACTCACTTCGGACTTCTCGGTGGCAAGCAACGCCTTGATCGACGATATGGAAAACAAGGTGAGAGACCCCACTGATTTCAGGAGCTCTGGTAGAGCGATCACCTCTTGCAGATTCATGGTCCTAGTTTTGAGCTTTGCTGTCTCTGCTTCGGAAACCATTCGCATCTGCCAAGTCTGAAGGCTAGTGGAGGCCTTCATTAAGGAGGAGTACAGCTTAAATAGGTCAGGGCCGCACACAAGCTCAGCGTCTCGGGGATCTTCGTCCATGAAAACGATCCCCATTCTACGCCGCAAGCGGGCGGGGATCGCGTCCAGTGTCTTTGTGGTAAGTGCTACTTGAATGTCGGAGATATGAAGACAGGTGCCGCCCCTAGTATAGAACTTCCCGTGGGCCACCAGGGACCAGAGGAACGTGAGCGTCTCGATATGGGCGAACTCATCCGGAGCAACTATGTCGCAATCCCGCAGGATCAGCAGGATTTTTGTGCTGACGCTCCGAGGCTTTAGGTATCTATTCCCGTCTGCACCCTGCGTCTCGGCGCACTCTGATAAGAGCAGGTCTACTATACTCTGACGCGTGGTTAGCTGGGAACAGTCAAGTGTTAAGGCCTTATATCTCTGCCCTCTGCTGTTAGTGGTCTCTGCCACTGCTTGAAGAAGAGCCGTGTACTTCCCACATGTCTTTGAGCCCGTAACGATTATCTGTACTCCAGCTGTCAGAAAGTTCCTGACGGACAAGACGGCCCAGTGGAAGTGGGGGGCCTGGCCCGAATCCCCGTGCTTCGGCGTTGCCAATGTCCCGCGAAGATCGATGCTTCTGCCAGCAAGAACCGACGCAGCAGAACCCAGAGTGAGCTCGTTGAGTTCACCAGGGAGGCCTGCAGCCAGACAGATCTTCATCTCGGAGAAAAACGAACGTATGCACCCCGCAACGAAAGCAGTCTGAAGGTCCGATCCACTGTTCGCCATAAGAGCCGCACCCACTCCAGAATGGAACATGTGTGTACAGACGTCGATGGCAGCTGTGCCTCTCTTCATGGACGCAGGCAGACCGGTTCTAAAAAACGCCTCGAAGCCGGCAAGACTTAGCTTGCCAGACAGATCCGTGTTAGTGTCAAGCTGATAGCGTAAATGTGCGAGTGTGTCGTCAATGGACGTATCCGGAACAACAATGATGGCAAGACGACTGATCGTAGCAGGTGACGCATGAGCAAGCGAGTCTGTCTCAAAAAGGAACGACAAAGGCATTTGCAACGGAGCAGATAGCCTCCCGTCTACTTCTCGTGAGTTGAAGTACGCCTCCAGTGGGTTCATATTTACCGGGAAGCGGAGCCGCTCGCCGGAGCTCATTGTGAGGAGCCGGTTATCGTCCAAGACGGAATTCAAGGCCTCTATCCAAAGAGGGTCGATCGATCCATCCAGCATAATAATCGGCCACGTACATGGAAGCTCTCTGCTGTTCAACAGCTGAACAGAGAGACGGGCAGCGCTAGATAAGGCACCATCGTTCCACTCGCCGGTTGCAGGATCGACATAACCAAGAAGCTCCTGGCGAGACATCGACTTGGGGGCAATGAGAAACTCTTGGATGACAATATTTCCCTTGGTAAGCTTGAAGACTGCGTCCTTCAGCAGAGAAAAGATGTACGACTTACCGCTTCCGGTGCCTCCAAGAAGTGCTACGCCCATCTTTGTAGTAAGTGCTCTGTAGAGCTGCAACACCGCAATGCCGTGCGGCTCACGTAGATCTGGAGGAAGAGCGCCAACCAGCTCTTCTTCGAGACTGCTCACGGCCCCAAACTTCTTTATGGTGGACTCTGATTGCTTAATAGCCCTGGATCCGAAAACGCCGGTCAGGATCTCCTTGAAGATTTCAACCGACTTCCCTGTAATGCGAGAAAGAGTTGCGTCTGAGATGCACTTAATTATGACGTTACTTTCCATGCCATACAGCGCTTCAGCGCTTGAGTCGGAAAGCATCTTGAATGAGGAAGCGCGTACTATTGCTGCCTGACGCAAGATAGCCTGTAAGCTACGAAGACCCCAGTCCAGATGAACTTGTTTCGGAATTCGACGAGCGCACAGGACATATGAAAGGTCGCATTTCTCCGCTAGCTCCTTGCAATTGACAAAGCCGGATGTGGAGAGAATCGTCTCGATGATAAGGCTGGTGTCTGCTCTGCCCATGAAGCACCCGCGCAAGAGCTTGGTCAACGAAAAGGGGAGCTCAGAGCGGCCACGGTACTCGCGCGATGCAGGATTCATTGTGACGTAGATCGAGGCATAGGGAGATATGGCCCGTATAGGAACGGTGATCTCAGAAAGAGTAAAGGTGTTCTCATCGAGGTTTATGTTCCGACAATCCCCGAATGCACAGAGGCTTGTTTTTCCAGAGCGGAGGAGGATCACTTTTTGGATTGCCTCGATGTCTGTAGCAACGGCGCTCAGCACTGAGCTATCCAAGCGATTGATTTCATCAAAGCAGCCCATGGACCCCGAGAGAATTATCCCTATGAGAAGCCTGGATAAATCTGACCGCTCGATGGATGTATCACAGTTGAAGCACACGACGGTGCGGCCAAGCTTTCCTCCAAGCGCCTTCGTGGACTCTGTTTTCCCCGTCCCAGCAGGGCCCTGGAGGACACCTCCAAGCTGAAGTGCAATAGCCTCTGATATCGTATTGTAGCAGCGAAAAGTTAGAGGCGTGTGAATGAGTTTCGCTTGGAGGCCCTGGTAGTCATAGGAGTATGGCGTTATGGAGTCTAGCGCAAAGACATACAAGTCATCGGAGTCTTTGTGTATGCGATACTTAAGTTCTCTGGTCCAGATCCACCGCCGTGAGTCAAAGCAATCTGGCGCCGACTCGTCCACGGCAAGGAGAGACCCTAAGACGTTGAGATACTGATAGATATCGACAAGGAGGCCCTTTATCTTTAGTCCCAGGAGAAACTCGGGGGTTCCAAAGTTCGCTAGCGCAATCTTAGCCTCGAAGAGCTTGCTGGAAAACTTAGAAAGATACTGGTCGACACGACTCTTGCAGGCGGCCAGGGCCTGGGTCGATGCGGTGGCGTCCTTCACCTGGTAAAGGGCATAGTCAATCTGCGCAGTCATCATGACGGCGAAAGAGATGCAGAGCATTTCTCCGGAGAGCGCGCTGATGGGAAGGGACTCAGAGATTGCCGCTTGGAAGTCTTTGAAGCCATAGAAGTCCTTGTCAGAGTAGCTATATGGAGACACCGATGCCTGCACCGAAACACACGAGGTGATAATATCAAAAGGCGAGGCTTCCGAAAGCGCAGATTGAACCATCGAGGCGTTGCTCTGTGCGGGGAACACAAGCTCATTAATAGGGAGCGAGGCAATAGGCTTGAGGCAGCCGTCGCCCCGAATCTTCAAGGCCTTCAAAAGCTGGTTGCGAAGAGTTTCTCTATGGGCGGTATCGAAACGATTCAGCCAGAGCTCCGGCTGGTCTGTAGGCAATATGGAGACTGCGGTGGATAAACTAATGTGCTCACCCTCCGAAGAAACAAAACCCTTTATGAAGTTCTGCTTTTGTCCAGTTGCCATAACCAGTGGCTCTCCAAAGACCAACGTTTCAATGGCAGAAAAGAGCTTTTTGATGTGCGGGCGGAGGGTCTCTTCTGGCTTGGCGCTTCCAGTGGAAAGGATCTCGAGCACATCCGAGTCTGCCAGGAAGTAGAACCGGGGAAACAAAATGCGCTTTTGCTCCAGGTACTTGCGCAAGCTAGTTTGAATGTCGGCAAGGAGACAGCTGACAAGCTCAATGGTGACAATGACGTCCTTATAGAGCCCAAGGAATGCATTGTCTGCGGTAGAAGGTGAGAGCCCAGCGGCATGTGATTGCAAGGCCCCAGCAGAGTAGGGAACCGGGGCCTTAATAATGCTGATGAGTGACAGAGTAACACCGCGAGAATGCGGAAGTTGGGCAGATGATGGGTCCTGCTCGCTGGGTGCAGAAAATGAAGACCCACAGCATGCCACCTCAACTAGTTCGTCGCAGTCGGCTAAGAGAATGCTGTACAAAACACGCAGGCTGTCGTAGAACTTCTTCTCCTCTGCAACAAGCACCCTTCGCCCCATTACAGGCTCCAGAATACTTATCTGCTTGGCTATTGTGACCATGACATGACCCAGGCGCGTGTAGCTATCAATTATGGCGGTGCAGTCGTCGATCTGGTTCTTCAGTGACTTGGAATATGGATTGGTCGAAACAGCCATGATTATTGCTCTTTTCTCGACCAGCTGCGAAAAGAGGTGCTTCCAGACCGCAGACAGAGGGATCAGTGTTAGACCCGTCTTCTTGTTCAGACCAAGCTCAACCGAGCACAGCTCCTCTTGCGCCAAAGGCGTTAGCTCGTGGAGGGCAAAGAGGAGCTTTGCCTCCGATGCAAGCCAGTAGGAGGTCTCCTCGACCGCCGCTCGAATGCTGGTCTCATTTTCGGCACGAACACATACCTCACGAATTATGCTTATGGTCTTCTTGTACTCCGTTGTTTGAGGATTCTCTGCGGAGATATTTCCTCGGTTTGTAAACAAGCAAACTGCGGCTAGGAAAAGAACCTGGCACCCATTCATGGTGTCCACAATTGAGGCTGCGACAGTATCGGCCTTCAAGGCAAAGTACTTTATTATGGAGCCAAGATTGGTCTTTTCGATGATCTCACGGTAATGGGCTTGGGTCAAGGAGTTGCTACGGAGGGCTTTGAATACACTTAGTGACTGGCTAAACAATGCCGCCACAAAGGTGAGGTAGAGAGTCGCGGCCTGCTTCAAGCTGCTGATGGACTCAAGCGTCAATGCACTCCCTCGCAGGTCCACAGCCCCTAGGAGGTCGGAGATATCTGTTATCTCAGAAAGGAACTTCTCCCGGCATGCCAGGGCCTTTGTCTGGATAAAGTCTGCCATGTCAAGTCTATTTTTGACGATGCTCCACTCCAGCCGCATGAATGCAGAGCACCCCGCCTCCAGTTCAACTAGTATGGGAAGAAAGCCAGAAAACGCGTCCTTGAAGGCAGAAATTATTGCAACGCTGTTCTTGAGCTGCTTAGCGCTTTCCGTGGGAAGCATGGACATGTAGTCGACGTTGAAGATGGAGAGAGCCTCGGACGAGAGGGTTTGCATAGTGGCAAGTATCTCGGCCACGTTCTGGCGGACCTCATCGAAGAGCAACGAGTAAGCACACGCCGCTTTTCCGCCATAGATGACTCCATTTTCTGCGTCGGTCCTGGTGAAAAAGAGCACTTTGAAGAAGGAATTAAACTCAGCAAGATCGGCAGGAGCACGCACGCTAGTGTTTGCATCGCAGTAGGCGGTGAACTCCTGAATGCCCGCAGTTAGCTGCGCCAGAACATCCTTGGACTTGCTCAGGAGAGAGGCCTCGCCGCTGCCGGCTAGCTTGTCCACTAAAATGTCCCAGAACTCCTTCTTCTTCGCCTCCAGCTCTGACTCGATGTTGTTCAGCCTGTTAGACAAAGAGAGAAATGAGGCGTCTGCGGCGTCAATGAGAGAGAGCACATTTTCATAGAAGGCGCTAGAAAGCAGGATAACAGCCTTAAATCCCAGCATCTCCTCGTGCACTTTCTTCAACTTACCTTTCAGCAGGGTATGGGCGTCCTGGAAGAAGGCCGTGAAGTCTGTGAAGTCATCAGAGCTGGCAAAAGCCCCGTGAATAGCGTCGCAACGCTTCGTGAAGCCAGAGCACTCCGTGCTTATCTTGTCGGCTGCCTGCTCAGCAAAGTAGCTCGCCGCGGCTACGGCGACGTCTAGGATGGCTGCAGGCTTCTTATTCACGAGGCGGATTGCATGCTCTATGTTAACCGTGATCACCCCGTTGGAAGGAGACACGTTGTAGATGTGCTTCTCTGACCCTGGCTGCGGGATCAGAAAAGGCAGGTTGGCAAGAAGAAGATCCTCGGGCTGGCTTACTTGTGACATGTAAGATTGACTCAGGTCTGCCAGCCGTTTGCAGTTTTCTAGAGTCTGGAGTCTTTCTGCACAGGCCTTCGGGTTTTGGGCGCCAGAAAGCAGGACCAGCGCGCATTCTCTTTGGATAAAAGCCTCCATTTGGTGGAGGTGCGCGGCTATCTTGCTGATATTCACCAAAGCCCCCGGAAGCGTGTTAACGGATAACGCGCGCATGTCGCTGATGAGTTTCACTAGCGCGGGGTCATCCGACAGGTGGAAGTTCGAGTTGGCAGGAAGGTCCACGACAGACATTAGCTGCCTGAGCAAATATTCCTTGACACTGTCTGGAGAGAGGGTGAGAGCACCGGTTGTCTGGTTGATTCCGATCGGGGTGGGCAAGGGGGTTAGCAGAGAAAGGTCAGAAGACAGCGCGCCACAATACTTGGCTGCAAGTACCTTCGCCACGCATCCAGTCCAATACTGCACAACCGTGAAACCGCACGGCTCCGGTAAGTTGGCAATGAAGCCCGAGATGAGGTTTTTCAGAGAAGACATTGCCTCGGTCCAGCGCAACTGCCCAGAGATCAGGGACACTCTGGATATAGACACGAGGATATCCATACCCTTCTTGTGGAAGTCGTCTAGTTTTCCCAGGCTCTCCTTAAACCGGGCATGGATCTTCCGGATGTGCTCACTAATCTTAGCAAAACGAGGTACAGGGTTAGAGGGATCCTGCGAGCTCTCGGCAGATGCAATGTCACATGTGATCTGCTGGAACGGCTGGATGTTTGATTGTTGGATTGCCTTCTGTAACTCCGTGTCATAGACCTGAGCGGCTTTAAGAATGGTGGGCTTTTGATACGGACGGATGATCTGAGAAAGTTCGTTGTAGAAGGCTGCCGCGCTCTGCAAAGTAGCGACATAGGGCGTGAGATAGGTGACGAGCTGCATGCAAGAAACAACCTCCGCGGGAAGCGCAAGCTTCTGCGGATCATACCCCAGGCCAGAAAGGAAAGTGACGAGGGCGTGGACACCCAGCATCTTCTCAGGAAACTGGGCCACCATGTGCTTTTCCTTATTCATGTAAAGAAGCAGAATGCAATTAGGCTGCGCAGACATGGTTGAAAACCCGTTTCCAGGAGACTCGGCAAAGAGCGCGATGGATCCTTGTATGGACTTCATATATGCAGAGAGCAGCTGTCGGGCACTACGCACCGCGTCCTCTTCTGCAGTCTTGAAAAACTCAACACTCGACTGGACAGACGAGGAGAAACTTGCCAGGCTAGATACATCGGCTCCGCAGAGATCCTCCATGAATGGAAGGAGATTGGTGCTACAGGCGTTTAGGATCGATCTAGTCTGTCTTATCGTATTCAGCCTCACCATAGTGTCTGCATGGGTCCCCTCACTTAGAGAACCAAGGGTATTCCTCGCGCTGGCCATCATGTCATTAAAGGACTGGATTATGTTGGCGACGATAGTGCTGTTTGCGGGCCGCAGTGCGTCCCTGATCGACGGGCGCTTAAAGAGAAAAGAGATCTCCGGAAATATGAAAAAGTGAGAACCAAGTGTATTCGGGTTCACAGAAGAAAGGAGCGCTAATATCTTCGTGGCAACGGGGCCTTCAAGCTTCTCCAGCCTTTTATCAAAGTCTTGCAGGATGGCAGTCAAGGTCTCTGTATGCGAGAAGAATGTGTCTGGAATAAAAAGGGACTCTAGCGCCGGTTGCTCTTCGGGCAGGAGCTTGTTGATCGCGCTCACGGTACCGTGGAGAGCGTTAAGTCCGTCGACTCTGGCCTGAATGTCTTGAATGTCCGCATCCAGGCCCGCATCACTGACAAAGGATTGAAACGCCGGGTCACTGAAGAACAGAACTGATTGCTCGATGAGAGTAGCGCTTTGACTCAGCAAGGAGCCTGCGAAGACAGACCCCAAATAGGTCCGCAGTCCTCGGACAAGCTGCGGGGCAAAGACACGCCGCAGGAAGTCGGCCTTTCGTGCATAGGGCGGGTCCAGAGCCGAGAGAGAATTGGAGGCCTCAGTGGCGGCTGGGAGGGAGGTCAGAGGCGTCTTGCAGGCCTCTTCCATGATCTTAAGAGTCCGCAGTATTAACTGTGCTCGCTCGCCGGCAAAACCCGGCTGTTTGCTCAGGTTCGTGTAGAGACGATACTCGCTCTGAAAGGAGACCGGAGACCCGTCAGACTCCGATGTCGGCACCCTTTCGGCTTGTTCCAGGAAAGCCATGATCTCCTCGTCAGGCTCCTGGCCGCCTGCACGAACTTGGGAAAGATACTTCGAGAGAAGATCCATGGTATTTTTTAGGGAATTTTGCCTATGCCTCTTTCGGCTGGCTCTGTGGTAAGATCGCTCAGCCTAGTGGCAAGCGGGGAGCCACAAGGTAAAGAAAGGTAGGTGCGGGATGCTCTGGTAGCCCTAATGTTGAGGACGGAAGCGTTGCAGGGCTTGCTTGCAAGAAAGATCGAGTAGCAGCTCTGCTCTAGTGGGACACATGTTATGGCATGCTAAAGGCTGAATTCAATAAACCGATCATCGTGTGTACTGATGGTGGTTTGTATGTAAGTATATGCAAACTGCGGTTCACTATAGAAGTCAGCGCGTGGAAGCATCTAGAACGCGATCCGATGTTTCAATACGGTTCGCTCCAGACTGAATCAATGTCCCCCTTAATCACTGAACGAATTCCATACCGCAGGCGTGCCGTTGCCTCCCAGTTTCTACTGGGTCTTATGCTGTTCACCTTCGGAGTAAACTCGGAAATGCCATGATCTAGGCAGCTGACTGTCGAAATACCTGAATGAAAGCCCTTGTGTTCTTCGAGCGAGACCGACGCTGCAACACAATGAGATGCTTAGTGCGTGTTGTAAGGCTCCACTCTGACAGTAGGAGCTGCTGTGATAAGTACAGACCCTCGGGCAGCTGTCAGGCCTCTAGGTAACAGCGAGCGACCAAATGTTGGCGGATGGACATCCGCTGCTGCCTTGTCGACTCCTCGTCGGTATAGGGGAGATGGACCGATCGGGTGACCCATAGGAGCGGCCAGGTCGCAACGGCGAGTGTACCAATCGTGTGCTTCTCAATCGGTTAAATAATCTCTTTGTTTTGCTATCCAGGGTTATGGAATCGGACGATCTGCAAGGTACATGGAGCGGTGTGATCGAGGAGAAAGAGAGGGATGGCATCCTGAACGCCATGGGGTCGCCGTGTGGGCAGGGAGCTTGCTCTGTCATCTACACCCTCGACGCTCTCCCCGGCGAGGTACTAAAGGAGATTCGCACTGATATGCTTCCGAGTCATGTCCTAGAGGGCATGGAAGCGGCACTCTGCACACTGTCCCGTCTGAAACACCCCAACCTTCCTGAGTGCAAGAGGGCATTCAGGGTCTCCGACTACCTTTATCTTCAGGTGACACGCTATCACGGGTCTCTGGAGTCGCTCATGAGACTCTACAGACGCAGGAAGCAGTCCATGCCTCGCAGACTGATCCTGGAGGTGGTTCATCAGATTTCCTCTGCGCTTGCATACCTTCATGATCCAGACAAGACCGATCCAACTGGTGCTTACTTGCCGATGCTTGTCCACGGAGGCATCAAGCCTGCAAACATTCTGGTCGATCGAGCCGAAACGCACTTTGTCCTTGCAGATACGTGTGTCTCAACAGAGGCGTTTCGCAGGCACTTATCTATGTATGCGCCACCAGAGGTCCTACTGGGGGAAGAGCCCACTCCAGCTTCCGATCTCTGGAGCCTTGGAGCGGTGCTTTACGAGATGAGCACAGGCAGCAAGCCCGTTGCTCCAGACGGTAGACGGGTCAATGAACTCCTTGAGAAGGGGTTGACACCAGACCTCTCGGGGGTCAAGGACGTGGTTATCCGCGGAATCCTCGAGCATATTCTTGTGCTCGATCCAAGGGAGCGGATCTCCGCCCGGGAACTCGCATGCATCGTTGATCTGGATGCCAAAGAGCTTGCGCTAGTGAGCCTTCTAGAAACCAGGTCTTTGAAGAAGGAGGTGCGCGTGTTCCAGGAGCAGCTCGCCGTCATGCAGCGCTCGACTGCCTCAAAAACTGCTTCTCGCCCAGTTATCTCCAGTCTGCTTGGAATGACCGAACTGATGCAGGCCTCCGCGAACGGAGACACGAACGCTGTGCGTGCACTGGTCGACGCTGGCTCAGATCTCCGTGCGAAGGGACCCTCGGGGATGACTGCCCTCATGCATGCCTCCAGCCATGGCCATGTGGCAGTGGTGAGGCTCCTTGTGGACCACGAGGCCCAGATGCAGGACGATAAGAGCAGGACCGCTCTAATGCTGGCCGCGCAGAACGGGCGCGTCAATGTCCTGCGCATTCTGTTAGAGCACGAGAGTTGCATGCAGGATAGTGACGGCTGGACCGCTCTGATGTACGCGGCTCACTGGGGGCACCTAGAGGCCGCACAGCTGCTTCTGAGACACGAGGCCAAGATGAAAGATAGGCGCTGCCAGACCGCTCTCATGCTCGCAGCCGGCAATGGGAATATCCCCCTTGTGCGTCTCCTTGACCCTCTGGAGGCGGGATTCCAGGACAAGGCCGGTCAGACTGCCCTTATGAGGGCTGCAAGCAAAGGACATGTTGGTGCGGTTCAGCTGCTACTGGAGCACGAGAAGGGGCTGTGTGATGCTACTGGGAAGACGGCCTTGGGATGGGCGAGCGAGTTCAACCGCAGCGATGCTGTCCGCATCCTTGAACTGTGTCTCCAGGAGAGCACTGCGCCGCCCTAGTCCATAATGTGTTCTGTCAGGATGTCTCCTCTCCCGTTTATCGTCCTTTGCACGCGAGAGCCCCTCTTCATCGTCTTTTCGCTCACCGGAAACATGGCCATCTCCGATCCCTTCCGGCTCCAGTCCCCTGGGACGTGTCTGTTCTGGCACGAAGCACGGTCCCGGCTCTACATAGGCCACGCATCTGGCAATGTTAGCATTTACGCGCTGGCCTACGAAAGGGACCCAGACGCCCCACAGTTTGCTGACGGGATAAACCTTTCAGAAGACCCCAGCAACACGGGGAACTCCAGGCAGCCCTCTCTGGCCAGCACCACCGTAGATGCTGCCATGCAGATCCTCGGAAAGAGCCGCTCCTTCGACTCGCTGACGCGGGAGGAGCTCTTGAAGGTGTACCCGGAGCTCCGGTCGTCGTTGATAGACGTCTCCAAGAGCACCGCGGAGGCGCTGCAGAGGTCCTCCCAGGAGAAGGAGCGGCTCCGAGGGAAGTCCAAGCAGCTCATCGCCATGGCCTCCGAAGACCTTGAGGTCGTGAGCCTCATCACATCGCAGATCTTTGACGCCGGGCAGAGCACGCTTCTCAGCCACGGGATCAAGGAGACGCAGCTCATCGCCGACGACCCCCTGGCCTTTGTCAAGGCGACCGTGGCCCCAGACCCCGTCGCCGCGGCAACGCACGAGAAGCGCCACGGGGGCGTGCATCTGACGATCCGTGCCGAGTTCGTCACCACCAAGTATGTGGTCGCGGGGAGCGTCAGGTGCATGGACGCCGGGCGCGGCCAGTGGGAGGAGGCCATGGCAGACGACCTGTTTCGACTGGCCGTCGTGGGCTCCGATGCCGCGCTCGTCATTCTGGACGAGGACCTGGGGGTCGTCTGCACGTTCTCGGACTTGCACCCGGAGGGGATCATGCGGTGCTACGTCGTCATCGATCACATCACAACCATTGGCTTCAGCAACGTCTACCAGATTGGCCCGGAGGCGGTCCGCTCCTGCCACTTGGGGATGGCCGTGACAAAGGAGGAGCTCGAGGACGACCCTGCCCGGGTGGACGGCGAGGACGATAGGCGCGGGAAGAGGAGGCGCGAGGCCGTGCAGGTCTCTGACAAGAGGCTCGTGAAGGCCAACCTCGTGAAGTCCGCGCACCTGATCACCCTTGTCCAGCCGCCCAGGCCGGGCAAGCCTATTCTGGCGTCGTTCGCTTTCGGGAACGTTATTGGCGTTATTGACCACGACAACGTGGTGACCCTCATCCATGCACTGACGGGCGCGCACATCACGCGGATCGACATCGCCATCAACCTGCACGGAGTCAAGGTCGGCACCGGGGTCTATAGCCGCAAGCACGACTTCGGCTACATCCCCTTCGGGCGCCGGCTGTTCGTCCTCAAGGTGGTTGCCAACGAGGAGCTGGCCAAGGAGCAGGTGGTCTGGGACTTTGAGGACGCGAAGCGCGAGGAGGAGCAGCGGGCACTGGGCAAGCGCAGGCCGAAGGAGCTGATCAAGCACGCGCCCGAGCATCTTCCCCTGGGGTCTATCAGCAAGGAGTGCGCCGGCGTTGTCGTCAACCAGCGCATGAACGAGCTTGGCGCCGTCACAGGCCCTGGGGAAGTGACGATCTTTTCGCTCCTTACCGGCCGGCCGTCCAGGATCTACGACATTGCAAGGATCTCCAAGACGCTTCTGGAGGGCCGAGACGGCACAGGCAGCGGTGGCGATGACCCACAGGATTCCGTACTGGGTTCGGAGTATGCAAGCATCGAGACGTGCGACCTCTCGAAATTCTACGCAGAGGGCCAGAGCGAGGTGACGGAGGCCGATCTCCACTTTTCCACTCCAGACGACGAAGCCCGATACAGGACGCTCCACAAGCCACCGCAGATCCTCAGCCAGATCCCCAGCGCCCCCGACGCCCCCCAGTCTCTGCTCGACGCCCTCGGGCGGCGGATTCTGTCCCTCGCCGTCGACAGCAAGGGACGCGTTCTTTACGTCATAGGAACCCACGGTGCAGTGACACTTTACTGGAAGACCGGCTCTCTCTTCGACATATCCAACGTTGGGATTACCGGCCGGAGGACATGCGAAGACGACATTGACATCGTCGACAACCCGTTTGATGGCCAAAGACTGGGCGACGCACAGAGGGAGCCTTCTGCAGGGGCCGACTCGCACATGTCGTCCGGAGCTTCTTCGTACAGCCTGGGGCTCAATCTGTCTCAGATCATCGTCAAGGCCAACAACGCAGCCTTTGTGAGACAGCTGCTTTCCGACAAGTCGATAATGCGCGCGCAAATCTTAGCCACCGACAGAGCGCGCGGCCTTCTCTTCCTCTGCGACAACCTCAACCCGCAAATTGTGCGCGCCATAGACATGAAGCCGAGCCACGAGTACGTGAACAGGATAGGGCTGTCGAGGCAGCTGACAACCTTCGACATCTTTTTTGCAGGAGGAGCAGACCACTTTGCAAGGGCACGGCAGCAGCTCGCGGCGTTCTTTTCGTCGAAGCCCGTATTTGTAGGCGCAGACGACCTCTCTTCAAAGCCGGAGGTTGTAAGACGCTTTTGCCCCGAGTTCCTGTGGGCCCGAGATGTCTCTTCAGCAGGACAGCCGAATCAGGCGCCGTCTCCGATCCAGAAACTGCTCTGCGACGTTCTCTACACCGGGCATGCAAAGAAGGCTCGAAGTGACTCGTACGTGACGTGCATTGATGCCTCGGAGGAGCTGTCTCTGCTGGCCATAGGCACGTCTGACGGCCGGATTCTCGTCCACGACACGATGTCTGTCAAGCTGCTGCAGCAGGGGGTGATCCAGCCCCCGACAATCCCGTCTGTTGGCTCCCCCATAACGGCCCTCTGCTTCCTGGGACAGTGGCCCCTTCTGTTTTCTGCGTCGGCCTCTGGCGCCTGCTACATCCACGCGGTCCGCTCGCTGTACCCGAACTTTTCGCTCGTCTGCGCGTTTTACCACGGAAGCTACCATCCCCTGGGCTATCCACTGAATGCAGACTTTCAGGCCGGCTGGGTCCAGACAGCTGGATTCTTGAAGCACGCCCTTCTGCCCCTCTCTGATTTCAACTCAGACGTCCAACTGTATGGGAGTAGATACGAGGACGTGGTTCGCTACCTGATAGAAAACTTTTCTCCAGATCTCCTCCACACAAAGTACTGCCCCGAACGCAAGGGCCCTGCGCCCGGGGACGAGGCTCTGCGGTCGATTGACGGGGAGTTCCGTGCCAATCGTCTGCTTTCCACGAAAACGGCCTACGGGGCGCGAGTCGGAGACCTCCAGGCGTCGACTGCAACGCCCTCCATGGACGCCTCGATGACAACCGATAGGGAGGGAGAGGCCGCTTCCGGAATGATCCAGCCTCCATCGATGTTTGAGAGGCATACTGCTTCCAATCGCTATGCGTACATCATGGTCCAAGAATCCACAGCGGCTACTGAAGAAGGCCAACCTCTGTGCCATCTCCAGCAGGAGACCGTCGGTGTACAGGACGACTTGGAAGAAAGGTCAGAGCGTGCGCACACCAGAATGCCGGGTCCGTCTTACCAAGAGATTGTCTCTGCAACAATGGCACTCCTTCGCCGATACGTCCCCATTTCCCAGAACTTCCGAGGCCTTCAAGCCCGTCGGCGCAGAACGCTTATGAAGATTCGGGCTGCTGCTCAGGTGATAATGCTTGTTTCTTTCTACTTCACGCGCTTCTTAGCTGTTCCTCGGAGGGTCTACGTTGACTTCCTTCCTGTTCCGCTGGGCACCAGTCAGCCAAGGCAGGCCGCCTCTCGCCGCAAAGTGCCTCAGGGAGCGGTGAAGCTCTCCGACAAGTCCAGCAAGGTGATCGAGGACTTTTCTAAGTCGCGCTTTAAGACGTCCGGCGTTGACGTGGAGAGCCCGGCGGCTGCGCAATACGCAGACGCCCATGCGTCTCTTTATGGCACCATGATGGGGTCCTCTGTGACGCGGCCCGGGATGGAGGACGTAGAAGCGGAGGAAAACGGCATTCTCTACCAGTACGTCTTCAGGGACAGAACCAAGGTGAGAGTGCCAGTCCGGAAGGAGTCCGTTCTTGCTCTCTCCGCTCGCACCATGCCGACAGCTGTCTGCTTTGTGGACGGCGCCCACTCTATCCTGGTCGGGGACGACGCAGGCTTTGTGACCCTCTACAAGATTCAGAATCTGATAGCTGCTCTGGGGATCACACGCAGTCTCGACACGCAGCAGCTCCCTAAGGGTCTTCTTCATGCCCCGAGCTCTGGGAAGACGTCGCCAGTCGTTCCGTCTTCGTATCTCCGGGTACGGTACGTCCACCGTGCTCACGCCGCCCCCATTAGCCTGCTTTCTCCAGCTGGTTCCAACAGCCAGGCATACATTTCGATAGGCGGGGACAAACGAGTAGCGCTGTGGGGCTTGGACGGGGCCCAGCTCCTCGGCATTGTTCAGAGAGTCAATCTTGACCCGCCTCCGAAGGGATGGGACTCTCTTTTCGGCGTGCCTCTTACCGCACGCTCCGGGCAAAAGTCCTCAGAGAGTGGACTGGCAGATACAGCAAGGCTGTCCATCGAAGACCTCGAAGATGTGCCCAGTCAAGTCTTCCAGGACCCCCCTCCACCTATGCGTCTTGAGGCCCCGCCTGCGTGCGCATACCCGTGGACATATGCGCCGGAGAGCTCTGCAGGGGATCGCGTAGACACAGTCATTCTTCAAAGCATGCAGCAGACAGGGACGCTGGGTAACAGTGTGGAAGAGGCGGACCTGCTCGGTGTGACCCGCCAGCTTCTGGCATCGCGGCGGCCAGTCATTGCGCCTACGTCCCAGGGCGATCCTGGAACCCTCCTCAAAGCCACAGGCCTCACGGGTCGCCTGCTTGAGCGGAAGGGGGACTCGTGGACGGTTCGGGCCATGAAGCTTCGCGCGGCGCAGCAGCCCCTGGGATGGAGTGCAGGACCCCAATGAAATAACTGGGCAAGAGATAGAGGGACACTGGGTGCTGAGCGCGGGACAGATCTGAGCATCTGCTTGGAGTAATTCGCTCAACCTAACGGCTGCTCTAGCGCTGTGCCGCTGACTTTTTGTAGGTGTGGCTCGAGCATCATTATAGACCGCTTGGTGGTCAACTGTGCCCGACAACGAGGAATGGACAAGAGGCCACGAACCGAGCAGTTCGGCCCATCCCTGATCGAGGAACGCCCAGGAGCTCTGCGGCCGTCAATGTTGCTGGCTCGGAAACGAATGCCCAACGAAGCTCGTCGGGTGACGCTCGAGAGCCGGCCACTCGCTGCCTTCCAAGCGACGCTTCCAGCCAACCTCTGTGGTCCTTGTCAAGCAGATGAGACCAATTGAGGAGAGAGCGGCCGATCAAGGTCAGCGTGACTCTAGCGCGGCGGAAAGGATGGAGACCAAGCGTTCTGACACGCACGTATCGATTGGACAGAAACAACCCAGAGATTCCAGCAGCATGCTGACGCCAGTGTGGAGCATTGATGAAGAACCCCGGCCCTGAAGGGCGACACCCCTGTCTCTGAAGAGGCAGCCATGCTTGTGTGCGCCTCGACTACACCCGCAGAGGGCCCTATAACATAGCCTTGCAAGTACTAGTGGGCAGAGTGAACGATTTTTGAAACAAACTTCATGGCCGACGGCGATGACCACACAGCCAGCTCCCCAGCAGTAGCCCCCGCCATCCCACAATTCACTCGTAAGAAGCTCCACAGGCGGTTGGATGACGTGCTAGGAAGAGATGCCACAGATACAGTCTACTCTCTCAAGGGTTATCCAGACCTCGCTGTGAAGGAGATCCCTCTCGACGGCCTGGACAAGGGTAACATGGACGCCATCAGAATAAGATTGACCGGGGTGAGGCTGTCGCCTGCCACCTGACTGGTCCCCCATGCGAGCCACCGCCGCCCTGGGCACGCTTCTCGCATGCACGGCTGGGACCAGACGTCTGAGAGCCGAATCTCCTCGGATCCCTGCAGAAGAAGCCCGGACGAGGGGCTGAGGGCCCCGGTACTCAGCCCAGCAAGCAGCAGACCCGCGACTGCCCGATGAGGGAACCACCGAGGAGGGCTCGCGGGGGCCCGAAGAAGAGAGTCTAGAGAGCAGCCGATAGAGTGAGCAGGGGGCCCGCACCTCCCTGTCATGGAGAGCGGCGCATGGTGGCAGGCCCCAGTGGCCATTCCTCTAGGAGACCACCTGGCCCCACAGGATCGATTACTAACTACACGAACTGGCTCAAGAACGCCGAGGTTCACTCAAGGGGCTGCACCCTTGGGGACCTCCTACGCGATCCACAGCACAAGGAGTCGCCACACCTCTTTCACCTCACCAGAGGGCCTCGAGCAGCACGTCTCGGGAACTCTCTCCCGTCCGGGCTCCTTCTGCAGCCTTGCGACAGACAGACGGTGCCAGCTCACGCGGGCCCTCGCCGTTGCCTGCCGTGATGCCCCGGACCAGTGGGTGCCGCTGGGGCCTGCCTGGAAGTATGATCCAAAGATCTCACAGGTAAGCCTCGCTCAGTCCCTGGCCAGCCCGGAGGCGGGGGCTGGCCACGGGTCGCAGTGATAGCCACAGTGGTGATAGGGAAGAGCTCCCTCCGTTTGTGGATCTGGGGCCTGTGCGTTCCTCGGCTGTTCTGCGGATGTGCACAGCTGGACTTGAGGCGAAGGAGAGCCCGCGAGGACCAGATCCGTATTACGAACGCAAGATCATACCTTTGGGCCCCAGAGAGCAAGCCGTGAGTCTCTACTCGGAGGACCACTTCGAAGACGCTTGCCCTCTCGGCAGGACACACACGCTGGCTCTGTGGCCTGCCGTGCGAGAGCGCCAAGCAACCAACCGAGCACCTGAGAGAAGCAAACGATGACAGACACAGAGTGCTGGGCGACGACAAGCTGATCCTTCCGGCCCACATACCGAACCAGACAGCTGCCATGCTCATCCACCAGGGTGCGCGCATGATCGCGAGCATCGAGCAGGCCGGGACTGGGGTCGCGCTCCCCGCAATCAGGGGCCTAGACGCCCTGGTGGGAAGCTGCCAGAGGGCCCCTCTGCCAGACAACACCACGGAGCAGTCCCAGAGCAAGGCAGACCCAGACCCCGAGAAGGCGAGGCGCCGGATAGCAAACAGGGTGAACAACGCGCTGAGCTTTAATAGCTGCCAGGTCCTCTGTTCCTTGACACACCCACGATAGACAAGCCAGAGAAGGCCAAGGCCCCCTCAGCGCGCTACACCCGTGCGTCCCCCCGAAGGCTGCGTTGGCCTTGACTACCCTCCATCGATGAACTCGACAGGGCTGGAGTGGCAACCGAGGAGGAAATGAGGAAGGCCCTGTTTGGAACTCTCAACAAGAAGGCCTCGGGCGTGTCTGGTCTCGGGCCGGTCCAGCTCAGGCGATGAAGCAGAACGACAGCTTTGTGAAATACCTCACGCAGGCGTACAACGAGCTGACCACTCACCCCGAGGCGATACCCGAGGTGACGACCATGTTCGAGTTCCGGGCGATCCTCATCCCGAAGGAGTCCGACGGATACCCCCGATCGCGATAGGCGGACGGTCACGAACACCTTCCACCGCGTCCTGCTGAAGGGCTGATCAGGCATGCCAACTACCTCTCATGCGAGCAGATCGCCTTCAAGCAGAACGCATACGCGGTAGGCGTGAGGAGGGCCCACGAGCTCATCAGCGGGCGGGGATGCACGCCGTCTCCCTCGACACAAAGAACGCCCTCAACTCGCTCCCGAGGGCAGAGGTCGTCAGAGCCCTGAACGAGGCGGGCGTCCCGAAGGTCCTGGTCGACTACATCAGGAACTTCCTCGACCTGAGGCACAGCAAGGACGTGAAGTGCGAGGTCTGCGGCGTCCCCCAGGGCGACCCGCTCAGCACGTTCCTCTTCTGCATGGCCACCGAGCGCCTCCTGAGACGCCTCGAGGAGAGGGGCATCGCCTTCCTTGCCTATGCAGACGACATCGTGGGGTTCCACGACGAAGGGTACCCAGCAGGTGTGATAACACAGCAGACCATGGACCTGACGATCAGGAGCGACAAATGCAAGTCCACCATGGCGGGCGAGGAGGTGACCTTCCTCAACCACCCGGCGTCCCCCACTCCTGCTAGTCTCGCCCCAAAGGCCATCGCAGGTGCCGAGACTGCCTTGAAGAAGATCGAGAATGCCCCAATAACCATCCACCAGAAGCTCATCCTGGTGTCACTCTGTGTGGTCCCGATGGTGAGCTACGCCCCCCTGGTCGAAGTAACATCGGACAAGGCGGACTACGAGGAGTTCGACAGACGTCGCACAAGGCATCAGCACTAACCAACAGAAGCTGCGATCGCCTGGTCGACTTCCTAGCGTACCCGAAGGAGAAGGGCGGCCTGGACCTGCTCATGCCTGGATTCTACCACGACGAGCTGCGGAGGGTATGGGCCTCCTTGGACGTCAACAAGGGGGCCAGAGACCCGGTGGAGCTGTCGGTGGGCGGCCAGGCACTGCAGGGGAAGGGGCCTACTTCAACCGCCTCCTCACGCGCACACACCAGCTTCCGGACAGAGCGGCGACGTACTGTCTGCAGATGTGCGGCGTGCTGACCGAGGAGGAAAGGGCCCTGAAGGAGAAGGGCGGCTCGATCATGGCGCAGAAAGAGGCACCTGCCCGGGCTGCCACGAGGCACGACATGATCGTCGCGTGCCTGTACCTCCGCGTCTCGGGGAAGCTCAGCGCAGAGCTGGAAGTCAAGACCCACAGCCACCTCAGCGACCAGAACCAGAAGCCCGACATCTGGCTCGTCGACAAGTGCAAGGCAGTGGACGTGGGTGTCATCCAGCCCCGCCAGATGGATACCACAGCGAGAAGGCCAAGAAGTACAGGGACGGGACGCTCCCGATCATCTACGGGACGGACGGATCCCTCCACCCCAGTCCAAGGGGCACCTCAAGGAGCTCCACGTGGACCTCTGTCCGGGCTGCCTTCGCCATCGCCCACATGGCTGCAGAGGCGAACGAGCACCTGACGGGGCTGATCAGACGGGCCGGGCCGAAAGCCTGGCCACCCAGAGCGACCGTCTCCTGTCATCCTACTTCTGACAACCGAATGAGTCCATCCCCGGGACCTGTCGACAACGACCGAGAAGGGGCGCAAGACTGGACACACAACCGAGTTGAATCCCAACCAGAAGAGAAAGCCCCGCTAGCTGCTGCTGATATACATGGACAGTATTGAGAATGACAACAAAGACCAGAGCTTCACCAACCGTAAAGGGAGAACAAGGAGAGGCACCCTAGTAGACCAGCGAGCCTGCAGGACGGCGTGATCTCCAAAAGGATCTATGTGCACTCTTAGACCGAGCACACACCCGCAGAACACCCGAGGAACGCAGATAGCTCCTCCCTTCCACCACTGTGGTCTTTATATTGATACACGACCAACCCTCGTCTCCGGACATCACCAAAAATTGAGCGGGAATTTACCAGTAAGATCTCTGGACAGCGCCCGCAGGCAGGCCCCAGCGGCACACCACACACTCAGTATACCTCTTTGGCAAAAGTATTCTTAATGATATCATTGGTGTTAAGACCGATTGCTCCGGAAATTCCTTGCTGCACAAGGCCGCTCTGGAGTGCAGTGGCCTTGAAGCTAAAGCGCTTAGCTCGTCACTAGCCTACCTTTGCCGATTACGCAATACTTCTGGAGAGACAGCCTTACAATTGGCGATAAAACATGGAAATTTGGAGCTCGCCAAACTTCTGATTGATGAGGAAGCAGGTAGCTATTCTGACACAAAAGAATCTGCAGTGGAGCTGGCCCTTCTTCGGGGTTCATGCGAAGTAGCCAGGCTATTAATTCCATTTGAAGGGAAGATACTTACTGAGCGGGGGTATACGCAGCTGATGTTAGCGGCTTCGTTTGGTGAGAGACGACTCGTTGAGAAGTACATCCAACGACAAGCAAAGAGGCAGGCAAAGAATGGGGTCACTGCGATGCATTTGGCCGTTATATCTGCAATCTCGCTTCATAAGTCTATCAAGCTTCTGCTGCAAGAAAGAGATCGCTTGGCAACTGACAGCGGCCACCTTATAGTAGAGGCAGAAGTTCCGCTGACCCACAGCTCTGTGACACCACGAAACACACGATCTCCACGGTCTATTAGTATCCTAACCAAGTCTTGCGGTAGGGGTGACTTGTTTGCGCAGACAGCTGAAAAGGAATCAGCCTACTCTAGGCCACGTGTCACTTCGTCTAGACGCCCAATAACATCGGTACGATATCCAAGACAGACGCCGGCTCTATCTGCTAGTACACGTGTAGGAACACCAAAAAGCAGCTTCAGCTCACGAGGAGGCCAGCAAATATCTCCTAGCATTACCGTACCATCGATGCTATCCTCCTCTCCAAGAAAGAGGAGCGGAAGATGCGCGGCTTCGCGGTCTGGAGGCTCTAAAACATCTCCCATGGCGCGACCGCGCACAACCCAAATCACAGCCCAAAAGCTTCCTGCTGAAGTTACTAAGCACCGGGCCCAGAGCACGTACGGAACCCAGCTTGACGGGAGCATAAAGGTACCAGTGCTTCAGCTTGATAACCTGAGCGGAAAGCATGTGTCATTTCCAGATACTCTCAGGATAAAGGACGATGCCAGCGTTGTAGAGTGTAGAATTAGAAAGCTCAGATCTCTGTTTCAAGCCTTCGTCGAGATTATCCTGCTCCTTATACCACTAGAAAAACAGATCTCCCAAAGGAATGGCCTCACGGTGCTCATGATAGCTGCGAAGGCTGATGTTGTAGAACTAGTTAGACTGCTTGTCAATGACGAGAAGTTGATGGTAGATGCACGCGGAGAGACTGCCTTGATGATAGCAGTTAGGAACAATGCAGCAGCATCTGTCAAAGGGCTGCTTAGCCACGAGGCAACCCGTGCATCTGCCAATCGTGAACGCTATACCGCATTGCACCTAGCAGTGCAAACGAATAACAGCATTCTTGTTGAGCAGCTAGCAACTCTAGAGAATAATATTCCACAGGCATGCTACACGTTAAAAGACTTTCCTAACAGCAGGAATGCGCACGCCTTGATCAACGTGACCGCCCTCATGATGGCGTCTATCGGTAATGCTCCAGAATGCGCTCTGATTCTCTCCAGATACGAGGCCGGGCGCCACGAGCAGCTCTTCGGCTATACTGCGTTGATGCTTGCCGCATACTTCAATCACTCAGCCATTGTAGAGCTTCTTTTACATCCTGAATCGAGGGAGACTATGCGCAACGGCTGGACAGCGCTCATGGTTGCCAGCAGCAGAGGAAACCTTCGCTGCTGTGCTAAGCTGGCAACTTGCGAATCCAAGCTGACCGCTCAGGGGCTGACTGCGCTCATGCTAGCGTGCAAGCACAATTTCCTCAACATTGTGACGCTTCTCTATCCGCTCGAATCAAGCATCTATCACAAACGAGTAAGAAACGGGGTTGTGGAGCGTTGGTCCTGTTTAACATATGCGGCTGCAAAGGGGAGCACAGAGGTGGTAATGTTTCTCTTGGAACATCACCCCTCTCGAGAAGACATACGATTGGCTGCGAGCTGCTCACATAACCCAAAGATATCAATCCTACTGTCAGCGCACCATTAATAGGAATGGAATGTGTAATATACTGTAGTGAGAGGGCATTGGCTAAGGTTGACTCGCCGCTACCCTAGGTAACAAACATTTTGGTAGACAGTTATCTTTGCGTGATCGTCTTAGAGGCGTTAAGAAGGCTCGAAAAACGACTGAGATTCTCATTAAGAAGGAGCATTCTAGTTTGTAAGCGTTTCAACAATAAGTTCTCACAGGTAATAATGGCCACTTGTAATTAGAACGACAGGAGATGCGTTGTGGAGCTAGTAGGGATTCGGTGTATTGTGCATTGTGACATTGCTTGTGCTCTGCTATTTTTGTTAAAGCTTCAGTTGATTGCATCCCTCCTATCGTATTTACTAGAGCATACTCTGTACATTGGATAGGCCCCATTTTGCTGATTAGACAGTAGCTAGTAGTAGGGGCAGATGCATGTCAAAGACGATGCCCGAACTATTGACTGAGCACAGGAGAGCCGTCAACTAATAAGTGCAGAAGCAGTTCACACTCTCCTGGCACAGACAGCCATCCGAGAACTTCCTGGCTGCTACACGAACTAGTACATTATTCACTCAGAAAGGATCTCAATAATCTCCTCGTATATCAACTCATTAGCAATGTCGAGAGCCGTAGTACCAGCCTCGAATCCAATAAACTCGCGGGTGGATCTTAAGTCCTTTTCCCTATCCTTAAGGAGTCTCACACACCCTGGCTCCCTGTTACACACTGCCCACATAAGGGCTGTCCATCCATATTTATCCGTCCTCTTTGTTTCCTGAATATTCCTTCTAACTGCTCCAACATCTCCAATGCAAGCAGCGCACATAAGGTTTGTCCAGCCCGAGGCATCACGCTCGCTCTTGTGCTCACAGAGCAATCTGACACAGTCTGTATGGCCTTCCTCTGCTGCAAACATGAGGGCTGTCGAACCATCACTCTTCTGCATGCCCCCCTCCTTCTCTAGCAATAGTTTAACACAGTCTTGGTGGCCGTTCTGCGCTGCAAACATGAGGGCGGTCTTACCATCGCTATCCTTCATGCGCGCCTCTTTCTCTAGAAGCAGCTTGACGCACTCTGTGCGGCCGTTCTGTGCTGCCCACATGAGGGCTGTATATCCCCTGCCATCATGCACACCCGCTTGCTGAAGGTTACTCCTAACCGCATCAGCATCTCCAATGCAAGCAGCGCACATAAGGTTTGTCCAGCCCGAGGCATCACGCTCGCTCTTGTGCTCACAGAGCAATCTGACACAGTCTGTATGGCCTTCCTCTGCTGCAAACATGAGGGCTGTCGAACCATCACTCTTCTGCATGCCCCCCTCCTTCTCTAGCAATAGTTTAACACAGTCTTGGTGGCCGTTCTGCGCTGCAAACATGAGGGCGGTCTTACCATCGCTATCCTTCATGCGCGCCTCTTTCTCTAGAAGCAGCTTGACGCACTCTGTGCGGCCGTTCTGTGCTGCCCACATGAGAGCCGTCTTGTCATTGCTATCCTTCATGCCCTCCTCCTTCTCCAGGAGCAGTCTGGCGCACTCTGTGCGGCCGTTCTGCGCTGCAAACATGAGAGCCGTCTTATGGTTGTTGTCATATTTGCCACCCTCGCGACTAACTAGCAGTCGCACTACATCCGCATGGCCGTATTCCGCTGCTGTCATTAGAGCCGTCCCTCCGGTCATGCGCCATCTGTCTATCTTAACACCCCCTTCCGCTTTCTTTCTCTCTTGAAGGGGTAGCAATTCCATCATCTCTGCATCTGTATCTCCATTCTCTGCCGCATTCACGAGGGATCTCCTCTGCATGCCACCCTCTTTCTCTAACAGTAGCTTGACACACTCCGCATGTCCACGCAGTGCTGCCATCATGAGGGCTGTCCATCCATCAGGCCTCTGCATACCCTCTTCTTTGTCAAGTAGAAGCTTAAGGCATTCTACGTGCCCATTCCTTGCTGTAGACATGAGGGCTGTTTCCCCGGCTCCGTCCTTCATCCCCCCTTGAATTGGTACAAGCAGCCTTACCATTTCAGTGTCTCCCCTGGCTGCTGCCCGCATGAGTGCTGTGACTCCATTCCTATCTGTTGGATCCTCGTAGGATATAATTACCCTAGTAACCTCTAGGCGCCCGTCGTTGAGAGCATGACGCAGGGCGCTATGATCTTGATCACCCTTCACATCCTTCCCGCGCTCCAGGACGGACTTTATCGCCTCTATGGGACTATACCCCGCCACCCACATGAGAGCTGTTTGACCATGGTTGTCCTGTCTACAGATTAGATTAAACCTAGTACCCAGTAACCCCTTGACATCTTCCGTACCATCCTTAGCGGTCTGCATGAGCTCGGTCACACCACCTGAGGGGCTCGGGGGGCCGCCAGATTCAACACGCCTGCGATCAACATCGCTCTGTGCCATTTTTATTTTCTCTCCTGGCCAAGTGCAATTTTCATTTTCTCTCCTGGCCAAGTGCATAAGACCGCAATTATTTCGTAATTTACACTACCCAAGCTACGATGCACTACAGCTATATGGCATAGGCTCCTGCATATTTTCTGTTGCATGCCGTAATGGTGTAGTGTGCAGTACTACACTACTCCGGGCTGTTACCGACCAGAGCTCGCCGAGTAGACCAGTCGTCTGAGGCAGAGGCGGACACTTATGTAGGGACCGAGGGCCTTCTGCTCTACAGATGGATGGCTATGAGACGCGGCATATCGCCTGCTCGTTGGTAGGGGCTTCTCGACGGCAGGGAACGCTGCTTTCAGTGGTGTGCCGCTGGGGCCTGCCTGCGGGCGCTGTCCAGAGATCTTACTGGTAAATTCCCGCTCAATTTTTGGTGATGTCCGGAGACGAGGGTTGGTCGTGTATCAATATAAAGACCACAGTGGTGGAAGGGAGGAGCTATCTGCGTTCCTCGGGTGTTCTGCGGGTGTGTGCTCGGTCTAAGAGTGCACATAGATCCTTTTGGAGATCACGCCGTCCTGCAGGCTCGCTGGTCTACTAGGGTGCCTCTCCTTGTTCTCCCTTTACGGTTGGTGAAGCTCTGGTCTTTGTTGTCATTCTCAATGCTGTCCATACAGATCGGCAGCAGCTAGCGGGGCTTTCTCTTCTGGTTGGGATTCAACTCGGTTGTGTGTCCAGTCTTTGCCCCTTCTCGGTCGTTGTCGTCGGGTCCCAGGGATGGACTCATTCGGTTGTCAGAAGTAGGATGACAGGAGGCGGGGTGACCAGGCTTTCGGCCCGGCCCGTCTGATCAGCCCCGTCAGGTCCTCGTTCGCCTCTGCAGCCATGTAGGCGATGGCGAAGGCAGCCCGGACAGAGGTCCACGTGGAGCTCCTTGAGGTGCCCCTTGGACTGGGGTGGAGGGATCCGTCCGTCCCGTAGATGATCGGGAGCGTCCCGTCCCTGTACTTCTTGGCCTTCTCGCTGTGGTATCCATCTGGCGGGGCTGGATGACACCCACGTCCACTGCCTTGCACTTGTCGACGAGCCAGATGTCGGGCTTCTGGTTCTGGTCGCTGAGGTGGCTGTGGGTCTTGACTTCCAGCTCTGCGCTGAGCTTCCCCGAGACGCGGAGGTACAGGCACGCGACGATCATGTCGTGCCTCGTGGCAGCCCGGGCAGGTGCCTCTTTCTGCGCCATGATCGAGCCGCCCTTCTCCTTCAGGGCCCTTTCCTCCTCGGTCAGCACGCCGCACATCTGCAGACAGTACGTCGCCGCTCTGTCCGGAAGCTGGTGTGTGCGCGTGAGGAGGCGGTTGAAGTAGGCCCCTTCCCCTGCAGTGCCTGGCCGCCCACCGACAGCTCCACCGGGTCTCTGGCCCCCTTGTTGACGTCCAAGGAGGCCCATACCCTCCGCAGCTCGTCGTGGTAGAATCCAGGCATGAGCAGGTCCAGGCCGCCCTTCTCCTTCGGGTACGCTAGGAAGTCGACCAGGCGATCGCAGCTTCTGTTGGTTAGTGCTGATGCCTTGTGCGACGTCTGTCGAACTCCTCGTAGTCCGCCTTGTCCGATGTTACTTCGACCAGGGGGGCGTAGCTCACCATCGGGACCACACAGAGTGACACCAGGATGAGCTTCTGGTGGATGGTTATTGGGGCATTCTCGATCTTCTTCAAGGCAGTCTCGGCACCTGCGATGGCCTTTGGGGCGAGACTAGCAGGAGTGGGGGACGCCGGGTGGTTGAGGAAGGTCACCTCCTCGCCCGCCATGGTGGACTTGCATTTGTCGCTCCTGATCGTCAGGTCCATGGTCTGCTGTGTTATCACACCTGCTGGGTACCCTTCGTCGTGGAACCCCACGATGTCGTCTGCATAGGCAAGGAAGGCGATGCCCCTCTCCTCGAGGCGTCTCAGGAGGCGCTCGGTGGCCATGCAGAAGAGGAACGTGCTGAGCGGGTCGCCCTGGGGGACGCCGCAGACCTCGCACTTCACGTCCTTGCTGTGCCTCAGGTCGAGGAAGTTCCTGATGTAGTCGACCAGGACCTTCGGGACGCCCGCCTCGTTCAGGGCTCTGACGACCTCTGCCCTCGGGAGCGAGTTGAGGGCGTTCTTTGTGTCGAGGGAGACGGCGTGCATCCCCGCCCGCTGATGAGCTCGTGGGCCCTCCTCACGCCTACCGCGTATGCGTTCTGCTTGAAGGCGATCTGCTCGCATGAGAGGTAGTTGGCATGCCTGATCAGCCCTTCAGCAGGACGCGGTGGAAGATGTTCGTGACCGTCCGCCTATCGCGATCGGGGGTATCCGTCGGACTCCTTCGGGATGAGGATCGCCCGGAACTCGAACATGGTCGTCACCTCGGGTATCGCCTCGGGGTGAGTGGTCAGCTCGTTGTACGCCTGCGTGAGGTATTTCACAAAGCTGTCGTTCTGCTTCATCGCCTGAGCTGGACCGGCCCGAGACCAGACACGCCCGAGGCCTTCTTGTTGAGAGTTCCAAACAGGGCCTTCCTCATTTCCTCCTCGGTTGCCACTCCAGCCCTGTCGAGTTCATCGATGGAGGGTAGTCAAGGCCAACGCAGCCTTCGGGGGGACGCACGGGTGTAGCGCGCTGAGGGGGCCTTGGCCTTCTCTGGCTTGTCTATCGTGGGTGTGTCAAGGAACAGAGGACCTGGCAGCCATTAAAGCTCAGCGCGTTGTTCACCCTGTTTGCTATCCGGCGCCTCGCCTTCTCGGGGTCTGGGTCTGCCTTGCTCTGGGACTGCTCCGTGGTGTTGTCTGGCAGAGGGGCCCTCTGGCAGCTTCCCACCAGGGCGTCTAGGCCCCTGATTGCGGGGAGCGCGACCCCAGTCCCGGCCTGCTCGATGCTCGCGATCATGCGCGCACCCTGGTGGATGAGCATGGCAGCTGTCTGGTTCGGTATGTGGGCCGGAAGGATCAGCTTGTCGTCGCCCAGCACTCTGTGTCTGTCATCGTTTGCTTCTCTCAGGTGCTCGGTTGGTTGCTTGGCGCTCTCGCACGGCAGGCCACAGAGCCAGCGTGTGTGTCCTGCCGAGAGGGCAAGCGTCTTCGAAGTGGTCCTCCGAGTAGAGACTCACGGCTTGCTCTCTGGGGCCCAAAGGTATGATCTTGCGTTCGTAATACGGATCTGGTCCTCGCGGGCTCTCCTTCGCCTCAAGTCCAGCTGTGCACATCCGCAGAACAGCCGAGGAACGCACAGGCCCCAGATCCACAAACGGAGGGAGCTCTTCCCTATCACCACTGTGGCTATCACTGCGACCCGTGGCCAGCCCCCGCCTCCGGGCTGGCCAGGGACTGAGCGAGGCTTACCTGTGAGATCTTTGGATCATACTTCCAGGCAGGCCCCAGCGGCACACCACTGGAAGCAACCGGTGGGTGGAGTAAAGAAACTGGTAGAATAATCCGAAGTGCGGATTGCATTTAGAAGGATTGCCGCCCGCACCTCGTGCTTCTGAGACCACAGATAAGCAAGGACTGTTCTCTGCGGTGGCTTAAAAAGCCTATCTATCATATCAGAGGGCAGCTCGCCATACCTCGTGATGAACAGCGGAAGGACCTTGTCCCTTTGGTCTGCCGGATACCTTGATCCCAGTGCTACGGCTCCCTGAAAATCTACGAGGTTAAGCGCATTGTAGAGACTCTCTGCCAGCTCGCCTATGGGGGTCAGAACAGGCATTGACGGACAGTGAAAAGCCGATTATTAATTCACACCTGTTAAATGCACGCTTTAGTTTGCGCCTTCGGTGTCAACACGCCAAAGTGCACAAAGAGCTCGCCCGAGACGGGCGTCGTAGAGGCGCTTAAAGTCTGAGCCGAGCTTGCCGTACTTTTCATACGCAAACTTACACTTTAATGCCTTGTCGAACATAAGAGAGGTGATGCGAACCATCCGGTCACTATCGCCCTTTTTGCCAGAGTTGGCGAGGGAGCATAGGTAGGCAGCGGCATAGCCGGGCTGTAGCAGGTAGAAGTGGGCGGTAAGCAGGGCCTCCATGTCTGTCTTCACGTAGTTGGACGCAATAAGGGTCTCCACCTCGACGCCGTACTTCTCTGTGAACACCTTATTTATCTTTTTCCACTCTCCCTCTGTGGTGTTGCACAGGAGATCGATCAGGCCATCGGGGTTGCCAGATTCCAAGTAGCCCATGAGCGCCGCGGCATCCTCACTAATAGCCTTGCGCTCGTATCTGTCGTGTTTGATCCACCCCTTGATGAGTTGCGACCACGGCTCAGAGCTGCCGATATCACTGAGCAGGGTGTCGTTGGCCACTTTCTGAAATATGCGCGTGTAGTGTGCTCCCATCTCGTACCAGTCTTCTGGGCCGCAAAAGAGGACGACGTCTATCAGTGCAGACTTGTTGTTCTTGCCACTGAGGGCCTGGTTGAGTAGGCGTGCACGCACCTCCTGTGCATCTGTCCACGCATACATCAGAAGCGTTTCAGCAGGCCCTGACTTTAGAGCTTTCTTGATTGCATCAGCAGGGTACATCCCATAGATGGACTTGTAGTTGATTACGACTTGTCTCGGTGCTTCGACGCATACTGCGAGGTCAACTGGACAAGAGCGGACTCGTTTTTGCTATCTATAATCTCCCTCAGCTCCGTGGTGAGGTCGGATACAGTGAGGGACATCAGGTCTAGAGTGAATTTTTGACTGTTTCACTTTGATTTAATGAAAAGGGTTCACAAAAGGATTTTAAAGCGGGCGTTATGAGCGCGAAAGTCGTAAGTATCTGTGTACAGGTCGGAAAGGTGAACACAGGTTACGATCAGAAAGCGTCGCTCCGTTGCTTCGCTGCTCCGCCGCCCATATCTTACGGTGTGCACAGAATCAAATTATTGCCAGGAGAAGGTCTAGATTGCGTTGGCTTTCTTTCTCAGTGGGGGCTGTGCCTCGTAGCTCCTGGCCCGGGGTCAAGGCTGTCTCTATGACGCTGTCGAAGCAGATGTGGTCTTCTAGGCACCATAAGTAATCTTCGTGCACAAACAGGTCCTCCCCGGCCGGAGAGGCGCTGCTTGGGAGCAAAATGTGCGGCTGATATGTTGTGCCAGCCATGATTGGTTTGTAATTCTCCGTCCACATTAGTTTTTATGTCATTACTTTTTACTTTTGCATAAAGCAGCAGCTTATTGCAGCATCAGTAGTCTTGCGCCAATTACATACTAGATTATAGCGTGCTTTTTCATACGTTAGGCATACTTTTGGGCTGCAAGTTAATTGCTGGGCTTAAAGGTTGACAATGCCAATTTGTGCACCAGATCAGATTGTACTGTGTTCTTGCTTGACAACTGGTCTAATTGTGACTCAAGCAGGGCGTGCCTTATTGCTTCAATCCGTGGATTTATATTCTTGAATTCATAAAGAGATTCCCTGCACCACAATGCCACACATGAATAGTTGTAACCAGGCAGTGTCGACCCTATCCAACCCCATCGTTGGCAGTTACCAGTTCAGCAGACTCTTGTGGCTGCTTAGCTTCAAAATTTACAGAGTCTAACAGCAATATGGATGCTCAGGGTTTGTGTTCAACTATCAAAACAGCGCTAACCCTTCAGAGTAGCGTTGCATTTAATGTCCTGGCCATTACGGAGTCGGTGATCACGGCCTGTTGCGCATTGGGGTTACGAGAGAGCGCATCTTTTCGAACAGCGGTCTTCGCTAGTTCATAAGCAAATAGCACGCTACGGATCGTGATAGGAATACGTCGCTTTTGCCTCTCCAAAAAGAGCTTGTATACAGCATACGCCTCATACTCGACGGGATTGGGTTGGAGATAGTATCTCACGCTAACTTGGTGGGCAGCGTTTCGCTTTTCCTCTAGATCGAGGGCAACAGTGGCGTATTCACAGAGCGCGCAGAGGGCTTGGTCGGGGGTGAGGGATGGAATGTTGCAAACCTGATTGAAAACGCCTGCAAACCCAACGTCGCTCATTGCTTTCAAGTGCGTAGTAGTGCCGAGGACAACGAGTCGGTGATCAGGCTGGGTTGGTCTACGAATAAGAGCAGTGAGGGTCTGAAGGACAGTACTGGAGAATCGGAAGCCAATGGGCGTATACTGTATGATGGACTCTATGCCATCCAGAATTATTAGAGCGCGCGGGACCCTGTAGGCTGCCTCAAAGATTTGACATATAAGGTCCGCACGTCCATACTCTGTCGAAGTCCTCATAACAAGCTGCTCTGCAGAGATAATTCGAACAAACTCACATCCAAGCCTCTTCGCAATAACAGAGCATAGAGCTGTACAACCAGTTCCAGTTGCAGGCGCTGCAAGCAGCATAGCGCCGGTGGTAATACTGCTGTTTAGGACAGCCTCTCCAAAAGACACAGCCTGCTGGACGACAGACTCGTAGCCGGTAGCCTTGAGGATACCTAGAGGCGCTGCAGCATCTAGCAGCGTGCGGTCTGCCTGGCCGTATCCTGCTTTAACCTCCCCCAGGGCCCTTTCAAAATCCTTTGCCTCCACTTGGACGCCAATCATGTCCAAATAGAGTAACTTGTTAGGACCCACCGACTTTGTTTTCTCAATAGCACGCTCCATGGCAAAGGATGTAGCAGACCTAACAAGACCTGCCAGTTCAGCGCCAGAGAAATTAGGAGTGCACTCAGCGAGGTGTGCGATATTGACATCGCTTGCAAGAGACTTGGCAGCAACCAGGTTTTTAGTGTGGATCCTCAGAATCTGCTCTCTTCCTCTGCAGTCGGGAAGACCAATCTCCAGGTGCACTTCAAAGCGGCCGGGACGCATCAGAGCCTCGTCCAGAAGCTCTTTCCTGTTGGTCATACCAACCACGAGCACGTTACCAAGCGCGTCGGGCCCGTCCATCATCGCAAGTAGCTGGTTAACCAGGCTGTCCATTGTTCCAGTGTTGTCCGACTTGCTGCCTCGTTGCTTGCATACTGCATCAAGCTCGTCGATAATGATTATGTGGAGCTCGGATGCATTCTCGCGCTCTTTCCACTCCTTAAACGCGTCGCTGAACAGATCGCGCACCTTCTGCTCCGACCCACCAATGTACTTATCTAGAAGCTCTGAACCGGAAACCATCTTTGGAGGCCGCGCGTTCAGCAACTCGCCAATCTTCCTGGCTGTCAACGTTTTTCCTGTTCCAGGTGGTCCGTACAAAAGGAGACCCTTGACGTGTGTCTGGCCAAGCTTTGCTAACTTGTCCGGTGGAAATATTCGTGACATGAACGCGCGCCTAAATATGTCCTTAAACTGCTTATTAAGGCCCCCTATTCCTAAGCTTTCTGCGTTGATTATGCCCCCCTGCTCATTCTTCTCAGACGTGTCGCTGATGAGATTCATCAGCGCCTTAGCCACCGCAGAGACTTCTGCGATTGCGTACTCCCCGGTGAGCTCTATTTCCTTTATTTGAGTCTGGAAGATTGTTGCAGTATCGGTACAGAAAGTAAGCGTGGTCTCGTCGCTCACTATCTCCCTGTTGTCGCCAAACATGCCAACAACCATCAAGATGAAGAAGTCAGAACCGTCACTAATGGCAAGGTCCTGACCGATAGCGAGAGGGAGGTGGACAAATTTCTCTGTAATACGGGCGTTGAGATTTGCCGTGCTTATGGTTACCGGCTTTTGTTGTTTAACCATTGGCTTGATCATGAATACCACAGCGATGGCCCTGGCAGTAGCGTCAAACTTGGACCGTGACACAGTGATGGGAGTATTGTCCAAAGGCGCCCACTTTGTCTCATGAAACGGTGATAGGAGGATCACACCCTGAGGAACCTTGGGCACGGGGTCATGGTGGGCTGTAGCTGATCCGATGTCCTTTCCTGGTCTCACTAGGACGACGTGGCCGTTCCTCTCAAGGTAGACGTTATCAGACTTCTCGTTGCCAAGAACTGCAGCATAGTCACTAGGACATAAGTATGCACAGTTGGTCTCGAGCAAAGAGGTGCTAGGGTACTTACCGGGTTTATTAGGGTACTTACCGGCTTTGTAGCTGAATCCCTCCCCAGACATTTGACAACCCTGTTTTTTAATAAGTTCGTTAGTAAAATTGGACAAAGGTGTGGAATGGAACATCTATCCATCAGGTTCCGTGGTGTTTGCGCAGACACCACGGAAGCACCCATACCCACCAACAAGATTAAGACCCGGAAGTACAATTGGATTGTTTTTCCCTTTGTTGCTGTCCTCAAACAGTTCCGGCTTTTCTTCAACCAGTTTTTCTTGGTTCTAGCCTTTCTCCAGCTCTATCGCCCTCTTCAAGTTGGCCTCGCCTTTACATACTACCTTCCTCTATGTTTCATTGTCCTAGTCAGTGTTGGGCGCGAATTGTATGATGAGCTGAATCGAGCAAGACGTGACAAGTCAGTCAATAGTGGCAAGTACAATATCATTGGCCCCTATGGACTCGTTCCTACTAAGTCCGAAGACATTAAGGTTGGAAGCATCGTGCTTCTAGAGCCAAATCAGAGGGTTCCCGCGGACATCGTTATCCTCCAAGCCGTGGGTCATTTGTATGTCAAGACAGTCAATCTGGATGGGGAAACAGATCTAAAGGTCAAGATGCCTTTGCTTGGTACTGTCGATAGCCCAGAAACACTGGCAGCACCGGACCTGCTCTCTGCAATCCTTGATTCCATCCACGTTACCTATGCCAAGCCATCGGATAATCTCTATCACTTTTCCGGGGCTCTTCAAAACGCACAAACTGACGTTGTAATTGGACCCATTACAGTTTCTAATGCAATCTGGATGAATTGCAGTCTTGCGCGCGGATACGCAACGGGATTGGTTGTCTACACAGGGAAGAGCACACGCATTATGCAGAACCTTGGACGGCGACGGGTTAAACAAGGGTCTCTCGATGTTGAGCTGAACATGTTTGTCAAGGGCATGTTCATTTTCTGTCTGCTCCTGTCAGCGCTGGTTACATTTGCCACCACAACCAGAAGTATTATCGTCTTTGTTCGTTGGATCATAATCCTCAGCTCGATTATTCCGTTGGCCATGCAGGTTTCCTATAACTTCGGCAAGCTCGTCATGGCCGGAAGTATTAAGCGGGACGACACCATAAGTGGGATTGAGGTCAGATCAACCGATCTAGCTGAAGAGCTGGGCCGCATTAGCCATGTCTTCAGCGACAAAACAGGGACTCTGACACGGAACGAGATGTGGCTCCATGAGGTTGTTGGAGAAAAAAGCCCAGCTTGTCTGTCCACGTATTTGATAATTACGCTAGCGAATTGCAGCGCATCGTCCTCTTTGCAATCATGACATGTCACAACGTCGAGTTGTTCCGCGAGGATCAGGATTCACCAGAGCAAGATACCGCCCTCAGGCCAAGAAGGAGGAGGCAGCCAAGGACTTGCTCAGCAAGCACTAGTCAATCATCTGAACAGAGAGTGTCTCAGGAGCCAACTAGCTTTCTCGACGCAAGCATCTCTGAGGCCATCGGGCTCGAAGATCGATCTCAGCCTGTGCAGACGCTCTCACTTTCCGATTCACCAACAGAATTGCTCTTTACGCGCCGCGAGATTGACGAAAATCTGATCCTTAATCGATATATTGGCTCATCTCCCGACGAGGTTGCAATAATAAGAAGCATGCATGCGCGGGGCTATATACTGGAAGAAAAGTCACATAATCTTGTACGCTACACTGCTAGTACAGGATCTCAAAAGTTTGAGCTTCTTCATACCTTTCCATTTACATCAGAGACCAAGCGCATGTCTGTCGTCACTCACCACATTGCTACCGGAACCACGTTTATTTTCGTTAAGGGAGCAGACACAACTATTGAGGCGTCTGCCAAGTACTGTCCATGGCTTCGAAACACCGTCGATGCTTTGGCAGGGCTGGGGCGGAGGACCCTCGTGTATGCGTACCGCACGCTCGACGATGACGACCTTAGTAATTTTCATTCATCCATTACTGCTGCGTCTGCAGATCTGGCAAACCGAGATTCCATACTCGTGAAATGCGAAGAGACTCTGCTGACAGGGGTGGAGGTCTTGTGTGTAACAGGAATCGAAGATCAGCTCCAGCTCAATGTGAAGGCAACGATCCAGGATCTGAAAAGAGCAGGAATTAAGTTCTGGATGTTGACCGGAGACAAGGTTGTGACATGTTTGAGCATAGCCCAGTCGTGCGGTTTGCTCCCAAATACAGCAGTCAAGAAGCATACCAGCAAGCTTCGTGCATCCGAGAATACCGCGCCTTTGACTACTCAGTCGCTGCATCCTGAGGCATGTAAGTATCCAACTACTCCATCTCTAGACGCTGTATCTATTCCTACAAGATCTGAGATAGAAGTGGGCCAAGAGGATAAGACACCCATGGCAATTCTCCGCAGAGCCATTCGAGATGATCCCAATTCCTTCATGAGTGTCACCTCCAGAAGAGAAAAGCGGCTCAATAGAAAGAAACGCCCAGGGTCTCTTGTTTTAGCAAGCACGTGCTATGGGCGCTTGAGTGAGCATATCTACTTCTTGACAGAGGAGCTCACCCCTGTTGAAATAGTCTCCGTTCTGAAAGAGCTCTCTCAAATGGTTAGCTTCACACATGAGGTTACCATCGTCATAGACGGATCAGCGCTGGAGAAACTCCTCGGTAATTACCCCGTGGACTACTTCTACACACATGCAATCCATCCCATCACTGGGAACCTTCTTCCTCTGCACCCGTGTGTAAGGATCTGGAGGAGATTCACCCGCTGGTTACTTATCTACCTCACAGGACACCCCAGACGCGGCAAGGGGAGCCTGGGACCAGATGCAGAGACGCGCGAGCTTTTTGCAAGTATTGCTAGCAAGGCAGAAACGGTCCTCTGCTGCCGCTGCACACCAACGCAGAAGGCCCTTGTTGCAGGTCTCATTTCGGTATACACAGGCAGCAAATCCCTAGGGATAGGCGACGGGGCAAATGACGTCCCCCTGATCGAAACTTGCTCTGTCGGCATAGGACTGCGGGGCAAGGAGGGCAACCAGGCGGCCAACGCAGCAGACTATGTGATGACAGAATTCCGAGGACTGAAGAAGCTTCTGCTATGGTATGGCAAGTGTAGCTACGTGGGTAGTGCACAGATATGCCAGTTTATCGTCCAGCGCGGGGTTGCGCTATGCTTGCTCCAGATTTGTTTCACCTGCCTTTACTTTTTCACGTCTCTCGTTCTTCACACCGGGGTACTCCTCTTGGGATACGTGACGCTATTCACAATGTTTCCACCGTTCAACTATTATATTAACGAAGATGTGGACTACCAATTAGTACTAAAATACCCAGAAATCTATCGGATTACGTCGCGTGGATCTATTCTGAACCTTAAGACATTTTTTCTCTGGACATTTAGTGGCTTTATTATAGCAGTGGTAGTGTTTCTTCTCGCATATATCTTCTCGTCGTTTCCCATTTCTGTCAGCGGATTTACGTTTTTCAGTTTCGCCATACTGCTGTGGAGCGAGCTCTGCCTGATCCTTGTGACTACCCATCGCTTTTCCCTTATGCTCCTCGTTGCCTTGCTTCTCAGCTACTTGATGCTATTCTTGGTTGTTGCCATTTATCCAGGCTCCTTGACTCGTAGCGAAGTATTTTCTCTAGATATGTTTTGGCGCTTATGCGTAACAAACGCAATATCGGCTGTACTGCTTTTTGTCGGTGAACGCATCGTTCGCCGGTTCTCTAAGCCAAACGTGGTCCGTATTCTCAGATCAATGAGAAAGCCAGTTTATTGTGCTACATGCAAAGTTCCACGGTGTTGCACGCGTGAGTCGCAACAGAATGTGGCTGTCATAGGCAAGCCTTCTTTCAACCAAGACCATCCTGGCCTATCTCGCAGCGTCTTACGAGATCGAAGTAAGCCCATGTATAGAGCAGGCTCTGGGATAAAAACGGAATCCGAATCTGGCTCGGGGTGGCCCTCTGGTATGGTAGTGACGAGCAGATCCTACAGGCGACCCTCTTCATCGAGCTATGTCCGTCTGCGAGGCATTTACATTCTAAGCTCCACTGGGAGACACTTCTTCAATATGCCGGAGAGTGTTTTCAACATCCTCACACTCAGGATGTGTCGTCGTTGCGTCAGAATAAATTCTTAGATTCGGATTTACTCCACCCACCGGTTGCTTCCAGTGGTGTGCCGCTGGGGCCTGCCTGGAAGTATGATCCAAAGATCTCACAGGTAAGCCTCGCTCAGTCCCTGGCCAGCCCGGAGGCGGGGGCTGGCCACGGGTCGCAGTGATAGCCACAGTGGTGATAGGGAAGAGCTCCCTCCGTTTGTGGATCTGGGGCCTGTGCGTTCCTCGGCTGTTCTGCGGATGTGCACAGCTGGACTTGAGGCGAAGGAGAGCCCGCGAGGACCAGATCCGTATTACGAACGCAAGATCATACCTTTGGGCCCCAGAGAGCAAGCCGTGAGTCTCTACTCGGAGGACCACTTCGAAGACGCTTGCCCTCTCGGCAGGACACACACGCTGGCTCTGTGGCCTGCCGTGCGAGAGCGCCAAGCAACCAACCGAGCACCTGAGAGAAGCAAACGATGACAGACACAGAGTGCTGGGCGACGACAAGCTGATCCTTCCGGCCCACATACCGAACCAGACAGCTGCCATGCTCATCCACCAGGGTGCGCGCATGATCGCGAGCATCGAGCAGGCCGGGACTGGGGTCGCGCTCCCCGCAATCAGGGGCCTAGACGCCCTGGTGGGAAGCTGCCAGAGGGCCCCTCTGCCAGACAACACCACGGAGCAGTCCCAGAGCAAGGCAGACCCAGACCCCGAGAAGGCGAGGCGCCGGATAGCAAACAGGGTGAACAACGCGCTGAGCTTTAATGGCTGCCAGGTCCTCTGTTCCTTGACACACCCACGATAGACAAGCCAGAGAAGGCCAAGGCCCCCTCAGCGCGCTACACCCGTGCGTCCCCCCGAAGGCTGCGTTGGCCTTGACTACCCTCCATCGATGAACTCGACAGGGCTGGAGTGGCAACCGAGGAGGAAATGAGGAAGGCCCTGTTTGGAACT